TGCGAAGTTCACAGATCAAAAAACTTGGTGTTCACATAACTGGAGATCTGACGAGGCTGTTCAAGGACTGTGGATTTAAAGAGGCAGATATTTCCTTCTCTAGAGCTGTTGAACTCGGAGCAATGGCGAAGGATCACAATGCAGCTGATCGCACCAATATTGGTCTTGCAGACTTGGTGGCAACTGTGCTACGAAGATATCTGGCCAAGGACACATCAATTCGAGTTAGTACTTCTTGGGACAGTCCTGCCTTGTCGGAGCACCAGATGAAGTATGCAGCATTGGATGTCTATGCTACTTGGGCAATATTTGAAGCTTTCTCTACCATTCCCATTGGGCAAGTAATCACTGCAAATATGGCAGCAGGCACACGAGTCAAACTCCTTTCATGTGATTGCTCATCGACAGTTGCACTTGGTTTTATTGCGCCAGACTGTCCAGCACAATTTGATGGTGTGAATGTTACCAAGATATAGGCCATTGTCAATATTACCTCTATCCTCCAGCCTGGTTATCTGATTCATGCTGACCTCTTACGATCAAGGCAAGAGACTGCACTTTCGCAATACAGCCACTCTTGTCCATTTGGACTTTTGTGCAACATCCGTGATCTTCGTACATGTGGCGAAACCCAGTCTTTTCCACTTGTTGACCAGTTATCTCCACTCCCCCCTTGACCGTTCATCCCATTACAGCTGGCATATGAATCAGATCATCCTCCAAGTCTTTCCACTGCCATGTTCAGCAGCTTGGACCAGGAAGGTGCATGTGACATTGATTTCTGGCCAGATCAGCTGGATTTTGATCCAGAGGCCAAATCTCACAAGGAAGACTGTGGATTAGACCCTGCGGCAGTGATGCGTGCAGAAGAACTAGGCAGAGACATAGTAGTATAGTAAACTATAGGAAGGTCCAAGTATAGTTATAGTAAAGGTTATAGTCCAGGTATGAGTTTGTTGGACCTGTGAAACCTGTACACATAGTACAGGTACATGAGGTCTGACTATATAAACCTGCAGTGTTTTTATATACACAGGGGTGAGACTCAAATTAAACTAAATAAATCGAAGCACAAATGCTAACTGCATATATTCTGTAAGAGAGCTACTTAAACTTAAACTTTGGATCTTAAACTTTGCTCTTAAGTACTACTTCATTTGAAAATGTGTCTAGAATGTGTAGTAAACTACACATAGGTACATACATAGTAATAGTACAGGTCATAGTACAGGTTTGTCTTTTATAAACCTGTGACCCTCATAGACCTGTACTATATGTAGGTCCATGTATCTGTATGTATAGTCAGGGTCAGGCCTTTGTACTACAAAGGTAGACCTGTGTCCCTGCCTAAGAAGAACTGACTCTAACTGCCACAGAATCAGTCACATATGAGGATTCTGCAATCCAATCTCATGTCCTTGGCGATATCTGGCATCTCATGCACCAATTCCAGATACCTCAGCATCATGGATTGTGTCGTCCATTTGCCTGAGCACTTCACGATGCATTGCGCATTCCTGACCAGGAAGATAAGGCCACCGTTGAAGACGTGCTCAAAGAAAGGAACCTCTCATGGGACTATTTCATGCTGAGAAGTTCTGACTGGATATGGAAGTGGGTGAGACAGTTTGTGCCTCAACTGGACGTTCTGCATCAATGTGTAGTGGAGGTTTTTTGTGAGCTTGGGCCACGCACAGATGCAACAACTGGACAGCCACTATTTAATGATGCATTGTGGGAGAAGGCACAAAATGTTCTTGAGAATATCTATGGGATACTACTCAAATCCACCGGGTGTCAAGCTATACACTGTCCAGGGCAAAGATTGTGATGGGCTTACTATTTACAGGTGCATGCACAGGACAAATAACGTGGAAGGAGGAGTACACCAGAATATTGTGCGATGCTTTGGCTCATTCAATGCATCCCCAAAATTTGCAGTCAGTCTTCTTCGGGACTATGTACTGTGCCACAACTTGAAGGTATGCCATACAAATATCTGTATAGTTATAAGCATGGCTAATTGATTGCGCCCAATATTAATTCAGGTTGGTACTTATAACCACACGGGCCGTCAATACAACAGGTCATTTGACATCTGGACATGAAATCAGCTAGCACACCTCATTGATGAGACTGCAGATGTCTTCTCACTAGACTCTGCAGATGTGATCATAGCCGGGTTTATGAATGGAAATGACTATGCATGCTCAACTGAATCATTTGGTATTCTACCTCTCTCAGAGTCATCACGCACCCAGCTTGGCATGCTTCCATACAGTGCAGACTTTGTGGCAGCAGCCAAGATTCGGCATGGTCATCTCGCAAAGCAGCAATGTACTCGGATCACCATCCTTCCTCTTCACATGCCTGAAGAATGTGCGATATTTCAAATGCTGATGAATCAACATGGAGGCCCATTTATGGGACCAACACAGCTGAATTGGGTTATGATGGCTGCCAACTGGTCAAATTGCTGCAATGGTCAACACATCTTCTACAAGGTACGATTTTGTTCGATCCTGCATCATACATTTGAGTACTCACTTTCTCTCAGCTTCCGGAGCACTTGAAAAACTACTACAAGGTCTGGAAGGAGAATCGCAATAAGGAGAACTCTGTTGAGCAACAAAAGGAAGTGTACAACAGGATCACCACACTTCTCCTTTCACAACCAGAGTGCATACCGGCCATACCGACCCAACCCCGTGCATCCATCACTAAACAAATTGATCTGAGCAATCACGTTGCTGTGGCGTCAGAAGTGCCATCTAATTGGCATGTCGGCATACTGCTTGGTACACTGAGCATCAAGCAATCCACAGTGCAATTCCAATATGGTGATGGATCCTCTTCAAATAATCAGCAAGACCAGGCACAGGGTAAGAAGCGCAGGAGAAAGACTTGTGATGGTGAGAATGACTCAGAAGAAATTCAGAAGTCAAGAAGTGTGCCCTGCGGCACTGCCTGAGGTGTGGCCGGAGTCGGACTAGTGTTGCCGAAGTTCAGTTCGGTCCGGTTCAGAGGCCATTTTCTCCGAACCTGAGCCTGAACCTACAGTGAACCTGCTGAACCAGAACCAAGTCTAAACCATAGATTCAGAACCAGTTCGAACCTCTGAACCTGAGATTTTTCAATCTAGCAATTCTAAGGCCAATGGGGGCCTCCCACCTTTACTCTACATGCTTCTTAGTATTATTGGTGCATTACCCACCATCAAAATGCTCCAGTGAACTGTGTAGAATGGTAATCTCATGTTTGACCAAGAGTGAGCATTATATAAGAGGATGCTATACAGGGTATGTCTGTGCAATTTCAGCAGAATATAAGAGACTATAGTCAGCACATGTATATTCTATATCATTTTGCAGTCTTTAGTTGCACTGACAACTCTCAAGGATGCCCATATATTTGGTCTTTCCAATGGGTTTTAGCCTATCAGGTTCGAACCAGTTCATGCTTAAACTGAACCTACCTACCAGAGGCTGAACCAGAACCAGAACTGAACCTAGGTTCAGTTCAGAGGTTCAGGGTTCGAACCTTGGTTCTGAACTGAACTTCGGCAACACTAGGCTGGACAGACTGTGCTGGGATCTTCTTGTCCCTACCTTGCTCTTACCCTGACCAGGTGAGCTCTGATGATTTATCACATATGATCACAGCTCACACTCGTCCGATTGACACAGGAAAATGCATCTGCAAGTGCTTCCAGTAGCACACCACCGCACAAATCCTCTAGCGTTCGCACAGCTGATGCTGTCACCAGCAGAGGCTCGAGCAGTTGATATCCTTCAATGGCGAGTCAATCTGAGGGGCCGTTACATACCTAGAGTGAGTGAGTGGAGGTGATCCCGGGTACATGTCTTCGTGTGCCCCCCATTTAAGACCATTATACTCACTTTCCAACCTAGTCCACCCTTACTGTACAGCTTTCCCATTGAAGCTCTGTTAATTTGGTCTGTCTCTTCTCGAGCGAGCACTCTCATTCTCGGTACGGCATCTCGTTCTTCTCTGAAACCCATTGCAGCATACTGTACTCTCGGAATTAATTGATTAATTATAATTAATTTTCCACGTGCACTACACCTATAGTTAGTGTGCCGTGGCATCATCCCCAGTGCTGTCACATAGAGTATATTACGGGGTACCACACTGCCGGTGGCAGGCGTGGTTAGTGCAGAGCAGGGGTATACCCCTGGGTACTTTGAGCTGTACCCCTACCCCTACCCTCCAAGGGTACATACCCTTCACCAGGGGTAAGGGTATGGGTAAGGGTACCAAACCCTGAGGGTATACCCCTCAATATCTGCCTTATTTGAGGGAATAACAATATAGACATTAAGTTTAAGGCTTGTAACAGTCTTCTTTTCCCTTTGGAGCTTCTGTAAACATAGTTTAAGGCTGTATCTAGACTGTACTTAGGCTTTATTCACCATACAGTTACTGCTTACATTATATATACTATATGCAGTGATACCCTCCAGGGGTACAAGGGTCTGAAAGTCCATACCCCTACCCTTACCCTCCGATACCCTTACCCCTGACCCTTGAGGGTTATCCATACCCCTGCTCTGCACTAGGCGTGGTTACCTGCGTGGTGACCCCTCGCGTGACGAAGCGAGGGTCACCACTCCAATACATGCTTGGTCGTCAGGACTGTGACCTGATAAGGCCAAATCCGGCAATCTTGTGACTCGATAAGCCCCAGCAAGGAAGCGCGGGTCACTCCTTACCCGATCGGTCAAGCGCGCGTGACGTCACCCCGTTACACGCCCATCGGGAGGCATCTCGGCCCCTATCTCGAGGGGGTGAGTGGTGCATGCCCTCTGTATGGGCCTCAGGACAAGCTCACGACTCGGATCTGGCACTTAGGACAGCTCATCGCTGAGGTTTTTGAGTCTCATTCACGGTCACTGGTAACCGCGGTGGCCACCGCAACCCAGGGACATCATCACATCAGAATCAAGTTCATCTTGAACACTGGCAGTGTCATCACAAAACTACAACTCTTCTCTAGTCTCCTCTAATACTTCTACAGGCAAACACAGTGCCGGAGATGTCACCGTGAACTGATACTCACACTTCTCCGGCTCTGTTACTGTCAAAACGGCATTCTCAGTGCCACAAGACATGACGAGCTGATAGGCAACATAAGTGGCTCCATGCATGGACCAGAGGTGGGCTTGAACGTACTGTAACGCTGCGGTGCGGACCATTCCAACATTTGGTTCCTCGGGTATAATGCTGCTTGCTGTAATATTCCAGAGAGCCAGACACAACTCCGGCAACGTTGTTCCACGACGAGAACCGCCTTGAAGCCCGCACATTAGCTTGTGAACAATACGAAGGACAGTTTCGACTCACCCAAGAGTATGACTCGCACCACCCTTGTTCGGCTTCTGCTTCGCTTCTTCGAACAGGCAAACCTCATAGGTGTAGCTGAAGGGCACGGTCAGCAACGTGTATCGAGAGGATGTAACGCAGGACTCACTCTCCCGTATCCTTCTCCAAACACGTTCCTTGTAGCTTCTTCCATTCGCCCTCGGGGCCAAACCATTCGGGATCAAATAGACGACCAAGCTCCTCAACTGTCTGTTGCTTGTCCTGCACAGCAGCTGTGAGGCTGCGCTCGGCATCCTGGAAGGCCTGGCGTGCCCGGGAAGTTTCTAGGAGTTGACCATCAGCCATTGTTAACAAATGCATGTAGAGCAAGAAACAAACCAGCTTCCTCGATTGGTACGGACCCTCGAACCACGCCTAACGTTTCTAGCCACGAGATAATCGAGTTTCGGAGAGCCTCGTATCGTGGGAGGAACGCATCAGGGATATAAGCTGTCAAATTGAACACTTCAAGTCATCGTTTGCTAACTCTGGCAAGCGGGTAGGAAGTACTTACAGACAGATTCACCGCCCTCTGCTGGCGCGCCTATGTGCTTGTCGTGCTCCAGGAGTAACGACTCGTAATCGCTGTCCAGCAGACTGTCGAGCTCGCGATCGAGTCGGTCCGCGGACCACATGCCTTCTTCAAGCACCTCTTCGGGCTCGCTGGCGATGTTCGAAGTATCCGTTTGCGAGGATTCATCTTCCTTTGCTATATCATTGATGTGCGGGAGTCCTGCTTGATATTCCCAGCCACGGACGGCTTCTAGGACAGCCATGTCCTGGTAATTGGGGTTATACCCTGTCCTTAGCGCGTCCAAGATGTCACCCAATATCGCCTCACGTTCCAGGTGCTTCTTGTGCTCCCTCCGCAGAGATTTCAGGGCGCGCGAATGCTCGATGAGAGCGGCGTACAACGCTGTTAGCTTTACGAGTCGGTGTATGCGTGGGCGTGGATTGCATGATTGACTCACGAGAGTTTCTCCGGTGCTCGAGGGCAGCCGCAGAAAGAGATTCAGCTCGGTCGGCAATATCTGCACTCCGTGTTAGAGGGTGTCCCAATGTAGGTCAAGAAATTATAACCTTTTAGTCTCGCGACTTCCTTTTCTCTCAGAAGGATCTCCTGTTCTGCAGTGGAAATTCTGCCTTCCAACCGCTTCTTCTCCTTCTGAGCATAACTGATGTACGAAGAGCGTATTTTCGAGCCCTGCCATGATTTGTTCAGTCAAACATGAACACAGTAATAGACCGAGTTTCATACCTTCTTGCGAATCTTCCACTCCGCATCCTGAATCTGTCTGTATGCCTCTCCGACTTCCTTACACTTGTTACTGCACACGCCTGGTCTCTCATCAGAACCGTCACAGCACTCCGGCTCTACATGACATCTACTTTACCACCCCGAAATTGAACATGAAAATAAGACATACCACAAAGACCATCTCCTACTCTCGTGCTTGGTATGTGGGCTCCGACGTGACCCTCGTTCCGGCAATAGAAGACAGTGTTTGGGCAAGCACCAGTGCCTGCGAGTCAAATACTCCACGTTCAGCCATTTGACAAGTGCCAATACCAAGCAGAGACTAACCCGGTTCGTCGCTTCCATCTAGACAGTCGCAATAGTCGTCGTTGACTGATGACCAGTTAATGGTGTTGGAGCCATCCAGACAAGTCCACGTAGCTGAGGAACCCGACCCAGTAGGAACGTAGCGCGAAAGCAGCGATGGAGAGACTCCGTACGTCTTCTCAACGCCAGCAAGTGTGGGAATCGGGAGGAGGAAGAACAACCATGGTACCATGCTTGCGAAGTCGACGTGGTGGAATGCAGAGCGTTTCTATGTACCACATCTACACCACTTGCACGTGACCAGAGCATACAGGACCCCCCGTAACTCGCTTAGAGCTCCGATCCCGCCGGAGGCCATTTTCGGGGGTCAGGACACGGTCATTTTCGGGGGTTTCGCACCCAAGGTCCCGGCCTCCCGGCCGGTTTCGGGGAAAAATGGGATCGAACATTTACGGTGAGAAATGGGCTTCCGCCGGGTGCAAAACGAATTTTCGCCGAAAAATCCTTCCACGTTGAGGGTCTCCAGGAAAATTTCTCCCAGGAACCATTTTTCGGGGGTTTCGCACTGAACCTCGGGCCAAAGGGGACAATTTCGGGGATTTCGGGATACAAGTTGTACCTGTTTTTCGACCATTTTCGGGGGTCCGAGATCGGAGGTCCGGCCTGCGGCGGGCCCAATTTCGGGGATTCAGGCATCGGGGCTCATAGGGGATTGCGGGGGGTCCTGGGATGACCTTGTGCTCTTCTTTGCACGCATGTACAGCTAGTACTTAGTCTGAGTTACTCATGAGGTAGTTGAACAGAGCTTGACCAGAGCCCGGCATAATGCTGGAAAATAATATGCTGGTATCGTTCTTCGCAAAAACTGGATACTAGACGCCTTAATGCCGGCATTTGCCGGAACTTTGAACCACCGCTCGGTTACTTCCGCGCTCATTGCAAGTCCCTGCCGCGAGCACATCGAGCCCAGCATCCACGAGAGGCCGTCAAGAGAATGGTGAGTAACGCTGTTCAACATGGAGTTACACCTGCAAGAGAGCCATTGGATACTTCTCTGATGCTTTTGATCCACATCCATTCGGATGAGTGTGGATGCTGGGGACTCGGTACGGATGACGAACGTGTGCTGATTGGGCTCGATTTTCCAGGCCAAGGCTAAGGCAGCACCAACATCCTCCAGCGGTGGAAAGGCAGCAAAGAAGAAGAAATGGTCGAAGGGAAAAGTCAAGGACAAGGCGCAGCACGCCGTTATCCTTGACAAGGCCACGTACGACCGCATCATCAAGGAGGTCCCCACCTTCCGCTTCATCAGCCAGAGCATCCTCATCGAGCGGCTGAAGATCAATGGGAGCTTGGCACGAGTTGCCATCAGACATTTGGAGAAGGAGGGGCAGATCAAACGCATTGTCCACCACAGCGACCAGTTGATCTACAGTGCGTATTTCCAAACGATGAGAGTCCTTTGCCACTAACATTATTATCCTCAGCGCGGTCGACCGGTGGTGCCGAGTAAATTCTTGCACCTTTTGTATCCTCTCTCCCGCTATCTACTATTCGCATGCATCCTCAGGCAGCATATGTATTCCATCATCCATAAAACATGACATAACTTGCCCTCATACCAATATTCTTGTGGGACCTGTGAGGAGGGAGAGTAGCCGTGATGACTCAAGTCACCTGGTCGCGTCGCGTTCGTCTGACCGGTGCGGTTCTGACTGACTTTGCACTGCAGTGCATTCCGGAGGTCGCGAGGTATATGTCTGATTATATTCTCACCCTCTGATGACAAGCAGGCCTAAATAATACCAAATCGAAGGCCGTTCAAACGATGACTTCGTCAGGTTGCTATCGGCCTGTACCGTTGTGGGAACTCGCTTCTCGCTGTCCTACCTGTGCGGGGACGTCGACATGGTAGCAACCGGCATGCTTTCTAAATCATGCTATGGAGATATTGTAATGTTTGTAAAATGGCTGGCCCTGAATATCTACATATGTATCTACTTGCGCACACGCGCCGACTTTCTAGGCTGCGATGGATGTATACACCCTTCTTCCACGGTATGTGACTGCAATCATGGTAGTTCTTGAAGACATATGTATTCGCCTCCTCTTACCGCTAAGTATCTTACCTTCCCCGGCTTGCCGGCCCGGTCGGACTACTTTCGACTGCTTGAACGATGGCGATTTTCACACCACCTTCAATTTTTGTCTTTTGTGTGTCTGAACTCCGAGCTATATGGCGAGTGCAATACCCGCAAGCTACTACATCGGAGTCGATGTCGGGACAGGATCCGTGCGCGCAGGCCTCGTAAAGCAGGATGGCACACTCGTTGCATCCTTCACGGAGCCTACTGCCACCTACCGCGATCCAGATGACCACCGGATCTTTGAGCAATCCACGAACAACGTTTGGGCCGGGATGTGCAAGGCAATCAAGGCCGTCCTCGAAGAAGCTAACGTCTCCTCTTCGGTCGTCAAGGGCGTTGGGTTTGACGCGACGTGTTCTCTGGCGGTCGCGGATATGAACGGAGAACCCGTGGTGGTGACCAAAGGCGACCAACTTGGAGAAATTGGAGACCGTAACATTATTCTATGGGCAGACCATCGAGCTGAAACCGAAGCCGATCTAATAAACAGCACTGGATCTAAGGTGCTTGATTACGTCGGCGGGACGATGAGTGTAAGTGTGTAAGTCCGCTGCTGTAATTCAACTAATATATCTCAATATTCTTTATCCTTGTGCAGCTGGAGATGGAAATCCCAAAGACCCTCTGGCTGAAGCACCACATGAAGCCGGAGCGGTTCGCGCGTTGCCAATTCTTCGATCTCCCTGACTTCCTGACTTACCGCGCAACGAGCGATAGCACGCGTTCGTGCTGCTCAGTGACGTGCAAGTGTTCCTTCGTCCCAATGTCAGGGTGGCAGGCAGATTTCTTCCAGAAGATTGGGCTCGCCGAGTTCCCTAAAGACAATTACACCCAGCTGGGGGGCGCGGATATGAATGTACTTACAGCCGGCTTACCGGTAGGTAGAGGTTTGTCCAAGAAGTCTGCGGAGGAGATGGGCCTCCTAGAGGGTACTTCTGTGGGAAGCGGTGTCATTGATGCGTGAGATTCTTCAACATCTGCCAGGATTGTCTTATGGTCTGAACCCCTGCAGTTACGCAGGATGGTTGGGTACAATTGCAGCACGCTTCAAAGAAAATGGTGAATTGTCCCCCATCGTACCGTCTCTGGACGAGTCCAGCCATCGTCTCGCGGCGGTCGCAGGCACGAGTACCTGCCATATAGTTCAGGTCGGCATGACTTGCTTCATCATCTTGCTGCATACAATTGATCAAAGCGCATAGAGTCGAGAAGGTGTGTTCGTGAACGGTGTATGGGGCCCATACAAGGTGAGCATGTCATGATGGATGTGTGCAGCGCGATCGTGATAGCAAATCCAGGATGCCGTCTTCCCCGGATTCTGGATGAACGAAGGTGGACAATCATCGACTGGTCAAGTGAGTTCTCGAATAATGTACGTATTTCAAAACTCGTCGCTGATTATTTTTGCACAGTTGATTGATTTCATGATCACGACACATCCCGCATACCCGAGGTTGAAGGAGCTTGCACAGCAGCAAAACATCGACATTCACGAGGGTAAGAGTTCCTGGCTCTGCAATATGTGTCAAACCACCCAACGCTTTAATGTAGTCCTGCATGATGAACTGGAGAAGTTGCGGATGGAGGCGGGTGCGGAAAATTGGACAGAGCTCACCAAAGATATGCACTTCTACCCTGATCTGCATGGTGCGTCCACACTCTCCCGGTACTATGCGGAGCCTGAACATGACGGTAGGCAACCGATCCCCCATCGCGGATCCCCGCATGCGCGGCTCCTTGATGGGTCTCGCCCTCGTAAGTTCCCATTCTTTCCCTTTTCGCCTTCACTCACGTTCTGCTTGCCGCAGGACGACGGCCTCTCGGACCTTGCGCGCAAGTTCAACCTCACACTTGAGGCAATCGCGCTCCAGACACGGCACATCGTGGACGAGATGAACGCGAAGGGGCACAAGATCACGTCGATCTACATGTCGGGCGGCCAGGCGAAGAACCTCATGCTCATGCAGCTTTTCGCCAACACTTGCAGCATGCCTGTCGTGCTTCCGCAGAGCAGCGGTGCCGCGGTCGTGCTCGGCGCCGCGATGCTCGGGCGCTTCGCGGCGATGGACCACACCAAGATGAATGCGGAGGCGCAGGGGAAGGCGTTGTGGGACACCATGGTAGGCGGCGTTTGGTCTGATATCGATCTGTTATGCTGATTATTGTGGACTGCTGTAGGTGGAGATGACACCGGCAGGAACCATGATCACTCCCGCAGCTGATCCAAAGGAGAAGAAATTGCTCGAGGCGAAGTACAAGATTTTCCGCGAGACCATTGAAATTCAGAAGCGGTGGAGAAAGCAAATGGAAGAAGCATCACAATAGTTCTCTCCATTCGAATAGAGAAGTAATAGAACTGACTAAATGCGTGTACGTTAGAGCTCACACCTCCTAGAATGGGGACTTCGTTGAGGGCACATCGATGGCAAAATTCTTCAGATCGTGTGCGGGCATAGGCATGGTCATGATGCATATGCAAAATACTGCATACAGTGTTTTGGTAACAAGTGCAATCGTAGAATGGCATAAAAAGAGTAATGCAGAAGACAAGCGACCACCCCTTAAACCTCCTTGACTTTGACGGTACCGCGCAGGAGACCAGTCTATGTATCTTTAGGTTAGTTGTGAACATGTGCAATCAAAGTAAAAATCCACGTACCCGGCGGGCGGCAATAAGACCGACTTTCTGACCGGGAACGGCGGAGCGCGCGATTGTCGAGGCTTTACCGATGTGTTGATGGTTACCACCACCGTGAGGGTGGTCGACGGGGTTCATAGCAACACCACGAGTACGAGGCCAGCTGCAAAGCGTGCAACCTCAGAAATCCGCAAAGTGCTGGAATAACAATGATGATACGTACCTGTATCGTTTGGCCTTGTATTTGTGGTACGCACGACCAGCCTTCATCAAGGGCTTGTCGATACGTCCTCCACCGGCGACGATGCCAATGGTCGCACGACAGCTGCCTGATATGGTCTTCTTAGCACCGCTCGGCAGGCGGACGCGCGTCTTGTTCTCGTCCGCCGAGTGACCGATGACAGTCGCGTAGTTGCCTGACGTCCGTGCCAACGCACCACGGTCACCAGTCTTCTCTTCCACGTTGCTCACGATCGTACCCTCGGGGCATTGCGACACGGGGAGCACGTTGCCGACGGCGAGCGTCGCCTTCTTCCCGCAGTAGACGAACGCGCCGGTGTGCAGGCCTTCTGTCGCGATGAATGTCTCTTTACGCAGCTTATAACGGTAGGGATCACGGAAGACGACGCGGGCGAGGGGGGCTCCGCTGCGCAAGGGTGAACACGGGCACAACATTCAACTTCCGCGTGTACGCACCGACCAGCATCATGGATGATTTCCTTTACGATGCCCTTGATGTATCCATTGCGCTCCGCGAAGTCGAGGGGGCGGAATCGCGCTGGCGCTTTGTTGTGGTGGGTATGCGCCTTGAACTACACATGCACGAATTGAACGGTTCGTCAGAGTGCTCGACGTAGGAAACGGCCAACATACGATTGCGTGAGAACGCCTCTGTGCCCGAATGACCCTACCCATTGTTCAATCTGCAGAGATCGACGTAAGCACCAGCTCTCGGTGAAGTATGTGCGTGAAGCCGGGAAGTACATCCAAATCTGCCAGAGCACATCCAGCCGAGTTTTCCACCAAATTCGACCGCGATTTTTCGTCTGGACATGCTCTGACATCTGGAGACCCTTCCCGCCTTGCTTCGGGTGAAAAATGGAGCACACTCACATTCTTGCTGGGAGACGTTGATATCGATATCGGTATATTTTGGTGTTTGGACCTCGTATTGAAAGCACGTGACTGTGGCAAAATATTCCTATTTTCAGAACCACTAGCGCCGAGCACAAAGGCAGACGATTTTACACAAGACGCATAGCCAAGTATTTCTCAGGGAAAAACCCTGAAAATTTTCATAAAGTAAAGCATCAGAAAAAATTCTGAAGAAAGTATAATGAATTTTCGTGGGAAATACCGTGATGGTCCAATCAGCAGCTGAGAATCACAGTTTTTCTTGGAGAAATACTTTATTCTCTGTCCACAGTTTTTCTGTGTGTTTTACTTTAACCCTTTCTAGCGGGTTTTCCGCGAAAAATACTGGGCTATGCTTCTTGTGATTATTTACAGCGGACTGCAAATGCAGGACCCTGCGTGCAGAACAAATACTTATATGTATTGGACGCATACAACGATGTGAGATAATATGGTGATGCAAACTCCTCAAATCCCCAAAAGACGGCGTATGCACGACGTTCTGCATACTGCTATGGAAGGTCTGTCATGCAGCATTATGTGTTCCTGAAAGACCAGATCTTGCAGATAAATCTCGAACTTATCTGGCGAACGGAGGGACAATATGACATGAGAGAGCCAGCCAGCCCGAAGTAGCCAAAGCAAGTCTAATGAGCCATCATCATCCGGCGGACCTTGGAACGCGCGACGAACTGAGTATAAGGATGATAGGGTGACCACTGCGGTCATGCACTTGCTTCTGCCAATATCTCTCATGAGTCCTCATAGTTATCTGGACTCACTCAGCTGGAATAGCTGGAATCTGCCTGTAGATCTTGGAATTCCTGAGACGGTGCCACGCACAGACTGCGAGGAGGTCACATTATTGCCTGGTGTCAATCTTCTTGCCTGCAGTATTGACCAGGAGTGGTGCTCCAGAAGTGCTTCTCGTGCAGGAAGAAGGTGTTCCCGACCGGAACTGGAAGGACATGGGATGGCTGGGAACAAGTGGGAAGCAGGACGCATGCGGGTTCCCAGCTCAGGTAAAGTTCTTATCATACGAGCAGGCGTTGCAGACTGACTGCAATATTGCATTGATTCGTGGACCTGATGACATCTGAGTGCGCTCAATTTGAGACAGATTCCGTGATCTGGGGGACGATGCATCGATCACGCTGCGTAAATGTGTTCTTCGAGTGCCACGGGGATCTTTATATAAGTCCGGGGTTGTGCTGGGAGCTGTACACACGTCAACATGTCCTGCCAGTGCGAGAGAGAGTGGAGAGAGAGGATGTGGAACGAGACGAGGAGGAGGAGGAGGCGGAGAGATTCGCACTCAGCAGGCGCGCGCGGAACTCACACGGCAGCTGGCGCATGCGCAGCTTCCTCTCGCTCACGGACGCACGGTTAGCAGCCAGGCTCGGACCCGCCATCACTCTCGCTCTCGGTGCTCGAATCCCCGTTGCCGCGCCACGGATTGCTGTCGACAACCTGTCTCGTTGACGATCTCGTGTCGGAATCCCCGTGAGTCTTCGGCCGCTCGCTCGCAGCACCATCTTTTCGCAGCTGGACGTCAAGGGGACGTGCATTGTGTGCTCTTCGCCTCCATATCTGGCCATTCGAGATTGCCATGATACATCTCGATCGGAATCATCCCTCTCCTATCGCTCACCATCCCAAAGGCAATTTGATTCTTGCAGATTCCAACCACGCTGATCAGCACCCAATCCTCTCTTGGTCAGCGCCCGCTCGTGACGACCGTGCTTTCTACCAAGACCACCAGGACCAGTTCCTGAAAGACATCTCTTCAAAGCCCGCCATACAGACCGAAAACCCCGCCATTGTCAAAGACGCTCCCTCCATTCCCTCCTCCGCCTTGGGGCCCGTTACCCCAGGCGACGCCGAAGACCCCAAACTCCCTGGTCCCTCACCCAGCAGCCCTGCTGATGCCCCTTCGCCCATCGCGGACAGCAGTTCTTCGCTTTCTCCACCGCCAGAGACTGCGACGCCCGCTCCAGCAGACCCCGACCCGGTCGATGGACCTGCACCGGAGATGACGGCGGAAGGGGCAGATGAGCGGCCGGTAGAGACACAGGGCGAGAGCAGCGGCGAGGTTGACAACGAGGTTGACAGAGCGTCGCGTCAGTCTACACCTCTCAGTGAGCTCTCATCTGCTCCAGACCTTGATGAGGACAGCGAGATGAAGGCTGCGGAGGAAGTCGCCCGACCGTCATCGAAGGATGGCACGACTGGTGATGCGTCTTCGCATGAGACAAAGGCCGCCCAAAAGCCTGCCCCAGTGAAGGCTCAGTCCGAGGCGTCTTTGTCAAAACCAGCGACTTCCGGAGAAGGCGCTGCACCAGCATCATCCTCCCTCCTGGCTAACGACCCTCCTGCGCAGTCTTCGACTGATCAGACCCCAGCGATTTCAGATGGTTTCCATAATTTGTCAAACCCAGCAGGCCCCCATGCTCAACATGTCTCCTTGCCTAATGACACCAGCCGACCGTCGAGTAGTCAGTTCCTATCTAGTATGCAACACCCACTACCCTTCTCCGGTCACCACGCTTCTACTTCTACGCTCGATCCCAAAGTCGTTGCGATCTTGGAGCTGAACATGCATTTACTGAGGTATGGTGCTTTCGGTTGCCAACCTGCATGATTTGTCTGAGACTTGGTGAAGTGTATGTATGGCATATCAATCCCAGGGAGTGGCGTTGGCGGAACCACGAATTCAGCAGTAAGTGTTGTACGATGTCCTGCCATTTCATCTTGTTTAAATAACTTGCGTGACAGGTATTCATCACGGCTACAGTCGAATTTGACCTGGCTTGCAGCCGCTGCAGACGAAAATCAGAAGGGGGTGCGTTCTCTCGCTTTTGCATCAACTCCTGACCGTTTACTAAATCCAAACATGAGCAGAGCCGGAGCGTAGTGGGCCTTCCTCACCTGCAACCTCCACCTGTGCTGGACTTTGGTCCGATGGAGCGGATACAGCAGATCTACTCAGAGTTGCCGACCATCTTCGCAAACGAGATCTCACGGAAACAGAACATGGGCGTCTCCACGAACACGCCTTTACTGCAGCTTCCCCTTCCCAATGGTAAGTTGAAGCGAGATCGACCAGACGAAGCGGCCTTGGATCCCTCCAACAAGCGGCGCGATACCGGTGAGACAAAGATACCAACCCCCATCATCCCCCCCACGCCGATGACCCATCAAACCCTACTACCCAACCTTGCGCCCCAGATAACAAGCCCAAATAGTATGCACCAGCTGCGCGCCGATTCGTCGGCTGCAATGAGGAGCCCCTCCATGCCACCGCCATCTGTCCCTTCAGCGTTGAACTCGAATGCGACCGAGGCGCAGCTCTTTGCTGCCCACACTCGACAAGTGCAAATGCGGCAGGCCATGCAGCAGCAACAGCAACATCAACAACAGCAACAGCAGCAACCGGCTGAGAGCAGTCGCCAGATGTCGCCTCTGCAACAGCAAGCGATGACAATGCCCAACATCGCAGGTCCCTCGTCGATGTCAGGCATGTCCCAACAGAACGCTGCCGCCTTGGCTGCTATTGGGCCACACGCAAGGCAGCATTTGCAGCTTCTACAGAACTACCCGAACCATCCAATGGTGCAGTACCTAGTGCAGCAGGTGCCTGGGTTCACGTCTCTCCCGTTGGCACAGCAATTGCAGAAAATGCACTTGGCACAGGTTAGCATATTTACGTGCGAAATTTGTTGGATGCTCACCATGCATTGTAGACGGCATTGCAGGCGCGGAACCAACAACAGCAGCAAAATCAACGGGCGGCCGCGCAACAGGCGTCAGCCGCTGCTGCAGGATTCCCCCAGGCGGGCATGTCGTCGTTTACCTCTGGTGGAATGGCATCGGGTCAAATGCCTCAGGGTGGCAGCCCCACACGCGTATCTCCTGTCTCGCAGCAGCACTCTCCCATACCAGGCGGGCAACAGCTTGGCGGATTTCCTTTCACAAACCACGGGCCAAATCAGCAGATGGACGTACGAACAGCGACTGCCGCTGCCGCCGCCGCAGGCTTCACGCCCCAGCAGCAGGCCGCCTTCGCGAGCATGACCCCCCAGCAGCGGCAGCTCTTTATGATGCAGCAGCAGATGATGCGGAGCGGGAACGCACCGAACCAGTCCATGATGAACCCGCAGATGATGGCTGCGGCCCAGGAACGTATGCGGCAGGAGCAACGGATGGTCCAAGCGGGCATGTCGCACCTCCCTGGTTCGCCCATGATGGATGGCGTAGGGTCGTTCCCTGCTCTTCGCTCTAACCCGAGTGTCCCTGGCATTGCTCGGAGTGCCCGAACCCCGTCAGATTCGGCGCCATCACCAGTCGCACAGCAGAGGCTGCCTGGTCAAGGACAAGACGACCTGCAGCGGGCGATGCTAATCCAACAGGCGCAGCGGGGCATGACACCTCATCTGCAGAATACGAGTGGCTTCCCACAGATGAACGGCGGGATGCTCAACCAGGGTTGGCCGCAGAATAATCAACAGCAGTCACAGATGTCCCACAACCTGGGCTCGTACGGGATGTCACCGCCGGGCAGTGCCAATCCCGCTCATGGCGGCGGTGGAGGGTTCGGCATGGGTGGTGGTGGTGGATTGCCAGGAGGCCTGCCGTCTCCTGCTGGTAGTAACCTCAGTCACGTCTGGACGCAAAATGCCGTGAACGGACAGTATCCGTACGTCGCAGCATCGCCTTCCGCGAGCCAGCATCATTCCGATCCTGGGATGACACCACGACAGGCGTCGGCGACGCCTGCCCCTCACATGCCACAAAATAGCCCTGGGGCCGATATGAGCGAGTTCGAACTGTTCAACTGGGGTCCATAGACTGTGGCGGTACTTAATTCATTCCTGGGCGATGTCGTCTGTCTAACACATACTTATGGACGGCCCCTCCTAGGCTCCTGAAACATGTATATGATCCCTCCTCACCTTTTTGGTTTTCTGCTTTGTCTGTCAATGTTTTTATGGCGTCATCGTCGCAGTCGTTTTCTTTTAATCTGTATCGTAGGAAGTTGATAGCTGTCAGTGTTATTGCAGTGATACCTAGTTGTTGTATGTCGATAATCTGCTATGGCGACTTGGGTTGCACCATCAACGACCTCCGGCTCCGACCCAACTCAGGTGGTATCTGCAGTTTCCCACCGGAGTCTCTATGTCTTTGACAAGTGGACGACGTGAACAGTCACTGTCAGGGGGATAGCGCGCGGCATTTTCTCCTGTCTTATAATTCGACCCATGCTTGCGGTGTAACTGTCAACTCGATACCCTTAGCTGTGGCACCAAACGACATGGTATTCACAAACTTGACATCCTCCGACAAGGATGCGTTCTTCGCACTCCTGGACGAGTTGAGTTGTCGAGATGGTAAGATTTGATGAGTGGAACTAATGGAGGTTGTCGTACTAGATATTTCTCATCACGACCTGATCTGCTGGGCGGCGCGGGCACGGGCCCAGCGAACTTAAACACGCCTGCAAACAGGGCCGTAGCAGCGTCTGCGGTGCATCATGTACTCTCCAATACCAGCCCACAGGACGCAGCGGCTGCTGTTAATCGCTGGAGGAAGCCAAGTCCGGCTGCGGATGCTTCGAACTCGGTGAGTCTCCCTGTATTGAATCTCACACCTGCGAAGTATAATTGATGTACGAAATGCTCAGGTGTCCAACTCTGATTCTATGGGCAGCTCTGTCGGTCGAGTTGCAGCAGCAGCAGCAGCTTTCCAGAACAGCAACTCCAGCACCATGGGGGGGCCACCCCGTCCACCTCCTCGCCGATCGCCGACCTCCGAGGAAGCCCCTCCCGAGCACAACAAACTCCTTCCGAACAGGGTGAGTCCCTCCTGTCCTTGCGTGAATTGAGCTCATCCTGCTTGCTCGCAGAAATTCGGCGACGTCGATCTCTCCTCGGGGAAGGCGATGTACTCCTCGCTCCGACACTCCGCGGCGGCCAAGTCCGCAACACCTCCCCAGGTAGCCCCTCCGACGCCCTCCGCGTTCCCGAAGAAGAAGACCAACTTCATCCCGCCGCCTGTTAGGCGTACAACTACCGCCGAGCCGTCTGCGACCTCGCCACCGCCGCCTCCCGCTCCACCGCCAAGGGAACGTCCAGATGAGGAGCCCGAAGGTGAGATCGCGGAGGCCTTGTACGATTTTACCAGCGAGGTGCCACTGTCTATGTGTCTACTTGTCAGTTCGACGGCTCATATCTGACATGACAGGATCCAGGAGATCTTGAACTCCAGGCTGGCGAGCGGGTCCTCATCGTTGAGAGGACATCTGATGATTGGTCAGTTTTCACATGTTCTTTGGGTCATCACGGTGTTGACGGAGCTGCAACCCGATTTCAGGTGGACTGGCGAGATTGCGGGCAGGAGGGGCCTCGTACCGGCCGCATATGTCAGGGTATATTGAATACGGAAGATTGACTTTCTCCATACTGATTGTCTACCCAAAAATGGCACAATGCGCTCTCAGGACCTTGATATCTCCTTGTGCTAGTGAGGAGCATGACTAGCGGTTGACAAGGTAGCTACGATATATTATTTGCTAGATGATACTTGGCAATATGATGAAGTTGCAATACCGTCTGCTGGCATGCGCATTCCTCGTTCCAGTGTTCTATGCCAGCCCTGTAGTTAAAGCAAGCTAGAAAAAATTGTCCCTCACTGGCTCATCCTGACCTACGACTCGCACTAGATGATAATCTGAACAGAGCGTTTTGTGAAGGTACTGACGTATGCGTCACCGTATACGTATTATCTTGTCTAACGTAGCTCCGAGTCAGATGTGATATCTCGAGAATAAAGCATACACCTTCCATAGACCACAACGGCTCATGACCATAAAATATTGTTGGCGATCTCGTAAGATACCGTACAGTTTGTAGTGAAATTGCCGCTTTAGACTGTTCCTGTACATAGTCCATCCAATCTAGACTATTCCACTGAACCTTCTGCCAGTGTATGGACATCTATTCAACGTGGACTCATCTGGTAACAACAACCACAATTAGAGGATCACTGACCGTTCGGTTCATAGGCAGGTTTCGGGATGCGCTTACGCCGTCAACAGTTCTTGTGTAGCACGACGACAGGGCACTCTTATGATTTGACGAGGAATGGATCCTTTGATAATTTCTGCGGATGTAAATTTCACCGGTCAGAAACACAATTCAGTGTGCGATCCAATTTCTGTGCCTCGTGAACGCGTTTCGACGTAGTCCGTTCCCGCAAGTTGTACATCTCAGGTACATCTTCCGAGTCAGGGTTGTCGTACCTCGCGCTACAAACGTATATCAAACGCCCAGTTCACTGCTACTTGATGAATTGTCGGTTCATCGTTTATTCGACTTGCGCGTCTTGTATCTCAAAGCCTGACGCGTAGGCCCAGCGAAGTCCTGGTGCGGTGGCGAGCAATTGAACATGGCGGACACTTGGTCGTATGGTGTATTATTCAACGAGGCATAAAGGATTTAAGCATGATTTCGGCCGAGGCAGGGCTCTCCCACTGTACAATGATTGTATATGAGCAATGCAAGTTTCTGAGTCAGGCGCCGTAAAGCTCACCACAACCAATCTAACTGAGCGAAAATTTACGAGTTGCCGACAGAAGCACCGGGAACTCTATCGGTCGCACCGCTTGACGAATTTCCCTATATTTCGACTGACGGTAGGTCCTAGGACTATTCTCTCCGTTTGCTGGCCGGCGAATGGTCTGAGACCGAAGGCTCTCGGCCTCAGCTGTCAGCCCCGTCTCAGTCAGTAATCGAACTGCAAGATATAAGACGGCAAATACACAATTAAATCGCTCCTTCGTTGTATCCTACTTCCAACTTTCTCTGCTTCCGTTATACTTGAATTTCTCAGCGCGTGACCGAGACGCGACGTTGACGCGCCGCTTTTGTTTGTTTGTTCGGCGACTATAAAGCATTCAAACCAAGCGCTGGTTCTCCCTCTCCCTTCGTTTCTGTCTTTTTATTTTATGTTCGTCCTCGACGGGCGTCCCCACCTCTAACATACCCCACTCTCTCTCATATCATACAACATAATGTCCAGTCGTCATCCCGGTTCCCTCGTCCCGAAGTCGTTGCACAGCCCCGCCCTCATCAATCTCATGCGTCAGCCCGTCAACCTGGAGATGATCCGTCACATAGTTCTCCAGACTATGCGGGTCATTCAGCTAGCTGATGATCCTGATGTCTTGCCGACACCTCCGCATACCCCGCTTAGGACGACGTTCAACGAGCACGAGTTGCAGACCCATTCTCCAGCCTCCCTGCCGTCGCTCCAGAACTTCATTATCATGATCGTGAAGTCGTCCAATGTGCAGGCGCCAACTCTGCTGACTACGCTGGTCTACCTGGAACGCCTGCGGTCGAAGCTTCCTAAGGTGGCCAAGGGTCAGTACCGTCTCCGCCCCGAGCTCTGTCGCTGACGTTCGTATTCGGTTGATCGGATAGGCATGGCTTGCACAAGACATCGGGTGTTCCTCGCAACTCTCATCGTTGCCGCAAAGTATCTCAACGATTCGTCACCGAAGAACAAATGCTGGGGCGAATACGCTGCTCTCTTTGACCTCAAGGAGATCAACCTCATGGAGATGCAGATGCTCTACCTGCTGGACTACGACCTCAGATTCAGCGAACAAGAGGCTCTCGCTCAGTTCTCCGCCCTCCTGCCTCGTCTCTCGAGCGGTCAGTCGACGCGGGAAACACGCGCTGCTGCTGTCAGCCGTGCCAAGGCTCGAGTACAGGCGCACATACCTCTGCCGCCAACGCCTCCGCACGACGCTACTGGTCTGCCGCTTCCTTCTCCAGCGGGCTCCTTGTCTGGTGTGCAGAATCTCATGAAGCGTCTCTCTTCTACGTATCTAGGTGTCCCTTCTACTGGCAGCACTCTGCACTCTCGTGGTCCGCCTAGCGCATCCTCGACCTGCGCTTCTTCTGACGGGGCAAGTACCTGTGGTGACTCCGAGGCGGGCTCTCTCACGTCGGACAGTGGCTCCTCTTCCCCTTCGTCATCGGAACTGTCGTCCGAATACGAAGTCGAGCCGAAGGACTCCGTGGGATCAGAGTTCACGGAGCGCAAGTTTGTAATGCAACCCGTACCTGCGTATGCACTCAGGCAGGGTCGCAAAGTCTCGACCGCCTCGACATGCACCGTCAGATCGGACGCCACTGTCTCTTCGCTGAAGTCGTCCAGCATCAAGGCATCTCAGCCGCCTTCACCGTCGTTGGCCTCTGGCGATACCCTCTCAAGCACCGCGTCCGCATTTGGTGCTGGCAGAGGTGGCTCCGTGCGGTGCAACACGTTTGGCTACGCACAGGTACAGCGCGATGGCTCCCCGCTGGTCGCTAGCGCGACAATGCCTGTGATCCCTCGCAACGTAACTGCCCCCACTGGCGGATTTTTGAGCCGTATGTGGGGCGCTGCCGTCAAGGGCCAAGACAAAGACAAGGATAGTGCCGACGCCTCGGAAGCGTCCTCGGAAGCTCATGGGACGGGCAGCACGTTCCGGAGACTCGCGCACTCGAAGTCAGCACTCTTCCGAAGCCAGCATGTGCACCAAGTAGGTGCTTAGAGATCCCGCTCACGACACGAGACGCAGGCATGAACCACGACTACGACTGGACATGGACGCTATGCCCACACACGCCCACCGCTCGTTCTCTTTACGACTTTCCTCTTTCTTTCTGCTGGACATGGCCTACGGACCTCTTGTTTTGGATTCTTGTGTTTTGTTGTGTTCTTGGACTTGCCGGACAGCCTACCCCCACCCAACACCCTCCTTTCGTTTAGTTCAGTGCGCTTGATCCTTTTTGATCTACCATATACCCTACCTCCATCCCCTGTTCCCTGCCGTTGTGCTCGGACTTTGTGAGCCATGGACACGTACTATAGCCCCAATCCTGTATATCCCCATTACTGTAGAGGATACCCAGGCCGGACATGTAACATGGACATAAACCTTGCGTGAATCTCAGAGTATTATATAAGTACGTGGTCCTGATATATGTATGGCATGGTCCGCCAAAGCTTCAGCAGCGCAAAGGACGAGTACTCGTATTTGGGCGTACATTATATTCATCAACGCTCGCTCAAACCACAGGGGTTGCTTTGGGTTGAAGTTTGCATGCTATTAGTACAACAACACATTCGTTACATCGCGAAAGACCACCGAAGGCTGGAACCATTGATGCAGACTTTGCCCCGTAACAATTCAGGTCACAGTTTGTCTGCCACAACTCTCAGACCAGGTATCTCTTATGCCTGATGAGACTCCCAAGGAATTGGTTTAACTCCTGCACGGTCATGGGGCGGAGCGGGGGCTCGTCCTCCGGTTTGCATCTGAGCAAATCTTCTAGCTCCCGTAAGGCCTCCTCCGACGGTGCAGGGCGCCCCTCCGCAGTCGTGATGCGCACGAATCCGTGGAGGTCGTGCATCTCCCACTCCTGGGTAGGCGGCGCAGCGGGGTCCCTCTCGTCCTTGGACGGGTCCTCCCACTTGCCCGGTTCCGGCAGTGCCGGGACGTCGGAAGATTCAGCCTTTTCGCGCGCTGGTAGATATACATAATTACTTTGTCTCCTTAGGATCGGCGTACTTACCTTCTGCAGGCAAGTTACGGCGGGGCGTCAGGCGGAGGAAACACCATGTTTTCGGCCTGCCAGGCAGCGTTAAGTTGAAGAGGAACGCCCAGCCGGGCTGCGGATCCATGAGGACGTCTACATCCAGAGTAGGCAGCGCCACGACACTGCGCGCTCCCCAGGGCACGCCGACCGCCCGGGGGCGTCCAGTTGCGGCGGCCTGGAACGCGGTTGCGCCGTACAGGCCGAAACCACTGTCATCGTAGCTCAGGCCGCTGCGGAGGACGTCCGTGAGTGCGTTCACGACCCCCGCGGGAGTGAAGAGCGGGAGGGAGCACCCGCGGATCATGGGCATTGTATGTGTGTGGTTCGTCATGAAGGAAAAAGTGATCGGGTATGGAGGCGGCTCTTGGAGGGTAAGGACGGAAGGGTGCATGAGTGCCTCCACACGGTAGAATAGCTTCGGTTGCGAGCGCATGAGCTTGTAGAGATCGTCGTCCTCGACGGCCGGGCAGCCCATGAGAACGAGGCGCTTCAGCCCAGGGACAGCACTCAGAATCTCCCGAATGGTGTCAGCGGTTACTCGAGGATTGAATGAGAGATTGAGAGACTCCAGTCTCTCAAGCTGCGAGACCATCCGGACAATCTGCTCATGAGAAAGGTCGAAGTCAGTAAGATCAACAGACACTGTTTCCTGCAGCCCCTCGAGAACCTTCACCAAGAGAGACACGGCTGCGTCTGGAAAGGGGGATTTCTCTTGGAGTAGAGCTTTCATGTCGGTAGCTATCTTGCCCGGCAGCCAGAGCATCGTCTCTAGTCCGCTGGTGTCACCGATTTTAATCGCATGATCCACGGCGGGCGCTAGCGACATCGTAGCGAGTGAGGGTATAATGGCGTCGTTCTCGGTGAACAGCGCAGACTCTGAGTTTGCTTCAGTATCTGTAGGTACGGTAATCCTGGCAGACTCACTTTTCTTCTTCAGATCGTTCCCGAACTCGTCTGGCCATGCCTCGGCTAGCATTTCCAGTGTGACCATGTTCTCGCCATCCAAGAGCGCTATCTTGGCGAGAATGTCCTCTTCGAGAAGCCTGTCCTTCTCACTCTCCATACTTTTGGGTACCGCGTAGTATATCCGCACGTACTGCTCCGCCGACAGCGGTCCGTTCGACTCTGAGTCTAGGTTGACAAAGCAATACGCAGGGTGCTCCGGATCCGTGACATCGATCACGGAGATCCCGTCGTCGTTGTCTGTTCAAATAGTCTGTCTATAGCCACCAAACGGGAGTATGACGGAAACTAACCGTTGTCCCAACATCCCATCTCGGCGGACAGGAGGTTGTGCATGAATGTGACACCACTGAAATACGCATCGTATCCCTTGGCGAGGTCGACGTCCCAACTAGCACCCAGGAGGAAGGCCGTAAACGGACACGGAACTGCAGGGAACTGCAGGCCTTCACCGGCACCCTGGTTCAGGGTGCGGATTTCCGCGCGCACGATCTCTGCGTTTTCCTTCTGCTTCACCAGCGTCAGGAAACGATGTGTGGCGCGCAGCGGCAGACGACCGTAGCACCATTGGTTGTGGTAAGCGGCGATGCAGCGGTACTTGGGCAATTCATTCCGAGGACTGCACGAACGCACTCGGGCAATGACGAAAGCCTGATGTCTCTGGCCCATGTCGATGATTCTTCAATGAGGCAGGCTCAAGGTGCGGGTCTCTGAGAAAGAGGATCGATGGGGAGACAGACGCTCATACCACTGGTGTTTGGCTCTCTATTAGCGTCTGTGTGTCCCTTCTTTCTAACCATGTGCTGACACGATGACCAGGCTTATACAAGAGGAGGAAGAGAAATAAACGTCTTGAAGCCAAGTTTTATTCTAACCCTAACCCGAATTTGATCCGCCTCGACGCCATGGGGCTGATCACAGCAACCGGTGCCAACGGGAACCCCGTATTACGCTGCGAGGATAGATGTGTTTAAAGAACTTGAACGCTTTCAGAAAAAAGATTATGCTTACATAATCACGGACAGAATTTGAAGGGAGAGTCGGATGCATTGTTCTCCACTGATATCAGGCATCGGGAATGTTTCGGCTACAAACAAGACCGAGTGCGAGTTGCTTTAGAGACCGTGGCGCGACGCGGCCACGTGACACGTGTAAGTGGAGCATTTTCTCACTGCGTAAAATCCCTCAAACATTGTCAAATGAACATTGCGGAATATTCGAACGAGTACTCGTAGAGTATTTTATGTGTATTTAATGCAATCGTACTTGGCCGTACTTGCCAGCAGAGCTGCGCCTAAGCGCGTCTTTCAAGTCGCGACTAAGGCACGTGACACGTGCCCCGCGCTTGAAGCCGCCAGACCGCGGCGCGGCCAGCACTGGATCCTATGTACGTGTCCTGCACTGCGGCCTGCACGATGAGCCTGCTTAGGCTGATCATCCTTCAACTTTGTCCGCACAAACAATGAGCACGAAATCCCAGTATATTATTCGAAGTGTATCCTTTGCCTTGCTCGCAGATTGGACCACCACACTGACTCTGATTTTTGGGGGTTGTTGCAGGTGCGTGTTTGCCGATGGGCAGGCAGTACAGGCTATTGAGACAAGTTTTGCTGAGATGCTTTTTTTTAGCAATGCTCTGACTCTCGAGCAGGTCATCAGCGAGTATCCGCGGGCGGGTACATTGATCACGTTTATCCAGTTCCTGCTCATCTCTGCTCACGGGCTGACGAAGTTTGTGGAATTTACGCCATACCCACGTCTCAAGCAGCGCCAAATACCACTTTCCCCATACCTTCTCCAAGTTTTCCTCTTCTATGTGCTTTCTATGTTGAATAATGCTGCATTCGGCTACAACATCCCCATGCCTGTACATATCATATTTCGCAGCGGTGGACTCGTTGTCAGTATGCTTTTGGGTTGGCTTTTGCTTGGGCGGAGGTAAGCTAATTTCCAGATGAAAGTGGAATATTTTTTAGGTTCGTGTACAGGTATAATATCACACAAGTTAGCTCAGTTTTGCTCGTCACGGCCGGTGTGCTCCTCACAACGCTATCCGCCTCGCACCCCAAATCTCCCGGCACCGCCGCGCGGAGCACCGAAGGACAATCCGAGGTCCACGTACGCGAGTATGCTACGGGCATCCTGTTCATGACCACAGCGCTCTTCCTGGGCGGCTTCCTTGGGATCGTCCAGGACCGGACGTACGCACGCTACGGGCGGCACCGCCCTGCGAAGGCAGCGAGCAACGACCCGAAGGGGAAATTGAAATCGAAGGCAGACACTACAGAGACCTGGCAAGAGTCCATGTTCTACCTGCACTTCCTCTCACTCCCGCTTTTCCTCTTCGTCCGGCACGACCTTGTCGCGCAGGTCAGCGCGCTCAACGCTGGACCCGCGTACACCTTCGTGCTCCCGTTTCCCCTCCCCTACGCGGTGAAGCTCCCTGGACCCGCGCAGCTCGCACTCCCAGCGATCTACTTCCCGCTTCTGCTGAACACCGTGACGCAGCTCCTGTGCGTCGCGGGCGTGAATCGCCTCACCGCGCGCGTGTCGTCACTCACCGTCACACTCGTGCTCGTCGTGCGCAAGGCGGTGTCGCTCGTGATCAGCGTTATGCTCTTCAGTGCTACGCGGCGTAGAGATATGGACAGCCGCGAGAAGCGCATGTTGTGGACCGGGGCACTGCTGGTGTTCATCGGAACTGTGGGGTATTCGATTGGGAATGGATGGAAGTCGCAGCGAAAGCCGGAGGGAAAGGATAAGAAGCAATAGGCAGGACTCTTTCTAAAGGAATGGCCGTCTTCTGTAGGAAAGAAGATCAAGTCCATCTATGAGGGAATTTAACACAATTTTAGACGCCTTGACACTCAGTGGAACTGTTCGTCAACTGTTCGTATCGTACACGCGCTTGAAGTGGTCAATAGACTTGACAGCAGATACGATGTTCGTTGCAAAGATAGAGTATGAGTTGAATGTGTAAGTGGAGGAATCGAATAGAGATTCAACAGATAGCAATGTAATAGCGAAGTGAACAATGCAATATAAACAGGGAAGATTGATCTACTGATATAAAAAAGTATACAAGACATCTCAGTCAAAGCAAGGCGGCGCACGACAGCGGAAGAGAGGAAAGAGCGACTCACACATGACATGCATATTACATACAAGCAAGAGAACATAGCGATCCGCGAGAAAAACATACGAAGAGCAACGAGGCATGGAAAGATGACTCCTCGGAGGCGAGCGGACCACCGACTCGCATGGCTGAGACTCTGAGAGAGTCCGGTATACCAACATCGAGGCTCCATATCGGCTTCTGAGCTCGAGGCAGCACGGTCGTGCACGATCACCAAATCACGACGAGAGCCAGTGCATTGGTGTGTGAAGGTGGGGGGGCCGTCCGCAATCTTCCAGTCACTTCAGTTGCTGGGGTCTCCATCGTGCCCGCCGTCGGCGACTCGAACCATAGGAACTCCTCCGGCCCCGGAGGTAGCAGTATCCACCTTGGAACAATCGCAGATAGAATATAATTATTGATTCTGACAAGAGAAGAACTAGTTATGCTACGGCCGTGGCCACTCACACCTCCTGTCCTATTGTGATGTTCCACGTCTTCTTGAACAGATCCACGGCGGGATCCGAAGGGCCAGTTTTGGAGAGGCAGAGCGCCTCGAGGGTTTGGGTGTAATTGCGGAGGTAGGGGGCGAACTAAAAGGGATGGATCAGCATGGCGGTCATGCGGGACAAAGCTGGCCGAGGAACATTATGCAGGAAAGTTGCGATGACTCACCGCCCTGCTAAAATGCCTGTACCAACACCATGTCTCCCAGGCCTCCCATTCAGCTTCGCTCCAATTGGCACGATTGTGCCAGGCCCTCTCCGTGGCGACCTCGCTAGCCTTCGCGTTCGGATGTGATGCTGAAGCGAGACCCTCAACGAAGCATTCCACGGTGCGGACGATGGCGGCCTTCTGCTCCCGGCTGAGTGTCTCGAAGGCTCGAAGCGCGGTGGTTAGAGCAGGGGACTCAACCGCGGGAATGGTATCTAGAGGGGACGAAATAGCATGAGTTCTGCATTCATCGGATTTCTCCCCGACAGACCTGGTTGGGCGGCGGTATCCACATCCATGGACGCCATTGTCGCGGCCGCATTATCGTCGGCCTCCTTCCGCAATTGCGTGACCCGCCGGCGGGCAACCATGACTCGCCCGTTGGCCTTCTCTAGTGCACCCTTAAGGATGTCCCACTGGAACGCATCAAACACAAATTGGGCTGCAGTTGCCGAATGCAACCCTCCACGGGTGAAGGTCCAGGACACCACATCCGTTGGGTCGACGATCTGATACTGCATCAGCTTGTCAAAGACAATCACCACCATGTGCTTGCTCCGCTTCCAAAACGATGCGACGGCGCTGAGGATATCCATCCTGGCCTCCGTGTTGGAGCCACCGCCGGTGCTCGATATTCCGCCCGAGGCCAGGTTGCGGAGGAGAGATATGTAGCGCTCGATCGCGTTAAGGAAGTGAGAGAACGATCTTGAGCCGATGTGGAGCAGCGACTGGACTGCAATTGAGCGGATCACACAGTCGGTGTTGACCTCCCCTTCAGCGCTCTCTGCCAGTGAGTTCTTCAGCGTTCCGAGTAGCTCAATGACGTCCTCCGCCTTCGTACGACCGCGTAGGAGATTCAGCACTGTCTGGGCGGCTTCATGATGAGGCTTGCCTGTATCATCCCGTCAGAAGGACTTTTCATCAATAATGGAACCAACATACCGGGGTCGTCATATTCGTAATCTGGACCTGGGGCCTCCATTGGCATAACAGCAGCATCGGCGCCTTGCATCGGCTCAGGCAGAGTCTTCAGTATCCGATCGTAGTACGAGAGCCGAATTTCAAACTCGACTACTCGCCGCATGAACACACGCTTTGGATGGTGAACCGATAGAGAAAGGTCGGGGATCCTGCACAATAAGGAAATATCAGTGAGCTACGTTTTTCGTCATACCATGCGATGCAGTGGCAAACAAGGTGTGATGATTACCATTCTTTCCAAACCCAGGCGAAGTTGAAGTTACTCATGTGCACAGAGAACCAGTCGGCCAAGCGATGCGAGACCTCGACATCTAGTCCGTCGGCCAAGAGAGCATACAGTTTGCGTATTGACTTGCCAACAGCAGGTCCAGCTGTCGGTGGAGACAGCTTGCACAGTTCAGTGATCAGAGCAATATAATAGATCGACCTGTGCTGTGATTCTGGAAGGAGGAACACGGAACCCAGGATAGTCTGCGACGGAACACCCAAGGAGGCTTGAGCAGAGCTTACTGAGTTGATTGGAAGTTGAACTGACCTCAATGACGGTACTCTCCAGTTGCCAGTCCTTTCCGGGTACGGGCTCCTGGGGAGGCGCGCCCGGCGTTGGCTTGAATGTACCGGGTAGCGTCCATTTCGGAAATTCCAGCAGTAACCGTGCACACTCTTTCCGGTTTACCTCAAAGACGTCGATCAGGTCAATCAGACCAGAACGTAACGCATACCCCACGGGCGTTGTCGGATCCGGCGTCACCTAGAACTCCCGGTGAATATCGTGTGAGCACTACGCCAGATAAGACACATACATCGTTGTCGAACAGGCGGACATAGTATTGTGGCCATTGCTCCTTCTCCACCCGTGCGTCGTCGTTTGTCTCTGCTGGCAGGTCGTCCACGTCGGGAGCAACCAAGATAGATCGCAGCTCGAACCGTGGTTCGCTAATAGCAGGGTAGCGCGAGTATGGCTGCGGGAAGGTGTTCGTGGTCTCTGCAAAGTCAGAAGCCTGCAGAGCCTTGAGCACAGTAAGCGCCGAATCTAACAACTGCCATGGTGTCAAAATCACCAAAAGCCTGTCAGATTCTACGTGATTATCACCTCGTCAGCATTTTCTATGGCTGTAGAATCCCCATAAAGCTTGACTATAGGTTGCACAAGTAGCTTGGACTTGGAAATCGACTCGGTGTAAGCGGTAATTGAATCAATAATCTCGGACACCCTGGAAGAATCTTCCTTGATGACGGGGCCTGCCTAAATTGGAGACCGGGTCAACGCGGTCTGAGAAGTGTGTATACAAAGAACTCACTATCATAAGGCCTTCCGCGGCACAGAATGCTGCGTTCCGAGCCCGACTATTGGCAAGGTTCAACTCCTCCAGTACGGCAGTGAACGACTTTAACAGCTCGAACATGGACTGTGGAGTGACAATATTTGCTACCGTCAAATGCGCAAAAAAGTGGATCTGGACTATTGTTCAACCAGGGCCACAGGATCCCAGAACACTGAACTCACGCAAAGGCGAATTTCTCTCCATGCGAGACCATCGAGGAATGCTTGAAAACCCCTCCAGAACTCTTCCAGCACCTGCTGTCCTAGAGACGAGCCACTGGCATCAGTAGTAGATTCCTCCGACGCTTCATATAGATCACGGAGTAAAGCTGCATAGTAAGGGATCTTGAACGGTTGCTCTGTTACACTTTTTGACACGGCAAGTTAGGTCGGGTCAGTGCTCATGTAAACAAACGTACCTTATCCACAGGTTCTCTGCGATGGCTCGAATACCGAGCACAGCATTCGCCCGAATTTCTTTCGAAACCTTAGGAATCTCCTCTATGGGATCCTACGGAGGGTGTGGAGTTGTATGCGAAGTATCTGAGTACTGAATAGACTCACCACTTCGCCTAGTGTGATGATAGTCCTCCTAAGCTTCTTCTCTGGAGTGTCGTACACTTCCCGTCGGTTGTCATAGTCATCTGCACCTAACCAGCCGTTGCCGCGCAATGTCACTTGCAATAGTCGTGTTTTCCTCACCTCTGTAGTTCCGTCGCCGGTGACCTCCATGGTGGTTACTCATTTTTTCAATGTGTGAACACACGGAAGTTCAATTGAAAACCGAGCACCAGACTGATGTCTGCGGCCAACGTCGGTAACGGACCAACTCACGAACGTGACGAGCGAGTTATATTGCTGGTGTTGTAGTTACTCTCCCACGCTGCCTCCTATACAATATTTTGTACTTTACAGGTTTATCTTCTGCATGAGGACTTTGGAGAATATAGAGAATAGATGCTGTATTTTTTGGTGGACATCTGATGCTTCGATTCGTGTCAAGTAGTGGTGGCCAGGCTCTTGAGTGGAAGGGCTAGCCGACAACCAGCGTTTGTGCAACCTCGCGACTTGCCCCGACCAACTCAACCGCTGCAAGCGTTTCATCCTCAGCAACGCGCTCCCCTCGTCGGAGCTCTTGGGCTGGTGTGGTGAGTGCTATTTTATGCGCGACAACTGCAGAAGTTCTTAGGGGTTTCTTGTCACAGGTATGCGCGGCACATGCAATGCAATTGGTCGACAGCGGCCAATATCATCCCCAGGCTCGGGAGTATCATTCGCCATAGCTCGTTCACAACCACCAGTCTCCACAAGTCGCGAACACCCTTGGGCTCTTTTTTTGAGCAGCCGAAACCGCGAAGTGACTGCTGGAATCGCTGCCGCATCAATGCATCCGCACTGTTGTTCACATTCGCGCCGAGCCGCGCGTCCGCTGCTCTTGCCATACGACAAGACATTCCCTCCCCACCTGCGAACACTATTTCCGCGTCGGAGAGTGCGATTGCCTCGACATCATTGACGGCAGCCCAGCTGTCGCGTGCCGCTGCGCAGGCTGCCCGTCTTTGCGTAAAGGACGGAAAGGTCGGGGATGCCTTATACCTCATCCACTCTCTTCATCACTCTTTATACCACGGGCCGTGGAAGTCTGATAGTCATCGATCCAAGAGCAACACACACCGCTCGAAGGCTTCGCAACCACCTCTACAGCCTATCGACTTTGGGCAACCGGTATCTCTCCGGCTGACCGCGCACTCCTTTCTGCATGGAATGATACGTGCTGGATATCACAAGAAGGCGGCGAAATACGCGGAAATCATGATGGCGAATGGCCTGCGCATCCGGAGCACTACGATGGAGTCCATCGTAGCTTCCCTCACGACTGCCGACAGTGTTCTCAACGGCGTAACTTCAAAATTATCCCGCAACCGCTTGCGACTGCCTGATGGGCCTGAGGTGTTGCAGCTGCGGGCCAACATGATTGGGGATCGGTGCACGCGGGTTGCGTTTGACCTCCTGTCTGAGGCTCGCGCATTCGGGCAGCATCGTACGAAGCGGATGTATGACCGGCTCATCAGCACGCTTCTCATGCAAGGCGAAATTATCGTCGGGTCTCTTCTGTTCGTTCTGTTGGTGAAGGATTGGGAACTGCAGCAGGCCAAGGCCGATGCTCTCCAAGCCAGTAATGGTGGCATGAAAAACTCCGCAGTTGAGGCGTGTCATAGGAGGGTTCTGAGGTTATCTCCGAAGGATGCTCCGCTGAGCACGCCTTATCCTGCTCTGGAGATGATGCGCGTCATCCTGAAGCAAATCGACAATACGTTGTCTCGAGACCCTCAGGGTCCAGAAGATCAATCGTATTTAAGGGCGCCACTACAGGCCCTAGCAAACCTGGCGATACTTCTCGATACGGGTCAATTTCGTGTGGGCAACCTGTCACCTCTGATCCGATCACTATACTCTTGTCCCAAAACTGATGAATCTGTATGGATAGTTCGTGACGGCAAGCCGACTCGTGTCCTCGCTCATACCTACTTTCGAGATGTCTTATCGCGTCTGCTCGAGTCATTGAAGGGCAACGCCCCGCAACGATCAGTGCGACTTGATCTCCGGTCGTACAACACGTTGTTGTCTTACTCCCTCCGCTACCGACTTTCTCCTGCCCTTGCCTCACAGGTGCTGGAACATATGTGTGTCAAAAGGGAGCCTCCGTTTATCCCTGATGTTGTCACATACAATATCCTCCTGCGTTCCGGAACGCTGTTGCGGAGAATAGACATCAGTGACGCTGCGCTTCGTGTACTGCGTAACTCCACGATGAAGTCACTGCAAGAGCCTACAGTGAAGCCTCTAGCGAAGGGTCCCAGCGGTAAAACTCCGAATCCTGCGGCCGCTATAGCTCCATTGATAAAATCTCCTGTGCGGTCACGCTTAGGACCGGCATTGCAGCGACTTCAAATGGAGCCTCTTAATATGACGCTGAAAGACGGCACAGAGCTGAACTTCGATTTAACTGCGGACGCCTACACGCTTTCCAGCTATGTGACGCACTTGACGTCCATTGGAATGAACCGCGTCATCGCGAAGCTGCTCTTCGATATTCTCCCGGAGTTGCAGATTGTGGACCACCCGTCGTGGGGTAACCTGACACGCCAGGATCGCCGGCTGCTTAAACACAACTCTCGTCAAGCATGTCTCCGGCGCGCTGTCGAATATGGGCCGTACGTCTTTGCCGCTATCCTCAACGCGCTCAGGAAGGCGGGCCAGACCGGGCTGGCAGAGCGAGTGTGGTTCCTGGCGAAGCAGGCGGAGCATGCGAGTTGGGTCCCTGAATTCGCCCCCGAGATTCGGCCGTGGTGTCTACCTGTGCACGCATATACATCTATGATGCAGTGCTATGCAGCGGAGTGCAGGAAGGGTTTCCATACGCGCCGCCGGACCTACCGTACTTTGCAGCATGGCGAAGAGTCGGAACTGTGGAAGCCGAGGACCACTCATCGTCTCACTGGGTGGGCACATTTTGTTCTGAAGCGGCAGCGTCTCAGGCTCGCGGCCAACAAGCGCAGACAATTTCACTTGCCCGCACGGAGGTTGCAGTCAGAGCTATATAAGTGCATGATGTCTGGAGGGTGGATGATCTACAATGCACTGTTCTCGTTCAACAACGTGAAATGTCCCTCTAACGTCCAGGCACCATCTGCAGATGCCCGGTTTTTTAATGCCGCTCTCGAGCTGTTCGGCCGACAGCCGCACATGTACGCGCGCGCGAGACGCAGCACTGGTTCCCATTGGAAGAGCAGACTTGGAGCCGCCCGTACACGATATTTACGTTACGGTCGCTTGTCTCCTCGTTGGACACCCATGCTGGATACACTCGCAAAGGCCATGGTTGCTGCAGGATTCTCGGTGCCCCTGGGCTTCCGCGAGGTTTTCATCGGTCGTTGGTCTCCTGGTACTTTGTCTTTGGGCCGTCAGGTCCATCCGCTGGATCGCCGTCCCGATACTTTTCCTCCTGTGCGCGCGGCATTTCGACCACACGCCTTACCTGTTGTACGGACTCGAGGTCTTCCATTGAGGCGTAGAGGGCGTACGCGCAAGAGGAATGCCAACGTAGAAGTAATTTAATCCGCATTGTATAAACCAGTATCTAGGTGGACGACAAAAGTAACGCACTCCAATAATGTCACAACTATGATCGTTTTGCTCGTTTCTGCGCGTATGAGGACACGGCGGGCTTCTCCGTCTCCTGCTGTGGTCGCTGCGGTAACGGCGGCGGCAGGTTGTGACCTTGAAAATAAAGCGATGTGGTATGTTTGTTTGCTTTGCGCGGCCTCCACTCAGCACCCGCTTCTGCCAACGAGCTGATCGTCTCCTGCACCCGTGCCTCCATTTCCTCTGGAGTCAGCTGAGGTTGGTCCTTCCGGCGTGCGTAGATCAAAGTCACCCTGTTCCCCTTCTCCAGCTCCTGTCGCGCTTTGTCGAGCTTGTGGTCAAAGTCGCCCAACGAAACACCCCACGTCATCATGATCTCCTTCTCCTCCCTGGGCCTCGGCTGCACCCTCTTCTTTTCCTCCTGCGCTTTGCGTTTCAAGTATTCGTCGCGCATGTTCACGAGTTTGACGATAGGTTCGGGATGCTCAGTGACAAGCTCCACAGCAAAAAGGGTGAGATCTGTGCGCCGCAGGATCTCGGATAGCTCTTCGGCAGGTTCCAAGTGAGACGTCTCCGGATTGACCATTCGGACGACCCGGTGCTCGATCTGCTGGTTCCGCGGACGACCTTTGACGCCCTTTGACGAAGATTTGGTTGGCGCTTTTGAGGCGTTACGAGTCGTCTGATAGAATACTGGGAGGTCTATTCTCGACGAGGACGCGAGACACGACTGGCGAGGGCAGACGAGCGACCTCGTCGTCACTCGGAAAACCGAAGCCATTTCTGTAAAAAATTCTTGGATTAGTCACAAACAACAGACGGTCGTAAAATGATGAACGGAATGCGTACATTGTGTTCCTCAGACCCAGCGGGCGGATGTACGGACTTTGCGAAGCACACAGCTGGGTGTTTGGCACTGTTTGCGTTTTTCTCAGTTAGGCCCATTCAACGCCAGGACGATATCTACAGAAAGTAGTGCTTTCGGTCAAATTTCGGACCTCAAATTGATACCCGCCCCTAAAGGAGCCCAATAGAACTTGAATAGCAACAATGCTGATGCCCCGCCGCGTGACGGTCTGACATCTTAGAGGAAATCCCACGCTGAGGTTGTTTGATGACTCTCTGAAATGCCACAATCCAAGCTCTAAACTGGCCCGCTCGGTCACCTATATCCCCTCGCCTTGTTACTATGAGCTTGGCGTCGGTCGCCGCAAGTCAACGTCGTCAGCCTCAGCCACGTCTCTTCATGCAGTCTTCCTTTCGCTTACGTGTATATGTTCAGCCGACACACTGATGACTTCCATGGACCCATTCATCGCCTAACCGGCCTGAATTGTGATGAGGTGTGAGCTCCATTGCCCATTAATTGGTTGTAAAGTAGACAGCTGACACACTATTGTCGTGCGATGTCTGTGTGTGTGTGTGTACACCCACTACGCCAGCACACCTTCTCATGCCTGTATATTGGCTGTTCCAGGAGGGCCACTTGGACCGGCTGTTTTTCTGCGGCCGCTCTGTGGGCGTTGCGTGTCATGCGCCTGCTACTCCGAGTGAACACCACCCGAGAAAGGCACCGGTGAAACGTACACCTTGAGCAAGTCCAACTTGGCCAAATGCTCCGCGAGCCTCGCGGCTCCTTCGAACGTTATCTTCACCACTTCCTCGGACAATTTGCAAGAAGCGGTGGCAGCATGACGGTAGTATGACGTGAATACTTCGTCGGTCCATGCGATTTTTTCATCGCGGCGGTTGCGAGTACGTGTCGGCCATCGGCTGAGACGCGTCGCGGTCACATGCTGATGTATATCTGCGCACGTGAGCGCATCACCGTTTGACGCGGCTACTGTGAGTAGTCTGAGTGCCATGCAGTGCACACGCGGGCATTGCGGGTGCGAATTTCTGGATTTGGGCGCCCGCGATTCACTCCGACATGCTGGTGCGAAAATGCTGGCGTGGAAGTATACACGAACATGAAACTACGCGGTGGGGGCTCTGCGATGATGGGCATGCTCGGAGATTCGTGCCACGCGGTCAGCCCTTGTAAACTATTCAACAGATGATATATCTTGATTTCACCACGGTATCTGGTCGTCAAAGAGTCCTGGGAGAGCAGCGTCGTACGTGCAACCGGCATTGGACGATGTCGAATACCATGAACAAATAATCTAATACATGAGATATCAACAAATCCACTCGATCAAGAAGTCATCAAGTTCTATAACAGTTCTATATTGTAAATTAGCTTTCAGGAGCATGTCCACCACGTGAGCCAACAAGTGATAGAAGGATATGGAGAGCATTTATCAAGTGCGCTTGAAGGTCAGCCCCAGCGACTGCACAATGAATCCAAACTTATCCACCGAGTCTTGAATCCTACGACGACTATGAGAAAAAAACCATCGTGTGAACAAACGACACAACCAACCTTTTCTCCGTCGACTTGCCAGCTCCATGGCCCGCTTTCTTCTCGATCCGAATGATCAATGGATGTGGGTTGTCTGGATGCAGATGCTGAAGAGCGGCAGCATACTTGAAGGAGTGCAAGGGCACTACTCGATCGTCATCTGTGACGATTGCGTGTCAACATTGTGACAACGATTTAATCTTCACACGTACGATCAGCAGTGAGCACCATCGTCGGGGGTAGGACTTTGGCCGTCGGGATGTTGTGCAATGGTGAGATAGGGTAGATGTAGTCGAAGTCATGAGGGTCATGAGGATTGCCGAAGTCAGACATCCACGCTCGTCCTGAAGTAAAATGGGAGTTAGCACTGGCGTGCGAAAATTGTTGTGATGCCCTCACCAATAGTGAAGTCCGCAAACTGAGTGTAAGAACGAGATGAGCACGATGGTTATGGAAAATTGGAAGAAATTTACCTTCAGGAGATCCATGACACCAACTTCCGCGAGGGCCGCACCAATGAGGCCCTCTGGGGCGCGATTGATACACGTACCCACGAGTAACCCTGTGAGGTATTAAAAGGACATGAATACCGGGGATATATAAGACCTAATAGGCCATACCTCCGTTCGATGCGCCATGAATAGCGACTTTTCCCGGAGCAGCGAACTTGTTGTCAACCAGGTATTGCCTGCACAGAAATGTCCAAAGTCGAAGCACTGATTTCATCGTTCAAATACAACTTACGTCGCAGCGATGAAGTCGTCAGAGCAGTTAATCTTCCAAGATCCCACCATCAGAACTACACCAACAACAGAGAGTTAAAACCCAAAATACCTTGCGTTCTCTTGCGCCGGCATAGTGCCATTCCTCGCCGAACTCATTGCCTCCTCGAATGTTGACTACAGCCATCACTGCACCGTACATCTTCACGAAGCTAAGGTAAGACGCGCTGAAGAAGGGCACCACAGACATCGCAAAGCCGCCGTATGCTGTAAAATTCTGTCAACAACGTTCAAATGACGAATGAGAATTAGAGCCAACCTACCGTACTGAATCGCGGGGGCAGTGCCATCCAACTTGGTATCCTTGTGGCGCACAATGAACATGGGTACCTTCGTTCCATCCTTGCTGTTAAACCAAACCTATATCCAATACCGTCACACTCTCGTTAAAGCCGTCTGAGCGTGAAAATGCACCTGCTGTACAAGGAAGTCATCGGAATTTAATCCCTGGACAAGTGTCTTGCGGTACACGCTCCATTTCTTGGCTTCGTCCTGCTCCTTCTCGTTGAAGTCATAACGCAGAACTATGCCAGGATTCGTGAATCCGGTGAGCGTAGCGAAGAACCACGGGTGCTCGCGTCTCCCTGTAAGTATTGATGTTCCAACAAAGTCAGGTAGCATCTGATAGAGGCGTCTGCCGTCCATGGTATAAAGATAGATTTCATCCTTGACCTAGATACGGCGACTGATGAGCCCCGCCCAAACACAAGTCAAAGCATCGGGCATACATTCCGATTAAACCTCACAACGAAGCTGTTCTTGTTCACAGGGAGTACTTCGTCCAAAAGCGCGTCCTCGTCCTCAGGTATCACATCCTTGAACATCCGCTGGTCCGGCGGGTCGGCGAGATCGACCGACACCAACCTGTAACGCGGCGCATCCTTGTTCGTCATGAGGTAGAACTTCGTGCCGTCGTTCGCAATACTGTATCAGTAAGTTAGAACAACCTGATACAATGTTTCAATCCGACCACGGCGAACCAGTACACAAAAAAGGTACGTTGCGCGTCACTCACTAATAGTATGCAGCCTCATACTCGTCTATCAACTTGTCCCATTGCATGTTCGGTCCGATTTCGTTCTTCTCGAGATCCGTAATCCACATCGCATTTTTCTGTATGTGCGAGCACCGATTGAGGTGATGCGATGCGAAATAACACTGTGATACATACGCGCGCGGTGTCCCGACTGATGGTTAACATTAGATAGCGCCCATCTACTTCTGTTACGCCGGCGCCCCACATCCACTCTGGATGCAAATCGTCCCTGAGAACCAGAACATCTTCCGCTGAAGAATGAAACAATACAAACTCTGAGTCTTATGCACATTCGAAATTCCAGAGCACTTACATTGGTCAGTACCTATACGGTGATAATACAGCATCGCATGCTTGTCTTTGTCAGTTTCCGTCCCTGCAAGATCATCTGACGCGGTGCCGTGAGATTCCCGGGAGGGAAAACGCTAGAGATAGATCAACGATCAGGACATTGTCTTACGGAAGAATCTGCGAGAAGCAAGATTGGAAAGCTAGTAGACAGACCTGATAAAAGAAGCCTTTTGAGTCATGCGTCCACATAATGCCGCAGAATTTAACATAACGAATCTCTTCTGAGAGTCGCTGATCATCATGAGATGGGAGGGAATCGCCCGCGGCGACAAAGTCTGCGGATGTGGGACGGATGTAGATTGTATAGAAATCGCTTCCCTAAGTAGTCAATGGTCAGGTCTGGGGAACATAACGTTGGGTCGCACATACCGAACGTGAAATACCGTAGGCATAAAATTTTCCGCAGTGGGAGAAGGCCGCCGTGGCTAGGGCCGCAGATCCGTCCGATGAAAGTAAGTTGGACTGGCAATCTCTTCAATCAGCGATACCCCAGATTAAGAAGGCATACTTACATCAAAGAAGGGTTCTCCGCCTGGGCCCTCGACCTTGGTGAAGTCCGGAAGCTTGTCGTCCTGCGAGCGATAGATGACTATGGTTGTATATGCATCATGTGACCTGTAAGTGGAACGACACCGACAGCAATGAAGCCGCGCAAGACATACCAGGATGTCCCTGCAATCCTGAGTTGTAGGTCCAGTACCACCGTCCATCTCCCTTCAAGGAAGGAGGAGAGAACTAAATAATTCGAGTTAGAATCGCGAATCGCGAGAGCTGTAACAAATCGGACCTTGGCGAAGTCAGTATTCTTCCTGACCTCATCTTCCAAGACCTTTCTCTCCGGGTTCTTGTCCAGGTATTCTCGTGCAAACCCTGCTTGAGTAGTAGTCCACTCTTCTGTTTCGGAAGTATTCTTCTCGAGCCAGTCGTAGGGATCATGCACTCGTACCTCCCCCTTGCTCTCACTCTTGTACGCGTCGACATGGTCTGAGCGACGAGCAGGAGGGTAGCGGTTGGTCACCCAGGGTGTAGAGGCTACAGGCATAGTCCTCGGTAGTGCAGTGTGGAACTGGAAACGAAAAGGATGAAGGACACGTCTGAGGGCGGGTGCCACGCTAGAAACGACAGCAAACATGTGGCTTATATAGCTGGGCCGGGGCAACCTTCGCTTAATGTCTTATTACTGTATCCACCGGTCTCCGCAAGTGCGGGGAACTCGATCGCTTGGACCGGCGGAAGAACCTGTTGACCCACTCGCGCGAATCATGCAGAGACGAAGCCTCAGCGAGGTCGTACCGGAGCCACGGAGGAGACCCACCGAGAACAGATACGGTGGCCACTTGCGGAGATGCCGTCCACGCTGAAATTGTTGTAAGACATTCGGATATCAAACGGGGAGGCAACTGACCGGCGCCTATCTGATCAATTGCCTGGGAAATTACGCCATTGCGGAATCGACGAGCGCTTCGGCGCTTGCTCAGTTTGCTCCAGTCACGCTCCCTGCTCGTGCTTTGCTCTTTGGCAGATTACCGCTTGGGCCGTGCATGTCCCAGCAACCACCCAGCTTTTTTCCTACGGCTGCTATCGTTAGTTTTCTCTTCTTGAGGTTCTTCCTTCGCAAGATGGCTTCGGGGTTCTGATGTGAGGTTTTACAGGACCATGCTTTCGCGGGGCTGGGCGCAGGCGTCGTCGCGGTGCTATGTATGCACCCCCTAGATCTACTCAAAGTCAAATTCCAGGTCGCAACCGACAAGCCGCGAAGCGGTGTCGGAAAGCAAATTTGGTTTGCCCTGAAGGACATTAAGGACCAGCAGGGTTGGCGTGGTCTGTACAGAGGTGTGGGACCAAATCTTGCCGGTAATGCAACAAGCTGGGGGTTCTACTTTCTGTTGTGAGTACCCCGTTTCTCTATTGTAATTGAACGCGTGTACATTGACTCACGGCTCGTGCGACACGCGTCCAGCTATCATATGTTGAAAACCCGTGCGTCCGGTGGAGATCCAGACTACAAGCTGTCTCCGGGATCCTATCTTCTTTGTTCTGCCGAAGCGAGTTCGCAAGCCATCAGTGATTTGTCCAACTGGCGCCTCTGACCTTGATGTCTCCGTGTGTAGGCGCTGTAACTGCTATCATGACAAATCCCATCTGGGTGGTGAAGGTGCGCATGTTCACAACACGGCCAGAGGACCCGACGTCGTATCGCAATCTCTGGCGTGAGCATCTTTGCTGATTGGCTTTCCTCGTGCCCTTCTCACTTCTAATGCGTCCGCACCAGACGGCCTATCGTCAATATACCGCACCGAGGGTGTCGGCGGCCTGTACCGCGGAACGTCGTTAGCCCTCTTGGGCGTGAGCAATGGTGCCCTTCAGTTTACGACCTACGAGGAAATGAAGCGATGGGGCTTTGAACGGAAAAGAAGACAATTCATTGAGGCTGGGAAGAAGTATACCCCAGGAGATGATAAACTGGTGAAAACTCTTCCCATGCCTGATGTTCTTCGGCTGAACGCGTACGGCAGTCCAACACTGCTTACACCGTAATGTCAGGTGCTAGCAAAGTCATTGCCCTTGCACTAACTTACCCGTACCAAGTAATCCGATCTCGTATACAAGTGCGTCACGTCCTACTTTTGAAGGTTTTTGCGTCATAATCATGGCGAGTAGAATAATGCAACAGCAACCTTATACCCCACCATTCCCGCCTGCATATTCCGGACCTTCCATGAAGAAGGCGTTCGTGGATTTTACCGTGGGCTGGGCACGAACCTCGTCCGCGTTTTGCCCGGCACCTGTGTGACCTTCGTCGTCTACGAGAACCTCGCATGGCTTCTGCGCACGTCGGCTCTGCGCCGCACCCAGCGGAAATTAGTTGGCACGAGCTGTTAGGATCCGGTAGCGGAGCTCCGGCACCACTGGTCGAGACGCGATAGAAGCTCTGCAGATACTGTAGAATCCATAGACGCATGCCCGCATATCATATGCACCTTGTACTTAAAATGTCAAATTACCTGCTAATTTCGTCTTGGGTGCCTTCTGTCCCTGTATCGTGACGAAGATCCCATCTCCGACGTTGCATGCCACGCGCAGACACGGTACGTATGAGAACCCAATCTTCTGCGTTGCAGGATGATCGATGGTAAAGCCGGCAGCCCGTGCGTTCCTTGTTGTAGACCGGTGAAGGGACTGCAATGTTTCTATGTAACCGAAGCCAATCAGCATTTCGGTATTAGTGACTGCTATGGCCGTCCAGGGAGCGTCAGCGAAGGAATCAAGGAGCTATTATGCAACCCTTAGCTAACGATGGCGTACATGATTACAGAAGAGTACTCACTATCATTGTGCTTCAACTGTTCACCACGTCCTGTGGCTTTGGGGAGGCTCGTGAAGGGATTTCAGTTTTCAAGACCCGATTTGCTTTGGACTTTGGCACAGGCGCTATGGATAGTTCTATCATTTAGGCGCGCTAGCAGGCCAAAAAGATACCTACCATTAACATTCTCAGTGACGTAGAATTTGCGCAAGACCATGATCGCCTCGTCCCGCATATAACCACTGAAAGCTTTATACGCAGGATGCCTAGGATGGGGTACTCTGGATACGTACTGTGATCAGGGTCAAGTCAAGTGAGATTGATTGAGAAAGGCAACGTACTCGCCATTTACCCCGAGCACGCTCCCACACCCACCAAACCTATCGTTCTGGCACCCGTAGAATACTTCTTTAATTCCCGTTTGTCGGAGGGCTGACGCACACATGATGCAAGGCTCGACAGTGACATAGAGGGTTGTGTCCGACAACGGGTACTGCGTTACCTCTGGCGTGAGAGTCTTATCGGCAAGAATTTCGTCGATGGCCTCGAGTTCTGCGTGTCGGGTAGCCTTGAAAACGAGGAGACGCATGTCAAGCACGCGGCTTGCACATGCGGATAGAGTATGGGGACGTACGTTTCGCAGCTCGTTTGTCCGGTTACGAGCTCTAGCAATAGCCCGGCCGTCCCTGACAAACACACACCCAACGGGCACTTCGCTGGCTTCGAGCGCTTCCTCGGCCTGATTGGGTTGGTGCGAGGGGAATCTCGAGAGACGCAGGACAGCGACTCACCATTGACATCGCGACGCGCATCCACCCGAGATGTTTAGGGTTCAGATCGCTGTCACCATCTTTCATAAAATTTGAGTCTGCTGCCATGGTATTACAAGACTCTGCAATACACATTGAAACGAGATTCAGGAAGATTTAGATGATTTATTTTGGAAACATACCGCGTGAGATATATTTGAATACTGGCAATCCTCCGGCTCGGTGACCGTTGAGAGCCAGACTACCCAAAGAGTGGCGGGGTCGGTCATAAGCAGGAAGAAATCACATGGCGCAGTCAAAATACTTCAGACACTCGTGATGACTGTCACGACTACTAGGCCGCAGACGAGGGCCCTCACTTGCCGTAGAGCACCACCAGACTAGCACACACTGAGGATGAAGGCGTTCACTATCGAGGAGGTCGCCAAGGTAAGGTGGACCTCGTCTAGATGGTGCATACACTCATGTTCGCGCCCCCTCAAAGCACAACAAGGAGGGAGACTTGGTATGTGGTTTAGTAGGCTCCTGAGATTGCGTGCAGCACTCAATGGTGCATGCAGTGGATCACCATTGATTCTAAGGTGTATGACATCTCCAAGTTTGCGAATATGCATCCAGGAGGCACGGGTATACTGTTAGCATCATCCATAGGTAAGTGTTCATCATTCCACGACGTCGTGTATCTCTTATCTTCGGAATAATAGCTGGACAGGATGCTACACAAGCCTTCTTTGGTTTACACAGGCATGAGGTACTCCTGAGGCCTCAGTACGCTCGTCTGCAAATTGGTACCATAACCGGTCAAAACTCGGTGGTCAAATCCCTCGCTGCAGGCGAGCTGTCGCAGGTGCCTTATGCGGAGCCATCCTGGCTCTCGAAAGGCTTCTTCAGCCCCTACTATAAAGATAGTCATCGGCGGTTCCAAGTGGCTGTACGGAAGTTCGCCATGGAAGTCGTTCAGCCTGATGCCATCAAGTGCGAAGACAACGGCAAGCGGATTTCGCAGGATGTTGTCGAGAAGTTGTGGTGCGTGTTGTCTGCTTCGCGTTCGCCAGCTGCATCTGAGCCCCGATACCCGTACAGCGAGATGAACATTCCCGCTATGCGTCTCGGGCCGGGGAAGCACCTCAAGGGGCGAACCCTCATGGGTGGTGTCATCAAGGTCGAGGAATTTGATCACTTTCATGAGGTATGTTGAGTGTTCGCACGCATAACTGCCGAACTCACTTCTCCTAGCTCATCCTGAACCTTGAACTCGCACGTTTCGGCACACGAGGCTATATGGATGGCCTTCTTGCTGGCTTGGAGATCGGTCTTCCGCCCGTGCTTAACTTCGGCTCGCAGGAGCTGCAAGGGAAGGTTGTCTCGGACGTCCTCGCGGGCAAGAAATTCATCTGCTTGGCCATCAGCGAGGCCTTCGCAGGTAGCGACGTCTTTGGTCTGCAGACAACCGCTGTCCGGGAGGATGACGAATGGGTCATCACGGGAACGAAGAAGTGTGTAGCCGCACGCCCAAGATATGGTTCTATTCTGACCTGTGGCATAGGTGGATTACGAACGGAGTCTTTGCTGACTATTTCACTGTCGGATGCAGATGCAAGGTACGCTTGCCCTCGGGTTACCTCAAAGCGTATCTGACGGCCCTCTCAGGAGGGCTATGTCGTCATTCTAGTGCCTCGATCAGACGATGTCTCAACGAAGGCTATCAAGACCTCGTACTCTTCGACCGCTGGTACCGCCTACGTTACTTTCGAGAAAGCGCGAGTACCTGTAGCGAATACGCTAGGAGAGATCGGCAAGGGCATGTCGGTCATCCTGAGCAATTTCAATCACGAGCGCTGGATGATCGTCGGCAACAGTCTCGGTGCTCAGCGACTCGTGGTTGAAGAGTGTCTGAAGTGAGTATACTTCTGAGTTAAGATGGCCGAAGTGTGATTGCTCACGATACATCCAGATGGGTGAACCAACGGACGGCGTTCGGCAAGCCGCTCAGCACTCAGGCCGTAGTACGTGCGAAACTAGCAAGCATGATCGCTCGGGTGGAGGCCTCGCAAAACTGGCTCGAGTCGGTTACTCATCAGATGAACAACGTATGCACATCCGTTCTTTGGCTGTCCCTAAGCTTGAGTTACTGAACTCGATACAGATGTCCTATGCGGAGCAATCAGACAAGCTGGCAGGACAGATCGGGTTACTGAAACAGCGAGTCTCTGGATAGTCAATGTGATCAACTGAAGCTCAACGTTCGTTTTCAGATTCGTGACTCGCACAGGCCGCGAGACCGCTGAAGATGCGACGCAGATCTTTGGCGGGCGCGGCATTACTGCAAGTGGCATGGGCAAGCTCATTGAGAACGTGCGTATCAGTCTCATTGTTGCTGTGTCGCGCCTGATCTCTTCGTCGTGCAGTATCACCGTACCTCTCCATTTGACGCGATCCTGGGCGGCCAGGAAGATGTACTGGGAGATATGGGCGTGCGTCAGGCCATCAAGAAGATGCCGAAGAATGCGCGGTTGTAAGGCACTCGTAACCGCCATTTCTCCTGATTCAGTTTCTTCTCTAGATATATATCTTTCAGTATAAGCACACATGCCAGTGTGATGTAATGTTCGACGACTCCGATTCTTTTGAGCTCTGACCCGAGCTTGATATAACGAACCCGGAGGAACAGCAGCGATAACGCCGTCGACCGCCGCCCACGGTGGAGGCCGCCGAATTCGAACTTCTAAGTCGGGCTCGCGTATTAGGACCCTGGATAATTCCCTTTCACTGGGGGCAAAAGTGGATGTTCTGCCTTGGAACAGTGTCTGAACATCCAAGGAACAGATTACGTTTTTGGACATGTCACATGTTCTGAACATGGTAAGGAACATCTAATATGTCTCGCACAATGTTCCATTGGAGAGCATGCTGGAGACATGTTGCATGTACCATTCTGGAACATATAATATGTCTCACACAATGTCTCATTGGAGAATGTCCTGCAGACTTGCTGCACATTTCATTCTGGAACATTTGTCATTTTGCTACTATATTCTGGGCTTGTCTCTTGGTGCAATATGCTCTGTATAATAAGGATTTTCCATGGCCAAACACATTACATTTCTGGCCACCGTTAATCTTCAGAACATTGTGAGAAGATGTTAAGTGCTCCTACTCCAAACATACAAGATGTCCTGGGCACCAAGAACATTTGCAGTACATGTAAAATTTTAGTAAAATTTTAGTATTTATCATACATGTACTGCAGATGTTCTTGGTGCCCAGGACATCTTGTATGTTTGGAGTAGGAGCACTTAACATCTTCTCACAATGTTCTGAAGATTAACGGTGGCCAGAAATGTAATGTGTTTGGCCATGGAAAATCCTTATTATACAGAGCATATTGCACCAAGAGACAAGCCCAGAATATAGTAGCAAAATGACAAATGTTCCAGAATGAAATGTGCAGCAAGTCTGCAGGACATTCTCCAATGAGACATTGTGTGAGACATATTATATGTTCCAGAATGGTACATGCAACATGTCTCCAGCATGCTCTCCAATGGAACATTGTGCGAGACATATTAGATGTTCCTTACCATGTTCAGAACATGTGACATGTCCAAAAACGTAATCTGTTCCTTGGATATTCAGACACTGTTCCAAGGCAGAACATCCACTTTTGCCCCCAGTGTTTGCTTTTCAGATTCTTTGTCCGGACATTTTGGGCGCTTTCCGGAGCATTCCGGGCTTTCCCGGCCTTTTGGGCCCCCTTGCGGGGCCGACAGCTACCACCATGTCCGGACCAGGAGATGGCCTTCCGGCCTTTGAAATGACCGGATGGTGAGATATATCGCGTCGAAGAAGGGGGGGCGATATACGAAATAACATTCAATGCTTCACCCCAGAATTACCGCCACTTTCCCGCCACCTTAGTCACGTGAAAGTCACACAATGTTTGATACTCCGAAACTTTAACCCCTCCTTCACTCCCTACAGTGAGTGGCACCAAATATTAGAACAAACAAATGCCACCAGGGCAATTCTCCCATGAAAGGTAGGAGGTGTGGTGCAAAGTCACCGTAGGGTTAGGGCATTTTATTCATTGTACATCGGCTTTTTTCTATTATCACTTTCGTCTGCTGTCTGTCAACTTGAATTCTTGATGGCGAATCAATCATCTCGACCTTACATTCCCTCTTTGGACGAGATCAGAACTAAGACTAGAGAGAAATTCAGACGTGTTCCGTGTCACTGGCAGACTGTAGTAACTCAAAAAATTCTACTGCGAGATAAAGATGTTGTCTGCATCTCCAGCACTGGATCTGGCAAAACCCTGACATTCTGCCGTTGTTGTTCTGACAACATGGTATACAGATTGTGATAAGTCCCTTGAACATTCTAGGGGATCAGAATGAAAGACAGCTCAGAGATGTGGGTATCCGAGCTATCAACATCACGGCAGACACTGCAACATCCAAAAATTTCAAGGTTAGTGTTTTGAAATTCACTTCTGTATTTTTCACATACTTAGAGGCTTACCTGGCTGGAAGAATATCGAGGATGGAACCTATTGTGCTGTCGTGGTAAGTCCGGAGCAGGCTTTGAAACCAGATGGCAGTTTTGAGCAACTCTGGAAAAATGCCAACCTCATGTCAAATGTCCTGAGCATTGTCTGGGATGAGGGACATTGTGTAGGTGCATGGGGTTCATTTCAACCTGAATACGCAGAAGTACATGGCCATCCCTTGGAGGGCTGGTAATCAGCTAAAACCGATAAGATGATGGGTGGTGCCGGAGGATGCTCTGGAAATGTTCGGATGACCTTAGCCAGAGAGTGAATACGCATATCCCGGGACCCTCTCGAGACCCACCTCTGATGGGCAGATGATCAAAGGGGTCTAGCTGAGCTGACCGTTCAGCGCCACGCCAGCCAGCTTACGGATCTTGAATTTCGTGCAGCCGAACAACTGTTAGGTGCCAAGCGGGCCGTCTGTTCGGGTCGACTGGTTTTGTGCTCGCCGAATTTGCCCGGCTTGAGCCCGACGGGGATTTCAGAAAAATAATTTGCACCAAAATATATTTGTTGCCTCGACTACACAATACATGTCTAACTATGTAACAATAAAATACTCTGGCAACCGTCCATGCGCGTCGTGCAAATGTCAACAAGAATCCTGCCAGGACGATGGGGCATAAGTAACCACTCATGCCGGCTGTGACGGCGGGGCATATCTTTCACAACCTTGTGCAGAGTGCAAACCGCGCGCTGAAAATTTCTGTTTGTCGAAGGCCAAGTCAGTGTGGTGCCGCTGTGACCTGAAAGAGGACCGCAGTGCTGGCCCCAAAGCTGAAAACTCCCACATCACCTCCAGCAGCACAATCTCCACCGCCTCCGCCACTGCCACCTTTGTGTTCATCAAAGCATCGAGCAAATGAATGATGTACTTACTAACTCCATCGCCACTGTCTTAGGGTGAGAAGTCGACACGCTTGAGTTCGAGAGGTTGTGGGCTCAAAGGAAGAGGTGGTCAGAACGTGAGCTGGCGCCTTCGAGAAGATATATTTATGACTTTCCAACTCCGCTCGGTTCTCGCTCCAGGCGAGCACGGCATGGTCGGCTGTGGATGCAGTCAAAGGAAGCCTGAAGTCAAACCTTCCCTTGGGTGGCCCGTCAAATAAATCAGCTCAGCTTTTTTTAAGACCATAGCTGCCAATGTCTACTTATTCGAAACAAGTGCACAACATAATTTTTCTATCTAAAGTGAGGAGCATACCCCAATGATCCATAGATCACCTCCCGATTCCGAGAGGTGACGGAGACCTGGCTCGCGTCGCTTTTCGTAAGAGGCGACAGGATGTCCCCATAAGCTGAATGCCAATCAGGCCATCCTCAGGTGCGGGATAAGCCACCGGCCAGGCTTTACATCAGCCCAGATCGTGCTGGCGCTCCAGGTGGGTTGATCAGCCCAAACAGGGTTGGGCGTGTAGGGTGCCTTCAACACATAATCACTGGAGATGTTCCTTATCTAATCGCATCTGCTACTCTGCCTACACATGTTCGTAACGACGTGATGGGCACATTGCAGGTCCGGCATGAAGCTACTCATGTCATGCACCGCTCCAATGACCGTTCCAACATTTACCTTTCCGTGCAAAAGATCGAGCATCCCCTGGTGACATTTAATGACCTTGCATTCTTAATTCCTGAGGGCTGGAAACCTGGTGATCTGCTTTCAAAATTTCTGGTATTCTTTGACAATATTGAGGAATCAATCAGGGCAGCAGAAGCACTACGAGCACGCCTACCCATAGAGCATCGAAACAAGATTGTTTGGTTTAACTCCAACATGACTCCCGAGTTCCGAGAGATCGCAACATCTAACTTGAAGGAGGGTACACTGTACGGCCTGTATTGTACCGATTCATTCGGAATGGTGAGTTTTCTCTCCTGAGATTTTGTCGAGACTTACTGATGCCACTTCAGGGTGTTGACTTGCCTGATATCAAGATTGTCATACAGTGGAGATGTACATGCAACCTCGATACACTATGGCAATAGTTCGGACGAGGAGCGCAAGGTCCTGGCATGGAAGCCATAGCAATCTTCTTCATAGAGCCTAAATATTTCAATGACGAGAAAGCCAACACCATTGCCTGAGCTGAGAAGCAAAAAGAGAAGAAGGCACAGAAGGCAGCTCACCAGGAGCAGGCGAAACGAAAGCGAGCCGATGATGCTAATAGACTGTCATCTTCGAAAAGGCCTCACACAGATGCTCAGCCAGCTGCTGCCAACAATTGCTTGAATCAAGCCGAATCCTCCTCAAACATGACTTTGACTGAATACGAGGTGCTACAAGTCATGTTCGCTCAAGCTATGCCTTAGCCCAGTGGTCAGCGAGGCAACATCAAGAAGACAACTCTGGGCGAGGTTGGCCCCAAAATGGACAACCGCATCAATGTGAAGACCCGCGCATTCAAGTGCTATTGCATACCTGTGATGGCTTACTATGAGAACGACAGGACAGGTGAGTAGCATTCATAACATGCGCTTGCACACGCTCACTTCACAATTACCTAATACAGTTCCCGATAACCATCTTTGTCGCCCCGACCTCCCTGCAGGCTGCCCTCACTGTGCTGTCATCAAATCAAGTATCTGCTGTGAAATATGCTCTCCTGATTCACCCCACTTCAAGGTAGTACCATACAACAGCGAGAAACCTGCTGAATTGATGTCTACTCATGCCTCCCACATTCCGAGAGAGTACGTGATGGTGCCCACGGATATCAAGTTTTGGAAGGCCTTGAACAAGTATTAGTGCAGAGCAGGGGTATACCCCTGGGTACTTTGAGCTGTACCCCTACCCTTACCCTCCAAGGGTACATACCCTTCACCAGGGGTAAGGGTATGGGTAAGGGTACCAAACCCTGAGGATATACCCCTCAATATCTGCCTTACTTGAGAAAATAACATCATAGACATTAAGTTTAAGGCTTGTAATAGCCTTCTTTTCTCTTTGAAGCTTCTGTAGACAGAGTTTAAGGCTGTATCTAGGCTGTACTTTGGCTTTAGTCACCATACAATTACTGCTTACATTATATATACTATATGCAGTGATACCCTCCAGGTACAAGGGTCTGAAAGTTCATACCCCTACCCTTACCCTCCAATACCCTTACCCCTTACCCTTGAGGGTTATCCATACCCCTGCTCTGCACTAACAAGTATCGTCGCGACAAGACGATCGAGCAATATGGATGAGCTCATCTCAATAACATCGGGCCAGGTGCAATCATAGGAGATGCAACACTCTCACGCGTTGCTGATTGCACCTGAATGCACAAGATTGAATGTCTTGATATGCTGTGGAAGGAGGTGAAGTGGTCAAAAGCATCCAATGTGATGGTGGCAGAAGGGGTATTGAAGCTGATTGTACAGTGAGTACGAGGCTTCGTCGTTTTAAGCCAACAGCTAACACTATCTATTAATTAGGTTTTATCCTCCTCTGAACCCTTTTACCAATGCACCGCTGCATCGGCAGGTGCTGGAGAATGGCACCATCTCTAGTTTGGTCACAGAGGTAGCGTCCACGACTGGAAAACGTCCGATAGCAGTACAGAAGTGCAGCGCATGCGGGGCTCTAGGGCATATTAGTACATTCCACACCTCTGTTTCAGGTATATTCGTTCACGTAGTGTGGCACAGAATCAAACCGTCAGTGTCCTAACTACAAGGCATCTGCCAAGGAGAATGCACTGCTGTCTATGAGACCTGATGGTCTATTAGCCATCGTGCAGGTTTCATCTGGAGCGTCATGTGTGCAACCGGCCACCAGCGATCCCTCTACTTTGGATTCAACTATTGCATCTTCTTTTCCTGCACCATCGCTCTTTTTCGCCCGTGCCGTGCAACCAAGGGCCGGCCCATCAACATCGATCTGGGACTCTCTGATAGAATCTCCAGCATATCCATGGTCTGTAATGCAAGTAGTGTCCACGCAGCATGTCTCGCTTGAACTCCCTCTGCCTGTCAGTTCAACATCATCTACAGGTAAATCTACTTTACATCATATCAACCCTTCAGTACTAAGATCCTCACCCGTTAACTCCACGCCAAGGTCCCCATCAGCCTCCGGATCCTCTCCATTAGTGCGCGAACCATTTGCCTCTCCATCCAGCTTCTCTGCACCTTCTACCAATGGATCGTGTAGAATCTGCACTGATTTTCTGCCTCTTACCATCTCATTTACACTGTGTTTTTCCATGTACTCTGAAAGGATATTGAATGTCTTCGTCATATCTTTCGTAGTGTGCGCAAAGCTCAAACCGAATAACCGGAAGTTCCGCTCGATGTTACTATGACTGCTGCGAAAGATCAAGACCAAAGGAGATTCTAGTAAGACTTTATCCTTGGTGTAGTTTGATCCTTCTCTGCCATATACATCCTCCCAATTGCCAATAAGCCACTTACACCATTGCAGATAGAATCATACTCACTTTGATGTACAAGTTTAACAGCTCCACCATCCAGTCAACAGCTCGGAAATGATGTGGTTTCCTGGTTGGGTTAATCAGTATATTATATCGCATGGCATGCCTTGCACAAATTCGTATGTCACAGTTTCTTGGATGCTTACATTTGCAAGACTCACCGTAAACCCTCTGAATACACGAAGTACCATTCGTGCATCATTCGCAGCATCTGGTTGCCATATTTATGCTTGCCGGTAGCCCTAAAGATGAGGATCCATGGTGGGAACAAAGTCTCGACACGCCTGATATCGCCTGCATTCATAGCATATGACAACTCCTCATAGAGGAGCAGTATTTGGTGAGTAAGGAGGATATTCTCTCGTTGCTGATCTCGAATTTCTGGATGTTCACACCGCATTTTATACAGGTCAATGCCTTCACCCAAAGTGTACTGTTCTGCAAGAATATCAGTGATCTCTACAAGCTGTGCTTGGGACGGTTTCGATTCAGCAAACTCTCGAAGACTCCGGTGACCTGTGCACTTTCGTACCTCCGCAGGCCAAGCATCAAGTCGCAACATAGCCCCGACATGACCGAGCAACTCGTGTTGTTAACGGAATTTGGGATTGGATGTAAGCCATGAAGTCTCTTTTGGCTGCAGGACACCCATTAGATTGAAGAAACTACTTTTGTCAGTGCGACCGGCCTTTAGACTAGGACCTATTCGCCACGCAGCATCCGTGGCAGCCATTTTGAGGTGAAAAAGTCCCATGATGAAGATTGCAAACTGGAAGCGGCAAAATTCGGTTGTCTCGATGGCGCGTCATTTAAGGATCGACCTGACATGTTCAAAGGTACTGAGGTCACCATGGATCAATGTTGCAAATTCTGAAATGTCCGTCAAGTCTGGCATGGTCTCAGATGGGATACCGACCGCGGCTTGAGTGAATAATATAAGTATTGCTTCGATATTCCCAGACACCTTTGACTGGTTGATGTCCATTGCACGGGCAGGAACTTGTTCCAACTTCTTGACAGGAATCTTCTCAATTGACTCGGGCTCTACAATGAGAGGAAGGAAGCACCGGAAGTGCTCTGGTCCATGCTGGCACAAGTCACGTAAGAAGTGCCACGAATTAAAGTGACCACGACGCGACAAATTGGAGGCATTATGGTCCAGTTCAGGATGCAGTGTATACAGGAAGTCCATGGTGCGAAGCGGGTCAAAGGTACGTGGATCCGATGCATGTATATTGCATCAGCAAAACCCAACTTTTTCTTACAGAGCTATTTTGACTTTTCGGTCTTACAACCCTTATTTAAGGCAATAAGTCTTCAAATAAGTGTCCATAAGTCTGATTTCAGACACTCATGTAATATGCATTAGGCCCCTTTTTGACCTTATACTCTTAAATAAGGATTATCATTTAAGTCATTTAAGTACCCTTTTAAGTAAAAGTTGGGTTTTGCTGATGTGAGGGGTGACCTATCCCATAATAGTTTTGAACAGCGCAGATCATCGGCTGTTACACCATACGCAAGTCGGAAGACTGTTCCTGACGTCAGGTGCACCAGGGTATCTACAGGATTCTCGACGGTAGGTATTGCGGTATTAAACTTGATGTCGAAATTATTGTATGCGAGGATGCTAAATATGTTTGACCCAGAGTCTGCATGACCTCGCTGGTCTGGATGGACAATGAACGGATTGCACGATGAATGGACGTGAGTGAGATCGAGATCCCCATGTGCGCAAGTACTTTAATGAGCTTCTCCGGAGCATTGCATGAATGTAAGAAAATTCCTATCGTACTTTGCAATGCATTACAATGCTGAACACGATTTTGCATCAAGATGCTTATGATGGCAACTGTCTTCTAGTGGGACCTTTGTCAGGGATTTCGAGGTACCCAGTAGTAGTTACTAAACCTATGATGGTGGTCAAAACTTCACGGGACTCCCTCTTCTTCTGCACGGCTTTCTGATCCTTTTCTTCCTGCTGTACTTCGGCTGCAACTTCGTCAGGGCCCACCCACACATCCTCCATCCCTTCTGACTCCCAGTATTGTCTCTCCTCCAAATCTGGCTCTCTACTATCCAACTCCATCTCCGTGTCTGTGTCCATGCTGTCCTTCCCAGACAGAAGAAAGTGCACCATCTCCCAGAGATCAGGAGTAACCGTGCGCATTTTTTCAGCCATATCTTCGATGCGAAAGTCGTGAATCTGCTCCGGCTTTGTGTTGGTGGCACTGAAGTGCCAGCCATGCTCTTTTCTAGTAAGCATCTGCATGGCTCTGGAGTAGCAACTTCGTGCAAGCTGCAGTGTCCAGTCGACAGTTGTTGCTGTTGTTTTCGGATGGAGATGGAATGCTGTGAGGATTTCCTGCGCACGGTTGACAAGGTCGGCAAGCATGATGTTCATGTAGGTTTCATGCATCTCAGCGGACAGAACGAACAAGAGGACTTCTGAGAGGGTGATGGAATAGTGATTCATGTAAACTAGGACATTTCTGATGACTTCTGTACGATCTGCCATGGCACCAGCACTTGCGGCGGTGAACTCCAACCCAACATGAGCTTCCCGAATTGGTCAGTTTGCACTTGGACAGAAAATTTGGAAATGTTTATTACCAGAGTATTCTGGGCCCGCTTCCGGGACATGCACTACCTTTCATGGGAGAATTGCCCGGGTGGCATTTGTTTGTCCCAATATTTGGTGCCAGCCGCTGTAGGGAGTGAAGGAGGGGTTAAAGTTTCGGAGTATCAATTGCGTGACTTTCACGTGATGAAGGTGGCGCAAATTCTTAGAAAAAAGCATCAAATATTATTTCGTATATCGCCCCCCTTCACTCCCGCAGCGGTGGGACGGAGCCTGGCGTCGACCGCAAATTCTTAATTTTTTGTCCAGATGCAGATGGCGTCTAAGGGAATCATCCAGGGTCCTGCTCGCGTCCGTTATACTTATTTCTCACGGTGACGGTTAGGGCAAGTTCTGTGGTTCTCCGCCGCTCTATTCAATATTCACCCGACCAACTCAAATTTGCTAGCCCGACAAATGAGGAATTTCATGCTCACTACAAAGTAACCGTTTGTAGACGAAACACAGTTTCTATCTGCCGAAGGAACAAATTCAATTGGTCAATTGAGTCCTTATTCAGTCCTGATCACACATGTAAACTTTATCAATAAATTTGTACTGGCGACAAATGGTGACATTGTAAGGCGCAAACCGTACATTCACTCAGGGATACAAATCCGGGAGGGTCTCAAGTGATTGCTTTTTCTGCTAGCCTCAAACAGCAACAGGACTTACGTCTTCTGTCGTCTGGCCCACTCAAGCTCAAGTCTCAAGCAGTCACTCCATCGATGCCGTCCATAGATCCGCGATACGCACTCGCCTGACGCGACGACATAACTGATTCAGAGCCTTTCGTACTGTAGTTAGTGCTCCGCTACCTGTGGCGGTCACAAGGAGACACAAAGGGAAGACCTCAGCCGGGGTATGCGAGGTGCGCGCAATGGTCCACACCAGTCGTCTTGGATACTTGTAATTACTCACCGCACTCAGCTAAGGGCTAACCCGACGCAGACCCGCCCACAGCCGCGCGCCCCGCGATTGTCGCGCGGACCGCTGCTGGTCATTTATCTCGTAGCCGATTTTCCTATCACAGAACGCGCTTCTTGCAATTGCGGGCTCACGTTGTGGGGCAGGCTAAACTTGTTTCAGAAAATATGCGGTGTTTTATATAAGTGACGTTGCGCACGTAAGGGTCTTTACCTCTCCTTCACGATACTAATGACCATGAACCATCTCAATTTGAAGTTGCCGCTGCTGCTGTCTGCAGCATATATAGTTCAACTGGTGTGTGACACCTCATCTCCAGTGGCAAATTACAATCTCTTACTTGTTGCCAGTGTGTGCTGGTCCCGCAACCGCCGCCGAAGGAAGATGCACAGGCGAGGTTTATCTCCGTGGAACCAAGACACTCCAGGGAGACGTTTCGCTGGCTGCCGAAGTTCATCATGGTGAGTCCGACCTCTGCTCGACATCTGGGCGCTCACCGTGGTTGTACCTCAAAGCGGACAGTCTGGGCGGCCTGTTTGTGCGAGTCCGCGATCCTCATTGCATACCAATTTCCGGCCCACCATCTCTCGCGCCGAGTACTGCAAGCGCTCATCCGCGGGCCCGCTCCAGACACCTTCGCTGGCGTCGGGATCCGCGTTACAGTCCCGTTCATCATCGGCTGGTGTTTCCTCATTGCAGGAACCTTCATCCGGCAGTCGTGCTACCGCACACTCGGGCACTTTTTCACCGCCGAGCTCGCCCTTCACGAGGACCACAAGCTCGTGACCTCCGGGCCGTACACGCTCGTGCGCCATCCGAGCTACACGGGCGGCATCATGGGTGCGTTCGGGGTCGCCCTCATGCAGATGTGTCCTGGCTCGTGGCTGAGTGAGTGCATGGGCATTTGGGATACCCGCAGCGGGACGGTGTTCTGCTACTCGTGGTTTGCCATCCTAGGCATCGTGTCGGTGCAGATGATCCGCAGGACGGGTATCGAGGACCGTGTCCTCAAGGACGAGTTTGGGAAGCAGTGGGAAGATTGGGCTCAGGGAGCCAAGTGGAGGTTGGTGCCCGGCATTTTCTGATACATTTCTTTTTTCTGCATCGGCGAGCCGAGTGAGCTCATTCACGTAACGAACTGCCACGAAACCTAACTGATTCATAGTATTAACGATATACATTTAGCTCAACTTTAGGATATTGCAGTGGAGACTTCAGGACACTCGATAGCAATGGCACCTTGCACTCATCGACACGATTTCACGATTTCACAACTATGTATGACAGAAATGTAAGCTCGGGCTGAAATGGACCAAGATGCGAATAAAGTGCGAAACTCACTCTGAACAAGAAATTGAGCTGTATAGCGAAGAAACAGCGTTAAAATGGCCCAATGTCCGAAAACAGAAGGACTTACATCTCCCGGAGTTAAACGTCCCATAGCCTGCAACGAAAGACATCAGCAGCATTCACATGGAACGGGTGCACAGCGCCTACCGAATCATCTGTGGAAAGTGTAGCATCCACCATGGCCGCTTTCTTTTCCTGTAACTGAACGCGCGACGATGAGATAACAAACACATGTCTCGGCACGTAATACTTACCTGAACAATACGACTCTCGATGCTATCCTCGACCACAAGCTTGACAACTTGAACAGGGCGGTGCTGGCCAAGCCGATGAATCCTATCCATCGCCTCTGCAAATTACCTCAGTATCGTCTAAATAGGAACATGGTCGGTCAGAATCTGGTACTCACGATACTCGACCTGCGATTAGAGTAAAGTTAGGTCACATCGCCTCTGCTAGAGACATCGACAACTTACGGCAGGATTCCACCAGCTATCCATCAAAAAGACGCGTGACGCCTCTGTCAGATTTAGTGCGACGCCGCCTGCCTTGAGGCTGACAAGGAAGACGGTGACGTGCACGTTGTTCACTACACATACGCATCAGTTAACCGTTCACGGCCAGGACGACACCACGTACTAAAATACTGTATTGTCGCATCTCGGGCTTGCGGACTCATCGTACCCTCCAAACGGCATACCTGTTCATCGGATCAGCAAGCGATCACTTCCATAAGTGCAGGGAATGCGCGGTGGGAGCAGTGTACGCACGTTAAAACCGCACTTCTGAAGGCGATACGCGATTAGGTCAAGGAAATTGACGAACTGGCTGAAGACGATGCTCTTGGTTGTCGCGTCCTGCCGCCGGAGGTTAGTCAGCTCCTCGATGAGCGCCTCGATCTTGGACGACGACCGCCACTTGTCGAGGTCAAGCCGGCCCAGAATGCCCTGGCGCGGCGTTGCATTCTCCACCTCGACCTCGAGGGCGGGCGCCTCGAGGTCAATGGTGAGGGGCAGGTGGCACACTGGGCATGCGGGCTGTAGCGATGGACACGAAACATTAGTTCTTGGCTCCGCATAACAAAAATACTGCAAATGGATAATTCACGTTCATCTCGATCGCGGTGTTCAGATACTGCTTGATACACTCTCGGTCGAAGATGTGCCGGCACTTCGCCTGGATCGCATCTTCTGCGACGTCGTTGCAGAGACGGCACACAGTCGCTTCGCCGGCCTCATCCTGTACAAATGCGCCTGCGTTGGTCTTGCTCCTCAGAACGAGGTCGGGGTGGCACGCCATCTGGCGCATACGGGTGAGCCTTTCCACCAAAGTCAGTAGCTTGACCACAATCACTGATGAAACAGGAGACACACAGACTGAAGATGTTCGAGTAGTCTGCGAACGGGGATGCAATCTCAGTGGGGGACTACGCAGGCTATGGGCGGACTCACTGTTGAGCACAGTTCCAGAGTCGACGTATGTGTTGAACTGCCTCTTCGCGTCCGAAAACAACGATAGGTATAATTCCTTCTCTTCAGGGCTGAAGTAGTCGCGCCGAATGATCACTGTGCGAGGGGGCAAGCCAAGATCGTCAGCCCTTTGTATCTGCACATACACAAGGTATCAGAGTCGATCCACGCAGAGCATGAAGGGAAGGTGCACCTTCGTTCTGCGCAGCATCATACGATCGAGTAGGATTCTCAGTTTCTTGAACGCGTCCTTGCCGGGACCGAGCATCCCGTTCTTCTGGATTGGCGTTAGGATCTCTGTATTCCAGAAGCATGTCTGCAAGGTATGATGAGGTCAACATTCAAGCACTTGAGTGACTAACAACGTACATGTTTCATAGGGCTATGGCCACAATCTGCAGGGGGGAATACAATATGTTCAGAACGGATGACGTGACAACGACAGAGATGGCTTGCCGTCGCAGCTCCGCTTGTCACTGAATTTCCAATGCAATGACTTGCAATCGCACATCTTGCCTGCATGCAAACCATACATGATCAGTCTATCTCTTTCCCAGCCAATCCGAATGCGGATCGGGGAGATGTAGGACTTACAGAAATAGAACGAAAAGGGGTCACCACCCAAAAACCGTACGAGACTGTACAACTCCCCGACGCGGTTCTGCAGCGGCGTTCCAGAGAGGCACCACTTGTATTCGCTCTTAAGCTCGAACGTTGCCTTCGCGGTATTGGTCGCGCGCTCCTTAATGTTGTGCGCTTCGTCAAGCTGCGACGATGGGAAGTCAGCGGGTGACTTACACCGAAAGACGACGAACATGGGGTACGCACGATGATCCTGACCCATTTGATGGCATGTATAGCCGACGCCTCCTTGACGATCTTGCTCTTGCGCTTGAAGCCGCTGTGTTGCTTGCGGAACGAGCTCTCCAACACAGCATACGTGGTCAGCACCTGAAGATGCGTGAGTACGCGGTCCAGAGACATGCAGCACACAGGACTCACGACGTCGTACTTCTTGAGCTCCCGGACGTCAGACTCTCTAGATGAGCCGTGCCAGATGAGGACTTTCATGCCGTCGGTACGCGTCTCTATTTCGTTGCGCCACTGCATGATGGCGACGGTCGGGCTGTAGGGCGGGACACTAGTCAATAACGAACGCGTGGAATGACCGAAGACGATGGACGTACGCTACTACCAAGTTCGGCCTGGAGCCAGGGTGGGACACCAGTAGCGAAATCATCTGAATGGTCTTTCCCATGCTAGATACGTACGGATGGACGTTAGCGACGAATCTGGTTCAGACGTACATCCAGGACGTACCCCATCTCATCCTAGAGAGGAATAGTCGTGAGCATGAGTGCAGCCTTGGCCAAGGATCTCAGACTTACTGCCAAAATGCCTCCTTTCCAGATTCCTTTCTCTTGGTCCCTCATCCAGTGGATACTCTCCAGCTGGAAAGGGAGCAGTGTCACCTTGAGGTTCGGTGGCTGCTCGGCCTTTTGAGGTATTGCGATGGGTATATCCTTCTCGAGGTCGCCCCAGACGTTCCGGAGCTCGGGATGATTTGCGCGGAGAGCAACCGACGTTTTCTCTGCCTGCACAAAAACGTCAGGAGAGGTGAACAACTCATTCACGCAGCACGTACGTGAGTCAACTTGCGCCCGAGCTTTAGGCGCAGGTCGGCCTCCTCCTTGCTGTGCGCTCCCCTCATCAACTTCGCCTTGCGCCGCTGCTCTCGTCTTACCTGCCGGAGCTCTGCAATAGTCATGTTCTTCGGCTTGCTGGTGTCGGTAACCGTGACTTTCCTTGCGACCCCCTTGCCCTTGCCCTTGCCCTTGGCCAGCGGCTCCTCCTCGGACTCGTCGGAGGACTTGACGGCGGACTCTTCGAGGTCGGATGCCAGGAAGTCGGGAGCCTCGTCTTCGACGGCCATCGTCCGCTGGCAACCAAGCCGGCGTTCTGCAGCTGCAGCACGTAGTGCTGCTGCCTTGCTGATGGAGGTAGACCTGGTGGTGAGCGTCGCCCCTGTGCTCGACGAGCCGGCTTTGCCCACTGTACGTGCAAGGTCCAGGGACATCTTGATGGCGGCATCCATCATCACGTCCTCATCGTTAATACCCTCTTCGAGGATGTCGTCGTCATCACTGGCCTCGAGGGGTTCGTTCTGAGCAAGTTCGTCGTCATCTGAGCCTTGATATTCCGAGCCGCTATCGTCAGACTCGTCGATGGAGAGCTCCTCGCCTGACTGCACGTCCTCCTGTGCAGGGTTCGCTTCGTTCTCGTAGTCAACTTCAGTTTCCTGTATAGGTCTTCCTGCCTGTCTACTCTTCTGGCCACTCACAGACTGCTTGCCAATGGGGGTAGTTTTCTGCTGGCAGAAACACACTCAGTGTCGAAATGACGACGACGAGAAAGGTTCTCAACCTTGGCTATGCGCTTCGGCACACTGATCTCGACGTAGACCTCCTTCGTGATCACTCGCCTCTTGGTCGGCTTCCCGATAGCAGGCGCATCGTCGTCTAGTTCCTTCTCGCTTTCTAGTGCACGCTTTGTGCCCTTGCGGATGGTGCTCATTCTGGTGGTACGTCTTGTCTGAACGGTAGGCTTGAGCTTTGGCAGTTCTGCGTCTATGTCGGACGTGTCAGGTGTCGCTTGCTCTGAAGTTCTCGCGCTGAAGAGAGGCGACACGACGGTTGTGGGGGTATTTGGAGTGGCGGAGACCTCACTACGAGCACGTTGTCTAGTGCGCGGCATGGCTGGGAGTATAGAGTATAGATCTGTGGTCGAGAATGTCTACGAGGCGGTGGTTACTAGCTACGAGGTGGTAGAAGACAAACGCGACTTTTGACGCGTCCAAACCTTATTTATGGCGCATGCGATCATTAGTCACGCTCTAATTTTCAACCGTGACCATCACATGACCGTGAGTACCATGCGACGCGACGCGTCCCGCGGCCGTTTCAAGTTGTCTTGTCATCGAGGGATCCTCGCTCAATCCAATGTCCAGATGCACTGTCCAGAAGTTAAATACTTGGAAGAAATAACATTTCAGTGGCTCTGTCTTTTACTCCTTATAATCTCGTACCTTCAAGTACACTGCAATTCACCTCATGACTGCTGTGTCCCAATCCTCACCGTCTCCGCATTGCCTCCTGTATTGCCATCGTTCTAGCATTCAGAGAAGTTGTGGTTTGATGCGAGTGTCTGTACCCATTTCCGTTCGAGAAGTCACTAATTATACCTTCTGCAGATGAGAAGGTTCCGTTGATAATGCTATGGTTGGTTTGAATACGCCTCCCTTCCCATCCCAGGATTAGCGCTGAGCCCCAGATGGGCGCATCTTCAAGTCTCGTGCTGTATGGCGAATCGCGCCTCGATGACGCTCGATACCTCCAGTGAGCTTCTGCGCCGTTGAACCACGACGCATGGGCTCACAGCCTTGTTCACTTCTGCCTATATTCGGTAGGTCACAATTTCTAGTTACCAGAGTTCAGCAATCCTGTGCACACCCACAGCTCTCCCGCAGTATGTCACATTGGCCTGCCTTTGGTGACTTTCTTGACTTCTAAATACTCATGGAATTTATAGTGGCTTACGGCACTCATGATCTAGCTCAGGATGGTGAGCGGAGCTTGCCTTGCGGATGGTAATCTGAATATGCCTCGCACCATCCTCAAGCACGGCGCGGTACTTTGAACCACCTGGGCGTCTAGTCGTTACGGAATGAAGAGTGCCTTTGGAGGTTGTATTGAAGGTTCAAACGACAAGTTGGCGGCAATTTTTCTGCGTGTCTATTCTTACTGTCTGGGATGGAGTACTGCTGAAGTATCATGCGATGGTATCCACCACGATACGAGAGTAGCTGCTCATTTCCAAGACACCCTCAGCGCTACTACTGCAGGTCACTAGTTGCACAGTGGCTCAAAACTCACGTTTGCTTACGCGGAAGACCTCCACTTTTCTGCAGAACGTCATCCGATAGCGCAGACCATACGCATCTGGTTGCAATATTGTATGGCATCCTATTTGTGGCATAGCAGTGGTCTGCCTCTCCTTGTTATCCCTGCTTCTGATCTGGCTGCTTAGCTTGACGAACTCTCACATGCGTCATACCACCATTGTTCTGGAATCGCATGTTCGCAGGCCCCCCTTTTGTCGGAAAAGATACACCCTGATCGCCTCGCGGCTGGCAAGTCTGAAGGCGAGTTTCGCATAAGTACTGCTACCATTTCTCCCAACTTACCTGTCTCCTCGGTCTACTTGCTCAGCCATAACCTTCGTACGACGCGATGTACTCGAATGAGAACTTACGCGGCAATGTCAAAGCAGAGGTGGAATTCAAGACTTCCCATGAACACTGCGACGAGCACATCTCGCCCATTGTCGCGTATGTGTGATCTGATATAGTGTCTCTTTGAGTCTCAACGTAGAAAGTATCTACCATGACCACGTATAGACCTACGTTCTGCAGCCGTACTGATGCTCACTGTTTAAGCCACAGACGTCCTTTCTTCCTCGTCTTACAAGCCCTGTGCTCGCACGGGTGGCATGTTTATTCGAGACCATAGTCGTACACACGATAATTAGCTGCGGTACGGTAATTATTGTCTATCGTAGGGCGTCACCCTCGAGAACAAGCAGGAACCAAAAAAAAAAGCAGGAAAAAAATACAATTTCAACGCCCCTCCTTCTGCAGCGAATATATCACGATCCCTCGGGCTTCTGACCTTGGTTGACCGCGTAGTCAATATATCCTGGTTGGTACCCTTGCTGGTACGGGTTCGGAGGAGGATTTATGTACCCCGACGGCGGTGGGACTTGCCAATTACTGACTCCCCCACGTTGGAAATCGTACCCTGGCTCCCAACTATCGATGCGTTCAGGGGCACAATCAGCGATGGAACTCGGTCAACACTTACCCTGCTTCCATGGGGATGCTCCACTGACAAATGCTACATATCCATATGCGCTTCGATGATAGAGGAATGAGGGGGATGAAGTAGAGCTCAAACCAGAGTCTGGACTTGGCGGAGTGTACGGATGCTAGGATGGGGTTTGAGCCTGCATGGCGCTAGAAAAGGGAGACACCGACATACCGTTGCCACATCTCGGGCAGATTCTGGGTGTCTGATTCCCCTCTGGCTTGATCCTTGTGGGGCACCCAACTGCAAAAAGGGTATAAGCCGACCGCCCACGAAATTGACCCATCAAGGAACGTACAGAAGATAGGCAAACATACTAGAGAAAACGCGCGTGAGACAATCAGTTCTACGCGTTCAGACACTGGCACTGCTGCTCACAGAACATCGAGACTGCGATACTGGAGAATGCTGAACAGATGGCTGGGCGAGAAAAGGTGTTCCGCGGTTAAATGCAGAGCATCTTGGTCTTAGGAGCGCAGCGCAGTCAAATGCCAAGGCCAACAACCCCCATTAATAATCACGTGCTTTAGAAGATCGATCTTCGATTTACGATCATCCCAGTTCTGGAACGGTCTCGCGACGGGCAATGGCGTTCTGACAACCTGTCGCATTGCAGGGATGTAATTGTCTTAATCTGCATCAACTGTCCTTTGTGCTGAATGGCGTGACAAAGATTTAACTGCGCCGACTATATATCAGTCTGGAGGATAGTTTTATTATTGTCCGATCACCTTCCATATATGGCAATTAGTGTGGCATGCTGGTGTAGGCCAAACATACTGTCACTGCAGGCAAAAGTGGATGTTCTGCCTTGGAACAGTGTCTGAACATCCAAGGAACAGATTACATTTTTGGACATGTCACATGTTCTGAACATGGTAAGGAACATCTAATATGTCTTACACAATGTTCCGTTGGAGAGCATGCTGGAAACATATTGCATGTACCATTCTGGAACATATAATATGTCTCACACAATGTCTCATTGGAGAATGTCCTGCAGACTTGCTGCATGTTTCATTCTGGAACATTTATCATTTTGCTACTATATTCTGGGCTTGTCTCTTGGTGCAATATGCTCTGTATAATAAGGATTTTCCATGGCCAAACACATTACATTTCTGGCCGCCATTAATCTTCAGAACATTGTGAGAAGATGTTAAGTGCTCCTACTCCAAACATACAAGATGTCCTGCCTGGGCGGGACCTCCACTCCAACCTAGTGTCGACCTCTACGTGGTCCAGGGGACTAGTACCTTGTGTTACAACGCTCCTCACGCTTTGGCGCATCTTTTCTTTTTCTTTTCTTTGTTCCCTTTACGTTACCAGACCACGTGATCCAACACGTGACTTATCGGAGCGCAACCTCCGATTCTTTATCCAGATGTCCAGAACCCCTAGTCTAGGGTTACACCGGATCCAACTCCGGACCTTCTTCTTATCGCACATGCAAGATGTGCATGTATGCCTCATCTTTACCTCGTTCTGATACACGACTCGTTATCCCCATTAGTACTGATTATCTCTCACGACCTTACTCAGCTTTCCCATACATATTACTTCCTCGCTGTTACCCTGCTTAGACATCATTTCACCTTATCTAGCCAATGAACGATCCTGCATTACTGCGTAATACTGCGGATACCTTTTGTATAAGTAGACGACCTTGTCGAGCTGGATCCCCATCTTGACCTGGTTACCATTAAACCAGCTTTTCACTTGCCTTTGACTGAGATTGACCGTCAGTAGCAGACAGCTACTACGAGTCATAAGAACGAACTCTGATCGACCTTCAGTGCGAGGACATCGCCAGAAGTGTCACTTGAACGGACTTGTGTCTTAGACTAAGACCTTGTCTCGTGACGACTCGACTAGACGCTCGTGTTTCGCTGCCGCGTAACATTAGGTCGAGATCTTATTACTCTCTGTGACTTCCTAGAGTCTAACAACGAACTACCGACCGGACCGAACCTTGAAGACTGAACGATACACCCGATTCGATTGCTAAAGCACCGTTTGAGATTACTCTGTAATCGAGGTAGCTGAAGGGATAGACTGATCACTCATCTTCGGAGAGGGGTCTGTCCGAGAGACCAATAGGCCGAGGAGGCTGAGGTAATCACTCGAGCAATCAGCAAATAGGTGTATCAGTTTGAAGACAGAAGACACTCTATGGGGTTGTTAGCCGATGACGAATGAACCCACTTAGTTAAGGACGGTGTGCAGTCTACGTGTAGACATAGGCCACACAGAAGAATTTATCCACACTGGATTTTAACTACATCAACCCGACCGCTCTTCCAGAGCAGTACCGCGAGCACCTCCCATCCCAAGTGGAGTGGAGCACAGAACAAAACGCACATTTCATAGGAGGAAGGCCTGTATTCATCAGGCCAGACAATCACCACTTCGACTACTCCCCAGAGGAATTTGAAAGGACACTTCCCCATAATCTTGGTGGAATAGTGCTCCAGCACATCGCAGACAGCGGTATAACGATCTCCTATCCAGGAGAAAGACCAGACACCCCTTGGAACCCCCCTGCCCAGAATCCTGTACCCTAACCGACTCTTGCACCAATCGTACCCGATTACATACCACCGATGGCTACAGTTACCATGGATGAAGGACGTCACCATGTTAGCCAGAAGGAACTTGGTTTTAGAAAACCCGAGATCTTCAACGGTTCAGACCGTTCGAAGCTTAGGGAATTTATAAACCAATGCAAGAACTACATGGCCGGAAATAGCCATGTCTACCAGGAGGACAATCAGAAGATCGCATTCGTGCTATCGCACATGCAAGGAGGAACAGCAGGATCATGGGCACAGAGCTTCATAGAAACGGAACTCACCAATGACGACTTCCTTTCCTATGGGAGTTGGAGAGACTTCATTGCGAGTGTGAACAAAGCATTTGGCGATGAAAATATTGAAGAAACCGCTCGTACCTTGCTGCGTAACATCAAGCAAGGAACTCGTACTGCGGACGACTACATTGCTGAATTCCGATCGCTTGAATCCAAGGCGAAACTAGAAGATGCCGGAAATATCGAGTATTTCAAGTGGGGGCTTAACGACCCACTCCGACAAAGGATATATGGGATGGAAAGCATGCCCAAGACACTTGACAAGTGGTACGAATACGCCTCGCAGTTTGATAACCAATGGAGATCTGCTCAGATCTTCAAGCGAGGAGCCACTACGATGACGCGAGGAAAGGGCCGATCTGTCCATCGTCCCTACTACTCGACTTCTGCAAAGGATCCAAACGCGATGGATGTTGATCGTGTCAATATCTCGCGCTTATCCCCGGACGAGCGACAAAAGAGAATGAAAGAAGGATTATGTTTCCTATGCGGAAAGAAGGGCCATATAGCCAACGACAGACAATTCCACCCCCAGTCTGGAAGTTTCACTCGCGCTAGAACGATACAGCCCGGGTTAGACACAGACACGATCACATGGATCAAGAAGATGCGAGAAGACCTCGCACAGAAGAAGGAGACGTCAAAGGAAGAAACCAGAGAGGAACAGATCGCCTATGTGCGAAACGTCTTCAACGACATGACTGATGAAGAATGAACCCAATTGGGTTTTTGAGACGACGGCCACTAGTAATGCATGGACCGTTGCATCTTACCGTATCTCCCCTCATTATTTGTAACACTAGCGGAAATTCAATCACTGTGAATATTTCGTTGGGAGAGAAGGAAGACGTTACAACAGAAGCCTTGATCGATTCCGGTGCAGCCGAAACGTTTATGAACATTCGTTTTGCGGAAGAAAACGATTTCATCAGATGGGAATTACCGAAACCGATTACAGTCATGAATGCAGATGGCACACCAAATCAAATGGGTACCATTACTCATTGTACCTGGAAGATGATGAAAATCGGAGGAAGGAAGACGCTTACTCGCTTCCTCTTGACCGGCATTGGCAAAGAAAACATACTTCTCAGCATGCTGTGGCTTAAATGCCTCAATCTGATGATCAACTGGGAAACCGGTGACTTTTGGTTTGGTAAAGATGCCAAATGGCCACCGAAACTCACCGTCAAAGATGCATCAGATGAAGAAGTTTCGATTTTCAAGGAAGATGGACTCCCAGAGTTAATCACCACCGAAACTTCCCCTACCTCGTTTGGGCATTCGGAATCTATCAGAGAAATCATGGCCGATAACACTGAGCGTGGCGAGTTACCCGCAGTGCGGAATGATACCAAACCAGATGACCCACTATCGGAACCCCCTATAGATCAGCTCGATGACAACGATCTAGTTATATCCTATATCGCAGGAGAGCCAGTTATTGGGATATTTGAACCCATCAGGAAGGAGTCACCTTTGACGGATGAAGAGACTGAAACTGCAGTCTTCACCATACGAAGAGGCCCCGCCATTGGAAGAATGACACACAGTACCCAATCCCCATTATTCTGTAATGCACAGAATACGGTCTTTTACAAACCATCTGGTAAATCACAAGAATTGGCACAACAGGCACATAAGGAAGCATCAGCTGTAGACAAACCCAAAACCGTCGAGGAGTTGGTCCCCAACTACCTCCATGATTTGAAGTCCGTTTTTGAAAAGAAAGCAGCTGAACGCTTTCCAGAAACCAGGCCTTGGGATCACGCCATTGACTTGAAACCCGATTTTATTCCATGTGACTGTAAAGTCTATCCGTTATCGCTCAAAGAACAAGGAGCAATGAATGACTTCCTGGAAGAAAATCTGCGAAAAGGATACATCCGACCATCGAAATCTCCCATGGCTTCACCATTTTTCTTCGTAGGAAAGAAAGACGGAGCACTACGTCCCTGTCAGGATTACCGATATCTGAATGAAGGGACGGTGAAGAACGCTTATCCTCTTCTGCTCATTTCTGACCTTATGGATCAATTCAAAGGCGCATCGATCTTTACGAAAATGGATTTACGCTCCGGATATAACAATGTCAGAATCAAAGATGGTGACCAATGGAAGGGCACATTTAAGACAAATCGCGGACTGTTCGAACCTATGGTCATGTTCTTTGGACTCTGCAACTCCCCGGCGACTTTCCAAATGATGATGAACGCACTCTTCAAGGACATGATTGATGAGGGATGGATAGTCATTTACATGGATGATATCCTCATCTTCTCAAACGATTTGGAAGAACATCACGTTCGAACCCGACGCGTACTCCAATGACTCGAAGACAACGACTTATTCCTTAAACCGGAAAAGTGTTTCTTTAATGTTAAAGAAGTCGAATTCCTAGGCATGATCATTTGAGAAAACTACATTGGCATGGACCCTATCAAACTTAAAGGAATTGCGGAATGGCCTGAACCAAGCACGGTAAAAGGTGTTCGCTCTTTCCTAGGGTTTGGAAACTTCTATCGGAAGTTTATTGCCAACTTCTCGGATATTGCCAAACCATTGAAGAATCTTACGCGCACTGCCGCTGGATCTCCACCTTTTGAATGGACAACAGAATGTCAGACAGCTTTCGACACATTAAAGCAACGATTCAGTACCGCTCCAGTACTGTTACTGCCTGACAAGGCAAAACCCTTTATTGTTGAATCTGATGCTTCCAAGTTTGCTACGGGTGCAGTTTTACGCCAAGCCGATATCAATGGAGACCTCCATCCTTGTGCCTACATTTCACAGACGCTCAATCCAGCTGAACGGAACTACGAAATCTACGACCGCGAACTCCTCGGAATCATTCGAGCCCTCACTGAATGGCGCCATTATCTTGAAGGCTCTCCCCACCCCGTCGAAGTTCGCAGTGATCACAAGAACCTCACGTACTTCCGTACAGCTCAGAAGTTAAACCGCCGACAAGCACGATGGAGTCTCAAATTATCACAATTTGATCTTCACCTCATCCATGTCCCTGGCACTCAGATGATCCAATCTGATGCGCTCTCTCGTCGTAATGGACTCGATGACAGTGAAAGTGACAACGAAGATCGCATTCTTTTACCCAACGCACTATTCGTGCGATCCATTTCCCCAACACTATTCGACGAAATCAGGAATCACGCAGCAAAAGACCTCATTGTTCACGAAGCCCTCGAAGCGGTTGCGCACAAAGGGCCATTCCCCATGAAATCATCGCTTTCCGACTGGGAAGTTCACGATGGTGTCATCCTCTACAAGGGAAAGATTTACGTTCCACCATCTGAAACTCTTCGTCGTGACCTCGTTCGACTACATCATGACTCCCCTGCCATGGGTCACCCTGGAAAGTTCAATACTCTTGAACTGTTACGTCATGAATTCTGGTGGCCCGGCATGTATACATTTGTCTACAATTATGTTGAAGGCTGTGCCGCCTGTCAACAAATGAAACCGAATACTCATCCAACTCGTATTCCTTTGGAACCAATTCCCGCCGACCCACACGCATTACCATTTTCCTGTTGCACCACCGATTTTATTACCGACCTCCTCGTTTCCAACGGTTTTGATTCAATTATGGTCGTAGTAGACCATGACCTTACGAAGGGGGTGATTCTTACGCCCTGCCTCAAAACGATCACAGCCGAAGGAACGGCCAAGATTTTTCATGACAAAGTATACTCGCGATTTGGATTACCCGACCGAATCATCTCGGATAGAGGACCTCAATACGCATCCAAGGTCTTCCAAGAGTTAAATCGACTACTCCAGATCAGATCATCAATGAGCACAGCTTATCACCCTCAGACGGACAGAGAAACAGAGCGAGTCAACCAGGAGCTGGAAATCTATCTTTGACTCTATTGCAGAAACAACCCTGAAACATGGGCCGACCACCTGCCAGACCTCGAGTTTTGTCATAACACAAGGGAACACTCAGCACGGAAGATGAGCCCATTCCACATTATGATGGGATACGAACCACGTGGACTCCCTTCCGTATTTCCGACCACGAACATTCCATCGGTTGAATCCAGGCTTGACATGTTGCAGAAGATAAGACTAGAAGCACTAGCCATGCACGAGTTAGCCCGACAACAGATGGCGGACCGAGTCAGACAAGGATCGCCGAAGTTTACACTAGGACAGAAGGTCTGGCTAGACTCGAGGAACCTGAAGGTCAATTACGCCTTGCGCAAGATAGCACCAAAGCGTGAGGGGCCATTCGAAATTGTCGAAGTCATCGGACCAGCCAACTATCGTCTCAAACTCCCGAAGACCTGGCGAGTTCATTCCGTATTCCACACCGCCCTTCTATCTCCTTATCGCGAAAATGACATACATGGTCCGAATTACGTGAACCCACCACCTGATGTCGTTGATAACGAAGAAGAGTACGAAGTCGAAGCCATCCTGAATCACAAGACGTACCGAGGTCATCTGAGGTACTTAGTCAAGTGGAAGGGATATTCTTCAGCAGAAAACTCATGGGAACCTACCCACAATTTACAGAATGCCAAGCGAATCCTCGATGCATATAAAAGGACCAGGAGAATCCAGTAGAGGAGAAGAAACCCGGAATGACTACCACAACGGTTTTCCTCATCATCTTCCTAATCGTCCTCCACTGCACAACCCTCACTTTTCTTTGGATCATCCACCGAATCCTTATCAGACGACTTGTCGAACACATACTCTTCATCGTCCAATGGATTTTCATCTATTTGATTGTTACCCGGATCCACGACATTCTATTTCACATCACAGATAACCGCGATCCCCTTAACGACCGAAAGGTATAAAAGGAGGAGAAGACGATATATCATCAATGCCCACTTCCGCTATAGACGACCTTGTTCACAATATACTCGCTGAAGTTGCCTCCACAATTATGAGCATACCCGCATCGCCTACGCTTGTCAATGGAGTACCCTCTCGAGCACAGACACCCTTTATCTGCGCCTCATCGCCCTCACCTTCTATCGAACTCAGTCATGCATCGGACGAACAAGAATTTGCCATACGTCTGGTCTCGGCTATCCGTGTTCCTGTCGACTTCACAGATATCCTCGTCGCCTTACGAAATCGCCCGCAAGATCGACAAGCGGTGGTTTCCATGCAACGAGCATTAGAAATGGTCGAGTGGATGCAGACGGCCAGACAAGAGCTCATCGCAGCAGAGGAAAGGACGAGTAGAGCCCGAACCAGAGTCGACCAAGTCTGGTCATTAATGCGCAGTATGGTCACTCGTACAGCACAGGAGATTTGGAGGGAGCATGGGGACGAAGACATCGGACACATCCTCGGATACACCACTAATGGAATACCCGCATCCACTCCTCGCTCGTCACCAGAACCAATTCCCGTTCGACCTCGCCCTCCTCGTTCGCACATACCCAGTGGACGATCTCCGTTATCCCAACCATCTTTCTCGACCACATCCACTTCTTCGCGTCGCAGTCATCCCTACAGGGATAAATGTATCCCCAAACAAGGATCACGAACCAGCCGGCGGACATGCTACAGATGTGGAGGAGATCATTATGTCCGCGACTGCCCCCGATGACGATGAAGATCACAATATTTCTTGTGGGACAAGAAACGTTAGACGGGAGCTGATGTTACAATGCTCCTCACGCTTTGGCGCATCTTTTCTTTTTCTTTTCTTTGTTCCCTTTACGTTACCAGACCACGTGATCCAACATGTGACTCATCGGAGCGCAACCTCCGATTCTTTATCCAGATGTCCAGAACCCCTAGTCTAGGGTTACACCGGATCCAACTCCGGACCTTCTTCTTATCGCACATGCAAGACGTGCATGTATGCCTCATCTTTACCTCATTCTGATACACGACTCGTTATCCCCATTAGTACTGATTATCTCTCACGACCTTACTCAGCTTTCCCATACATATTACTTCCTCGCTGTTACCCTGCTTAGACATCGTTTCACCTTATCTAGCCAATGAACGATCCTGCATTACTGCGTAGTACTGCGGATACCTTTTGTATAAGTAGACGACCTTGTCGAGCTGGATCCCCATCTTGACCTGGTTACCATTAAACCAGCTTTTCACTTGCCTTTGACTGAGATTGACCGTCAGTAGCAGACAGCTACTACGAGTCATAAGAACGAACTCTGATCGACCTTCAGTGCGAGGACATCGCCAGAAGTGTCACTTGAATGGACTTGTGTCTTAAACTAAGACCTTGTCTCGTGACGACTCGACTAGACGCTCGTGTTTCACTGCCGCGTAACACCTTGCCTCCGGGAAAAGGCAAGGGAAGCTAACAGATGCAAAGGAGATCACACAAAACATGAGTTTACACGTCGTGCAACCAAACCCATCCCCCTGGGATAACTCATACAACTGTCTGTAGACGAGTCATAAAAATAACATAAAACACACATGAACCACAACCCACTACCACAATAAAAACACCCAACAGAACGCACAACAATACCCATCCACCATAAACAAACACCCAAACCAAAACCCTAATGCACTGCCCCATACCACGGCACGAACACTCCTGCAATACATCAATACTACACCAAATTAACTAAAAAACCCCGACAAATATACGAATAAACCGACCCAACCTGCAGGAATATTACACTCACCCCAACATAACAATCAACACAACCCCTTAAAATCACTAATACAAATAATAATTACATAATCAAACCCTGTAATCCACCGCCGAAATCAGAACACTCAAGAAGCCAAACTACACAAAACACAATCAACACCAAACCTTGCGACCACCACAAAACACCTGTTAACAATGCATACAACATCTATGCAACACCCCTAGATAACGTAGCGCCCCGTGTAGAATACGCGACAGATGCCCAACCACTAAACATATAAACCAAATCCCTCACAATCACCAGACAAGAAATACCCCATGTCATTCCCGAAACTTCAATATGGACTCCCCCCCTTTAACCTAACAATGAAACTGCCCCGCAACAACTCTCCTCCCCCAAACCCCATTCTCAAATTGCTCCAAGGACTACACGTCCCTATACCCTTCCCATCTGACATAACCCCCCTAGGAGAGATACGCCCTCACACCACTCCATACAAATCGGAACGCCCCCTAATCGAATTCTTTGCTGGGTCACTTACTCTATGGATAGACTGACCCCACCGCATCCCTACACCAAAGCAACCATGGACAGTCGCTTTCCCAGCATACAGACCCATTACTATCGGCTCCTACATCAAAATCTACCCATTCAGGAGAGGAACCATCATGGAGATAAGCTACGTGGGAACCCACAATATAACTCTCAAAATCATGGAAACCACGCACCGCGAAACAATCTATATCTCCGTCAAGCGTGAATGGACCAGAATACCAGACATAGATATCGCGAATTTCCGAGAATGACAGAAGAAACTCCGAATGACCCATCCAAATGCCAAATAAATCCGGAACGCTCAAGTAAGTGCCCCCCACACTAACAAACACTCTACCTAACATAAACAAACAATAACCTTACAGCCGCCTAAGTAATCCTATGTACCTCTTCATATACCAACCCTCCGATAAATACACCCTGCTCCAGACGCACCACCTAAGCCTATCAGACAGACATCAACACGTGACACAATCCCGACCCAGTGAAACAAACACGCCCGAGGAATGACATCGCCAAGCAACGATGACCCGAACACAACCCAAACCCAAACCCAAGAAATACTGAAAACAACATAGTACCCAAACCAAATGACCAGAATAAACTCACCGAATATCAACCCAAACTGCAACCTCCAAACAAAAGACGTAAACCAGACCGGACAAAACGGAAACTAATAACAAAAACCCATCAAAACCAAACAAATAGAAACACCGCATGCACCGAACCAGCGTCTACAACACAATACATCCGGCCCCACCCAATACACCGATGAACTCCCGCATCATGTCTAATCAAGTTGTCAGTACAACACGTGAAAACATAACAGACATCCTTAAGGACAACCAACAACCACCAACACCCAAATCCTAACACACCCACGCTCCCTACCTATGAAACATACTCACCAACAGACCGCTCGCATATGCGCTGCATGGAAGGAAAAATGACTGAAGAATGGTCAGAAGACAATAGGTAGCTAAACGATCCCCCACCATACCACCAACCTAACCCCCAACCAATAGGGTCAGACGACAAAGCATGTTTCGCATCCCCAGAACGCACCAGTACCACACGCCAGCAGTTGGGACATGTAACTGCACCACCAACTACAGGCACTCAACCGGTGCCCATGCAAGTGGCAACCACGACCCCTGTCGAACAAATTGACCACAATGTCGATCTCCTGCCAGTCACCACGATCAGCGAGCCAATCTGCGTCCCCGGGATCCCTCACAACTCCAAGACAGTCCATAACATGACCGTGAAAAGGGCAGCCCACCCCCCCCCCCCCCAGCCGACGCACAGACCCCCACGATCCTTCAACTCTCACTCCCCTCCTCGCCGAGCTTCCTCTTCAGCATGACGTGTAACCAAGAGTCTCAACAGCCCATACAAGGACTGCAGAGACCTCGAGACCCCCGAAGGACCTCTCACAGTGCAGAAAGGACAGCCGATAGACAAGATCGCACCATCCCCAGTCCCGACCACATCCCTGTCCCAGATCTCCTATCCCAGATCCAGTCCCTCACTGCCGCATGACAAGCTGAAATGCTGAGTACATTTGTCCAGGCCCTAGGAAAACAAGGAGAGCAGAAGGCACGAGAACAGATGAAAGGAATCTGGAAAACCCCCACTGGCCTGCCGCATATGACTGAACCCCCCCTAGTAACCCCCGCAGTGCTGCCCCACACCAGCCGCGGATCAACGAAGGAGGAACCAATCGCAGCCTCGACTACGGAACCTGAGACATTGAACGTATTGATGGCACGCACCCAAGAGAGACCTACCGGGATAAAGTGTAGCCAGGCCCAGTTCTTTGACGATGAAGCAGAAATATGGTGCACCATGGAGGACCTAATCCCAGATAAACACATAAGGCAAGGCATCTTCACGTCAGCACGTCTAACCATGCCCCTTCCTGAGGCTGGGAACAACCTAGATGCCCTACTCGAGTCCTCCCCATCACTATCCTCTTCCTCCTTGCACATCAACAATGACCCCTTCTAACCCTCGTCACCTACCGAAGGACGTCCTAAAGGGAAAGAACCGAGCAACCACACCCTTCATTCTATAGCAGCCCGCATTGCGAATGAGGCAGAACCAGTTGTCGACAGCAGGAACATAAGGACAGCCGGCCCCAGCAAGCAAACGATGAACTCACAGTTGCCCACTCTACAGCCGTCCCTAATGAGGCCGAAGGATGACACACCTCACCCGTGTACTGGCCGCACCCTACGTGCACCACCCTCCACAGATATCATGACCCAGATCGCTCATTGCGACCCAATACCAGAGGAAATGCAGAATCCGGAGGTCACGCCGACTGCCAACATCGTCCTTACGCCGACACCAGCAGAAGGGTTCCCTAAGACCTACGGGAATATCCCGTACTTCTTCTTCGAGAATCTCGTGGCTGACCTCTTCAACACATGGTGTGCCAATGACATTACGCATGTCGCTATCATGCCCATAGGTGCAAGTGCAAATGACAGAGTTCTACAGCCCTATCTAACATCCAAGATCTGTATGACCCTACAATGTCTCCACAACATCCGTGAAATCATACTGGCCAACCCGCGTGCAACCCAGATGAGCAATATTATGAACCAAGTGCCCTTTGCCTTCATTGCCATCAACATCACGGAAGAGCAGAAGAACGAGATCCTAGCCCAATATGCTACTCCACTCCGGAGGTATCCTTTATCGCGCTCGACATCATGTGGAAGCTACCACAGTACATATGCACCTTCACCAGTTTCTTCAACCACTCCTTTGACGATATCCCAGCCCGGATCTACAAATGCATCATGAATGCCACCAGCATTCACCAGCTCCTCAACATCGTCGGACACAACAAGGAAGGACATACACTGGCAGCAGATGCCCTCACGACAATCGTCATATGCACCGTCACCGTCCGTGATGACAACAGCTTCGAAATTCCGGCGTACAGTATCTTCATGGACAACGCTCACCTCTCGCTCGATATGTGGACATCCTGGTCCAACTACGTCTCCAGTCTAGAGATCAACACAGACTGGCAAGGAACCGAAAGAGCTCTACCACCTCGCAGATGCTCGATATGCCACAGCGTCGACCACAAATTCGACTCGTGCCCCTTCCCCGCAATCCCTGGCTGGCATAAACTCCCGAGTCATGATGTCATGCGCACTCTGAGTGGAACAGCCCCTCATCAAATGGGCTGTGGGACTTATCGCGGTCGAAACAACCGAGGACAGAGCAGCCAGGGCTACAGCAGCCAGTACTGCAGATGTGAAATGAGGTGCTTTTAGATCTACACAATGACTTCCCCTTGAACTACACCATGCACTCCTTCCATACAATGCCTTGTCTGTTCCCCCACTATGATCCAACACATTCCCTACATTACCTCGATGTCATCCTTCCTCCTAAGAATCGCAACCCCCAATAATACCTATCCCACCCCCTCCCCCCTTTTATATTTATTTTCGCATCATATCAGCAGGCAAAGTCGATCCCGTAGAACTTGACCTAGCCAGTATACCCGATACTGAATACATCGTTTTGCACTTGCAATCAGAACGAGCCCTCCCTCAAACAAACCTGAAATCACACCCACCATAGCCCGGATAACTAAGACAGAAATGATTCGAAACCCACCATGTACTAAGCCCAAATACACTGACTGGTTCTACCAGGACAGGAAAGCCTATACGTTCCCCCCCACCCGTGCACCTCTATGCACAAAAGCGGAGGCCTATTTAGGCCCTGATGAGCCGCGCCGAGAGGCTGAAGCTGCAATGACAAAAAATGCTGACTGATCCGTGGAAGTCGCATTCCCTCACCACCCAGCATAGTCACCTCCGGAACCATAGATTAATGGCTGCCCGGTTTGATGCATAGCTGTAAGTCAAAACCCGGACACACTCATCGGACCCAACCCTCCAAAGAAATAACCTAAACCCGGTAATAACACCCAACACAGGTCCGAGCCTCCCCGGTCCCAGAGGAGAGACTCAGCCGCCCGCTGTGCCTCACTCCGATGATGGGACCAGAGAGTACGGAGGCGGGCAACAATATACCTCACAACCCACACCAATGCCCTCTCCCAATCAATCAAATGCACTACAACACTGAACGAACCACACAAAGTCTCAAAGATGCAGACAAAAAATTTAGCGAAACACCAAGGCGCACCTCCACATCGCCTCTCTGAACATGTGAGGAAAAGGACAAACACCGATCACTCGACCAACTAACAAATGGACACAGATCCACCAACTAATCAGAGACCGTAAAATAGGCATCCTCACACTACAAGAAACACACCTAGATCAAACATACATAGACAGTCTCCACCGACAGTTTGGGAAGTGACTAAGTATCCATTTCTCATCCCCGCCACACATCACAAATGCACAAGGAGTAGCAATAGTTCTCAACAGAGAGCTCACAAATACAAAAGGAGTCAAAACCACAGAAATCATCCCAGGTCGAGCCCTCTACATCTCTCTACCATGGCACGGAGAACTAATCATTAACGCATTAACCATTTACGCACCAAATGACCCAAGAGAAAATGAAAACTTCTGGCACCAACTACACAACTACTGGGAAAACCACAATCTCCCATACCCAGACATCCTACTGGGAGATCTCAACCTAGTCGAGGATGCTCTCGACAGATTTCCAAACTGCACAGACCCCCCCAACACAACCCGGGCCCTCACAGACCTCAAAGAGCACATACTCCTACAGGATGGATGGAGAAACGCCAACCCAAATGCACGTGCCTACTCATTCTTCCAAAACAGCACCAGAAGCAAGTCCCGAATCGACCGAATATATGTAAGCGAACAACTCATAGAATCAACAAGTGACTGGTCCATAGATGACACAGTGATACACATGGATGACAGACTAGTCTCAATGCGCATCGCCAACAAACAAACCCCATACATCAGAAAAGGTCGGTGGACCCTCCCACTACACATCCTACAAAACAAATGTTTCATTGACACAGTCAACTACCTAGGACGAAAACTAGAACAGGACATACAAGAACAAACAACCACCAGGTCAGAAACTCAAAACTCACAGAATCTCTTCAAAAGATTCAAAGATGATGTAATACGAGAAGCTAAACAAACTGCATGTAAAACAATCCCCCGTTCGCAAATGCATATAAACACTAAAAACACAACTCCAGATCCTATATAATGACCCAAAATATGCACACGAACCGAACCTTCAACTATCAGCTGACCTAATCCAACAACACATCATCGAAATAGAAACGGCACGAAGCAACCTCTCACGAAAAATGTCCTCAGCACAACACCAAATTGCAGGCGAAACACCCAGTAAGTACTGGTCCAAAATAAACCGGGAAGCACACCCCAGAGATATCCTCTTCTCACTAAAAATCCCTGACCCATCCCCGCCACAATACATCACCCGCTCAGACAAAATGACAAACCTAGCGTGAGACTACCACAAATCCATACAAACTGACACATCCCAAGCCACACCCCAAGAACGAGATAACGCGATACAAACAGCCTATGAGGCCATCCCAAATGAATCAAAACTTAACAAACACTCAAAGCTAAGTGAGAACATCTCAGAAGACACCATCCTCAGAGCCTTACAAATGTCGCAGAATGGAAAAGCAGCAGGAATAAATGGAATCCCATATGAATTCTGGAAAACACTCCAAGTACGTTTCCTCACACTCTCAAAAGATGGAACCCCAGTCTTCAACGTTATCCAAACACTCACCTGGATATTCAATGACATAGAAACCTATGGAACAACCCCCAAAGCACAGTTTGCAATGGGCTGGCTATGCCCACTATACAAGAAAAATGATCGTAGAGACATAGCAAACTATAGACCCATCACCCTACTAAACACAGATTACAAAATTTTCACAAAAGCTTTATCATTACACCTCTCAGAAATTGCACCCAATCTGCTACACCCGTCACAAGCAGGCTTCGTCCCCAGCTGGAACATCTTCGACCAAATCCGACTCACCAGCCTCATGGTAGATTACACCGAGGCAGTAGAAGAGAATGGAGTCATAATCACACTCGATCAAGAAAAGGCCTACAACCGTATCACACACGACTACCTCTGGCAAACCCTAGAGGCTTTCCAACTCCCTAGACAATTCAGCAATACCATCTGCACCCTATACCAACACGCAGAAACTGTTGTCATCATAAACGGAGAAATAAGCAAACCTTTCCTAGTCACACGCGGTGTACGACAAGGCGACCCCATATCCTGTCTACTATTCGACCTCACCATTGAACCGCTTGCTTGCCTCCTCCGCTCTTCCCCTCTACGCAGATTCAAAATCCCAGGATCCTCAGAACGACTAATCACAACCCTCTTCGCCGACGACACAACAGTATACCTAGCAGAATCAGATGACTTCATGACCCTAAAACAAATCCTAGATACCTGGTGCATCGCAGCAAAAGCCCGATTCAACGTTAACAAGACTGAAATCATCCCAATCGGATCCTCTGATTACCGGAAAAATGTCATTGACCAACGTCGAATACACGCTTCAGCAGCCCATTTCCTCACAAACATTCATCTAGTGCACGAGGGTGAAGCCATCAGGATCTTAGGAGGATGGATAGGAAATAACACGGATCCCTCGACGCCATGGGCCAACACACTAGAGAAAATACACGCAGCCCTAGCCCACTGAAATAAAAGCCACCCCACACTCAGAGGACGACGCCTCATTATCCAGATGATCATTGGAGGAATGACCCAATTCCTCACCGAAGTACGAGGCATGCCCAAACACATCGAAAAAAGCCTAACCTCTACAATACGCAAATTCATCTGGAATGACAACCGCACCCCCCTAGTAAGCATGAAAACACTCCACCTCCCTACATCCCAAGGCGGCATCGGACTCCTCGATCTCCAAAGTCAAAACCAAGCCATAGACCTCAAGTGGCTACGCCCCTTCCTCGACCTATTCAAGTTGCACCCCCTATGGGCATATCTAGCTGATGTACTAATAAATGACGCTGTCACGTCAGCCTCCGGGAACATCCACAAACTATCGCAAATCAACATTTTCCTACAGTCATGGGAAACAAGCACACACACAAAGTCAAAACTCCCCCACAATCTCCCCTGAATGTTATGAGCGGGCAAAACCTTCCACGCAAATTTCTCCACTTTAAAACTCCCCCCCTCCCTCCAAAACCAACTCCCCTTCTGGTATCACCTCATAGCAGGTCCAACGCTCAGATGAATGAACAACACACCTACCTCTAAATGTCTACATATGGCACACCACGTAAAAACAGTAAGCAACCTACTCCGCGTCACCAAACGACAACACGAGCCTAACCTCAACCCCCCACACTGCCCATGCCGAAACTGCCGCTGCAAACACTGTGTCACAGACAGATCCAACAGCTGCAAACACCCCCATTGCTGCGCAAAAGCCGCACACAAGGCGATATCCCTCCTCAATGCAAAATGGAACCCAGAATCACAACTGACACCCGACGGCCCCTCCCTCACAAAAAGGTGTAAACAACAAAACCTTAATGCAACCGAAAACAGAGAACAAATCATCTTCGACCCCACAACCAACACCCACGGAAACCTAGCAAATGTCTTCAGAGTTTTCACTGACCCTTACCTCCCCCGTACACTCCTACCAAGATGAAACGGCAGAGGAATACCACAAGACTTAACAACAATCTACACCGACGGCTCCTGCATTAATAACGGAGACACAAATGCACAAGCCGGGAGCAGTCTATGGTATGACCCAGATGATCCAAGAAACAAGGCCTACCGTCTCCCATCACACACAGCATCAAACCAGGCCGGAGAGGTAGCAGCAATACTCTTCGCCTCCCATGCGACCCCGATGAACACTCCACTCCACATCATAAGCGACTCCCGGTACGCGATCGACGGCCTCACCAAACACCTCCCACACTGGGAGGACAAAGGATGGATAGGAATTGAGAACGCCCCCCTTTTCCGTGCCACTGCATCAGAAAAACCCAACTTTTACTTATGGGACTTATTCCGACTTTTTGTCCTTTTTTTGCCTTATTTAAGGCCCATAAGTTCCCAAAAGTCAACTTTTAAGTCTCTAAGGAAATATGACTTATGGACTTTTTGTCCTTTTTTACCTTATTTAAGGCCCATAAGTGCATTTAAGTCACATAAGGACACCTTTAAGTAAAAGTCCTGATGTGCCGCCTCCCTACGACAATGCGCAGCAATCACAACGTTCACATGGACCAAGGGTCACTCCGGAAATGAAGGAAACACTGGTGCCAATGAGCTTGCACGCCAAGAAGCCCTCAAACCCACTCCTGACAATTTAGACCTATCCATTCCCGATGCTTTCAACCTAACCGGAGCAAAAATAGCTAAACTATCCCAAAAACTAGCATATCAAGGCATATGCAACTCCATGCCCACCCCGCACTGAACATCCACGACCTCTCACTTAGACATCACCCGATTCACAATACAATTACATACCGGCACAAAACCATCAGACGCGACACTATGGAAATCCCTCCAATCCCCGGCACTCACTCGACCAGTATCTGACTTCCTATGGAAATGTATGCACAATGCCCTCCGATGCGGCACCTTCTGGGACAAAATACCGGGGTATGAAGAACGGGCTATGTGCCCGACCTGCGGAACGCTCGAAACAATAAACCACATTATCTGCGAATGCTCAGCCTCAGGCCAAAAAATTATCTGGAATCTCACAAAATGACTCTGGACCAAAAAGGATACCACCTGGTACCCCCCTTCCCTAGGAATAGCCCTCGGATGCGGCTCCATCACCATCCGGAAACCAAACGGAACGATCAGGAGCGGAGCGACCCGTCTATACCGAATCCTCATATCGGAAGCCACACACCTCATCTGGAAACTATGCTGCGAACGCAGAATAGTACGAAACGACGACCCAGAACGAGCTCACTCACAAACGGAAATCACAAACAAATGGAAATACGCCATAAATAAATGCCTACAACTCGACTGCGCAATGACATACAACCGCTTCGGACACAAAGCCCTATCCAAAAAACCAGTCCTTCGTACATGGGGCGGCACCCTCAACAACGAGAACTCGCTGCCGGACGATTGGACTCACAACACAGAGGTTTTAGTGGGTATGGACCCCCCCTAGAGCCGCGAAGGCCCAAGGGGCGGATCGAGCCCCACACTGCCACGATTGGCGTGCGTAAGAGCATTTTTTCCTCTTTGGAGATCGGGTGAAACTCCCGCGACCAGCAGGCCTATTAGTCTCGGAACCAGCCGTTCTGACCTTCGACCCTTTTTGGGAATTGAGGTGGAAGGGTTGTCAGAACGTCTGGTGAAAATTGTATAGAGGGGGGGGGGGGGGGGTATGTAACGCTCTCCTGGCTGTAGCTCCCGCACAGCGCGTGTCACGCTGGTCATCCCGCGTGTACCTGCACATCTCCTGCCTCCTGCTGATAAATATTGTTCATGTGTGCAACCATATATGCCCCCGAACCCTATTCTAGGCATCGGTAACCCGTGAATGTGCCGCGCTCAGGTTCGGATGTTTCGAGTTTTGGCTGAGGTCACGCCCGTGTGACATACCCCCCCCCCCCCCTTCTATACAATTTTCACCAGACGTTCTCGGGAGCGATCCAACATCTTTAACACCCAATTTGGTAACCGCTAGGTTGCTCACGTGAACGTCTGGTTACGAGACTACAGGCCTATAGGGGCAGATCGATTATCTGGATGCCTATAGAGCCGTTACGCTCCTCAAAAAAAAAAAAAAACACAAGCAATGGCACCTGGCGGGAAGAGCAATTTGAGTGTGAGACGAGGGTGGAACGTCGTTCCCGTCCGTCCCCGCCTGCTGCGCAGTTCAGAGGGCACATCTCAAAAGGTATACGCGCCTGCGCGTCCGACGTTTTCGTCCTCTTACGTGCCGGTCACGGTTTATTTTCCCTTCTGGCTTGCGACTCATGGTGCAGTTACCTCAGTACTGTTGCGCCTGGTCATGTAAACGTAAACGCCTTCAGTATCAATACCAACCCTACCGTGACCACTGTTAATCAATGTTGCGGATGTTGAGAAAGAGTCTAAGACTTTGGCTCAGTAAATTGTTGCACACATGAAAGGCTATAATTGATCAACATGTTTATCTGATCATGAGAGAACGCTCATGTACATGATATTTCTACTAGAATTGCACGTAGCTACATCACACATAGGCCAGAAGCAGCGCCATTATCAGAACGGACATGGTCAATCTCTGCAAGTTGTTCTTCCTTTCCTCATTTCTAGGACCGTCACCTGCGCGATTCGTAAACCAGTCAAACCTGGTTCCTAGAAGCTCAACTTGCCCCCTTTCGACTAAGCCAACGAGACGTCCGAATTCACTGAAGATCCTGATGAGCGAACTCTCGATGACTGCGATGATCCATGCGAAGCCGGCGATGCTTGTTTTGATGGCTGCTGCCCTATTAGCGTCCCTCCAGAGATGGCGGTACATATCGTGTAAAATGTTTGAGAGGAGAACAGCAATACACATCCTCAATCCAAGCGATAGAAGGAAACTTCTTGAGGCAGACCCATGTAGGAGGAGGAGCGACATCCACAAACTGAAGCCACTAAGGATTACGAGTGCCGACAACGACAGCAATTCAGCACTGTTCGGAATATCTCTGTAGGTGAGGTCCGGATACAACTTGATGAGAGCTCCGTCGCCTTTTGACCACATGTAGAAGCGCCAGTAGGACCGACTGCCATCATTCCACCACGGATGTGTAACCACAACATCGGGTGCGGCATGGAAACCCCCGCCGCCCCGCTCAATCGAGTATGCCCTCTTTCTGATGCATAAGTCAATGTCCTCTCCGCCACCAGTCTTTGGGAAGGTTACATCGAACTCGACATTATCCTTCACGTTCCGACGAACCATGAGATTGGCAGTAACACCCCAAGGCAAATCACACGCCATGGCCATGTCGCCTGCCTTCGTGGCAATGTCCCAAAAATAAGTTACACCAGCGAGGTGTACAGCCGCAGTGTATATAGTATCTGCAGAGGGAAACTGAGAATTGCCGACGAATCCAGCAGCGCTGGGATGAGCACGAATGATTTCTTCCGCCTTGCGGAGGATATTGGGCTCTGGTTTCACGTCGTCGTCCAGAAAAAGGATCCATTCAGCCGCAGACTCTTTCATGCCGCGGTTCCGAGATGCAGAAGCGCCGCGATTAACATCGTTGATACGGATGCGGACATCAGGTCGAACAGAATATTTGTCAAGCTGGGAGATATTGGGTGACTTAGGGTCATCTATGATGATAATAAACATGACCGTGCAGGTAGTTGACGACTCCAGAGACAAGAATGCATCAAGATAGGGAAGCGACACCCTATAACATGGTATCACCACGTCTAGAGTGAGCTTGCGTTTCACGTCTGGTTGATGTCTGCCGACCCAATTCTCCACCGTTGATGTCGCACTGTCCAGCGGTTGAAAGGTCCAGTCTACTGCAGAAACCTTGCAATAACGTGCACCGCCACTACCTCCCATTGTGTTGCGAATGCGGGACGGAATCATCCCGGAGCAATCCCAGCGTCTGTACAATTGGAACAGGAATGGGTCGCCGTCCTGATTGATGAACGAGTCTGGGATGACCTTTCCGCCGAAGATATCCATATGCGTTCTGTGAACGACCGGAAATGTGGGCATACCGGGGAATGTGGTATCTGTCAGGGCGACACATCCGAAGCCCTCTGGAACGCCCTCCCGCCGGACAAAGTCGGCGAAGGTGTCATGAACTGCAGACAGCCAATTGCTGTCTTCCAAAATGACGTCGTCACCCAAGAGGATAAAGTAGTCGCAACCATCTTGCCATGCTCGGAGAGCACAGCGACGCCAAAGCGCACAGACATGGCCCCTCGGAAAGTCACATGCCAAAGTCACAACATCAAAAATCCCCTCATCTCGCAAGACAGTCTCAGCCTCGTTTCCATCCAGCTTTAAGAGAAACTCGTCATCATGGTCGATGGCGAGGTACACTTGCAGTCGGAATCGCTGACCAAGACGGCTCCTATCGTCTATGGTGGTGCGCAGCAGTGATCGTGCAAATTCGCGGAGATTGTTGAGACAGGCATATGGGGAGACAGATCCTCTGGAAGTGATAGGAAGAAGGATGCCAAAGGTCCTCCCTCGGACGTGTAGGTCCACGGTTTCGCTAGTCTGCATGCCTACGAGGAGACGTTGATGCTCCTCCTTGGTTGCACCTAACAAAAGGCGATCCATCTCCCCAGAGATCCATTCTGCTGTTCGCGCCATACCGACTTCGAGGGTAACCTGAGGACTCCACTGTAAAAGAGACTGCACAAAGTCGTTGTTGGAGTTACGAGATCCAACTCCAACGGGCTTGTTGAGATCGTAGCGAAAGTGTACCTGCTCACGACTGAGCTTCGCACACTGCACCGCAATACCGGCAAGCTCCTGGATAGAGACAGCACGGTCTGAACCGATGTTCACCGCGCTCGTGTAACCAGATCGAAGTAAACGGATGATCCCTTCGACCGCATCGTCGATGTAGCAGAAGGACCTCCTTTGAAACCCGTCTCCCCAGAGCTCTAGATCGAAAGGGAAGGTCCCCGCCGCTCTTGCAGCCAAAGCTTTCCGAAGAAGTGCGGCGGGGGCCTTCTCGCGACCTCCGTTCCAACATCCGCCAGGCCCGTACACATTGTGAAAGCGAGCAACACGTATCGCAAGCGTTGATGCATACGAATGTAGTACCTGCTCCGTGTTCAGCTTTTCCAACCCATACAAGCCTTGCGGACAAGGAGGTAGCGCTGCCCAGACATCATCTTCCCTCAGAGAGACATCCACGTCCCCGTTACCTTGCAGTGAATCGGGATATACACATGCCGAGGATGCGTAGAAGAATCCGCGCACATTATGTGAGAGACAAGCCGAGAGCAGATTCAGAATCATAGAATGATTTTCTTCGTAGATGATGAGATTATTGTCAGAATGAATGACCCCCATGCCGCCCACTGTAGCTGCAAAATGAAGTACGACGTCGACGCCGTGGACTGCCTTCATGCAAAATGTCGGGTCGCAGAGGTTACCCAGCAGGAAATCTGCATTCCGAGGAACATCGAGATAGGACTGGGGATTTATGTCCGTGACGCGAACTTTGTAGCCATCGGCACACAGACGTCGGGCAACGTGGCCACCCTCCAGCAACGTTAGTAAATCCAGTCTATCCCGGACAGGAACAAACTCACGATAAATCCGTGGCCGCCAGTTACCAATATCTTGCTGTCTGGAGATAACATGGAGGGAAGACTGGCATGCAGTTTCGTGGTCATTGCGCCCTTATATCCCCGACTGGCTGGCTTGCCCTTCTGCGGAATTCCGGAAGATGATCGGTGTCAAAGGTGGCCTCGTCCAGAACCGGAGGTAGTGCAGCTGACCCCTGTTGACATGTAGGGACGTGATGACTCTCCTGAATTAGAAGACAGGAGGGTGCATGCTTCTGGACATTGGACGTGGGACAGCTCTCGCCTCTGCAAGAACATCCGATTGCGACTACACTCCCAACCTACGAGATGGATTTTGACCTTCTCCGACGGTCACAGGCGGCACTGAAGACAGGCGTGCGCTAGTTCCGGACAGTCTGCAGTACACCAGGCCGTCAACTGAGACGGACCTCGACGTAATTCCCGTTCATACCTTATCCAACTAATTCAGCGCCCTGATACTGCGCAAACCTTCTATCAGTACTAGTATGAGCTGTGTGAGACGACGGGTTATAATTCTGGGATTGCCACCGACCAATCGGCCTAAAGAGAGTGGTTCGTAGAGCGCCTGATAGCGATGAATGGACGAACTTACCATTATAGCCCATTTCGAACGAGTCATAAACGCGTCGCATGGGGGAGCTTCTTGCGGGCCGTTCAATAGCCACTACATACGACCAGCGCCCAGTCGGGGTGTCGCCATCCAAGATCATTTGGGAAGCGGAGTGTATAAGTTTACCGGAGCGTCTCTGGACACTGCCTTCGGCGGCATCGTTAAGACTTCGACGCGTTCAACTGGACTCCTTGACGCCCCCTTCCCCTCTGCAGCCCCAGCGCCTGATAATATGCCAGCAATGGAGGTATGTTGCAGGTTAGACCGCACAAAATAACAAGAAAGTCACATACGATACGACAGGGCAGTCTTAACTCTTCGTCAGACAACGACAGCCCTCAAGACGAAGGCCTCAGATTCACCCCAACCCAGGATTGGTTTTCTTTCAACATTAATACTTGGAGACTGCTCTTTCCCAGGGTGACGTCTCCAACGCCGCGTGTGTTGGAGATTGGATCCTGGGAGGGTCGTTCCGCCGTTTTTCTCCTGACAGAGCTTTGTGCCAAAGGCGGAGACATCGTCTGTGTGGACCATTTCGACCTCATGCGAACCAGTGCGGGACGGGAGCGGTATGCGAAGATCACGCATAACCTCACCCTCACGAGAAAGCCGTTCCGCATCCTTGACCAGTTCAGCTTCCCGGCGCTGATGACTCTCTTGGAGGAAGAGATGTCAGCTGCCGATCCTGGCTTTGACTGGATCTACATAGATGGCTCGCATGAGGCCGACGACACCTTCTTGGACGGAGAGCTAGCATGGCGCTTGGCCAAGAAGGGTGCTATCGTCATTTTCGACGACTATCGCTGGGACAAGGAGCCGGACGATAGCATCCACCACCCGAAACGCGGCATTGACGCGTTTATGACCCTCCACACTGGGGAGTACGAGGTATTGTCGAGCTCCACGCAGTACCAGGTTGTAATCCAGAAATCATCCGATATGCGCATCGGGTACCTTGTCACGGAGAGAGTTGAACAAAGGTTGGACGACGCACTGGGATACGGCATCCATCTTGCGTTGACCGTTGACTCTGCATACGCCGCAGCGACTGCCGTCGCAATCCGCAGCGCGGTCGTACACACGAGCGGAAGGATGACAATCTACGTTGTCGATTGCGGGTTAACGATCAAGGATCGAGAAGGCATCCGCGTGTCTGCACCTCAGACACCAAATGTAACAATCATGTTCATCGATTTACCGAACCGTGCGTTCGCAGCCGGCGGAAATTCGACCTGGGCGAAGATAGACATGATCTCTCTCCTACCCGTTGAGCGCGTCCTGTACCTCGATGCCGACGTACTCGTTCGAGGAGACTTGAAGCGCCTGTGGGATGTGAATCTGGGGGGAAACGCCTTGGGAGCTGTCGTAGATCTGGGTTTTCCGATGGGCCACAGTGATATACAGCGGGCTGAGTACTTCAACGCTGGGGTCCTGTTGATGGACTTGACCAAGATCAGAGCCAACATCGCCGACCTGAAGGAGCTTGCTGGAGTAATGAAAGAGTCCAGGTTTCGAGATCAGGACGTGTTGAACATCCACTTCCGTGGAGACTGGCTTCCGCTGGAGCTGAAGTGGAATGCGCAGGGATTGGGAACCTACGCCGAGCTTCCTTCGGCGGACCGTGACACACTCGACTTGTCGGATCTGCAGTGTCCGTCCATCGTGCATTTCACGGGCCCCGTTCACCCAGGAATAAAACACATTCTGAATCCCTACTTACAACCATACACGGCCAAACCTTGGGGTTATGCTGGAGCGCCTGGACATCCATTCCAAGGAGAGTGGTGGCAAGTCGTAGAGCAGACGGCGTGGAAGGGCTGGAGGTCGACGAAATTTTTTCGCGAGACCTGCATCGGAGCTAAGGAAAAGGCAACACAGGATGCGTTGGAACAGTTCGAGGATATCGTCAAGCGCGAAACACCCATGGAGTAACGCGGCAAATGGCCCAGACGGTATTACTGGCACGTCAGAAAGTATAAATATGAGGGAGGTGAACAATGATGCATACATACCGGCGTACGTACTGACGGACCACGAGTCCCACGGAAGCTCTTTCTCATCGTCTGAACGAAGAGGAGTATTGCTGCAAGTGTGTAGACCTCAACACCTCGGGCCCGGGTGCGCGCGTCATGTCTGGACTTATTTACTATGTATGTTACACGGACTAAGTCGGCGGTGAACGACATTAGTCGCTTGTCGACCTCTTCTGAAGGTCGACGACGTCAAGGGTTTAATGTCGCGCTTAGATCACACGGCGTTAAAATAGGACTAGTACCTCGATTGCAAGCGCCGGGGCAAGAATGACAATGATGAATCCATTACACGAAATAAACACAGCCTTAGGCTATGAAAGTCCGTCCGAGTAATCACACAGCATAAACTCGATACCTACCACGACGAAAGTACAAATATGGGTTTTATTGGATGTTCGCACAGTGCAAGATGGACAGTAAAAGAGCATACGGGAAGACGATGGGACAAGTACGAGGCAAGGCCAGATTGAATCGCGGGACGCCAGGGGTTTACCAGCGGTTGTCATCAAAGCCATCTTGGTATCCTGAAGAAGTCGCCGCGTCAGCAGAGGCAGCAGACACGCACAGCGCATCACGGCAAACAGCACACACCTTGGTCGAACCCGACCTGGTCACCCTGGTCAAACCCAAAGCGGTCACCCTGGTTAAAACCAACCTGCTCCCCCTGGTCAAAACCGACCTGCTCCCCCTGGTTAAAACCGACCTGCTCGCCTTGGTTGAAACCCATGTTCTCGCCTTGGCCGAAGCCCATCTGTTCGCCTCGCTCGAAGCCGACCTCCTGCTCGTGGTGTTCAAACTTCTCGATACCCTCCGTCAGTAGGAAGCCGCCAAGTAAGCCAGCACCGCCTTGAATAATTGTCAGCCACACACAGCATATACAGGGACGAATGGCGCGGAGACAGAGGCGCACCTGCGGCGACGGCTGTCCCGATGCCATGATGCTTCTTGCGGGGCGCCTGTATAACTTCGACTTGTGACGCTGAGGCCATGCCCGGCGGTGGCATCGGCGAGCTCATGGGCGGGCGTCCTCCCAACCAACCTAACAGTGATATTGCGATCTCCGTTAGCTCGCACAGAAACCCATAGCCACGGACGCTGCCACGCACCACGCTGCTCGTCCTGTTGCTGTACGGGGGGGCGCGAACCATACGGGCTCACTGGGCCCGGACCGGGGCTACGGCCAGGGCTGGGACCACCATACTGAGGCGTGTAGCTGTCGTATCGTTGCTGAGGAGGGGGAGGGCCCTGGCCGTATCGCACAGGCGGGTTGTATCCGCTCGGGGAGTAGGGACTGGCGCTCCGACGGTCGGGTGGGGGCGGCCCAGAGGGTGCCGCGTAGTGATGCGGCGACGACGAGGGCGGCCCGAGGGGGTGTACCCACGACGGGCGGGGAGGGTCTTCACGCGTGTTCACGTAGAACCTGTTGGATCGCGGACGATGTCAGCCCCGAGCAGCGCCGTGGCAATCTGAGAGGTTACCATGCGTTGTAACTGCGAGATTACAGGATCAGCTGTAGATATGGAAAGAACTAACGATATCGACACGCACTTCGCATCGTATTGCTCAATCCACCCGGGAGGGAGATCCCGGGAGTCAGGGTTTCTTGGTTGACCTCCGTACGACATGACTTGGTGGGTGTAGATGAAGAGAACTGCTGTGCAGCTGCAATCGCCTTCCGAGCCTTATATGTCGCGAGCCTGCGCGGCCGGCCCCGCTGATCCTTTCAAGTTTGTATCACTGATCTCTGGGAGTGTACACTGCCGCGGACAGTGTATAGCCCTTGAGACACTCTGCTTGCAACGTCTTGTGTTGTGCTGCGGTGCTCATCGCTTTCACTGAGCATGGCTGGATCGGTCTGAGCTGCATTGCCATTTCCGCCAACTGTGCATGCATACATAGAGTATACACCAGCATATGTTTGTCACCGCGTGTGTTCTTGCCGACTTCCGTGCATACGATATCGTGACGTGTTAGTGCTGATCAATTGAGGTAGGTGTTCTCTTCTTGAACTCGTGCTGCGATCATCCCTCCGAGATCGTCTGTGTCCCTCAAACTGTTGCTCCAGCGTTCAATGCATAGCCAACCAGTTGCAGTAACAGCGAAACCAACCAGTCCAATCATTAATCCGAACGCAATTACACGTATCGTCAAGCACTATGAATTCGAAAGAGCAGCGCCACGGCCTCCCTCGAGATGACTACTCAGCTAAGTAGCGGCTCAAGCCTTCGGTTTTTTGTGCTTCTTCTCTTTCACCAGCTGCTCCACTTTGGCAGGCGTCGCGACGGGGAATGCTACGGGGGTCGCGATGGGCGTCGCAGCCGCATCCTTCTTCGACTTCTTGGGCGGCGGCGGCTTCACCTCATCCTCATCCTCGGAGCTGTCATCAGACGATTCATCCTCAGAGCTGTCATCAGATGAAGTAACCACCGGTGCATGAGTCTCTTGTACTGGGGAAGCAACAGCCTGTGGAGGCCAACTTCATCAGCTCCACATTCATGGCGAAGATCCAATGTGAACGTACAACCAGCGCTGCAGGAGCCGCTGTGGTTGCGGGAGTAACGTTGGGTGTAGTCGCGCTACGCTCGCTGTTGGCCTTGAGATACTCAGTCTTCTTGATCATCCACTCGTCCTTGGCAACCCTCTGGCGAATTTCATATGCCTGTGGAAGCGACCCATAAGCATGTGCACGTTAAGTCAATCTCAGGAGCTAAGCACCTCTTTCTGCTCCTTCGGCATCTCAGTCCACAGCTTGGAAATGATCCCCAAAAGCGCGTTGTTCGGCAAGTCCGGATTTTTCTCTTTCAGCTCTTGGCGAACTTCGTTCTGGAAGAAGATGTAGGAGGACGCAGGACGCTTTGGTGCGTTCGGGTCCCTGGGTATCTTTTTCTTTTTCTCGCTTTCCTCAGTCACGACGCGCGACTTTCGCTTGCTTCCTGCGAGTGTAGGGGTAGTGGGAGGAGGGGCCATCACGAAGCCATTGGGATGGGGCTGGATCGCGGCCGAGCTGTACGGGACATGGGTGACCATCTGCGCAAACTGGTCGGCGATGGCAGCGCAGTTGCGCATTGTCTCAGCTACAGCGCCGAGGCTGCCGATAAGCTAGGAGCCGCCCGACGTGTCGTAAGGACAGGGACGCGTATGGTGACGTGAGGGGGACTTGCCTGCATTTTCTGATACTCGAATTGAGCGAGGCCCTCAGGGAGATTGGCCATGATGACTAGGCCGGTGAGCGCGAGCAAGGACTCGGACGCGTTGTAGTGAGGCAGTAAGAATGGCCTGAAGTGGGGGTAAGAAAGTGATGAAGCGTTTTTGATGCCAGCTAGACGTTGTATATGTTTGGTTCAATTGATATTTGTAGCACTTACAAACAGGTTTAAACCCCGTTAGTCCTCCTTTCTATCGACTCTATTGTGCCTCGCGTGACCAATTGAAGCGGTGTCAATCGATAGAGTCTTGCGCGTGTACGCTTGGAACAGAGCATTCTGCGCGAATTCTCGATGTGCAGACGGAGCATCCAAGATAGAGAGGTTGTAGCAAAGCACTGGATTTGTGCCTCGGCCATGCTCGGGGGAAAGCGTGGGAAAGGTACCCCAAAATGGTAAGCGGAGTTATAAAGGAGGGTTGAGATAGAAGCGGAGCCTGAAAGGGTGGTATCTTAGCCTGACCTCTGACCATCATCACGGACGGTGAACACGGCGACGACCTTGCAAGGTGATACCTATAGCGGGCAGTCGACGTCGCAGCTGTCTTGTCTTCTTGTCCATCTTGTTTGCACAGAAATAAGCCCAATTAGTGTTGCCGTAACGCTGAGAGCGCGAGTGCAAAAAAGAGTCGCTACAGATGGAATACAGTGGGGCGTGGCTGCAGCAGCACCAAATTCCCGATTTGCAGGCCGTCGCACACGACGGGCAGCATCCTGCGAACGATGACTGGAAGGAGAATACGTCCGTACAGCCGTCGGCGGGCTCCTCGCAGCCCATGGATCTGAGCGATTTTGTGCTGGGGGACATGTCGGGTGAGCCTCTTTTCCAACCCCTTATTAAGCGCCGTCCGGCACCACATGGGCACTCGACACCCTCATGCAAACAACAAATGCTGATAATAACACCCGTCCAGTCCCACCGGCTTCGTCGAGCTCGCTGTCTTCCTCGTCGACGGGATACTTCGCGACGTTCCCCCAGCAGGGCTTCTTCTTATCGACTACGCCTGGACCGTTCAACGTCGTCCAATACGGCTCATCGCCATGGGCTCCCAACTCGAATCAACTGCCGTTGTCCAGCTATTCCTCCCTCAACGGCGCAACAAGCGCATCCTCATCCGCACAACAACAATCTTCATCGTCGAACCCGACAATGATGATCGAGTGCGCATATTTCAGATTGTTTGGAACATCATCTCACCCGCTTTCCACAGTCCCGCCTTGACCACCATGAGCATGACTGCCATTAATTCTTCAGCGTCACCCTCGATCCAGCATTATCAGCATTCACCCCCTTTTCTCTCTTCACAGCCTCAACAACGCACACAATTTCAGTACCAGCATCAACCTCATCAACCTACATTATCCATCAACCCTTCCTTCGTTCATACCAGCACTTCACATTATCAAGCACCCCAGCTCCCTCGGTCGACATCGCAGCAGCAACAGCAACAGCAGGGGACGCTTTCTCCCTTTGTCTTGCATTCTCCTGCCAATACACTTAATAGCCCCGTCACGCCAAATTCTTTTTATGCATCCTTGCAGCCGATACTTAATCATTCAGCACCGACCATATCGCCGGAGCAGCGGAAAATTGAGTTCCTCAACGGCATCAGGCCTCTTCTCTCTCCTACCTCGTTCACAGGTGCTGGCGCGGTATCGCAACTGGTAGGGTACATCGAGGATTACGGCGTACAGGAGGTCGAGCCCCAGACGCGATTGGAGATCCTGACGAAAATGAGGGACAACGCAGGTAATCATTACTTCCGTGCTTGGGTCGAGAATGAAGTCGCGATGGACGTCACTCGCGAGTGGCTCAAGCTCGCGTATACTGGAAAGAACGATCCTCAGCTGGTAGAGACGATCATGCCTTTACTGCATGTACGTGGCATGTGTGTCGATCATCGTAGCGCGCACCTGACGATCATCTTTATATGACCGACTGTTTAGGTTATCGACCGTCTGCCCTTGACAATCGAAAGCCTGAAATCCTCGAAACTTGGTAAGATTGTTGTCAGACTCGTGAAGGAGCCACCTGCCCCTGGTGAGTTACACTTCCTCATCGAACCAAGTGATCCCCACCTGCCAAGTGCAGCCTGCAAAGCTTCTGTAGTTGATCTGTTGCGTAATGCAACGATGATTGAGCCCTCCTACTGTATGAGCTTATGTGGACTGGCTATCACGACCCGGACAATAAGTTATATGTATCTAATGATATCTTCCATCGCTCTATTAAACAGCGATCAAAGACATGGCAGCGAACCTGGAGCGTAAATGGCGACAACTGCTCGCATCTAGTAGCGACTCGTCGAAACACCTGGACAGTGAACCGACAGAGGGTGGGTCACGTCAGTCCGTCGTAACGATAACCCCTCTGATATGTGCCCATAGATGTCAAGGGCAAGAAACGAAAAGCGGACGCCTTAAAAGCCGCCCCTCCTGCCAAGAAGGTCGTTTTGACCGCGCCGGGTTCGTCGTCAAAGCCTGTGGTTGTCAAGAAGGAGAGCAGCAAGTCTGTCGTTAGGGAGGTCAAGGACGCGAAAACAGACTCTTCGTTCTTCTCTGCTCCAAAACCGAAGGCAAAACTGCCGAGCTTCAAGAAAGCTGCTCCTGCGGTAGTCAAGAAGGAGCCGGATCCGAATGTCTCGCAACCGTCGTCCATCAACCCTTTCGAAGAGGCTCTCAAGTTGATGAAGTCGCGGAAGGACTCGCCTGCCACTGCTACCCCACCGCCTATGCCTGCGCCAAGTGTTCCTGTGGTATCGACGGGTTTGACCAGCTCTGGTAAGCAGAAGAAACGAGTCACATGGGCTCCCGAAGGCAAGCTTGAGATGGTCAAACTCATTGAGCGGGCTGTATACGACGATGATCCTGCGGATGTCAGCTCTCTTTCCTTCGTGTCTTTTTATGTACTGTACGTTAATTACGCGCTTTTCGCGCCGATACACAGGGTATGCACACAACACACAACGTTCGCGATCTTGACCGAGACGAGGGTGCGGCACTGCATGCCCACCTCTTCGAAGAGCAGATTGAATGGTTGGAGCCAATCCGTAAGCAAACACCAGCATAAATCCGTGTTAATTCGCAATTATTAACATCTGCCCATGCAGTCATTGTCATCCCCCCAGACATCGATGCGCGTCCGAAAGGAGAACAAAGTCAGGAGAAGGTGACGCAGGAGCAGCGTGAGCAAAGCGCGCTGGTCGCGCTTTACATGTCCGCGGCGCAGATACCCGATAGCCCCGCCGAACCTCCGTCACAGATACCAGAAGAGCAGGTCGACGAGAAGGTCAGGATGATGCTGACCGGCCCCGAGGTCGACACGATCTTCTGGAGCGGAGGCGCGCCCGCGGCGCTAGAGCCACCCAAGTCGTCGGTAGCCGAGTTGGTGGGGCAGCTTGCTTCGAGTTCGGGCGACGTCACGATGGGAGACGCGTCACACGCGGGTCAGCAGCTGGATCCCAAGTCGTTCGGGTTTGACCCAGCAACGATCCCAGCATTAGCGAACGTCACGCCGGAGCAGTTGCAGAATCTCATGCAGCAGGCGCAGGCTCTCGTCGCGCAGGGCGGCATGTTTGCGCCGGGTCAGTCTGGGGGTGAGCAGAACTGGGGTTCGTCTTCGTCTTCGACTAGCCAGTACCCAGATTATTCTGAGCGCGGAGGATACTACGACGAAGGTCGTGACCGACGGTGGTCAGAGGAAGGCTATAGCGACCGCGGGAGCAGCCGTGGGCGCACTCGGGGGCGTGGTAGAGGCCGCGGTGATGGATATAGAAGTAATAAACGAAAGCCATGCAGTTTCTTTGCGGCGGGAAGGCGAGCATTAAATCTACAGTAAAGCGTGAACGAGAAAAACTGATGTGCATGTTTGCCCCTAAAATTGCAGGTGCAGATATGGAGACCAGTGCGATTTCAGCCATGAACCCATCTACTGACTTTATGCATGTATTATGGTATCACGTATACTCAGTTCTGTCATAACATGGCTGTGTATGGCAGCTCGGTATCAGATCCGAGACGGGACCGATAACTTTCCCAGTCTCCTTTGATTGGTCAAAGTGCATGTACCACATAACCGCAACATGACGACATTGCAGCAAGCAAAAAAACCGATAAATGATTAGTATACAGTACAGAGCACGATAAATAGAACGATGATAAAACAACATCTCCACCGCCATCCCGCCTCCGCCGGGCGCGAGCCGCCCGCACTAGAATACAGATCTATATGCTATGCTGGGATAGAGTATCAATGGGCCAATGATGCACGAGACCGAAAGCAAGATGAGAAATCCACTGGGAATACAACAAACTATCCACCCTGAGTCCGCCCCCGCTTTCGTGTCACCCGCTTCGCGGGTGGCGCCTGCTCGGCACTATTCGACGGCGAGGCCGCGTCAGTCCGCTGTGGCGCCTTCCGCTTGAGCGTCGCGGGCGCCATCGATGGCGTCGTGCTCGGCCCACCGGGTGTCGCTGCCGCGGCTGGCGTCGACGCCGACGCGGGCGTGGATGTAGATGCTTGAGAAGACGGTGGTGGTGGAGCGGCCTTGCTCTGCGCCGACGCGGAGTCGGCAGGCGGCGGCTGATTTTGAGGGGTGGTAGACGGTGGCCCTTGAGGCTGCATCGTCAAGGTGCTCGGCGGGTTAGGGTACAGCCCGACTGGAGGGGTCGCAACGACGCCGTTCGCATTGAGGCCATGGTTGTGGCCATGGTTGCCATGATTGTAGCCATTGCCGTTGAATATTGCAGGATTGCTGGGCGCAGGTCCACCATGGTGGTTGTTCCGTAGTGGCGGCGGCATGCCAGGCGGTAGGCCCTCCCGCGCTTTCTCTTCTCGAAGTATATGCGCAAATTTGGCCAGTGCAGCTGGGAATAGCGCACTCATTCAGACAACATTGGCTAAATACACCAGCAGAACGCACCCATGGGTCCCAGCTTTTGCTTGTCCGAGAACTCAATCAGATCCGACATCTGCGCGACGCTTTCCGCAAGCTGGACCGGCGATAGCATGGTCAACAAGGGACGTGGACGGGCGGTACGGGATGACTCACCTCCAGACAGCGCATGGTCGCCTGCGGGATCCCGAACGCGTTGACTGGCTCCGCAGGAATGTACACGCGCTCGACGATAAACTTCATCTCATCGTAGCGTCGCTCGTCATCCTGCTTCGGGCCCGTGTTGATGGGCGTCGGTGACTGGCCATCGCGCCCGCCCAGGATCGCATCGAGCGAGAGTAACTTGTCATGGTGGGTCGCGTCGAACTGCAGGCTGTCGATCTTGAGCGTATACGAGCCCTGCCCCTGCGCGTTGGGGATGACGAGAATGTGCGCGGTGAGCGGGCCTCGAAGCGTGACCGTATACCCATTCGTGTACTTGTACGTCCACTGTGCAGTCACGCACTCCACGATCCCATGCCCGTGCGTCTGGTGGGGCATCAGCCGCTCCCGCGCGCCGTCGAGGTTGAACGACATCGACTTCACGCCGGACTGGCTCGTCACGAGAAAAAACCGCGGAAGGACTGACACCCCGATCTCTGTGGCTCAGATTAGCGAGGGACAGCCGCGATCAGGAACGCGATACGCACCAAAAGGCTTCGCCTCGTTCCGCTGGTTGTCCTTCCACAACGTGAACTTCAAAGTCGCTTTGTTCGTGAAATAGTCCTTCACGAGTTTCTCCCAATGAGACAGTTGCAGCTTCTGAGGGGACATATCTCGTCAACACACGGGCCACAAAACGGAACAAGATCGTGCTCACATCCTTCGAGTCGGCCGAAAGTGTACCACTGAGTTGCAACAGCCTGCTGATCCCTTGACCCAGACCGACAAAGAGCGAACTGTGGAGCGAGAATTCAGCATCTACCGCTACTTCGACAAAGGCAGATACCGACTGAGGATTATTTCGGGACGAAGCAACTCCAGGAACCGGTGGCGCCGGTGCAGGCGCTGGGACCTCTGGCTGCGGTGGCGAGGTAGACGGTGGTGCGATGGAGGTCGATGGTGCGGCCGCCGGTGGCGGCGCTGCAGGCGGTCTAGGCGCGATGTGCATCGGACCAGGCTGCGGCGGCGCAGGAGCCTGCGGAGGCTGCTGTGGTGCGCCGGGGTGATGCTGTGCACCCATCGGCGTGATCCTGGCCGGCGCTGGCATCATACCGGGATTCATTGGCATTGGCAACGGTGTCTGTGGCACGCGCGGTGTACGCGACGACGGACCCGCCTGCTGTGGAGATCGCCGCTGTTGCCCTTGTTGTGACTGTGGCCGCTGCATCTGGTGGTGAGGATTGAAGTGATCAGGCTGGTGTGGGGACTGGTGGAGCTGGAGCGGTGGCTGTTGTTGTGGCGGAATTGGAATTGCGCCGTGTGACGCGTTGTGTGATGGCGGTCGGGGAGGAGCGGCCGGCTGGGACGGAGGCATGCTGAATGGCCCAGCGTAGCTCTCGCTTCCATGGTTCAGGTGCTCGCGGAGCTGTGCGGGCGTCGACATCAAGCTTTGCTGGGCGCCTAATCCTGACGGATTTAATTGTCCGCCGACCGACTGAGGGAGGTCCTGGCCGGGTGGCGTCGACGACGCACGGAAAGAAAACGGAGCACCGTTCTGAGGTATTCGCGCGTTGTGGGCGATGTTCTGTGGCATCTGCGGGTTGGACATGGAGAAGCTCATATACATGGGGTTCTCCGGCGAGACCTGTGGGCGGCTAGATGACGCCTGAGGGGGCACAACGTTCGGAGCAGGCAGATTCGCAGGTGTATGTGGCTGCGAATGGGCTCCAGTGCGCGGCGAGGACGCCATCGGTTGCTGCTGGTGCTGATGCTGCATGTTCATGGGATTCGGAAACGCATTCTGATGCATCTGCTGCATCCCGCCCGGATGCGACTGAGGTAGAGAGGGCGGCTGCGTGAGGTTGTTCATCAGCTGTGCCTGTCCAGAGGCCGTCCGCGATACATGTGGGGTCATCGGAGGGTTAACAGGCATACGCGGTGGGCGCGGCATCGACATCTCGGGCGACATGTTCCCCTGCATCTGTTGTTGTTGCTGTTGCTGCTGCTGCTGCTGCAAGCGCATATTCAGTTGCTGTTGCTGTTGTTGCTGCTGCTGCTGCTGCTGCTGAACAGCCTGGCGTAGCTGGGCAGACATATTCGCCTGCGGATTCATGCCCATACCATTGATCCCGTTCACCGCCTGTGGCATGCCGGCTAGATGGCCCCCGACCTGATTCATCCCCGGTGGCTGAGACACGACGCGGGGGACCTGCTGCCCGGGCATCATGCCGTTCGGGAAGCCCATGCCGAGTTGGTGGCCCATCCCATTGACATTGGACGGGCCACCAGGCCTCTGACTCAAAGACTGAGCATTGTGCGCCTGCTGTTGCATCATGACCTGCTGGCGACGTTGCATGTTTGCCGCCTGAAGCTGGAGTTGATACGACGATTCGGCATTGTTCATGTTGGTGGGTTGGCCATTGAAAGCCATGGATGGATTAGGATTGTTTTGAAGCAAGGCCATGTGAGAGGGCTGGCCCTGCGGCTGCTGACCTTGTTGTTGCTGTGGCTGCTGGGGAAATAAATGCTGAGGGTTCATGTTAATCATACCCTGCGGGAGATGGGGGATGGGACCCTGCTGTCGGAGCATGTCGTGATGGGCATTCATCTGCGAGACAAAGGAAAGGGATCAGGTGCGGTAAGGGTCTTTGTGGGGATCCTGGAGTGCAGGGGAATTGTCGCATGCAGAAGAACGGGGAGTAGCAGACGGATATGGGAAGCCTGCAGAAGGAGGATGCGATGGAACCCAGAACCCAGGAAGCTTGCCTCGAGGGTCGAAGAGAAGGTATCGGGGGTTGATGGGAGACGATGGGCGAGCTCGTCGTCGAGGACGGCGAGGAGAGAGGAGATGTCGACCTGGAGAGTTGGGAGTGGGAGGGAGGAGGGGACGGGGCCGGTGTGGTGGCTCGCGGACGCACTCACACGCTCGCGGCGGCACTGCTGCTTCCACGCCACGAGTCCATTTCCAAGATAGCGATCCCCCTCCAAGACGTAAAGCTTATCATTCTCCGCAGAAAACATATCCATCTCGCCCACCATATTCTCCGTGCAACATATCCTATTCCCCCTCTGCAACGGCGTCGTGTTGCACCCGCTCGAGGTTTCAAAGTACTCGTCGAAACTCTCGCGGGAGTCCCCGGCTCGTATCCAGATCCTTGTCTCTAGTTGCCGTTCTCCAGCGACTTATTTGCTTCCGAACATCTATTATTTCTCGCCCAGGCTCTATCCAACCCCCGGTCCGAATAACGCTCCCCATTATTTCCCCTGCACCTTCACGGAGTTCAGTCGCAGGACTTCACAACTACTCGAGGGAGGGCTCAGAATTTACCTCTTGCGCCCTGCGCGTCAGGAAGAAGTTGGCCGACGCGCCAATTCTGCAGCTGCGCCTTGCGTTCCTATTTTTTTCTAATGATCCGGCACCCGGACATGCAGTCTGCCTCAAGCCTGTACATGTGTGCCCCCCCCATGCCGGAGGACCACTCTGCTAGGTGCATCGGTCCGGCCTGCCCTCTGCACCTCTCCCCGCGCACACCGATGATCTGAGCAGCATCCCGCCCCCGACGATTGAATTGGGCGATCGGGCGGAAGATAAACGCCCTCGTCTATCCCGCTCGCAGGTACACCGCAGCACTAGCGAGATCTCGACGTACTGTGCGCAGATGACATATCGTACCTTCTTGTATGTCTTTCTCCAGCATCATCCAAGACGCCTGTCATCTCAGGCGCGCGAGGAGATGCCGGTCCCTACCTGTCAGCGCGTCGGCCTGAGATGATCCGCGATGGCTTGCACGATGAGCACGGTGACTCTGCCGGTGTGAAGATCGTCAGCATTCGGAGCGAAGGTGTCTCGAGCTACCGAGACTGACTCGCAACCTCGCACGACGTGGCAGGTACATCACCATCACCGCAACCCATGGCCCATCAGCACTCTGTCTCCGAGCGCGTCTACTCATCTCAGGCTGCTATTCCCGCTATGTCCTGAGTGCCCCGCGAACGCGCTCGCTTGGCCTCAACTCGAAATTTGGACCGCAGGGGAAGCCTCGGAACATGCGACATTGACAACACGAACGTGCTGCATTTTCGCGACTGGCTGACCGGCTACCCACTCGCAGCTGTCGCATTGCATATGGCCGCGATACGGCACACAGAATGCCGTCAGATCACCGCTAGCGCATCTTCACTGGCTCTCACCCAGAAGCTTGATCGGCATGCTGCGAAGTGCCTACGATGAAATTGCCCACGGAACGGGTGCAGCGGAAGGGCGCTCTGGCGTATTCCTGGTCATTCGACGCGCGGAAATCCACGGCCGTGGAGACTTTGATCAGTGCTAGAATATCTCAGCTTACGAACACGCTGTGGAGCGGATGTGCGTGTGCTGCGTACCGTGGTCGTAGATGAGAACGATACGGCATCGTCTCCCGTTGCAGCTCGGTTGGGGATCTGAGATTGTTCGAGGCTTGTGAGCCCAAGGGACACGGTGTGAATATACCTCCAATACATGGTCTTCCGCGTAGATAAGAGACATCTCTGTCAGCTCTGACATCATCGCGAACCCACCGAAATGAGAAGAGCAGCACTAGCGGTCGATCCATGATGAATTCGGGGGACTCACGGAAACGCTGTTAATTGGATTATATTCTGCTACCGTATCAGAGGAAATTTTCAGGAACGCACCTGGGTTTCTGCTGAGATAGGTTAGCACACTCAACCAGGAGGGAATCAGTTTAGAGTAGCTGAAACAAGGAGCAAACCGCAGTCACTTCTTCGTCGCCAGGGTCGTCAGAATTTTGCGCCAGACACTGCGATAACCATGGCATGAATACGATAGCAAATTACATACCCGGGCTTTTATGATTGTTGCTACTCGGGAGCTGCAGACAATACCAATTCAGAGGATCATCACGGCCTTCGGAGAAAATAGCGAGGCAACCGGAAGACGGAGAGAAAATAAGCATTAAAATGGCTTTAGGTAGGACTCTCTATATCTGCAGGACAGGACAATTTTTGGTTCCGGGTAACACGGACAGAATTCGAGACAAGGAGCACTTAAGCAGAAAGAGTCGACGGTTCGAACCACTTTTCCTTTCTGAGCGAAACTCCTTGTCACGTGAACGAGGAATTTCCGGAGGCGCCTGTCACGGTTTTAATGGTGCTCGAAGGTATCCTCCAAGTCGTGTACGCCCGCTACGGCAGACGTCAGAAGACCTGAAACATGGTCCGCCAATTCAAGTATCACGAGCAGAAGCTGCTCAAGAAAGTTGACTTTCTCAATGTGAGGATTTTCATCTCATGTCAGTAGAACGGTACTCACTGCGTTTGAGCGCAGTGGAAACAAGATGCGAACCTCCGCGAGATCAAGGTGATGCGGCGGTACCATATCCAGGACAGAGAGGATTATCACAAGTGTGCCACCTGCTCCATGCCGTTTCCAATGCTTGACCTTGCGTCTCGTTCTCGCCAGGTACAACAAACTCTGCGGCTCCCTGCGCTCGTTCGCACACCGCATATCCATGCTCCCCGCGCAGGACCCCTTCCGCACGCGCACAGAGGGCCAGATGCTCTCCAAGCTCTACGACATGGGCGTCCTGAACACCGCCGCGAAGCTCAGCGACATCGAGAACAAGCTCACCGTCGCGGCGTTCTGCAGGCGGCGCCTCGCGGTCATCATGTGCATGTCCAAGATGGCGGAGACCGTCAGTGCGGTGCGTATACTGCGTTATGTCTGGGGGTGTGCGGTGCTTATTCTTTTTTCGCATCTGTAGGCTGTGAAGTTTATTGAGCAAGGACATGTTCGTGTCGGGCCTGACACTATTACCGACCCTGCGTATTTGGTGACTCGGTATGTGATCGGTAATTTATTGTGATTGAAAGAAGCTGATTGTGATTCAAATAGGCATATGGAAGATTTCGTCACATGGGTTGATACCTCCAAGTTGAAGAGGACGATTATGAGATACAACGACGAGGTAAGAATTTAGAAATTCACAGGCATGTCATCGCGGACTGACCGCTGATTTTTTCTCCAGTTGGACGATTTCGATTTGCTATAAGGTTGGGAGTAACACTGCCATATTTTCAGTGTGATCTCTCAGCATTGGCGTTGGGGCCTCTCGATGCAGTAATTGCACGCGAGGCGTGCCCTCATATTTCCTGTGGCCTACTGCTTCGAGGATTGCGGCTGCGGGTTATACACTAGTACTGCATCAGGTTCATCTCGTCTTCTAAAGCAGAAGATGGTAGAGACAGGCAGCTCCTGGTTGACTCTTTCTCCAAACCATCCCTTCCATTCCACGAAATAGAACGATGACAACGACAAAAGAGGGTGGACTACTACTACTACGAGAGATGTACATATATGCAAATGGTATGTTGTAGTATGGATATCATATAGACGAGGAAATAACGACCGGTCGATGTATATGACAATAGTATCTATCGTAAAGTTGCAAGGAAAGACGAACGGGAGACGTGCAAAAATAAGCATAGCGAAACGAGCGGCGAGCAAAACGGGTGAGTGTAGATTTGTCACGATGGTAGTCTGGTCGGATCTAGTTTAGATGTCCATGAGTGCAGTTCTTTCAGGCTTGGAGCAGACAACGCATAGGAGTTGGACGCAGTGAAGAGCGTGAAGGTGAACCGTTTCTGCAGAACGAGTCAGTGACAAAAAACACACTGAGAGAAGACTGCACGAACCCCGAGAAGAGCTTCCATTTCCCGATTGCGTTCAATGTTCACACCCTTCAAATTCACGACGCCAGTCTCTTCTATCTCGTTCGAGTGCGCGTACACGTGCAAGTACGGTCTACATTCCAACAGACGTTAGAGCACATATTTGACTTGCCTACCGTAGACTTGAACGTACCTCCTTAGTACAAACCATCGTCTCTCCCAGATATTCTCAGTCGCATCTACCATGATCATCATGTGACCCTTCTTGGTGGGGCCATCACTAGCAAATGCAGATTAGCATACCATTTCAGATCGCGAGAGCTTGCGCAAACGCACTTTCGGGGTACAACTTTCGTTGTGGAAGTCAATTTCAACGATTCCGTAGATTGACTACCGGACGTCCGCCCAGACTTCACGCTCGCCTCGTCTGTATCCGTCGGATCTTGGCTTATGACAATCTACAGACGAAAAATACTGTCAGCTCACAGGATCCGCCCGAAGTAATCTTGACTTACTTCGCCGCGATGGCCAAACTGCTTCTGCCAGAGATCTAGTGACTTCTTCAAAAGCTCCTCAGATGCCCACACCGCAGCATCCGACTGTGTGATGCGATTTGGCGATGTCGCGACGATAACACGAATGGCCTGAACGTCCGCAGCCCGCCGTTCCATAGACACTAGCCTGGAGTAGTCCTCGATTACAGAAACACCTCGTGGTCTCCACGCTCCCAGAGCTTCTTCCCCGCGGACATACTTCTCAGCTGTATCTAGCCGCCAGAGATCCTTCGGAGACCGTGTCAGAGGAGGAGAAAGGCGAACCGTGAACACCGTGCTGGTCTTCGGAAGGATCTTCGTCGAGCCCATGAAGGACATGAGTCGAGACGGTGGACGAGCATCGCGCGTTTGAATACTGACTGCGGTGTCCATGGTGAATTGCACTGGATCCGAGCAGCTTTCCACAGCTACGGACCAACTCAATTGCAAGAAAACGCGCTGATTAGCTTCAGTCACGCGGTTCAGCAAAATAGAGTCGTGCACGCTAGAATCCCAGAGCGCCTCTGCTGATAAACTACCGGTGCCGTCACTTTTGAATTCGATCGTTTGCTGCTGAAGTAGAGGAAGAGTCACAAGGACCTTGGAGGTTGACTCATGCAGGCGTCCCTTCGCATCAAGTAGCCGTATGTTGCCTATCCGTATCCGTGTGATCTCTGTCCATGGTAGTTGTCGGCCCGAGTTCGAAGTCAACGACATGACGATACGACGCTGCAAACCTTGATGCAACAGAAACGCGCCTGGATCCAAATTTCCCTGAGAGACAACGGGTACAGGGACATAACTGGCGTCCGGAGCCAATTCACTGATTTGAAGCCAAGCAACAACATCGTGTGTCTGTTCTGTGACAAAGTCGTTTTCCGATCTACGCATCAGAGGTAAAGTGGGAGGTCGACTGTCTGGAGAACTTGACATAGTATTGTGTGGTATCCGTTGTTCTCGGAGTTCATCCCAACGTTCCATTCGTTCCAGGTATGTAGACCTAAGCCGTGCAAAGAATTCGATCGGGGCGTAGCCTTGACGAAGGTAGGTGAGAACCTTGGACGAGGCAACAATGGTGAAACTACGGCGGAATTTTAGATCAGATAGCGATGATGTGTCCATATCCACAGCCGACGAAGGATAAACTTCTTCTGCAGTGATGGTGGGGCCCATAAAGGAGGACAGCCGGATTTGCAGATGGATGGACGAAAAATCGTGAAGGGAAAGACCTTTCACAGAGTCGATGCTGAGCAAGAAACTCAACTTGCTCCCTGGCGGCACGGTTCCCGGAACAGGTGATGATGCACGAGTTGACGTCGCTGAAGAATTTGCATGCTTCGGCGATAAGACGACGTTTGCAATCTTGACCTCTATACGACAAGAACCTATGGCTTCCGCGGTGTATCGGCAGAAGATAGGTACAACGGACGATGATGAAAGCCGCCGTGAAAGGGGAGCTAATGACAGCAAGGCATTTCCAATGAAGGAGTATTCGGGAGGAGGGGAATCATAAAATGGTTCTTCCGAAGAGAAGTGCTGGGAATATGACGGTCTGTCAATAAATGTAGTCAAATTGCGCATACGCTGCAACTGCTGCTGCAAACGATCTAACGACCATGCATAAATGGCGTTGTGGCGCTTGTCAAGCACCTTCACAGCAACAGATGGTTGAGTTGCAGACGAGAGAACAGGATCTACAACGTCGCCAAACTGATCCAATCCTGCGATGGTGTCAATGACGGATGCGGGTGCTGCCAGGGAACCACCGGAGGCAACGGTGAAATTGTAGGAAATATCCTTCCCTAGCTCCTTGCTGTGTAACGTCTGAGATGAGGTGCAACGTAAATATTGGCAGGACATACCTAATCACGTTGGCCTCCTTGACCAAGACAGCATTGGATAAGACAACCTCAGCCATGGAGAATGAGCGATGAGCTCGCCACTTGTCCAGAACCTTTCGGATTAACCTGAGCTGTCTTGCCGAGTACAACACAGGTTCGAAGACTGTTGTGTCAACGTCCGTTTCACCGCGCGCCCTGGCATCCAGCAGCCGCTTCATATGTGATTGTACAAGTTTCAACTGGTGTTCCATCTGTTCCTTCTCGGCCTTCAAATCTTCTGCCTCTGTCGACTCGGCGATTGCCTGCAATCGCGACTCAAACTCAACGCGTTGCAAGTCTAGTTGGTTTTGGACCTCTTTCAATGAGCCACCCATCTCTGGACTGTCGCCATGACTGGTCATTGCGTCCACGCTGGTGTCATCGGTCGCATCGCTCGAGAACTGTCGGCCAGACTCGCTCCAGATGTCATCCGCTTGACTGAGACTACTTTCAGGACGAGGCTTTGCGTTGTGGTCACGGAGCGTCTTCACTCTGGTAATCTTCTCGAAGAGCTTATTCAGGTCCTCGTCGGGAAGGTTATCAAGGGCAGGATCCAATCCTAGTCGAGCAAAGGCTGCCTCACGCCTGGCGAATGTCCAGTCAACATCTCCGAGGTCAACGGAAGACCCGGTCGGCGACTGGGGACGAGTCGCAGCGTCGTTCTCAGTTTGCAGATCTGCAGCAGAGATGCTTATTGACATGCCCGACTTTGCCGCAGCACGATCTCGCAGCTTGCGCACTTCTTCTGGGTTGTTGAAGCGGAAAACGTGGTGCTCTCCTGGGCAGTTTCGTTCATATGAGTATCGTGCCTGACTATCAAAACATTATAACGAACCGAGGATGATACGAAAGCCTGAGCGAAGCTTGTACGACTGACGAGATCGGGCAGAAAATTAAGTGCCGAGCAATAGGAGAGCGACCAAGAAACTCACCTGGTCAGGGCTGATTTGTCGGCCATTGAGGAACTTCAATGTTACGTTAGTCAAAGGCGGTCGGCTAAGAGGCGAAGGATATTTACCGTGACAGCATCCGGTAAGGCATGAAGTGTAACCTTGCCGTCATTGTTCTCGAAATAACAGTGTTCCTCTGCAATACTTTCGCCACTGAGACGAATAGTCGCAGGTTTCTCGCTGTCTAGACGTCCTATCTGCACTCCCGAGAACATCAATATTGGTCGTCCTGACAAAAGATATTACACACTATTGTCCGGCCAGACTTCAGTTGATAAATCAAACATTCGCTCATGAGAGGGTCTAAAGGTGATAATATTCAGAAAAATTAGAGGGAACGTCCAACAAAGGTAGTTCCGCACCTTCATTCTAGAGAATACAACAAATTGTTAGCACAGCAAAACCTAACCGCGTGGGACGGCGACGCACCAGATTGACCAAATGAGGCATCTACACATATTCAGGTATCAGACGAGACTGACTAGGTAACAGTGAGAACTTACACTCTTGGGAGTATGTACGCCAACGTTGTTCTTGTCGATGGTGATACCCAGTTCTTCCAGCGCCTTCTCGCGCTCTTTCTGCACCGCTTGGGTCCTTTGCATCTTCTGCTCCCAAGTCTCGTTCAGGCCTTGCATGAGCTTTTCGCTGGTTTCAAGCTGTTCTTGTAGCTCTGCCTTGGTAACCGTCTTGATAGTGCCATCCTTCGCCTGGTACGTAACCTTCTGCTGGGCCGCTGGGATCTTGGGATCGTATACTGCTTCGCTGGTAGAGCCGGAAACCCGAGCTGCGGAACACAGTTAGTCGGGAGAGCTCTGTATAGTCCTTCTCAAATGGGGCAGCGTACCTCTGAGCATCTCCAACTCTTCCTTCAGCTCCCGCACGAGTTTGGCGTTCGGATCCTCGTTGACGATAGCCTTGTTCTTGATCTTCTTCGCCTGATCAGCGTATCGCAACGTACTGAGGGTCTCCTCGTACTGAACGTCCGCGGGGGAAATGGCCGCAATCATTGCTGTCTTAGAATTTCCTCCCAAGCTGTCTTTGAGCAGCCATGTCAAGACCTTTGACCAGACACTTGATTAGACGTGATAAAGGATGAGAAAAAAATGGCATACAGAGTCTCGATAGGGCACAAACTCCTCCGCCTTCCCCTTCTTTCCCTTCTTGCCTTCCGCCTGACTGGCAGTAGCAAGCGCTGCAATGACCTTACCAAGCGTAGTGAGCGACTTATTGATGTTAGCACCTTCCTTCAGGCGCTGTCCTGTCGCTCCGGTGGAGTTGGCACGTTCGGAACCAGCCAGATCCACCAAACTCAAGTTGCGACTTCAGCATCACTGCCTAATTCTGCGAGAAACTCGCTTACCTGATACGGGAAACCTTTTCTGTGTCTAAGTTCGTGTCAACGTCGTGTCGTTTCATCGTGAGGAGCAAGGTGAACACGGCGTGAGAACGGGAAGACCTATTTCGCTATGAGGTCATGCAACATGCTGGGTCAAAGGTGATCCATACGTCTCGTTCATGTTCGTTGCAGCCACTGTTCTCGCCTTGTTACCCTCGTCCATCAGCTGCATCATTTCGTCGTAACTGTTGACCACGAGCTTGGACAAATCTTCAACATACGGACCCAAGCTCGGGTGTTCACGGACTCGTAGATTCCCCGTGTTCTTGGGATTCAACAAATCGCGCACTTTCTCGTTATAGATCTGAATCGCAGTTAGCGCAACCAGGATAGCACAAATTAGCATCCTCACCTCAATATATGATACTTCGACAGTGAAATGGGTATTGGGATCCGCTCCTTTCTTCTCCTCTACTCGTACGAATAATTCGGAACACGTGAGAGGGATAATTCCCTTGTCGGCGCCGTCTGAACAAAGTGCGCCACGGTCAGCCAAGAAGTCTAGCCGCGCGAAAGGAAAGGAGTCATACATCCCATCATACTATATTGTCGTATGTAGTCAGTGACACGGGGAACTCACAGCGCAAAGAATCTCACCTGTAAGATTTGCCAGAACCTTTAGGAAGCTGGTCAGTAAACACCTCACAATCACCTCGTGCGTATTGTTCACAAACGTACCGGTCTGCCCGTCTGCACGATTTGAGTCAATTGCATCACATATAGGGTCTAGCAGGACTTACAAGCCAATATACACGCGTTAAAACCCGCAAACCCGTGATCCAACAACTCCTTCCCGAGATCATCGTACAGCGTCTGCTGAGAGCAGTAGTTGGGCTCGTCTCTGGGACCTGCGGACCAATAACTCTTGTCAAACGTGAAGTTCATTGTCTTCCGCTCTGTAGCACGACCAGACGCTGCTTGTGCACCCTGAGATCCTGGCTCGGGTGGTCCAAGGATCGTCTGGTTACCCTCCATGCGGACGAGGCATTTCGCGCCGCGAGCAATCTCTGTTCATATAACAGTTATAACGGCACGAGGGTGGTAAGATAAACTGCGTTATGAGCATCATGTCTGAAAACGACGAACCGCGTGAGTTGAGGGGCCGACATCGCACTACGACCTTGATGTTTCCATCGCCATGGTCAGCCATCAACCCTAGCTACGGCGCACTGGATTTCACGTATTTCAGATAGTCGGAAAACAGGGAAACAGCAGAGAGATAGATAGTAGTCGGGCCGCAGGCAACCCTCGGGGATGAACAGCTGCAGGCAGCAACGCCTTATTCGGGGAAATAGCCGACAGCCACAGCCGCGCGCGCACGCGTTTCGTTTCTGCCTCCACCACGCACTGCAGCATTTGGCCCTACAGGTCAAAGTCCTGGCAAACTGTAAACATCTCTTCAGCAGCTGCCTGAGCCATTGATAACGTCGCAATACTAAGTACAGTTCCATCCTCTAGAGAAGCATACTAGCTGATGCACCTGCACCTCACTGTACTCGTCGATGTCGACGCTGATAACTTACTACGTCTCAGATGGTAGCTCACAACGTGCTAGGCTCTCTCTTCTTGTTTCAGTTCCGAGATATGCGAGGCTCCGTCATTCAGCGGTTAGTCTAAGGTCTCGATACTCCCAGAATCCCTGCCGAATGTACTGTATACTAATTCTGACGCTTCAACGCTCAGCATCGTCACAGAATGAACAAAAATTCTCTCACAATTGTCGTTTGTGTGGTCTTGTTCTACGTAGCGCCTCTATCTTCATGTCCTCCAGTGTTCCACGTCTAACCTTGATCATGACAACTATCCCTCAGGTGTTGTATGACTTGTCTTGTATTGACCCGCCGAGTTTGCCGAACTCACTGCATTCATGTCTATTGTGCTCACGCGGAAAGATAATTTCTAACCGATGTCGCTGTAATCTATCTATTCTGTGAGTGTCGGGATTGTCTATTCGTCTAACTTAGGAGAAAATGGGGTTGGACGCTTCTAATGTTACCCATCGGATTGCATGTATACCGGTATGCTGCGTATACCAAAGGTAATCAGACCTCATTTTCTCCTCGAGATGGCTTGTATGCAGCCGCCTGTTGATGACGGAATTTCTTCTTTTCGCATAGAAGTCAGGATGAGATGATAGTGGGCTTCTGTCGCTATTCGCTCACAGTCTTTGTCCGGATTGCAATCTTCCTCCCCTATAAACTCATCTAGAAAGTCATGAGTGTGCAAGAGATGGTTTCTCGCGCGCATTCTTGGCGAATTCTGGACCTATCTTACCATCGTCCGCCGTCACTTCACGAAATGAAAATAATCTTCTCGCGGAGTCCTAGTCGTGGTGCTTTTTTTCATATGTATTCAAGAGTAGGGTTTGGAAGTCCGTACGCGCGTACGGCTTGTACATAGTGAGCTGAGTACTTGTAATCCACGTTCTGAAACACTTGCCTTTTTGAGCCAGCGGTGTCGGCGAAATCCCAGATCGCGCTATTAAATTCAATGCTTCCGTTCAAGTTAGCGGGGTCATTAATTCTCCTAGACAGAGTCACTGATGAAGACACATTCAAGACAAGCGCTGTCGATTTCATGTTTTGACCGTGTACCGGATACCGTTGATCTCCCATAGAATAGGAGCATTCACGAACTCGGCGACAGCATACAAGTACTACTGCCCCCGGGCTTTCGATCGGTACGGTGGCTTGGTATGTATGCTCAGTCTAGAACGCACCCCTATGTGCCCACCCAAGTGGGTTAAGGCTACCAGTTGAGAATCTCCGCTCGTATAAACCGGAGTCCCTCCCACCTCCTGCGCACCACCATCTATGTTGCTGCTGATGTCCTGCAACACGCGACGCTTCAGGCCTCTCATCGCTGCCGTTTTACTGGTTTTCACGGCAATTTGGGTTCTTTTCAAAGCCGTCCCTCTTACCGGAGAGGTTTCTCAGGGGTTCCTCGACACCTGGTACGCGCCGCAGGAATGTCAGTTGCAGGTGCAGCAAGTATCCCTTGATAATACCTTCATTCGGCGGACGCCGCTCGTCAGGAAGAATATTGCTGTCGCCTCTCATTTTGGCTACCACTTTGATGTCTATATGACTCTCGTGTGGACACTGGAGCGCATCCTACACCCAGCGCAAGACTCAAGGACAGAAATACGAGTTTACTCTCAGCCGTTCCAATTCAAGTTCCAAGATATTGTAGCCAAACTGGGCCTTTACCACGGAGAGTTGCACGATCCACACAAGCTTGTTGAACATATTCAGCAAGTTCCAGGCGAGGGTGGCATCGATATGGTAATTTTGGGAACATGTGAGGTTGAGTGAGTTCAAGCGTTTTTCTCGCTTGTGGTCTATCTGATTGCGCGACCGACAGCCTTCCAGCGTTCCATGATGCGTTGATAGCTGCGTGGGACGCGCGAGACGACGAACATAAGTTCCAATTGGTTTGTGTCGTACACAATGTCCTGGATACGAGGTGGCAGGATTTCATTCCAGGCTGGTCACGTCGAGGCGTGTTCAGGGTGGTCGGAATTGCAGACCAGTAAGTCGGTTACTTTTTTCGGTTAGATTCTTTCGATCAATCACTCAACTTGAATCTAGTGTCGCCAATTCTTTCCGCAAAGTGTTCGATGGCCACGCAGACAGCCCGGATCCCCACTTGTATACAGCCGGATACGAGTACATCCCGGCAGATGTCCATATGCCGGTGTTGGACATTCCAGACCTCCCGACCAGACCTCTGAACCGTACGCTGTCCAAAGCGGTCGTTCAGGGGACATTCTCCACTGAACGACGTGATTACGAGCATATATTCGGCGAGCTGATTGCCTCTCTGCACGGTGAGTCTTTGTCAGAGGAGCGATGTATCTCGTACTGAAGGCTGCGCAGAGGATCCTCATGCCTGGGGATACCTACCACTAGATGGAAGAGCGTCATTCGTACCCGACCCTCACTCTCCTGAGCCACCGTTCCAGCTCGCCATTGTAGGTTCAGGCGATCTAGATATTCCCACCGAGCTCGCGTATCTTGCCACTATCTACCGCTATCTGGATTACAGTGACTTTTACGTTCTAATCTCAGAGATGGACATCGTCGTTCCCGCGTTTGCCGAGTATGGATGTGCGTTAATTCATCTGCCCTGCGTATTCGGCGTCTAAAACGATGTTACAGACTTCGAATACCAAGCGAGTTCTACTGTCGCAATGGCAGCAGAATTAAATGTTAGTGCCTCCAAGTCGCCGCTTCCCGACCACTATTCATAATTCGTCTATGCTTTTACTCAGGTTCCCATTCTCGCTACTCAACGTATGCGCAAAGCTTATGGTTACATCGACGATGACACGGCAGTTGTCACACGTCCGGCGGCCATGCGCGAGGTACAGGCGTTAAAGGCATTGCGCACAGGAAACACATCCTTCTTCCTCGACTCTCAGGCGATACGCTCTGGCCGATCGGGATCGGCCATGCAGCGTTTGAAAGCAGCTACGGAGAAGATGGTTCAATCGCCTTGGACGCGGGACAAGAAGTCGTTCGCCCGGTTCAAAAACGTCATTTGGAGCAGAAACCAGGCATTTGTAGAACGGCTTCTCCGTGACGCTTAGACTGCCGCATCTTGGTTTTTTTTGAACGCATTCCCCCGTGTTTCTGGCCAGTTTATGTATCGTATATCAAAGCGCACACAAGGACGGTCATAGAGTGTTTCAGAGGTCGGGTGGCAACGCATACATACACTACGACACCTTTATATCATTGTAGCTCTTCAGGCCTCACGCTTCCATTATAATTGTGAACGATCCGGAGCCGATTTTTGTTCTTCGTTCACAATACATGAATGTCTCACATATCTTACATGCGACAAGATACAAAGGTGGGGGGATACAGTTAGCAATGACGGGGTGACAGACAACACAGATTGCGGATAAATGTCTTTGCTCATGAATCCTATATTCACTGGATGTTGAGACGCTGATGGTACGGAACTTGTCAGCATATCAGTCCAAAACATAGGACGATGAGACTCGCCGGTTTCAACGCCTTGATCAACAGCCACTCTTCGTTCGTCACATCTGTCTTGAAAGATGCCTGGGCGAGGGATATAAGCCCGACGCACGAATACCACTAAGCTGCGATTCACCTTCAACACATCGATACTCTGCCGCGTAATGCGGGAGTATAATTCATCTTTATCGTCAAAGTGACGGCCAAACATCTTCGCAGACTGGTAGACGGCATGCTCGATCTTGACCGCGACGCCACCACCGGCCTGGGATTTCTTCACGATCTGCATGCAAGAGTAAGTAAAACTTGTGTTAACCCTTCATCGACACGATTTAGACTTACATCAAACGCCTTGTGGTTGATCTCCAACGATGTGCTATTGATACGACGTTAGTAAGTACGAGTCAGTTGTGGCTTGTCGGAGAGAAAATGACATACATTTTGCCAAGATCGATAATATCCTTTTTCTGCGTTTCTGGATCCACCTTCACGACACAAATGGGCGTTCCAACACGCAATGTGCCATCGAGGATATCGACACCCAGAATAATTGGGTCACGCTTACAGAATGCAGCGATGATCTTGAGCCTACAAGGCCAGACCGCTTGAGGAGCAGCATCTCTCCGCTTAGCCTCCGTGATCTCATTGTTGTAAGCAGTGAAGGCGTCGAAGAGGTGGTAGATGATGTCCGCTGGACAAACGAGGTGAGACTTGAATCACACCTGGTTGTATGTGCAGAGCCCACTCACCTTTGAATAGACGAATGCCCATCTCTTCCGCCAGCTTCTCCGCTTCCCTATCGACCACGACATCGAAGCAAAGAATACAAGCGAGTTCTCTCGCCCTCTCCAGCATCGTCGCCGCACGCATGACGTCCCTCTTGTGGACCGGACCGATGTTGATTCCAGAGACAGGAATCTTGCTGCTCTTCAGGAAGTCCAGCAGCGCCTCCAGCGAACCCAGCGTACTTGCTTGCACACACACTCCACGGCCGGACTTGTCAATTGAGTTCAGCAGAGTTGTCAGGTCAGACATGACTTCTTCCATGAGGTCGTCTTCATCGTCATCCGGGCCAACGACAAGGAGGCGGGAACCAGCAATAGCCTTCTCAAGATCGGGAGCCACGAGCTTAACACCAAGAGCGGCCTTCACCTCCTTGTGGTGAACATATGCAGACTTAGAGAGAGGTTGTTGATTAGTGGGAGCACCGCCGACGATGGAAGGCGGACACGTACCTTGATACGGAGTTCACGGAGAGGCTGCGGTGTCAATAACGCACGAATTTGAGTGACGATTGGTCCGTTCAGACCGCACACGACGATCTTGTCCCCTTCGTGCAGAATGCCGTTGGACAAGACGACATCAATGGTCGTTCCGAGACCCTCGATGACCTTGACTTCCAACACTGTACACTCGAGCTCCGACAAGTACATTAGACGATCACTCATCCGCTGCTGAGTGAGATTCACGAGGAGCATGATCATGTCCGGAATACCCTCTCCGGTGATGGCGGACGTCGGAACCAGAGAGACGTTGCGCGCAAAGTTCTTGTTGTCGTAATAGAGAACGGCGTTCAACCCTTGTTCAGCGAACGCGAGGATCGTCTTCTCGACGCGATCCTCGAATTCTCGCTGCACGGCGCCACTCTGCTTCGCCAGAGAGCTGTGGAAGTCATTATCGGGAGTAGCTTGCCAGCCATACATACGATCAATCTATGAGCGAAGGTCAGAATGGCATGACAGCCGAAAGGATTTTCTGCACCTTGTTCAGGGCGACGATGAATGGCGTTTTCCGGTCTCTCAGTAAGCGTAGAGACTCTAGTGTTTGTGGCTCAAGACCATGCTACATCGCCGTCAGCGTAACTCATAACATGGCGATGATGGTTTTCTCACCATGATATCGACGACAAGAATAGCAATGTTACATAGCGAACTTCCACGAGAACGTAAGTTCGTAAAGGACTCGTGACCAGGAGTATCGATAACCAAGAGACCAGGAATCTTGTAATCTTGGTGCCCATCCTGCAGAGAGTTGTCACTACACTCTGGGATCTACACATGAAATATACGAACCTTGTTGAGAATCGCCGTCTTGGTCTTGATTGCGTCAGCAGGGAAGTAAGTTGCACCTATTTGTTGCGTGATACCGCCAGCTTCTCCCTCTTGCACATTTGTTTGACGAATCTACAATCAATGGTGAAGCGAGGCCGCCAGCTAGCTAAAAACAGGGAGACTCACCTTATCCAAGAGCTTCGTTTTACCAGTATCGACGTGACCCAAGATACAGCAAATGGGGCTCCGCAGATCGTCCTTGTTCCTGGCAGCAAGTGCTGCCTCATGAGCCTTTGCCCGCCGTTCAGCCGCCTCGAGTTTCTTCTTTGCTGCCATGCGCTGGGTGTTCGTCATGCCATCGGAACCTGACTCCTCTTCCGAAGAGTCAGAGTCTTCCTCAGAATCCGACTCTTCCTCTGACTCCCCTTCCGAGGAGCTCTCTTCCTCTGACTCGGATTCTGCTTTCTTGGGCCCATTTGTACTAGCGCCTTTTGCTTTGGCAGGTGCACGAGCCTTTGAAGGGGCTGCCGCAGCGGGTACTGGTTTCTTTGGAGCAGCTTTGGCAGACGCTGCCTTCTCCGCTGTTGCTGGTTTCGAAGACGATGCTGCTTTAGCCGCACCGTTGGCTAGAGATACGTTACCAACAGACCGGGAAATGAATCGAGGACCAGCTTACCAGTAGGAGATGGTTTCGCAGCTTCCCCTTCTTCATCGCCACTGCTTTCGTCCCAAGACTCCTTCACACCCTCTGCTAGCTTCTGCTCTTCGTCGCTGCTTGCATCCCAATCGTCCTTGACACCCTCAACCTTCTCCGCACTCTCTTCGCTTGGCTGTGCGACAGGTTCGGCGATTGGTGGCTTCTCCTCCCGTACAGGCGAGTGTTCTCGGGTGGCGGGACCGCTACCGGTTGCGCTCGCGGGAGCCTTCTTCTTGCGGTTGCCGTAGACGACCTTCTTGGCTGGGTGTGTACTGAAAGCCTGTTGCAGACCTTCGATCTGAACTCCAGAAGCAAGAAGAGCTTGCTTGCGCAACTCGGCTGCCCTTTGCTCCTCCTTCTGCTTCTTGGTCAGGAGGCGTCCCTCCTTCTTAGCAAGCTCTCGCTTCGCCTGTCACAAATGATTAAACGGCTGACGTCCCAAGATGTGGGAGTGCAACTACGTACCTTCTCCTTCTCTTTCTTCCGCTGCTTCTCCTCCTCCTTTCTCCGCGCTTCTTCCTCCGCCTTCCGTTCCTCTTCTTCAATCCTCTTCCTCTCTTCCTCTTCCTGCCTCCGCGCCTCCTCCTCCAGTCGCTTCTTCTCCTCCATCAGCGCCTTCAGCGCACTGATACCAGACGCGCCCTTCTTCTTCCCTGCAGCAGGCGCGGGTACGGGCTCCTCATCTTTCTTGGCCTTCTTCTTTTTCTTCTTCTTCGAATCGGCTTTCGCACCGCCCGCCTCAGCCTCCTCCTCCTCCTCTTCTTCCTCCTTCTCCGCAGGTGTAGGCGCGATAGCGGTCGCGGTCGCGGGAACTTCGGCGGGTTGGGGAGCTGCATCTCCTTGTGCAGTCTTTTTCGCTGCTGCCTGCGCCTTTTTCTTGGCCTGTTCTATAGTGTTAATCGTGATACGGTAGAGATGTAATATATTTACGTACCTTTTCGCGCTCCTTCTTCAGCTTCTCCTTCTCCTTCTTTGACAAGACCTTCGGACCTGCGTCGTCGCCCGCATCCTCGTCCGCCTCATCCTCGTCTTTTGGCTCCGCTGGTGCTGGTGCCACAGCTTCTTCAGGCGCTACCTCACTCTCTGCAGCAGCTATATCACGACCGCATGTTAATCCGGCAGCGAGAACACTTCGGAATGGTAACACACCTGGCTCCTGGTCGAGATCCTCATCCGGAGTTTTGCCCTTCTTTCCCTTGCTTTTCTTTGCCTTCTTACCCTTCCCCTTCGCAGGTCCCCATTCCTCGTCCGCGAGATCGTCAGCGGTCATTTCCACAGGTTTCCTCGGTGCACTGATGTCGCCTTGCGCCGCGGCGGCCTCACCATCCGAGCCATTGCCAGGTGACGGGCCATCTGCGAAGGACACGGAGGTCACCGCAGGTGGCTTCTTGCCCTTCTTATCCTTCTTGTTTTTCGAGGACGCCTTGATAGCGGACTGTCCGTAGAGTAGGAGACGAGATTGGTCATTACGCAGCATACAATGAGGCTATTAGACTTACCATCAACCCGCCGAAGTCTTCGTCCTCGCCGCCTGCGCCGCCGTGCTCCACGCCCAGCTGGGCAAAGGCGGAGAAGCCGCTGCCTTTACGTGCCGATTTGAGGTCATCGTCGGATGCGTCTGCAGCAGCGAGCGATGTCCCAGCGTTGTCGCCGGTAACGGTGGTGCCAGCGTTCTCCCTGCGGCGAATAATTAAGTCAATCTCGCGCTGCAAGTGCACTTAACGCAATGATAGCGGCGCACCAGAACTCGTCATCGTCCTGCTTTTTCCCTTTCTTTGCCTTGTTCTTGGGTGCCATGATCAGTCAGTCACGATGGTGAGGGTATGGGTATGAGATTAATATTGGGGTACTGCGAGAGGCCAACGTTGGGAGATGACTATTTGAGTCTCGGAGAGAGCAGCGGGTCCGGATGCTCAAAAATGACATCTACGCGCGTGCCGGAAGAGCCTCGGACTCTCTTCCCTTCGTCACCGCGGATCCGGGTCATCGCTGAACTGGCCGCTTGCACGCCACTTCGTGGACGACCCTTTGTAATTCAACAAAAATTAACTGACTGCTAGCGGTAGCCGGTGACTATGGGGCTGCTCACGATCATCCGGAAGAACCGCCAGAAGGAGAAGGAGATGCGCATCCTCTTTCTGTCGGTGCAACCGTCGGATCTCTCGCGTTCTGCTCAATTCTGGGTTTTCCTGTTGCAGCGGTCTCGATAATGCAGGCAAGACGACCATTCTGAAGAAACTCAATGGCGAGGATATCATGAGTATCAGTCCCACTCTCGGGTTCAATATCAAGACGTTTGTACATCGCAAGTGAGCCCGAATTTCACGGTGGTGCCCGAATGACTGAGGCATGCATACAATGTTAGGTACACTTTAAACATATGTGAGCAATTTTGACGCGTTCAGGTGTTGTCTCTCCACCCATAACCTATGAGCAGGGGACGTCGGTGGACAGCGCAGTCTCCGACCTTACTGGCGGAATTACTTCGAGCAGACTGATGCGTTAGTCTGGGTCGTCGACTCTGGAGACAGGATGCGTATGAGAGACTGCAAAGAGGAGCTACACAGCCTATTGCTCGAAGAAGTATGCTCCAATTATTGTGTGGATGCGTGAGGCTCATTTCGTGAATACAGCGACTGGCGGGCGCGTCGCTCCTCGTTTTCGCCAACAAGCAAGATATCCAGGGTTCCATGTCGAGTGCGGAGATCAGAGATGTTCGTGACACAGCCTTTTCTCTGACGGGTCATTGAACTGAGAATTTCGCTTGCAGGCTCTTGATCTGCTGTCTATCAAGTCTTATCAGTGGAAGATCCTGCCATGTAGTGCGGTTACGGGTGAAGGCCTGGTCGACGGTCTGAATTGGGTTGTGGATGATGTCGCGGGCAGACTGTACTACTCTTCTGTATCGGAGGAGAACAGCGCGTCCAGCAGCGCACCGGGCATTGTCACTGTACGTTAGTGCGACCATAAATTTCTTTCTTCGGATCACGTCTAACATGGCGACGGCTACCAATCGGCCGCAAAGTCTACTCTACCATCCAACCCACGAAAGAACCCTGCTTTCCGAGCGGTGCTGTGAGGCCTAGAGTTCATCAGCCGCCCGCCCGACACCATCGTCTCTAATGGTATCTTCCGTCTCTCCACCAGGGAAGGCACCGAGCCACTTCCGCAGGATAGCATTCACCTCCCGAGGATGCTCTAGGTGGAGCCAATGCTCCGCATCGAGTGTCTATAATACGCGTCGACCCATCAATACGGTCGAGTTGTTGCGAATAGCGCAAGTGCTTACCTCAGTCGTGAGGTTCGGAAGATACTTCTCGCTTCCCAAGAGTTTTGCTGCTACGACCCAGTCTGCTACAGGATCCTAAGGGGATCGTCGGGATGTCTATCAACGATTTCAGGTATAGATTTTAATTGAGGTGCCTACATTCAGTGGCAGGACGGATAGGACAGGCTGCGAGATTGTGAAATTGCCTTGGTTGTGCGTGAACTCCCAAGAGAGCTGGCGGTTCTGTGGGCGGGAACGCATCAATAATTCACTTGTATTGTTCTGTGTACGTATGGAACTCACCCCATTCGTGTAGAATCCAAGGGCTACGAGATGGCAAAGGAGCGGTTTCAAATAAGCGGATGCAACTTGAAGTAACTTACAACTCACTGGGTCCAAACCCTTGGATCTCGAACTGCTCGACCCAATAATCCTCTTCCTCCGGTGTGAGGAACGGGATAGGCGGTATCTGCATCGTGCTCATCAGTGAATATAGCCACCGACCGATTTGACCGCAAGCACCTCCTCAACGTCTTTCCATCCGCCCAAAAATGACTCCGGATCAATGAGGAACGCGTCGGGCGGCGGACTGGCGGAAGTGCGCAGAGTCGCGCGGAGCGTGCGGCGGGGGTTTGCGTTGAGCTCTGCCGCTGCGCGCTCGTTCTGGGCGAGGAAGAGTTGATAAGCGAGTTTCCGGAGCGAGGAGACGAGTGCACTGTTCGGGACGTAGTGACCTGCCGAAGGGATATACTGTTCCTCGCAGGGGTGATGAGTGGATATAAATTTAGGAAGAGAATAGGGCGTACAGGGATGGCCATACCAATGACACCCTCGATCAGATCTGGTCTCATACGCGCCGCCTCGTAGCAAATCTGTGAGCCCCAATCGTGCCTTTAAATAGAATGAGCGACAATGGGTGCACACCAAGGATATTGACTTGCCCCATACAGATGGCGTGGTTGACGCCGGCATGCTCGAGCGCACAGACCATGTCGCCGACATGGTCTCCCCATGTCCCAGAGGACTCTATATCCCCTGGATGCGTCGATGACGCGAACCCACGGTGATCAGGAGCGACAATATGGTATTCGTCCTGCGAACGTGAGTTGTGAGAAATCAGTCAATACATTGCGCGTTTGTCGTCGGAATAAAGTATAGGGGAAGGTATCAGAGGTGTAGATATGTTGCAATGGCCAGTCTGTCCAGAAATTTGTTATACCATACACTGGACAGAGGCCACCGCGAAATCCTAACGCACAATATAATTCTAGATTCACGGTACTTAGCGCCATGCAGAAACATGCGCATATATGCCCTCTTCCCCAGAATACACGCATGCGACAGCAGATGGATGAAAGAGAAGTCAAGACACAGGCATACTTTGAATTCTTCGATCTGGTACTTCCAACTGTGCCAGAGGCTCGGCCAGCCGGGTTCCATGACTATGGTCTTTTCTGCATCTGAATTGATGTCTGCGTAATCTGTGGAGGTCTCTCGCATGTAGAAGGATCGCAGGGTAACAACATAGGGACATACGGATCTCGATGTCCTTGACCTCTTGTGTGAGTCGGTTGAGCGCTTTGCAATCAGCGACCTTTCTGGGGATGTCCCTCGGGCTGAAGGATACTGGGATGATATTATCCGCCGTACAGGTTCTGAACGCCACGAATGCGCTCCAAGCGAGGAGGGCAGTACGAAGGTGCATTCCAGTCTATGTTTCGGAGAAAAAAGAAGGGGCGTGAGTGGAAGACACTAGAAAAAGAGAACCCCGGCCACAGACCGGAAAGACATATTTATGAGGCGCTAAGCCAGGGAGGGAAGCTGTCTGAACGCACGTACTGGCCGGAGGATTGGCCTTGCACCCAATCAATGACAATTATCCGCTTACACACCCTTACCCGCCAGAAAATATTCATTTTCTCCGACGCGTCTTCAGCGGAGACGGCGCCAATCTAAAATTTTGGCAACTCTTTCTTTGCCCACCACCTGCCCACCGCCGTTGACGATGCCCTCCAAGACCTTCCTCGACCCTGCGACGGCCATTGAGCATCTCAGCATGTACGACCGATCCGACGGGCTCGCCGTCGGCGAGCTCATGAACTCGGCCGTACACGGTGGTCTCACCTATAACGACTTCCTCATGCTCCCTGGAAAAATCGACTTCGGCGCCCACGAGGTCACGACGGAGAGCAGGGTCACCCGCAACGTCGTGCTCCGCACGCCCTTCATGAGCAGCCCCATGGACACTGTCACTGAGGGCGAGATGGCTATAGCCATGGCGGTGAGCGCGACGCAGCTAACGACCACCGCACCGTGTCCGACTGTCCCTGTGTGCTTGTAGCTCCTCGGCGGCATCGGCGTCATCCACCACAACCAGTCCCCCGAGGAACAGGCCGCCATGGTGCGTGCTGTGAAGCGTCACGAGAACGGCTTCATTGCGAACCCGGTCGTTTTGTCCCCATCTCACCGTGTAGAGCACGTCCTCGACGTGAAAGAGCGGCTCGGCTTCGCTGGTGTACCCATTACAGGTGCGTACATGCGTCCCACGGTCTGGGTTGCTTCCCCCCTCCGTACCTGATGATAATAATTTCACAACCTTCGTTCTTCCGAGCAACGCGTTTTGCACGTGTGATATGCGGAGTTTTATACCCATTTTCCATCTGACTTATTCCTTATCTTTCTGTGTCTCAGCAGCTGATTCTTGTTTGATGTAGACACCGGCGCGCTTGGGGGCAAGCTCCTCGGCATTGTCACGAACCGAGATATCCAGTTCCGCTCGCCTACGACACCCCTCTCCGAGGTAATGACCACCGACCTGGTGACCGCGCCAGAGGGCATCACACTGCAGGAGGCCAACGACATCCTGCGCGACTCAAAAAAGGGCAAGCTGCCCATCGTCAACAAAGAGGGCCGCTTGACCTCGCTCCTCGCGCGCTCGGACTTACTCAAGAACCAGAATTACCCGCTCGCGTCGAAGCTGCCCGAGAGCAAACAGCTGTATGCCGCCGCGGCGATCGGGACGCGCCCGGCGGACCGCGCCCGGCTCGCGGTGCTCGTCGACGCGGGCCTCGATATCGTCGTGCTGGACTCGTCGCAGGGAAACTCGGTGTACCAGGTCGAGACGATCCAGTGGATCAAGCAGACGTACCCGAAGCTGGAGGTCATCGCCGGCAACGTCGTCACGCGCGAGCAGGCGGCGGCGCTGATCGCCGCGGGCGCGGACGGCCTGCGGATTGGGATGGGCTCCGGCTCGATCTGCATCACGCAGGAGGTCATGGCGGTGGGCCGCCCGCAGGCGACCGCGGTGTACGCGGTGGCGGAGTTTGCGAGCAAGTTTGGGGTGCCGGTCATCGCGGACGGCGGGATCGGCAATGTGGGGCATATCGTGAAGGCGCTGGCGCTCGGGGCGGGTGCGGTGATGATGGGCGGGCTGCTGGCGGGCACGACGGAGGCGCCCGGGGAGTACTTTTGGCATGAGGGCAAGCGCGTCAAGGCGTACCGCGGCATGGGCAGCATCGTGCGTACCCCTCTCGACTCTCGGGTGGTCGGTCTCTCTGGTGCTCACCGGACACACAGGAGGCGATGGAGCAGGGCAAGCCCATGCCGCCGTCGGCGGAGGTGAACGGGACGGGCCCGGTGAAGCACTCGCGGAAGAAGGCGACGCACGAGAACGCGGCGACGACGCGGTACTTCTCCGAGTCGTCCGCTGTGAAAGTCGCGCAGGGCGTGTCGGGCGACGTGCAGGACAAGGGCACTGTGCGCGCGTTCATCCCGTATTTGTACACGGGCCTGCAGCACTCGCTCCAGGACATCGGCGTGCGCAACGTCTCGCAGCTCCAGGAGGGCGTGCGGGCGGGTCAGGTGCGCTTCGAGCTCCGCACCGCGAGCGCGCAGGTCGAGGGTGGTGTGCATGGGCTGAATTCGTGCGTCAATCGTTGACTGTCTTTGTGCGGTTTGCTGATCGCAGTGTGGTTGTGCTGCAGGTATACGAAGCGGCTCTTTGCGTAGAGTGGAGGGTGCGAGCAGTGTTGTATCCATACCACCCGCACGAACATTGTATTTTTGTCGTGGACACACTACACGGATTGATGTTTGTCTCAGAATCTACTTGCGAGACCGCCGACGGGCTAATAGTAATTCGAGTGAGCTGCCGACTTCCCATCAAGTGCTGATTATACGCAGTCTATCATTCGGGAAAACGTAAAGCAAACAAAGAAACAGATACATGTTATCGACTAGGTCGTATCCAAGGGGCCAGAGCACTGCCCTTGAACCGCTTGAAGTACCCGTCGAGCTCCTTGGCCCAAGCAAACAGCTCAGGTATTTGCGACTTGTCCACGTTCTCGAAGAGACCGTGCAATTCCTGGCGGAGAAATCCGGAGACCGTCGAACCGCCATGGCCGTCGTATATGCCTACGAAAAGGACCTGGCGAGCTAAGGCGTCTGGCAAAGCAGATGGATCCCAGTCTATTTGGAAAGACTTCTTGAGACTTAGACGAGCTCCTCCGGGTTAAGCGAGAGGGAGACGAAGGAGTAGAAGTCTTCCTGGGTATTAGAACGAGATCAGATGCAAAGGAAGACATACAGATTCGGAGACATACAGTCGCTCTCCACGAGATGAAGCGATACCTATGATTTTGGGGTTATTGAGGAGGAGACGTGCGGAGCCTCCTGTAGAAGAGGGCGAGAACGTTTAATAGAGCAGTGGCGTGTGAGATGTAGGAATCCACTGGGGTCGAGAAGCGGATATAGCGGGCGATGTTCTTCTGTACGAAGGTACGTGGTCGAGATTTTGTGAGTACGGGAGACTGAAAGGAGTGCCAAAGTGAACTCGACGCGCGTGTCATGCAGACTGACTAAGCAGGGATCTTATCTGACAAGAACGCGTCGCGTGTCCGGCGCGTATAAATGGCATCGACGCACATTCGTCGACTCGTTCTTTCTTCTCCATCCAAGTATTTAAGTTAAAACTTTCGTCAAATATTCGCGCTCGGAATCACTACTGCATCCTCATGTGCATGTGCTGGACCACCAATGACGGGAATGACTACTGTGCCTCGCGTCGACTTCACTGCTCTCCCATAAATACTCGCCGAATGTCTCTCGTCCTTCCCCCCGTCCTCCAGGTCATCCCCCTCGGCCTCTCTCTGCTTCCTTGGCCACCCAAGCATGTTGAATACCGCTCTTCTCCTCGCATCTCTTACCTTCGTCCGTGCAGCACCGACCATTGATCCTGCCTCGTCCATCGCAGGTTCCACCGTCAGCTTTTCCTTCCCACCCGCAGGTGCCACGTTCACTGCATATGAAGCCTACTTCCCCGATGCTTCGGAAGTTGGATATCCCGGTCCCACTCCTAGTTGGTATCTTTTCTTCTGTCCAAATGTAGTCGATGTACTCATCCTGTAACTTTACTCAGCTGGTGATGAGGCGGAGGCTATCCAGACTGCTCCCGTTGCGGCACTCAACCTCGATGCCTACCCTCTCGTGAACCCATTGGCCCAGTACACAGGAGATGTCCCCTCGTTCAACCCCTTGCACCACTGGGGAAACCTCGGTCCCTGGTATTCTGTCGGTGATGCCTTTGGTCTGCCTGACGCCTCGCCACAGATTCCTGCTGGGTGTGAGCTCACGCAAGTCCATCTTATCCATCGCCACGGTGCCAGATACCCCACGTCTGGCTCGGATCCAGGCCAGTTTGCGGCCTTCGTCCACTCGGCCGCCGAGGGCGCCGGTTTTACTGCGACCGGTCCCTTAAAATTCTTGAATTCGTGGACGTACAAGCTTGGCGCTGAGATATTGACTCCGTTCGGTCGAGAACAGCTGTGAGGTTCTCGGTCCGTGCTGTTGTGGAGACAGACTAACCGTGACCTCATCTAGCTATGAACTCGGGGTGGGCTTCCGGGTGAAATACGGGGAACTCTTGAAGGGATTCAATGCTCTTCCCGTATGGCGGACAACCTCAGAGGGTAAGCTCTTGAACACTTTCGCATTATGCTGCAGAAGACTGATTGCTCCCATCAGAACGAATGGTTGACTCTGCGTCAGTGCAGTAGATTTTTTTTTGCGTGAGATCGAAGTTGACAGTCAGCTCTAGTTTGCAATTTGCTGCAGGTTTCTTCGGTGTACAGCAATACCAGACCTCCTACTATGAGGAGATCATCGTCAATAACTCTGGCTTTAACAGCACGCTGTCTCCATCGAACGCGTGCCTGAACTCTAACAACGCGGTCGGCAATCTCGGTGGCGTATACTCCGGCAATTGGACCGACATCTACCTCAACGGTACCGTAGAGAGGTTGCAGCAGTATGTGACCGGTCTTGAGCTGAACACGAACTATGTGTTCGGGATGCAGCAGCTTTGTGCTTATGAGATTGTCGCTCTCGGCTATTCGGACTTCTGCGATATCTTCACTGTGGAGGAATGGCTTGGTTTTGAGTACGCAAACGGTGCGTACGCACTTCATCGCAGTTTGGTCGTGCCATTTGACGTCTCTCCTCAGACCTGATCTTCTGGTACAGTAACGGTCCCGGAAGTCCCGTCGCTGCTGCACAGGGAATAGGCTATGTCCAGGAGCTCGTGTCGCGCCTGACACAGACACCGCTCACGGTATTCGACACCAGCACGAATGAAACGTTGGACAGCAATCCGATCACGTTCCCGCTCAACCAACCCATTTATGTGGACGCGACTTATGACACCGTCATCGCGCAAAGTGCGTATCCGCAAGGCGCTTATAGGAGGCCGGCGTTGATCATATGTATACAGTCGTTACTGCGCTCAATTTCACCACTTTGGCTGCGAATGGTCCTCTGCCAGTTGACCATATTCCGGGATACCAGGTGCGGGGTACCGCGATTTTGCGCTGAGCCGTCACTCAGTTGTTTCCATCACGCAGACCTACCACGTGAACCAGATTGCACCGTTTGGCTCGAACCTCGTGGGACAGGTCGTATCCTGCCCCGCATCTCCGCAGAACGCGACGCAGGAGTCGTTTATCCGCTTCATCCTGAACGATGGCGTCGTGCCACTCACGGGCATCGCCCACTGTGAAACGCCCAATCCTGATGGCCTGTGCTCGGTGGCGAACTTTGTGCAGGGCATGCAGGAGCGCATCGCGCAGGTGAACTTCAACTACGACTGCTTCGCCGACTATCCTGCGCCGTACCCGGATGACATCATCGACGGGCGAGAGTGGAAGTAGAGGAAGTGTTTGTACAAAAAAGATATCACCAATACATGGGTGAATGTTGAAGTGATGCATATCAATTGTATGTACTAGAGTACTAGAGTAAACCCGTGGCCATCAGCAAAACCCAACTTTTTCTTCGGGAGCTATTTAGACTTTTTGGTCTGACAACCCTTATTTAAGGCAATAAGTGATCAAATAAGTGTCAATAAGTTTGATTTCAGACCCTTTTTGTCCTTATATCCTTAAATAAGGACTATAAGTGCATCTAAGTCAGTTACGCTCTTAAGTAAAAGTTGAGTTTTGCTGATGAATACAATGTACAAGAGCATCTCCAAATAATTTTGAGGCAATCGGTGTAAAGGATCCAGCTGTAGGAAAAAATATGGCACTTCTGGGGTCATATGGCATATCCGGGTCACTGATAGTACATGTCCGTCCGAGGAGTGAGTAGCAATGTCCGGGTTTTGTATCGACGTATCTAGGATATCGATGTAGCAGATAGCAATAGAATGTAACAGCGTCAGCTGTAACTGTATCCGGGATAGTGTGACGTTAGAGCATGATCTATGTGTATACGTACGTGACGGCGTTGAAGACGCCAGGTCCTCATTTTGTGGCAGAGACAAGTCTGAGAGGGCGGGCGAAGGGGGGGTCATACTGTGAGACGTGGGTCTTCAAAACACGATCATGGCAGCACCACCAGCGCCGGCAAGGACGCTGAGCAGGACGCCGAACAGAGCCGTGAGCGGGAGGTCGTGCACGCTGCCCGCCGCGCTCTTCGAGCCCGAGCCGCTGGAACCGCTGGTACTGCTGACGATCGGATGCGTCGTTGCGCTCGCAGCGACGCTCGTAGGGCTGGGGATGCCGATGCCGCTCGCGAAGCCCGCGGCGAGACAGGAGCTGGTCGCGCTGGCGACGGCGGACGCGGCGGTGGGCTTCCCGGAGGACTGCACGGTCGCCAGCCCGCCAAAATCGCACGCCTGCGCGTTGCGGCTCTGGTCCTCGTAGTACGTGTCGAGCGCGATGTTGAGCTGCTGGAGGGGCGCGCAGTACGAGAGGTCGCCGTACACGCCCGCGGAGCCGTTGCCCGAGATCGCTGAGCACGCGGTCGAGCTCTCACCGCACACTGTGCCGATCATGGTCCCCACCGTGCCGAGGTCGGTCGCGTCCGTGTACGTCGACAGGCAGGACAGCTGGTTCACCACGCACTCGCACACGCTGTTGTCCGGCGTGTACGGTAGATTCGTGCTGACTAGCCAAGATGAATTCGATGCGGGACACGAGACGGGTTCAGCGATTGTCGGCGTGTACGACGACAAGCTCTGGTTAGCGGGCGCGATCCCCGCCAGCGAATTCTTCAGGTTCGTAAAGTCCTGCGTGGTGGTGATCGACTGCCCGTCCGCAGAGATGTCCACCAGCCCGTAATTGTTCGTCTGATTGTTGTATTCCTGCCGGGCTGTCAACAACCCCGTCCGTCGAGCTCGACGGCGCACTCACGTAGACGATCCCGCCCGACCACACCGGTGTCATCTCGCTCCCGTACAGCACCGCCACCTCTGTGAACGGCCGCGGCTCCACCTGGTTGCACCCGTATTCCGAGAAGAACGCCGGCTGGGTGGCCTCGTCAGAGGACAGACAGCACACCGGACGCACGCGTCCCACGCACCACGCCGAGACTCGCCAGCTCCTCCGTTCGCGCCTGGTACCCCGACTGGGTGAACGAGCTGTTCCCGCACCACTCGTAGATGTTCACGCCCCAGTAGTCCTGCATCGCCGTCAGCGCCGGTAGAGATTCTGCAGCAGGCACGTACGATGGACGTGGTCGTGTTCTCGCACGCGAGGTAGTACGGCAGCGCAACGCGCGAGTTCGGCGAGTCCGTCGCCGTGTACTGCGAGATGGTTAGTGTGGGCGAAGCAGACTTGGCAATCCTACGCACGCCAACCAGCTGGGAGTAGTTGTGCGCCTTCAGGTACGCCTTGATGTCGCGCACGCCCGCCTTGATGTACGGCGCCGCGTCGTCGTCTCCCGCGTTGCTAATCTGAGAGGTGATGGGTCAGTAAATCGGAAGCGTTGTATGATTTCAACGTGGGAGCCTGCAGGTGCCCCGGAAATCTGGCTCGGCCCGCGTCATGGTCGATCCGATATGCTCGGACATTGCAAGCTTCGAAATAAACTAGCACCTGGGGTACGAGACAAAAGCCTGAAGTCACAAAAACTCCAGGCCAACGTGGGCTCAAACACGCTGAAGCCAACAGAGACCGGAGCTCACGCCGCAGCCGGATTCCATCCCCGCAGCCGGGTGCACCCAGGCGGAAACGCGCACGACACGTCCACCATGTAGAGTGGAGCGTACAATCCTCGTCCGGACCCAGCTGACGCGTGAACAATCGTGAAACGGCTGGTCGTACACCGTCCCGTCGAAATGGACACCGCGACTTGCGAGCTCACGCAACCAGACATCCACGGTCAACCATGAGCCCGAAATCGAGGGAGAGGACACCATTCAGTGCCAGGCGCCTCGCTGCGGTTTACACCCAAATGCATCAGGCGTTATCACGGCGTTTGTGCGCCAACCCGGCCATGGTCTAGCAACGTCCGGACCGTATCATTGCAGGTGGGACACAACCTGCAAAGGCCTCCATGGAGAGTAGACACGACACTCACCACTTCGTTTCCGACGTTGAACCCGAGGATATTCGAGTAGCTGCCGAACGCCTCGATGGTAGAGATGAAATTCGTCAATAGACCGACGTTCCAGCTGGGATCGGTGCTGCTGATGGCGTCGTTCGGTGCGGGGGTGGCGAGGTCGAGGAGGACGTAGACCCCGGCAGAGTTGAGCGCGGACATGCACGCGCTGTGGTCGAGGGAGGCGTTGACCTGATAGACGCGGATGAGGTTAATGCCGAGCTGCTGGAAGTAGGGGATGTCGCGCTGGCAGCCCTGGCCGTTGGCGAGGGGGTCGAGGGCGCTGATGGAGCCGGTGGCGGCGATGGGGGAGGACTGCGTGCTGCCATAGTTGGCGGAGTAGGCGAGGCCCTTGACGTAGAAGCGGTCGCCGGTGACGGCGTCAAAGAAAAAGCTGCCCTTGGAGGTGATCGGGTTCAGGGCGGAGACCGCGCTGGCGAGCACCGCGGCGACGGCGAGGAGGGGCGTGAAGAACATGGCGGGGTCGACGGGGGAGGGAGCGGAAGAGAGGAGGGGATAAGAGCCTAGGAGTCTTATGGATGCATCAATTCTTCGCTCGGGCGCTCGCAGCCATCCGCGTGGCGGCGTCTGTGTACCGACCTTTGCTATGACGCAATCACCCCCAGAATCAATTCTCCAGTGCGCGCGTCCCCGGGCCTCGGCCGCCGCGTATCAACGCACTACTTCCTCCTCGACAAACTCACCAAGGCCGTCGTACGCAACATCAATCGGTGGCTGGGCTTGATCTATCCATGATTTTCTGCAGACGAGTCCTCTCGCAACCCCGTTCTGGGCAGGTCCACATGGAGAACGTTTATGTCAATCCTTCGGTGCATTACGTCCCGAGGAAGGAAAGTCAACCAGAGGTGGGAAGGTCGACCACGAGCCTCTTGGACAGTCGGCTGGTGTAGACCAGCACGGGCACGTTGACGTCACGCACTGGTGGGCTCGCTGTGATTATCATTCAGTGGAGACAATGCGTGTGACACTCACTCTACGAAGAGGCCTGAAACATGAAGGCAAGATGTAGCCGCGAAGATGGAATGCACGCTGTACAAGGGAAACGTACCCGGCGGTCGGAACGTGCGCGAAGGGCTCGGGAGAGATGGCGTCGCGTGTTGTACCCGTAAGGTAGTAGCTAGGCCGCCGAAGTGTACTTCTGAAAACACCACTTTTACTTTGTAACATACTATGCGCATGCTTCAAGTTGACTCGTCGGGCCCAGCCTTGAAGTACTACAAGTAGAAATCGGTCTTACAGTCAGGGAGAGAGGTGAAAGGAGGGGGAAGAACTGCTTCGAGTTGACTCACCGGGCCAAGCCGTGACTATAGCTAGAAATCGGCGGGAGAGTCTTACAGTTGCGGACAGAGAGGAGAAAGGAGGGGGAAACCCAGAGGCCCTTCGACCTTAAGTACCCGCAGATCGGAGCTGCGACGGGCTCTGATTGGTTCGTTTCCGAGGTATATGACGGGCGATGACGCAAGACGTCGCAAGTGGCAACGATCGAAAGGGGAAAGACTGTTACTCTATATGGAATCGGTACGGCACTCTATATTCGGCTGTCAGGTGCTTATGGACGACAGCGCAGGAGTCGTCCCTACTCGCGGCTCCGTCGCCAACAGAAGCGCGGGGAGCAGGAGTTCTCCGGCAGATTTCTCGACCACGACGCCCCTCCCCACCAACGAGCTAACTCGATTGCCTTGCTCGAGCTAACTGACCCCCCTTCGTGCCGCCAGACCGTACAAGAGAAACTGCGTTCCATTTCTTTGCATGCAACTAGCTAACCACGACCGTCGTCGAACTCCGCTCACGGTCTTCGCGTGGACGAACAACACATCGCACACCTGCAGGACGCGTCAAGGCGTTCGAGTATAAGCACCACGTCTGCGCGTGCCAATCCCGCTCTCGAGCAGCCCGGTCGCATTGAACGCGTCAATACACTTTCCTCCACGCAGCCATGGCCCCTGCAAACGTGCATATACGATGCTCAGTGCGGGGCAACGATGCGCCACCGATACGTCTATCGTACATGCTATCGTACAGCACTAGTACACCGGCTCGCAGAAACTCCACGGAGGCGTCGCGTCACCCCCAGCCCAAGTCACGGCTTCCACGCCCGCCTCTCGGGCGTCGCCTCGCCCCCACCCGCGCTCGTGCGCGTCACACGCCCGCCCCTGCCCGGCGTACTGCGCGCATTCGGGCGTGAGAGGAACACATCATCGCGCGACGGCGCACGGGGCATCCCAAACCGGCGAGGCGGCGAGGGCGTCCACGCGGGCAGGGCCTCGTCCAGCAGCCGCGGAGGGGACGACTCCGGCTCCGCGCGCACGCGGGGGCTGAGGCTGAGGCTGCCGAGGATATCGTCCAGCTCGCGCGCGTCCTCGTCGTACGCCCACCACTGCGTGCTGCTGCTCCCCTCGTCGGCGTCCGCGAAGGGCGTGCCCGGGCGCCGCGGGAGGAGGCCGAGCCCGTCGAATGGCGCGCCGTCCGCCTTGCGCAGGCCGGAGATGCCGAGCCCGACGAGCGCGCTGGCGGCGGGGGTGTAGGCGAGCGTGAGCGAGGGGCTGGAGAGCGCCGAGGGCTGGGAGGCGTCGAGTAGCGAGGGCGTGCCTGCGTCGGAGGTAGAGCCTGCGCGCGTGCGGACGCGCGCGAAGGATGCGGGCGGGAGGCGCGGCGATGGCGGGGGGGAGTACGCGGGTGAAGACGGGGGCGGCCAGGTGTCGGGGTCGCGCGAGAGGGCGAGCTTGAGGCTCTCGTACGTAGTGCTGCGCTCGTCGTATTGGGTGGGCTCGCCCGTGGGGAGGGGATACGCAGTGAGGGACAGGGTGGTGCCCTGCGCGTGCTGGCTGCGTGCGGGCGCGCCTCTAGAGACGGTGTATGCACTCCAGGGCTTCTCGGGTATCTGCACCGTCGCGGCGGTGCGCTTGTGCTTGGGATGCAGGCCGCGCACCGCCTCGCGCGAGAGGGCGGGCGCGAAGACGCGCAGGCCACCCTCGGAGACCGTGCGTCGGGAGGCGCGGCGGGGGAGCGGCGCGAAGACGCGCGGGCCGGGGCCGGGCTGCGCGGAGGTGGTGGATGAGGCTGGCGCGCGTGGGCGCGAGTCGGGGACGTCGTCCGGGAGGCGCACGAGAGCGTAGCGCTCGAGGTTCTGGGACCAGCATTCGGTGTAGGGGCTCCTGAGCCGCCCGGCTTGGACGAGGACTTCGAGGTACGGGGCGCCGGGGGGCACTATGTCGGAACGGTGGGAGTGCGAGCGCGACATGAGAAACGATCGTCGGAGGAAGGGATGGGAGTCCGCTGGGGCTGGCTGGCAGCGGGGCGCAGGAGCTCTGAGTGGGAGAAAGAGTCAAGTGTGCAAGGAGGATACGAGAGAAATGTCGCCTGTAGAACTTGCCGGAAGAAAGACGGGATGAATGCGAGCGAGAGGAGGACGGGATGATATAGCGGAGAGCATGGCTGACAGGAGGCTGCACCGTCGGACGCTCCTGGTGGCTGAGGCTGGTACTAGAGACGCGTTCAGCTGTCGTCCTCGGTCAAAATACAAACGAGTCCACAGTCCAGGCTCATGTCGGTGATCGTGTCAACGATCGACTCAATCGTCCGAGGAGACATGTCGACGGGTATAGAGCAGAAAAACGGAAGCCACCGACGGCGAGCACTTTCGATAGTACGCAACAGACAGTACTGGAGACACGCCCGGCGAATATTTGCAGAACGAGCCCGTAGGTCGCAGACGCGATTGCCGAGTTGTATGCAATTCGTTGATAGCGATGCACGCGGCCGGCCCGTGTACTGAAGTTAGCGCTCAGAGTAGATAAGCGCCGACATCGACCGACGTCGGCCCGTCCTCTCGGCTCATCCCACCAGGGCCACCACTGTCCTCGTCGCTATCGGCAGGAGCCCCGCACCGTCTCGAGGCTGCTCACCACCCGGAACAGCAGCGTTCGCTCGCTCCCAGTGACTGACACTCGTCTCCGTGTCGGCACCATCAGAGTGCCCGACAAGTCTCTGTCCATGTCTCTCCGCACCGTCGTCCACGCTGCTCGCAGTCTCTCCACCCAACCCTTCAAAAGCCGCGTACGGCGGTGGTGTGCGCGCAGATATGCAACCACCGCCCCGTCCTCGTCCATCCCCGCGCTGAAGCCCTCTGTCTACGGCCAACCGCTCTACCCTTCCCATCCCCATCTCAGTGAGTGCAGTATTCCCGCGGTTCTATGTCCCTGATCATTGCACTCCAGTGAAGCCCGGTGAGATCACCCCAGGCATCCCAGCAGAAGAGTACGAGCGCCGGCGAAGAGCACTCATGGACAGCCTCCCCGACCAGAGCCTCGTCGTATGCGTCGCCGGCCAGGTCAAATACATGAGTGGCAGTGAGTCCCACCCTCGCTTCCCACCCCCTCCCGCTGATAGCCCTTCCCAGAAATATTGTAAGCGCACCACCCTCTCCCGCAGCCCCCGCTCACGCACACACGAAGCTACAAGTTCCGCCAGGCCTCCGACTTCTGGTACCTCACGGGCTTCGCAGAGCCCGCGAGCGCGCTCGTGCTCGAGAAGGCGCCGTCCGTGCCCCGCAGGTACCGCATGACGCTCTTCAGCGCGGGCACGGACCCCGCCGCGGCGCAGTGGGACGGCGCGCGCATGTCGCACGCGGACGTCGTCCGCCACCTCGGCGCCGACGACGCGCAGCCCGTCGACGCGCTCCCCGCGGCCCTGCGCGCCCTCGCGCCCCGCTTCGACCGCGTGTACCTCGACCTGCCCCCGTCCGCGTCCTCCAGGCGCGGCCGCCCGTCCTCGCCCAAGTCCCTCTTGAAGGTCCGCCGTTTCTCCGCCCTCGCGCGCGTGCGTGGGGCTTACACACTTCTGTGGGCAGTACCTCGCGCCGGACGCGCTCTCCCGCACGGACTATGACGTGCTCCTGGACGCGTTCAGCAGCTCGAAGCGCAAGCCGCTCGCGCCCGAGGTCGGGCGCCTCCGCTCGATCAAGAGCGAGGCGGAGCAGCGCGTCATGCGCGCCGCCGCGGATATCAGTGCGCGCGCGCACGCGAAGGTGGGTGCCCGGCTGGGTGGGGCGGTCCGCTGGCTTACTCTGCACCGCAGACGATGCGCTTCGCGCAGCCGGACATGTCGGAGCACGTCATCGCAGCGCATTTTGAGTACCTCTGTGCCCGCGAGGGCTCGTTGCGGCCCGCATACGTCCCAGTCGTCGCCTCGGGGTGAGTCCCTCCGCCGTCTGCAAGCGAAAGGTATTGAAACGTCGTGCCGTGCGGCCCAGAGCCAACGCGCTCACCATCCACTACACGGCGAATGACCAGCTCGTGCGCGACGGCGAGCTCATCCTGATGGATGCCGCGTGCGAATACAAGTCAGTCTGCCGCTCCGCATCCGCGCTCACGTACTAACACCGCGCAGCGGCTACGCCTCCGACATCAGTGCGCCCCTCTACCTTCCTTGACCTGCGAGCACTCTCACCCCCCCACGCTTCGCAGCGCGCACCTTCCCCGCCTCGGGCACGTTCACGCCCCCGCAGGCGGCGCTCTACGGCGCGGTGCTCGCCGCGCAGAAGGCGCTCGTCGCGCTCTGCAGCGCCGCCGCGGGGCACTCGCTCGCGCAGCTGCACCGCGCATCGTGCGACCTCCTCCGCGCGGAGCTCGCCCGCGCCGGCCTACCGTGTCCCGCCTCTGGCGCGCTCGCGGAGCTCTACCCGCACTACGTCGGGCACCCCGTCGGCATCGGTGCGTGCCCCTACCTCCCTTCTCCTCGTGCGGAGTTGCTGATGCGCGTGCAGATTTGCACGAGTCGAGCCATTTTGAGCGGAACGAGCCGTGAGCGCCCCTCCTCTCCTCTCTTCGCCTGGCTGTCGCGCTGATGTGAGCCCTGGGAACGATGCGTCGCGCAGGATAAAAGCGGGGATGGTCATCACCATCGAGCCAGGTGCGTCTCATTTTCCGCTTCCTGTCTCTCCTCTTTGCTGAAATTCGATACGCAGGAATTTACGTCCCGCCCTCGCCGGCGTACCCGACGCACTTCCACAACATCGGCATCCGGATAGAGGTGAGGCTGTGTGCCCTGTTCTGTTCCATGCGCCTTTGTTCTGAGCTAGTTCTTTGATTGCAGGACGAGGTGCTCGTGGGCGAAGAGCACCCGATCGTGTTGAGCGTCAACGCGCCGAAGGAGGTGCGCGTCCCTTCTCTACTGGGCCGCCAGCTGTCTGTCTCTCACGACGCCCACCTCGCAGATCGTCGACGTCGAGGGAGCGTGCCAAGGTCAGCTCGGACTCGAGCCGCTCTAAACCACAGCACATTCTCTATCCCGTCACATTTCAGAGGCACATTACATAGCAGCACATCTAATAAACTGCGGCTTCTCCCATTTCGGCGCGTTTATCTAATCTTCGACCATTCAAACACACCACGTATACCTACCATACATCCGTAGAGCCGCTAAGCCCTCACTCGACGTCTTTCACGATGGAGTTGCGGTCACGGTGCCTCACAATCCCGCCACGGGAGCTCTCGGGTTCAAGCGGCTCCTCTGTGCTCGCGAGCGCCTGCAGCACCTGCTCGCGGCGGAGCCACCGGTCCTCGGGGATGAAGTACCAGCTGAGCATACCGAAGATGGTCACGGAACCGAAGATCACACAAGCCTGCCGCAACGCATCAGCCGTACCCAAACTCAGCACACATCTCAGGAAGACTCACAAAGTTGAAGGACTGTGCGGTGACCGGGAAGTAGAACGGCGAGATCTGGCACTGTGTGGCGAGCAGTCAGAAAAGATGCGTGCAAATCGCGCGGCGACGAAGCTCACAGCGAAGACGATCCCGTTGAAGATCACCGCGGACACGTAGAACGGCTTCCTCCACCGGCCCAGATAGAAGTGGGACCCCTTGAAGTCGTTGGGCGTGATCGTGAGGCGCAGCAGCGCGATGAGGCCGTACGCCGCGGTCGTCGGAATGCCGCCCGCGGAGGTGAGCGACGTGAACGCCACCTGGCTCGGGAGGATCGTGCACAGAATCGCCGCGCCGAACACGAACATGACTGTGACGGCGTTGCGGGGCTGGCGCGAGCTGTCCACCTGCCCGATCCAGTGCGACAAGGGCAGCACACCGTCGCGTGCGACAGCGTAGACGAGCCGCGAAGCAGCAACGATGGCGACGCTGGTGTTCTGTCAGACGGATCCCATGTGAGCAAGGTGAGGTGCAGTAAGCAGACGAACACATACAAGAATGAGGCCAAGAGTAGCGACGATTGTCATGAAAATACCGCCACCCTTTCCTAGAGCGAGCGCATAGATTTGCACAAATGGCTGCGGGGCATCCAACGCAAAGAGGGTGTTCAGATCGGGCGTGCAGAAGAGAAATAAGATGGTGGTGGCAAATCCCAAACATCCGGTGGCAATGGCACTGTAGAGAATGCCGCGCGCTGCAACGACGCTAGAATAAATTGTCTAAGCTATCATCGTCACGCTAATCGCAGGAGCAGAGACACACCTCGCGTTTTTGGTCTCTTCCGCAATATGTCCTGAGGCGTCGAAACCAATCATAGTCCCCGAAGTGAAGAGGCTGGACAAAATACTTAAAAACAGCGCGTTGAAGAAGACAAAATATCAAACGTACAACGATAGCATCCAGTTCCACCCAGTAGGTGCTCCTGTGCCATTATCTAATGCGGAAGTCAGAAGGTTAAATTGGGCAGAGAACATGCGACACACATTGCATAGTAAAAACATCTTTGGCAGACCGAAAGCCATAGGTCCTCGACACGCCGATGGGAAGCCAGATGACGCAGAGCAGGAAGTCAACCATGTACAAGCCCATGGCAAACTTGAACACAGAAGAATACCATCTAGGAGGCAAGTAGTTGATAGCAATGGCAACAAAGAGTGACCCCTCCGCTACAGCCCACACCATCGCGCGCCATTGGATACTGTCGTTCGCGAGTCCACCAGGATAATTAACCTGGAACACGACGAGCTCGGAGACAATGTAATTGGCCGTCGTCTGCACAATTGTGGATCAACCCTTCGTTTCACTTGTCAAAGCAGATACGGACGTACCAGACAATTTCCTGCGGCAAAGGTCATCCAGGCAGTGCACGACCACCAAGCTACAATGAAGCCAAAAAACCTGGCGTACTTCGGGCCAGCGCTCTCAGCGGACCAGATGTAAATCGATCCGCTCAAAGGCAGAGCAGAGCAAATCTCTGCCAGGACCGCGGCCGTGATGCACATGAAAATCACCGAAATGACGTACGACGACCTGGAAGGAAGCCTCAATACAGGAACGGAGAAGCGATAAGAAGACTGCTTCACCATACGGCAGCCGGTCCGCCAGCCTGAAGACCGAGGAAAAGGCCAGATCTAAATAGAAGAGTTGAACAATATCAGTTCGAAGCTGGGTAAAGTTAGTCATACCTGACCCCTCCAATGAAATTGAGAGATACGAAACTAGCGGCGAAGCTTTCTATAAAATGCCAGCTACGATGTAAAGACTGCGAAAAATAACTCAGACAGGTCTACACTACGATAAGATTTAATCCTACCGGTTTAACGCCAAGCTTTTGCTGAGGAAAGAAACAGAAGACGTCAGTAAAATTGTCGGGGCTCCCCCGCAAAGCAAGGGAGTGGTAAGTAATAAGGGCGACACTGGGGGCTTCCCTACGCAGGTATGAGCGCTGATCAGGTTCAAACGGTATACTCTCAATCTTCGCAAGGTCATCCGCTGTATCCTTGTTTCCACGCACTTCACCACGACGGCGGGAAACAGAGATGCAGCATGATCTCAGGCGAAGATACCCGTAGCCATTCCAGTTTCACCACTGAGAATTGACGTTACCGATGATACAATCACAGCGATCCCAAACTCCAGCATAGTCCCTCCCAGCTCCGCAGGGCGATTACCATCTGCAGTTCATCTTGGTCGATGAGCGAATCGTCACGCTCCACATCGGGTGTAGCGGGATCCTTGATAATGTCGGAATCTTTGAGAGACATCTCGAAAGTGCTTCTAAGAGAAAGCGAGCGATGAGCAAAGGAAGGGGATCTTTCGCGATAACGCAAAAACCAGAGATCATCGGTATAAGTACCGTAGCTTACATAAGCAGCGCCTCGTGTCTCTCGAGCTCCGCCTCCGCGGGGCCGCACCGGGGATGCCGTAGCGACCGACCATCTGCTCAGCGTTCAAGTTCCGAAGTCACAGAAAGGAGAAAGGACCTGTAGCAGATCTACGGGGACCTTATCATCCTGCTCGGTCGACTCTGCTCGGTCGTGACTGTCCTGCGAGCTGGCCGGTTGCTCCATTCCCTTCTATTAAACCGACGTCTTCAGGCTTGTACACAAAAGCCCCTGAAGAAGTGCGATAAGCCCCGGAGGATGCGCATGGTTGGCGTAGCTCACCGTAATGCCGGGGCCCATCTAGTGCCTGGCAATGACGAAACGGCCTTGAAGTTCCCGCGGCGGCCAATCACAGCTGCGCAACATGAACGTTAACCAGAGCGCGGTACCGCGTGGTGGAACGCCGCTGACCTTGAACGATTTTTTAATGTGTATTTTCTTTCATCTTTTCTTCTTCCTTTTGCTGTGCCATGTCGACTGAGGCAAACGTAAATATTGACTATTGAGACTAGATCGAGACCACCGAATACTGACAGGACAGTTGACGTGAATATGGGGCTGTAGAAATCAGTGCCATCACAGGACAGAAAAGGGACAAAAGAACGCGTAAAACCTGCACAGTCAGACACCGATATCTGTGGCACGAAGGTTGAACCAGAGCGGCTACAGCTGCCTTGAGTACCTGCAAGGGAATACGACGGGCAGCGACTACAACATACCAACAACTTACAAGCATGTCAAAAATCACATACTGCATCAGCATTTGTCACCTTTTACTTAGTGCCTTGATTAAGACAATCTCTACTCTTCAACTACCTTTTTTCCTTGATCAAGGTCACCAAGGAGAAACAAGAGACATGATCGCCTTAAATTTCCTTGATGAAGACTGACCAAGATACAAAAGTGAGGTAAGACAATGATGACAAATGCTGATGTAGAACGAGTTTGCTGAGGCTCAACACCTCTCAGAATCACACATGAATCGGGGACCAAGCTGCAATAACCTAGGAAATATTTCTAACGAGCAGATCCTCTCCAAAAGCAGATCCGATGTGTGTAGGAACCTCCAAACGTTGAAAGACTTAAACGTCAGTGTGACTCTATGCGCACGTGCTCGTGACCAGGCGCGTACATACGTCCACCCCCGTGAAGTACCAAGCAATTAATCCCCCCCCATTCAGAACGCGGGCAATGCAGAGCATAACGTACAATATCGAACATGATCTATTGCAATTTCCAAGTACCAGAGAAAAACAGCCTCACGTGTTACAGCTCCCCCGCAGCCCGCCCAACCCCCTCTGGCTCCGCCTTCTCCGCCTTCTTCTCCGTCGCGGCAGGCAGAGCATCCAGCCAGTTCCGCACAATCGCATTGAACTCGCGGAGATTTTCCAGCTGGACCCAATGCGCTCCATCGAGGGTCTGCAAATGCCGAACGCGAACGCGTCAGTCGGGGGAACGTGAAACACAAGTAATATCGACGAACCTTCGTGGTGAGCTGAGAGACGTACTTGTCGGATCCCAGTATTTTCGCGGCGGAGACCCAATCTGCTACGGGGTCCTGCATTGATTGATCGTCAACATCTCGCATCCGGCGTCGTGGTTAGCATCACGCACGTTATTAGGTAGGACGGAGAGCGCGGGCTGTGAGATTGTGTAGTTTCCCTGATCGTGCGTGAACTGCCACGAGAGCTTTCGGTCCTAGAATTCCAGCGTGAGGATAAGTATCCGCCCGTTTTCAGGACCACCTGTGGAGATAGCGCACTCCGATCGTATAGAACTCCAATGCTGCGATGCGGGTGTGAATTACTCAGCGAAACATCGACACCACATCAACCACCTACTAGGCTTGAACTCCTGGATGTTATACTGCGCAACCCAATAGTCCTCTTCCTCCTGCGTGAAAAACGGGATCGGGGAGATCTCCTTCACACCGTCCCACGCGCCCATGTACGAGTTCGGATCCGCTAGGAACGTGTCGGGCGGAGGGCTCGCGACGGTCCGGAGGGTCGCGCGGAGTGACCGGCGGATGTCCGCGTTCAGCTGCTTCGCGGCGACGTCCACATTCGAGAGGAAGATTTGATAAGCTAGCTTCGGAACCACTTTGTCTAGCACGCTAATCGGAATGAACTGTCCCGATGCAGAGGGGATGTACTGCGAGGAAAGCGGGAAATAGAGATAAGCGGGGCCAGGGGGAATAAAGGATGTATGAATTCACAGGAACGACGGCGCCGATGACGGCCTCGAAGACGTCCGGTCTCATGCGGGCAGCCTCATAGCAGACTTGTGCACCCCAGTCGTGTCTGTATTCTGTGTCACGGTCTGTTCCATAAGACGGAGCTTTGAAAGCTACGCACCCCATGCATATAGCGCGTTCGACACCGGCGTGCTCCAGCATACAGACCAAGTCCCCGGCCAAGTCACCCCATGTTCCAGAGCTCCCGACATCACCAGGTGTGGTCGACGAACCGAAGCCGCGCTGGTCCGGAGCGATGATGTGATAGTCGTCCTGCAAGAACACGACAGATGAGACTGTGAGTCTATCCAAGGTGTGATCGATGAGGACGCACCTTGAACTCCTCGATCTGATACTTCCAGCTGTGCCAGAGGCTCGGCCAGCCGTGCACCATCAACAGCGTCCGTTCTGCCTCGGGATTGATCTCGACATATTCTGCGAACACGATTGTGGACAGTGCAAAACGCTGTGACGAGGGCACGTACTAATCTCGATATTCTTGATCTCGTTCGTGTGCCGGTTCAGCGCTTTGCACGGCGCGGTCTTCTTTGGAAAATCGGTGGGCTTGAAGGAGACGGGGAGCAGCTCATCTGCAGCGTACACTCCCAGCGCAAGGGTGGAGATCGCGAGTAGGAGAGCAGACACTTGCATGGCAAGAGCTAAGGAGACGGATATGGGCAGCTGAGCGAGATCGCCAAAGGGATTTTATGAGCGAGGGAGACGCCAACGGCAGTGTCGGGTGATACAATGTCAAGCGGTTCATCGTGATAGACTACTACTGCGATTAATATTGCCTCCGGAGCTGGATCCAAACACTGAGTTTGGATGTGTTGGGCTCGGATGCAGTAGACGGTGATCAGGGAGGACACACAGCGTGACAGAATGCCATCCGGTGCCGTCGTGCCGACGCTCTTCGCGTAAATCTTGTCACGTGCACGCGACCAAAGAGCGCGTCAGCTTCGCGTCTTCCTTCACGCTTCTCCCCGTAGTCTCTTGTTTGCATAGATCCAGGACCCTAAACGCTTTACCATATAACTCTGTGAACTGCTCAGAGTAACGAATACCCTCACAGTGCGTTATTTGCTTCATTCTCACGAAATCGTGCCGATCCAGAGGCGCATAGCGAAGCATACATGAGCGATGTCAGGAAGCATCTTCTCTCAGGTATGTCGACCACAACTTTGTCTTACACTTTCTTCTAACACCCTGCCGTTGGTAGGTGCTCTGTCGGGGCTCGTCTCGACCGTCTGTCTCCAACCTCGTAAGCTCCTCCTTCCGTTTGAGACAGCCTTGACGTCACCACTGGCCTGACCTTTCACTCAGTCGACCTTCTCAAGACACGCATGCAGCAGGTGGATGGCACTTTCCCCAGATCACAGTTAGTCCCGCCATTGTCTCTCTTCTCACGACATGCTCGCGCACACATGCTGCTCACAGTAATGCCATGATCCTTGAAACCGCCCGCGAGATCTTCAGGACAGAGGGCCTCCGTGGTCTTTGGCGAGGTACAACGCCCACACTCCTCCGGTATGCTGTCGCAGTTTCATACGCTTCTTTCCGTTTGAATCCAGCTGTTCGCGCACAAGCAATATCCCCGGCGTAGCGCTTTATTTCACCGGCCTCAACTACACACGGAACATACTCTCCGCCACGTCCTACTTCTCCGTTACCCCGCTCCACCCACCACAGACCCGTTCGGGGTCTGTCCTTCCGAAGCTGTCGAGCCAGGGAAACCTGCTCGCGGGCGCCGTCGCCCGCGTCGCCGTGGGTGTCGCCCTCAACCCGGTCACCGTGCTCAAAGCGCGCTACGAAGTCTGTCTTTCTCCGAACGCGCTCCCAATCGTCACTGATCCCCCCTGCGCGGCAGAGCAACATGTATGCTTACCAGAGCCTTCCCGGCGCGCTCCTCTCCCTCCTGCGCTCGGGGCCCTCCGAGGTTTTCCGCGGTGTGCTCGCGAGCTCCCTGCGCGACGCGCCGTACGCGGGGCTCTTTGTCGTCTGCTACGAGGGTATCAAGAGCGACGTCTGTGCGTTGTCCTCTCCTCCGCGGCATCCTCTCCGGTACTGACACCCCGGTGTAAACTACAGCGCACCTGCTGGCGCCCACATCGGCGACGGTATCTGCTGGCGTACACGGCTTCAGCGCTGCGTCCGCTGGCGTGATCGCGACGATGGCGACGCACCCGTTTGACGTCATCAAAGTGGGTTCACCCTGCTGCCGCTGTCCAGCGCTGACTCGCCTTGCCTTTTCTCCAACTTTCTCAGACGAAAATGCAGGTCCGCACCGAGGATAGATACCATGGGCTCCTGAAGACTGTTTCTACGATCTGGCACGTAAGTAACACCCTCCGGCTCCAGAGTGTGGACCCGCTAATGTTCAGCAGCAACGTGGCGTCCGCGGCTTCTTTGACGGCGCTGCGCTGCGCGTCTCGAGGAAGCCGCTGAGCTCTGCGCTCGCGTGGGCGGTGTATGAGGGGATGCTTATGTTCATGCGGACTTGAAGATCTTAGTAGTAGTAGTAAACTGGACTCTGTTGGAATCATCCTGCATCATCCCTCTTTGTCATTACTTGTAGATTACCGCACGTATAACATGCTTGAACGTGGTTTCAGTGTTTTGGGACTCTGCGCACCACTACTGTAACAACAACATACAGCCGGAATGCATGTGTCAAATTCGACGTCACGGAAACTGCTGGATGCGAGAGCGAAGTTGACGTATTGCATATGGGACGACGAATCAGACGCACCGTGAAAGTGATCCCTCGGACATCAAACTTCAAAATAGAACAAAGTCTCCATTGTGAAGCCCATCATGTCCATTTCATAGCAGTATGTACAAGTGGTTCGACATACTGAACGATATGAGAAATTAAGGCGGACGGAAGCTTGTACCACCTCTGGTAAGGAACTGGCGCCACTGCTGACATGCTAACATGTCAACGATTCTGCTGGAGAACAGGCGTACGCTCCAGCTGAGGCGCGTCGGTCTAGGACGAGCGGTAGGCTCCTGCAAGAAACAAAATCGGTCGCAGGGGGACAATAGTGCGCGTCCTGAAATGAGTGAGGAACACAGGCGCCCGAACGCGAGTTTTTTATCCCTTGGGTCACGTGGACACCGAGGCGGTTATTTTGACTTTTCTGCCAGTCGGGATGATGGCGGGTTGTTAGGGGACTTATCTGAGATAATCCATTGCTGCGTGTCTCCAACGCCGACGACGACGACGACGGCACCGAGTCCGGTGCTCTCGATTTTCACTCCAAAAATCAGCGATTGGTTTGTGGTTGTGCCTCTATGGCCTCCGCAGTTGCGCAGGAAAGTCAAGGTACGCGCAGGAACAATTGAGACATGCAGCCGCAGCTGATACAATGGCAACCGCATGCAGACATTCCCCGGCTTTCTCTCGCTGTCGAGCACGCCTTGTCTACTTCCCCTTTCCCCTCTCCAGGCTCCCCTTTCTTCCCCCCACCACGCCTCGGTGCACACGAATTCGCCCTACCCCCAGGATCTCTCATGCGCAGCCTCGCGACCAGGAGTAGCCAGGACGCCGCTGCCCTGAGCCCAGGGATCGTGTCGCCTGACGAGGAGACCACCCCGACACTACCCAAGTCCGCCCAGTTTTCGGACTCTCCATCGCCCGCGACCCCCACGCCAAACACTTCCTTCCAAATAAATGGCAAAACGACCCCCCAAGTCACCGTCCCAGAAGAACCATTAGCTACCACGAACCCACCCTCGCCAACAGCCGACCAACCTTCAATCACCTCCTCCCGCCCTGCACCCCCGAGCCCCGCTGTCTCGCGGCGTGCGTCCGCAGCGGTCTCTAGGCGATCCTCAGGCGCCAAGTCACGCCGCCAGTCTAAAGTCTCGCAGCTGCTGGCCCAGCATGAGCCAGAAGCTTCGTCGTCCTCCGGAGCGACGGTTTCCCCAGCCACCCCGCAGCCGAAGCGCCGCTCGCTGCTCATGAAAATCCGCGACTTCGCGTTCCCGCCCGTGGACGATCGCCATGTCGGCCGCGGCGTGGACGTGCCCCGTGCGAACCGCCCGCGCCACCGCTCCTCGGTGTACTCCTCGCGTTCCTCCTCGTCATCGTCCTCTGCGGCCGATCTGGACGATGTGGAGGACCAGCGCGGATCGTGGGGCTCGTTCCGGTGGAACACGCTCAGCACACAGTTCAGCTGGACCGGCGCCCCGCGGGGCGACGATGCGGGCGAGGACGAGGGTGGACCATCGCGCATGGACTTTGAGCGCAATTTTGTACAGGGGTCGTCGCCCGTGGACGAAGAGCCGGAGCACTACGACTACGACGTGGAGGATGGGGACGACGAAGACGGGCCGCTGCTGCCGGGTTTATACCGTGCGCTGTTCGCATTTGAGCCGGAGGGAACGGCAGAGATGGCGCTGGAGGAAGAGCAGCTCGTGCGCGTCGTTGGACGGGGCGGCGGCGTCGGCTGGGCAGTCGTTGAGAAGGAAGGCGGCGGGCACGCCCTCGTTCCCGAGAGCTACCTTGAGGTGGTCGAGCGGGATCATGCTTGACGTTGGCAGTGTGGGCGATCTCGGACATTTGTTCTGTACCGACGGCGGTTCTGCCATGTCCGTCGGCGCTGGCGTGCCTCGTTCTGCATGAATTTATCGTAATTCGACTTCTACTTGCTGTTGCTTCCGCTGTCTCGTTTTCACGTCTTTCCGCATGTATCGGTATGTTCTTCATTACGCGCACTCTACTACATATTTATATCCCTACATCATCGCCTCTGCCGTACAGAATAGATACTGCTCCAGGACCCTAGTCCAACCTCTTCTCTATAGTCTAGCTGAAGTACTGGGGCAAAACGTACTTGAGCTTCTTCCGGTCCTCCTCCCTTTGCTCTGCCGACCGGGGCATGATCGAGTACTGCATAGAGCCCGCCTCTTCCGTGAGGATGTCCCCGTCCTCCACTGCGGCGTGCATCTCTTCGAGGATCGTCGCGGCGACGTGACGCGAGATGCTGGCGTTCGTCTGCAGCGTTTTGAACACCTCCGCCGCGGTGACGGAGGCCTCATGGGGCCGCCACGAGTCGTAGTCCGTCGCCGTCGCGATGAGCGCGTAGCTGCACTCGCAGAAAATCAGACATCACGCACCGCCTACATTGGAGCACAGTGACGCACCTCAGCTCGGCCTCGCGCGCGAGCTTCGCCTCCGGGAGGACGCTCATGTTGATCACGTCGCCGCCCCAGGCGCGGTACATCTGGCTCTCGGCGCGGGTCGAGAACTGCGGGCCCTCCATGCAGACAATGCACTTGTCGGTGTGCAGCGCGGGGCCCGCACCGCCGCCGTGTGCCGCAGCCTCCTCCTCGAGCACGCGCCGGACGCGCGTCTCGAGCCAGCGGACGAGGCGGAGCGCGAAGGGGTCACCGAACGCGGCGTGCGCGACGACGCTGGTGCCCTCGAAGAAGCTCGCGGGGCGCACGCCCTTGGTGCGGTCGATGATCTGCGTCGGCAGCGCGAAGTCGCCCGGGGCGATCTCCTCACGCAGCGAGCCTACTGCTGAGAAGGCGAGCACTGCGCGCACGCCGAGCGACTTGAGCGCGGCGATGTTCGCGCGGCTGGGCACTGCTGAGGGCGCGATGGTGTGTCCGATGCCGTGCCGCGCTAGGAAGGCTACTTGGACGCCTGAGGGCAGCGCACAGATGGCTATTGGCGAGCTGGGGAATCCCCATGGCTGCGCTGGGTCAGCGTGCTGATCGCACAAAATGTACGGACAAACTCACCGTTTCGGGATTGACGTGCTTGCTGCCACAGTCTCGGTCAAGCTTGGCGATGAAGACGCAGGATAGTATCGCTCACACCAATGTCAGATTGTCGAGGTGATATAGCCCGCTCCCCCCAATTACTCCGACGAGAACTGGTGTGCACGTCGTCCGTTGCCTCAGACGCGTATGGCTGTCTTCACTCACCGTTGTCGCCTGATTCCGAGGCCATGCTGAACGACGATGAAGGCTAGCACGCTGTAAGAACTGCAGTCTGTCGAGCGTAGTGAGTGTCGTGACCAAGTTTGCTGGTCGCCGTACACCATCGATTGCTCTCATTGCTGCCATCGATGTCGTGACATAGAAAACAAATAGTACTGAAGTTTTGCGGGACACGTTCGTCGATAAAGTTTCAGGTCATAAGGCATGTAAAGGTCATATTCATATGAGTGAAGTCAACCAAGGAAGAGGGAGTCATAGAACATGAGCAGAAATACGACCGTACAGATTACGAAGTACGAATTGTCTACGTCGATGTCAAAGTCTAAAGGTTTCAATGGTATATGTAGGAACCCGGAGAGAAAAATACACAGCAATGAAAACACCAAGGGTACACACAGACAGGACAGGACGAACCGTAAAATCACAATGACAAAATTAGGGTGACCCAGAAAATTAACGGATCCTGCATCCCGACGAGCCGCTCAGTTAGTCCAAAGCGTCACCAAGGGAATTTTGACTCACGAGATAATTTAATTAATCAGGGACATGGGAGGAGAGAACGTGTTACTTCGAGCCCAGCTTTAACTTTGCTTCCTCGATCTCCTCCGGCGCCATGCCAATGAGTGTCTCGTATGCTCGCGGGTGTACCGTTTCGCAGTGGCTGGCAAGCTCGACCCACGAGGCCGCCAATGGGAAGGTCGTCACAGGAAGTTTGCGGTCGCGGACCTCCTTCCTGCTGCTGTAGAACCGCATATTGGCGTCAATCTTACATGTCAGGACGAATAGAACTAGAAAAAATACGCACAGACACATCCGGCAAATCATCCCGGTCTTGGTGGATCGGTACATGAGCGGAACATGGCGAAGACTTAGATGCTTGCGGTGCTGTGGACGCGTGGGGGGCCGGGGACCTTCAAGTTGCACCTGAGGTGTTTGAGGTGCCCTACTCTGCACTTCTGCTTGCTTGTAGGCCTCTATTAACGGAGTCTCTTCAGGCCGCTTCGTCGCCGACAGCAGTTTCGTCCTGTGATACTGCGCCCTCGGAGCATTTTGGTCATCCACCACCCATGACTTCGTGCCAGCTGATGCACTAGCGGATAGATTCCGCTCACTAGCTTCATGCTGGTCCTTGGTATTATCTCCCAATCCCACCCGAGACATCCGAGGTTCATTCAGACTTACAGACTCCATTACCTCGGACTTTGTGGTCTCCGCGACAGTCTCTGCAGCTGCAAGTGCTGAAGTTTTAACCAGCTTCACAGATTCTACCACGGGTGCTGAGGTCTCCAGTCCAGGAGTTGAGATCGTTGCCACGGACCCAGATTCCGAGATAGACATATCTTCAGATGGCTGCACAGACACCAGCCTTTCCTGCAGCGACTTCATCTCGTCCGGCGTTGTTACCCTCTCTGATTCTTCTTTCAGCGCATAGGCAAGCCAGTCTTCTGAGCTGCGCGAGCGGTGGAGGGGCTCGGTAGCTGCCACCAACTTCTCCTCTGTCAACTGAGGGGTTTCGACCGTGCCACTTGCGGAATCGGTGACCTCGTCGGATGTGCGCCGGCGCTTGGCGGGATGCTCGGGCTGCTCTGGAGAGCCCTCCCTCTCGCGCTTCCTGTCAACGTCCACGTCCATAGCTGCATTAACCTCCGAGTCCGCGGCGCGCGTAAGGTGCGGAGCCGACATTTTTAAATCGTTAGTGGGCGATGGGAGGGCGTCCTCAATACCGATGAACCTGCGTGGCGGAGAGTCCAAGATGTTCGACAGATCGATCACCTCTCGTATGGAAGATGGAGGTACGGCGCTCCTCCGGGAGATGTTGGCGGTTTGGGCAGGAAGGAGCCGCGGCTCAGGATCGGGCTCCGACTTCGCGCTGGATGGGACGTTGTCCACGGTTTGGAGTGGTTCGAACTTCCTGACCGGGGAGGCCTGGACGGGTGGAGTGCCATGATTTATACGTGCCTCGGAGCGGGAACACGAGAGGCTGGCAAGTCTGCTTAGTACCACAGGTGAAGACTGGGCCAACAACCTAGCGACGGGGTCTTCGGAGCTTTCCTTCACATCTTGCGATGCGGAGTTGACGGTGGGCTCGGAAGGGGCAATCTGCCATGTGTTAGACCGAGTAAGGAGGTTTAGATGTGATACAACACGTACCTCTTTCACCACTTGTTCAAGGAACGCCACTTCTTTGGCAGCATTATGCCTGCGCGTCAGCTCTTGCTGCACTTTAGACAACACTAATGAGACGATTGAGGTGAGTTTTTCAAAATTCACAAGACTCACACACCTGAAGCGACGAGCCCACTGCGTTCCTGAGCTGCTTCTCCTTCCACTTTCCCTAAACTCCCCGAACTCTGCACATTTTCATTGCCTGCATCCACCAGTCTCGCAATTTCTTTTCTTAGAGCCCAATTTTCCTCCCTCAGGGCGACCCGCTCCTCTCTTAGCTTCGAACCCTCCTCTCGCAGGGCAAAGCACGCGTTATACAACTTCATCAAATTATCCTTCATCCTCACCTGAGCCTCCTGCGCGTTCTTCAGATCCTCGGTCAACCGCATGCACTCTTCACGCAGACTATGGCGCTCCTGGCGAAGTGCGTTGGCTTCAGCCGCGCTGGCGCCATTGTCCTGCTGCCGCGAGCTGAGCGCGATGAGTTGCCGTTCACGTTGTGCCGTGTGTTCGTTAATGGTCCCGAACTCCTGCGCAAGCCGCATCCCTGTAGCGGTGATCGCCTGGTCGACCTTCTGCATGAGATAGCCGCGCAGGGGGTGCAGCAGCGCGTGCGCATGCGATGTTGCTGCATTCATGGGGGGCTCGGCGGGATTGGGCTGATTGTTGGCACTGTTGTTTTGGCCATCCTGTGTCTGTGTGCTGGAGGAAGAGGGCGCGGATGGGCCCGAACGCCGTCTGATGAGAGAGTCGTTCGGGATGGCGCGCGGGCTTGCGGGGGAGGCGTCGGCGTCAGGCCAGGAGTTCGGGTGCGGTGATTGGTGCACGGTTCCAACGGATCCTGGAGTGTATCCTTGGGGGATAGTTTGTGCCCTGGGCTGCGCATAGTTTGACGGACCCGCTTGGGTGTAGTGGTGCTGCACATGTCGTGTCGCCGCCTCGGGATGCCCTCCCTGATTTATGTACGCCTGAGCGGGTGCACCCTCAATGTTGCCTGTGGCATCTTGGCGTGGGAGGCGAGCGGGGCCGGCGAACGCGTTAGAGGGGTACTGTGCGTACGGCAGCGAGGCAGAAGGGGGTGGCGTTGGGAGCGAATGGTCGGAGCGTGAGCCGTTGCTTACGGATACATCTAACCTCAGATTCGAGTTCTCCGAGGTAGATGAGTGCGGAAGTAGACTTTGGGAGTGGGAAAACGGCACTCTTGTTGGGGAGACTTGCACGGCGGGTACTTCGTTCCACACCGGGCGTTGCATCGCGGAAACGGATAGATTTGTCAGTGTAAAGAGGGCAGCCAAGGGAAAATTATGGAAGGGGGCGGACTGAGGATCGAATTTATAGGGAGCGACCGAGGGGCGCAACTGGATCCAAGTGGTGAAAAGAATGACTAAGGCACAGGGGTACCCCTTTCTGAAGCCCGTTTGTGATCAAGATCAGTGTCAAAGCGTAACGTCAGAGCTTCGCACGCAATGAAAGCACTATGTACTATGGAGGTTTGCTTGAATTTGAAAATACCCTTCCGCACCAACAAGTACACACACAGGCGCGCTCCGAAACATGCGTACGGTAGGATCAAGAAATTCAATGATTGAACGCCTTGCTGCCAGGCGTCGAGGATCGAGTGACAGGGCGTCTTAGCTGCGACCGAGCAGCCTGACAATGTAAAACAAGATGCATTGCTAAAGTCATGGTGAGTTCGTGGTGAGCTCGTGTTGTTTCTCGCTGAACTATTTGATTTGCAGGCATTGGGTAATTTACGGCGCTATGGCTCTGCGAGACGAAGTTTAGCGGTGCCCAGTCTCATATATCCAGCTGGAATGCCGCAGATCTCTCAGTTGGGATCGCAATGACTATAGGTATCATTGATAAAAATACCACGGCACCAGAGTCAGCAAAGTGAGTCGAATTCCTACTCTTTCCGTGTCATTTCTCAGGCTATCGCAGATAGCATGTGTCTGAGACATTAAGTCTTCGGCGACCGGCCGACGTGTGTTCGCTATCGATTATTACCGCCTCAGTTTCGCCGTTCGGAGCGTGGTGATGGTCATCATCGATGTCCAGTAAATTCCGTAAGTATCATGATGACGAAGGTACGCGATCATCCCGTGGCATGTCCTATGCATCGGATGCGAATTCAGCAGTGGTGACTCGACGTCTTGAATTCAGACGTCGAGTTATCGCTGCTGCTTTCAACCGAAGATTGCCTCTGCTCTCACAGAATTGTCTTGGCTTAGTCGGACCTTAGATGTTCATATGGGCGCGTCCGTCCTGACTCTCTCACCGAGTCATAATTCCTGCATGCGACTTCCTCGCACTCATCGATGGACCGATATCGTGGGCGCAGAGGGTCTCTGAATGGTTGAACCCCTAATTCTCATCACAGCACAACGAACACATGTTCTACAGTTGGAGTTCTGGAAGCACTAGCGTTGTGGGTCCGTGTTGGACAGTGTAGATACGATGACATTTCCGGAGTAGAAACAAAAGCAGTAGGAACAATTTTAGTGTGCTCGAGCGAAAATGAGGTATATAAGGGTGAATGGCAGGATTCAACAGGCTAATGCAGCGACGACAGGGAGAGCGTAAAGAGGACCGTCGAGTGGTATCTACTGATAGAAGCTGTTGGTAAACACGATGGAAATCGATGAGGGCGCCTGGCTCGAGACGCGTGCAAGATTGGGCGCCTGCACGCTCAAGCGCTCACGCTCTGCACAGGACTCGGACATGCACCACAAGCTTCAGCTATTAAAGAGCAGACTGCACTCCCCGCCATGGCTCCCCAGTTTTCCCTCGTCGCTGTCTACCACCGAATCTACTGTCGCCTCAGAGGCATCATGAGTGACCAACCCCCCAGTCCCGAAAAGTCCTGGCTCGACGGCTTCCAAACCACCCCCGATATCTACCTCCCCTTCAACATCGATAGACTCGCGGACGATTACATCCACCGGGGCTGGCTTGCATCCGACCTGCAAATCAGCCTCCTCGAATTCTACAAGCATAGGGAGGGCGTTAAGCACGAGTTCCTCGTCGCTACCCTCACCAACTCTGCCACCGGAAAGACGGCTGGATACATCTTAGCCGAGCGGCAAGGAGTGTGCCCTGCTCGCGCTGAGAACGATCCCGCCTCATCCACTCACAGCTTTAGCAGCATCTCGGAGTCGTCCTCGGCGTCATCTACCGCTGCTAAGGTACTCTCCACCAGTTCTACTGAATTACCTGCTTCCGATGTCATCTATTTGGGGCAAGACCAGAAAATCATGTTGACCTGCGCCAAACATACTGCGAAATCGGTTGTTGTCTGCCACAACCCAGTGTCGCAGGAAAATAGTGCAGACTCCATCGCTTCCTTCATCGCTGCTTGTCAGGTCACGCACGAGTTTAATCAAAAGTATAACAATAAAACCACTAACTGCCATTGGTTTGCCGGCGTGGTGTATGAGCTCGTCACAGGTGTTGAAGTCGAGGATGATCCGGATGACCTGGATGCTGCTGCTGTTGCACCTCAGCCGGACCTTCAGCCCGAGGCTGAGATCCAGGTTGAGCTTCATTCTCCTGGCCTCCCTGCCACTCCTCAGCCCGTGCCTCAGTCCCAGCTTACTCCTCAGTCCGGCAGGAATGGGTATTTTGGACCGGTTCCCATCGTTCGTCCTTCCAAAATCCAGGCCACTGCAAACCAACTATGGGGCATGTTCAGGACCAGAAAGGCAGACATACTGCGACAACGGGATCACTCAGGGGACTTGGCATGTGAGATTGAGGAGCTGAAGAGGCAGAAAAATGAGGAGACGAAGAGGGCGGATAAAGTGGAAAGTGAACTGGAGAGGGTGAAAAGGGAGAAGACAAAGAGGGTGAATGAACTGGAGAGGGTGAAAAGGGAGAATGAGGTGGAGATCGTGCAGCTTAAACAGGAGCTCCTTGATGCCAGGCAGGGACGTGCAGCTGGCGTACCTGGTGTGACAGCAGCCCATACTACGCCTCCCCTCGGTCGTACCAGCACTGCTTCCACATCTAGAAGAGCCATGTAAGTGTTTCCGCCATTTGTCTTTATCTGCATGTCTGATATCATCCTTCCCATTTTCCAGGTGAGTCCATTGCTAGCCGATCATGTCGTTGCATTTTTCCATCTACGGTCTCATCATCCCTTTCGTCCGTACTTGGCGAGCTGCAATCTTGGGAAGACCTCATATTTCGGCATTCATCTTCCCATCTTTCCCATCCATTGTCTGTTTTCAGTATAGTATGTGCTGCAGTTTACCCCATCCTTGCCGTATATGCATTCATCTAGTGGTCAGTTTATCACCAGCTGCGGATCTTTCTCTTTGCACCGTCTCGTCTGGTTGTACTTGTGGAAATGTGCTGCTTTGTCGATATGCTCTGATTTGCCCATATGCTACCACTATCTTGATTTACTTACTTGCTGGCTCTGAGTTGTAGTGATGTTTTGATTGATACATATGCTCTTGTTGTGTCCGTGTGTAACCGCTGTACTACATATTGTGCTCGTGTGTTTCAAATATAGTGTGACATCTGTTCCCTTTGTGATGATCACTGTTAATTGGTATCTCAGGATGTGAGCAGAGAGATTCTGGTCCACAATGGATAAATTACTGATTGAGCTCAGAGTATTATTACAGCAGGAGGAAGGAGGTATTATATTCCGGACCAGCAGTGTTCTAACGTCCATCTTAGTCGCGAGCGCGTTGTTTGCCCTTGTGTACGCGTTTGGGCGCTTGTCGCGATCGAACCATCACGTGCTCAGCGCGTCGCGTCGATTTGTGTCCGTGCGCAGTGTGTGCACGTCCTTAAATTACAAGGACTCTTGGTCCCCGGTCGCCAGCATTGCAACATACAGTCAACAGCAGCAAGCTCATCGGTGCGTTTCTTTTCCTTTATTTGGCGTGAGCATAGAGAAGTTGTCGCGGTGCGCAGTGGAAACGCAGAGTCTACGGGAATGGTGTGCTCGTCGGGCGTATAGAAGGAGCGTTCGCGCAACGATGGGGGACACGGTAGGGGAGAGGAGATGGAGAAGGCAGCGGTGTGTTTTGGCTCTCCAGACGGTGCTTTTCCCCTGGCGATTTTCGGTCCTAAGCTGCAGCAAGTTAGACGAGAACAAAAATGTAAAATTATTTCATACCACGTTCCAACCTATTTTGACGTCAACGCTTTCAGTAAGGTGCGAGGTTCAACGTTCAAACGTTCATGCTCCAGTTGCTCTTTCTTTACACATTTTCTGCTGCCTAACCCTCACGCACGGGTGGTCCCGCAGCTGAGAGCAGCGGTCTTGCCAGCCAGAAGCCCCAAAGGCAGACTGACTCTCTCCTTCATCCTTTGTTCCTCAGAATATCCGTGTCTGGAAGCAGCGACCATGATGACTCCAGAGGCCATCTGTCTCTGAATAAAATAACATAAATCTTGGTACGTCCTACTAATAGTCGTCGAATTTTATGCTCCTTCCAATGGTTGAACCGGCGGAGCCCAAGCGGGAGTCTCGACGTTATCTCAATTGTCCGTGCTGCGATCATGAAGAAGTCGCGTCTAAGTGATTGGGAATCGCGCTAGTTGTTTGCCACCCGAAACAAACTCGAGAGCTTACTGCTCGCAGTTGCAAGTTGAGATCTAATTACAGGTCAGTCGGCTGCAACAGTCTGGAGCTCTGCAAGACTACAACTAAGGCATGTAATAAAGAAAGCCATAAATCCTGATCCTCTACATTTTACACATACAGTTCCATATAAAGGTCGTATCCTTGTTTCATGGCGCGCAGCCCGACGCCGCAGGCGCGCGCGCAAGTCATTTTACAACATACGGTCATTAGTGTCGTCAGTGTGCCCGTTGCCATTCGTCAGCCCAGAGGGGCCCAGGGCCTGGTGCAGCAGTAGCTCGACCTTGTCACGGTCCTCGCTGAGCTGGCGCAGCTCGTCCCGCCACCGCGTCTCCCGCTGCTCATAGATTTTGCCCATTTCTCCGAGGCTCCCAAGCGCGGCCTCCAGTGCGCGCCGCAGGTCGTCCTCCCGCGAGTCTCCGCTCCCAGGAGATCCGCGGATCGATGGAGAAGACAGATGCAGCCGGTCGAAGAGAGAGATCCGCTGTGAGCGTGCGACGCGCCGCTGTGAGGCGAGGTGGTTGAACGACGTGCGTATCGCCGTCAGTTTCGAAGAGTTGAGCAGTGCGGAGTCACGCCGGATAGATCGCGAGGTGAGGGCATACAGCTTTGAGGAGTGCGCAGGGGAGGCCAGGAGGATCAAGGTAGCGTCCGTCTCGCGGTCTAGAGACTGGAACTATGAAACGGAGTACGTGGTTAGATCGCCTGATGTATCACTGAGTTTGAGAGAACTTACCGATTGCGTGACTGCGTCCCAGCGGGTCTCCCACCTGCGCCGCCTCTTCTGCGGGTTACTGACAAAGGTAGGATGGAATTCCAAGTCAAGCAGATCCTCCTCTTCGCCATCCTCATCCTCGTCCACCCAGTCGCCTTCGTCATCGGGATTGTCAGCGACCTCCCCGTTTTCGATCTCGTTCCCATTTCCATTCCCGTTCCCGTTCCCATGCCCATTCTCATGACCCCGGACATGCGCCCAGTCCACTTCCTCACCCTCTCTGACGTACTGGTCCACGAAACGCTCCTCGCCCGCAGTCTCCTCACCCGAGGACGGCTCAGGGCTCGTCTCGCGGGGCTGCGTGCTCTCCACACGCGGCGGGGGCTTCACGCGTCGCGTGTCACGCCCACCCTGCTGCCGCAAGTTCACCGTCTGATCGCGCCGCCGCAGTCCACGGCCACGCATCGCCAGAGGCGGCGGTGGGAGGTGCACGGGCTCGTGGCTCGGGCTCGAGCGGATGCTCATCGCCGACCCGCCTCCCATGTTAGGGTGGCCCGCCATCGTCGGTATGAACGCCCACGGGTTGTAACCGGGCCCAGGGAAGGGTGTGGACGACGGCGAGAACGTGGAGTCGGTCGGCGTTGCGAGGCCATTGTTGAGCGCGTAGATCTGCATCTGCAGCGCGAGCTGCTCACGGATCACCGCCGGGTCATTCAGGTCATAGCTCGAGGAGGGCGCCTGGGTCGGCGCGGCGACCGTCGTGCGCCGGATGTGCGTGAATGGGTATGGGTAGGGCGACCCAATCTGACGGTGCTCGAGCTCGCTCTGGGCGGAGATAATGGGAGATGGTGCCGCTGTCTGTGACTGCGGGGTAGGGGGTATCGGCGCATTGGGGCGAGAACTCGGGGACTGGAGATATGCTCTGAGGTAGACAGATGTAGAATCGTCAATCAACCCCTGCATGTCACCAGGATGCGGCATCCCGGGATATGTCATTCGTTGGTCTTGTACATGATTCGAGCCGTAATGGCGGGAGTTATCCATCTGCTGCATTTGGCTCTCCATCTGGTGTTGAATCTGCTGCTGAGCTTGGGTCTGAGGCGGCGGCAGAGACTGAGATTGCACCTGAGGCGGAAGCGGTGGTTGAGGGGGGGAATGCTGTTGCTGAGGAGGGGACTGCTGCTGGCGTTGTCCGTTCACAGGAGCATCATCGCTTCTGAGGCTATTGACAGTGTGTTCGAACATCGCTGGATCGAAGGTCCTCATGCCGAGCTGGTCAGTCGATCCAGAACGGTGCTTCGCACGAACTGTCTTCTGATATTCCGTACTGGGCTGCACATACTGTCCACCGGATGGCATGTACTGCCCGCCACCAGCGGCGTACGGAGCATCGCGAGGGCGCTCCGGCAGAGTCGTTGAAGGTGAGCGGGGAGTGAAGCCTGCGTCGGACTCTTCGCCACTCTTGCTCCGATGGTGGTGATCGTCGTCCTCCTCGTTCAACGTCTCCTCGTCGTCATCCGTAGTGGTATGAACTGTCTTCGCAGCATGCTCTCGGAGCACATCGAACCGCGAACCGTCTGGGTATACGTCGGACGCAGGAGAAGGCGTCCCACGGGTATCGTCATATTGTCTATTGTCGTGGTCATCACGATCGTGGTCCTCTTCGGGCTCTTCCTGCACTGGCAGTGAACGATCCGGCGGACGCTGTGTCATGGCTTGCAAAGGTGGAGTGTGACTTGCTAGCTTCGACGCAGCGGGAGGCGTCGAGCGCGGCTCAGCAGCAACTTGATTAGGGACAACTCCAACTTGACCAGAAGCCTTACGCAGGGCAGGAGGGGTAGGGCCTTGCGAATTCCCTGCCTGGTATCCTTCGGGTACATATTGCGTGTACCCCGCCGAGCGCTCGTTGGGAGACGACATGGGGGTCGCGTACTGAGGCGATCCGCGGTACTCGGGCGTGCGGTTGGCCCCGTTGGTGTCGTGTACTGGCAGCTGCGAGGATACCGTCTGCGCACGATCTCTCGTCTTTGAACAGAGTTAGACTGATCGCGCTGACACTCTTGCAGCTTGTCACGCACCTGACGTTTCGCCACCGCCGGAGGGCCACTGCTGTCCTGGTCTTTGGGGCTCGACCTGTCTGTGGCGCGCACACGCTCCACAGCAGGATCTTTCGCTGCTGTGTTCATCGTGAGCTGATGTTGCAACCCTGCTCCGCTCGACGCCGCGCCACCTGCGTATGCGACACCGGAAGTCCCTGCCGGGTGAGAGAGCTGTCCCTGCGCTGCCTGGTAGTCGGCGCGCTCGATCTCGGCCATGAGCTCGTCCGTCACCTGCCACTCGTCATCAACGGTGCGGTACTGGGAGATGAAGTTGGGAGGAGGAACGCGGTTGACGGGACGAGGGTGGTGAGGGTCCGTCATCACGCGAGAGAGGACACTTGACTGGCTTTGGGAGTGCTGGGGCGCAGCTGGTGGTAGCGGGACCATGTGAGGAAGAATGGGCTGGCTTACGGTGTGTTGGAGAGGAGGAGGAGAGTTAAGTCGCTCGGGGCTGCGGTCGCGTGGAAGTGTTGGAGCAGCCATTTTAGACGCAGTAGGTGATATGCGGGTGGTGGGTGGAGGGCTTCGGCGTGATTGATGGGAAGAGATGGAGGCGGTGGGACTGGGTTGCTGGCCCTGGTGGATCGACTGGCTCTGGTTGGCGAGTATCTGGCTGACAGTGGGCACAATGGGCAGTAAGTGGGCTTTGGCGGTACGTTGTCTTTCGCGGAAAGATGGTGATGGAGTCGATTCGCGTGGGGCGATGTTCTGCACAGGACCTATATAGGATTACGGAAGCAAATAAGCAACCGCGGCACCGGAATAGAGTTGTGCAGGTGGCCAAGACACAATGGCGTGGCTTATGTAGTATCCTTAACAAAGCACACTTTGAGACGTAAGATACAACAGCACGGACACATGTTTCCAAGTTGGAGTAAGGATCACCGTCGAACGTCAGGATCGATCCTTGAATTAAGCATTGGGGTTGTAGCACCTCCATCAGGACGGGAGAGAAATGCCAATCCCAAGCAACAGTGAGAAAAGAAGGATAAGGAAGAAGGCCTACCTTGGGTTCCGAGAAGTGTTTTCCTGTTTCGCTGCGGGGATTGACCAGACATAATCCAGGTCGGGCTGAAGGTGGTCCAGAGTTACAGGAAGGACGGGACAAGGAGGGAGAGGAGGAAAGAGTTAAGCTCCGAGCGCGGATAAGAGATCGCGCTTTCAGAGGTGATGCATTATACTCGCGTTTCCAACGTGGCGACAGGTCTGCAGTGACAAGGCGGTGGCCCTGGTGGACAACGAGGTAGCCGACCAGGTAAGGAAGGCCTCGAGGCAGATTACCGCCAGGCTATCGCCTCGGTCCGGATGTACATACAAGTCCCTCTTCTCTTTTCTGCGTTCATGTCCGTCACGTTAGCAGAAAAACAATTGCAGAGTCGGCTCGTATGGTGCCCAAAGTACCACGCAACACATGCAACGAGTCATTATCAGACCCAGGTCGGCGCACCGAAATCCCAGTGTCGGCTGCCCTGAGCCACCTTTAGATGTGAGTATTCCCGAGCTCAATCTGCGGAAGATCTCATGATATCACCCCGATAGAAGTTCGAAGAGGTTGATTACAGGCGGCATGCTGCGACTGCATACACCCAGTGACCGAAGGGAGGGCACCATGGGAGCGTTGACGACGCCGGCGTGACCGCACTCTTCAAACCCCAGTAAGAATCCCAACTTACCGATTGTCACAACGTTGTTTGTTTCTTATTACTTTACTTGCAGTCATCGGTGACCGATCACGACGATGTCACACTGGATATCCATTGCAGCCACCGCCATCCACGCGCCTCCAGCATGCTGCCTATACGTCAACGTCCCCATGCCCATCATATGGTAAGTATATCCCTCTCGAACATGCGCAGTAGCGGAGGTGCCCAATCCCCGGTAAGAAATTGGGAATAGGTCCGCTACTAGTAAGTACATGATGCGCGTGCCATAATTAATGTATGTGCTGCAGTCGGCAACACTCGATGCCCGAACAACATCTCCACGCATATTCCACGCATACAGTCGCTGAAAATTTCTCCATCACATGGTCCTCGTGAAAGCTAGTTAGAAATCGACACACAAACAAGTACTAAGTACAAGGGAAGAGTCCTTCGTACGCCGATAATCTCCGCCTAGGCGACCGCAATAGGCTGCGACACGCTCGACACATTCACATTCGCCTTCTCTAGCTCCTCCTTATCCAGCTTGAGCGCCTCTAGCCGCTGCCTCTCCTCCTCTAGCATCTTGTTGTGCTGCACGAACCGTTTCGGCACGAGGCGCCTGCGCTCCGTGGTCGGCTTGAACTCGAACTTGTCGACACCGAGCGCCTTGAGCGTCTTGCGCTCGACGATACTGTACTCCTCGGGATCATCGCGCGCAAAGTTGAACGGTTTCCTGAGCGACACAGGCGGGTTCGTAATGATGCGCACCTCGCGGAGGTGGTTCTTCGACGCGGAGTGCAGCATGAGCGGGTGCATGAGCACAACGTCGCCGATCTCGCCGGTCATCTCCACAAAGCGCTTGCACTTCTTCACCTCTTCGGGGTGCGACCAGTAGCCGGGGTCGTCCTTCGGCTCCTCGTAGGTGCTCGTCGACGGCGTGAACGAGAGCCCGGTGGGCAGGACGCCCTCAGGGTGCTGCGATAGGTACTTGGCGATCATGTCAATCGCATCGGGCGAAATGAACGTGCCGCCGCCGCGCGGCTTGATGTCAGAGAAAAGGGGGATCACGAGCAGCGCCTGCTCTGGAGAATCGAGGTAGTGTACGAAGAAGTCTCCGTCGACGTGCCAGTTGTCGAGGTCGTGCGGGTCGACGTACTTGTCGGGGCCCTCCAGCTCCGGCGTGCCGAAGTTTACGATGAAGCTGTCCCCCCACGACCCGCTTGGCTCGTCGATGCGTTCGGCCCCACCCAGCAGGTCCTGCATCGCTTCCCACACCTTTGTATCTCTGTCAGCACGTGGATGATGGATGGAGTGCAGTATCTGTGACGTACTTTGGGTGCGAAGGATGCGACTGGCTGGCGACTGTGCCACGGCATGTGGATGCGCTCGCGGTCCCAGGTCGACTTGTCGTTCGGGTCGAGCGCAAGACGGACCCACATCGTCTTGGTGAACTCGGTAGCCTTCTCCTTCGTGAAGCCCTGCTTGATCACCACATAGCCGTTCTCCAGGAAGAAGTCGACCTGCTCGGCTGGATTGCAGTCGCGTCAGTCAAGACGAAGTAGAGCTCGAGTGAAGACCGCGAACGCGTCAGTTGCTTGTATTCCTGCACCATCGTGTTAATTGAGAGATATCGCAGACGATGCTGAAGCAGTGGTGCTTGCAGGTTCATCCGTTGGCCGCACGAATTTATCTGTGCGTCCAGCGGGAATTCTTCGGCGCAGCCCGCATTTACCCTGGTCATATGTCGCTACGGAACGCATTCCGTCTATCGCACGGTAGCTTGTGACGTCTGAGGGGTTGCATTAATTCTGGACGAGATGTAGTCGACGGTAGCGGCGATATGGCGAGGGTCCGTACCTGGAGATCTGCGCGAGCGTTTCGAGCAGTTGTCGCAGGTTCCAGCGAAGGCGCCTAGTGTAATTCCGTGCGGGGCCCCGCAGCGCCAAATTTTGGGTCAAGGAAACAATGTCTAGCTGAGTAGCTTCAGCGCTCAAGCGCTCAACTTCCAGTGTCTCGCCAGTGAGTCCACTACGCACGTGAAGGAGCACCCGTAAGTTATAGCTGTGCGACAGCTCCTGGTCTGCTGGATTGTATTTCTCCGCACCTGAGTGGGGCCCGAGCGTGAAGCCACGAGACATAGGTCTGGAGCAGATAGCGAGGACCAGCGACGGCACATTGTACAAAACTTGCGATCTCAATTTGTCTGCAACGACGTCACAATAACAAATAGAGAGTACATTTACATCACATTCAATACACTGCGAAGCTGCCCAGTCATAGAGTGTGAAGTAACACAACTCCGACCTACACGCCAGTCAGAGATGTTGATTGAGAGGCGAGGACAGGACATACCTTAGAGGAGAGATGGAGCAGTAGAAAGGTCCCATCTTAAACTCTGCTCGCCCGTTGTGGGCGGGACCTGGTGCCCTTCGACACTGTGAGTACAGACTGGATCTCCGAATCGACGCCCTCAACGTCGTCTTCCCACTGTCGTGCCATATCTTCATCGGTAGCCTCCTCGTCAGATGATTCCGCCTCTGTCTGGGCCCGCTTGCGCTTAGAGGCCGCTCTCGAATATGATGCTTCCGACGACGGGATCTTCGCCTTCCCTTTCCCTCCTTTGGGTTTCGCCGACACTTTTTTCTTGCGATCTTTGTTCTTCTGGGACGGTGGTATGAAGTTGTCATAGTTGTTCACGAGGATACGCTGGAATTTTGCATCATAGCCGACACACTTCATGCACCAGACTCCGATTTGCTGGAGGAGAGCATTTGAACTGCGTCGAGTTCGAACACCAGTAGGATGCCTAATATACTCACCTCTTCGCCTCGTTCATACGCAGCTGAAATGTCTTTAACTTGTTCCTTTACAGTCTTCATGATGTCTTTGTCCGAGATCATAACATCGATCTCTTCATCTGAAAGTTCTTCGTCGTTGCGCTGTCGCCACCAAACACGTAGTCGGATGTCTTCTCCCCAACCTTTAAGAAGAATTTGTTCCGCCCATGTTCTCTTTACCTAAAGTGTCAGGCCATGAAATCAGTACTGTGAGCTTCTGATCATTCACCGTTGATTGATATGCACCTTTCCATCTTGTCTTTGGAATTCGTCAGCTGTAAGTGGCTCCGATGGGAACATCTTGTAGAAGCCGACATGTGACCAGACTCCAGGGCGTAATGCCACAAATACACGTCGCACCTCCTTCCATTCAAATACCCTCGCGCTCTGCATATAAAACAGGCCAGGATCACCGGGATTCTGAGGAGCATGAGGATGGTAGACAATTGGAAGCATCATGAAATCATTGACTCCGTGCATATCGACCCTCTCCTTACTGATTGTAGGAAATGTCTGGACGAAGCTTCCGCCATAGAGTTCGGTGATGTAGTAACGCGACATGGTGAACTTGAGCATTGTTTCATCTAGTGCGATGGGAAAGGATTTTCGGAGCCCTGCTGCATCGAGCCGCTGAGCAACACACTTATAGTCAAATTGTGAACCTCTCTTGATTTTCGCGAGAGGCTGTGGTACGGAACATCATGAAAATGAGATCAATGCAGAGAGTAGAATCTTCACATATATTCTGCAGCCGGTCAACTGCAGCTTTGATCTCTTCCTCGGTCATTGGCTCATACTTGGCTTCATCCTCGCGCTCGCTTGAGAGAGGTTGTAGATCGACATCAATCGGTTCCGCCTTGACTCCAGGAACTTGCGGCTTTACGTCTTCCATCTCTTGTGCTGCTCGTGCTGCTCGTGCTTCCCGTTCTGCCAATCGTCGTCTCTCCAAGTCCCGCTTGACTGCTTTCCAAGGAAGGACTGCAACCTCCACCAAGTGCCGCGCTTTCTTTCGCAAAGGCGGTTTCGCCTCGGACATTTCCTCCTCTAGGGCATGATATGCGCTGGGTGAGTAGCATCGAGATGAGAGGATATATCTTCTTTCTTGTTGATCTCAGCATCGCCGACATCGTTCGTGAGTTGTCCCAGAGGACGAAGGCTTTCGGGCATAGCCTGAGGCCCCTTCAGATCTAGTGTTTCTGCCTCGAGTGCATAATACGCGCTAGGTCGAGTAGCATCGAGCAAAGGAGAAATATTCTCCTTCGTCTCTATCTCCATAATGGCAGTAACGTGTTCCTTGATCCTTGGGGGCTTCAATCTAGACGGTGTCTTCTGTCAACCAGTGATTCGAGTGTTGCCGAAGGGAGTACCTCTTTGCTTGGATTCCTGACGGATGACAATCGTTAGGGACTGGCTGCAGACTCTTGATTGCGCATGCGCCCTTTGCCGACAATGCGTTTGAGGAGGTTTGAGGACGTAATTAATATTTGTGTACACGCTCGCTTATGCCGCAAGGTGGCCGTTTCCTGAAGAGTTGCCTTTTTCATACATTTGCTTCCGCCGCGGGACACATTCACGCAAACAAGCTGCCCTACTTACTTATTCACAGGCTCGTATCGATCCGCTTCACCCTTCAAGTTGTAGGTAAGTGCTCTGCTCTTTGACGATAGCGGAGCTGTTGCGTGGGTTTCCGCGTGTTTGCAAGTGTAGTACCTCCCGATGAGACATCCAGTGAAGAATGAGGTTGAGTCAGAGGTGGTGAGCTGGAGATGGTTTTGCTGTAAATGATTTAGCAGAGGTGCCATGCTGATCGTGAGAGATCGCAGGGAAAGGAAAACTTCGCACATTTAGAGTCGCTCGAAAATGTAGACGTGAAAGACGAGACCGTGAAGCAAGACGTCTCTCCCAACTCTGGTCCTGAACCGAAAAAGCGAAGTGCCTCTCCCAACTTCGTTCTCGATTCTCTTCGGATTCCAATCCATGATCCAGTGAAGGACGAGATTGAGCTTCCCAAAAAGCGGCAGCGCACAGTTGAGTCCAATGGAGGTGTCATCGAAGAGGACATTAGAGAGCCATCGGTCGGGTTGGAACCTCTGAACTCGCTGTCCGCGCACGACATTGTCAAGAAATACGAGGAGATGTCCGAGGAGGAAGCGAGAACCGCCATGAACAATTTGTCGAATGTGCGTGATGATATCTCTTGCAGTTCATGGACCTTAACGTCAAAAACAGCCAAGAGCTGTGATCAAGAAGGAGAAGCTATTCCTCGATGACAAGGAGATCTTGAAACGTTTGGAGCCCGCTGGTCTTGACCCGTTCCCAGTTGTGCTCGACCCAGCTATCAGAGACACAGCGGTAACCCGGTCATTCATATCCAAACATTTTGGTGGCACGGAACGGGAGACTTTCCCTCGCATCAAGCCAGGGAAACTTGCAACCCACGGCTATGACAATCTTATGTGCATCAACCTTTTGTATGCTCCATATGCCCCCAAGAAGCCAGGCTATCCCGGGCTCTTTTTCCAGATGACACCTGCGGTGGAACCCTGGTCCCAAAAGTGTTCCCACACACAGGTTCTATTCGTTCGTCTGCGGACGAACGAGTGGTTGTATGTCGGCCTGTATCAACAGATAGCTGTTGCATCGTTAACACCAGAGGAATGGCATTCTCAAGATGCCTCTGTGAGTTCTTTGGTCGAATGTGCTGATTTGTACAGTCAAGCTGACCCAGGCAAAATAAGGTGCGCAAGAACTGGTCGAAGGAGATCGCCGTCAAGAAGTGGGCCAAACCCGTTCGAGTCAGTATTCATCTCAAACGTCGCCTGGGCCGTGCAGCAGTGGAAGAGGAGATCGATGTGAGGGTAAATGATGGCAGTAAGTATGACGATGTTACGGAGGAGGATGTTCTCGATGCTTACGACAAAGGGGATGAGGTATGTTTCGACACCCCATCCTTTCACCTGACTTGCTGAGTTGCACTACGTAGATTATGGGCGTCTGGTGCATGAAATGCGTGGGATACGATGAGAACTTCCAAAGGGGCTTAATCAAAGCCGCAAGAAGGAACGGCCGTCGTTGAATTGAAAACTGTTTGTTATCTGTTTATTAGCTTGAATCCGTTCAGTACAGCCCGTGATAAATATCGATATGAGAATTAGGCACAGCTTCAAAGCAACTAGAGCTACAAGACGAAAACCTCAGAACGACGCGAGCAAGTGAGTGGATTTTAGTCGACGTCCTCCATACCTCCCATTCCCGAGTTCGAAGGAGCACTCGCCATGGCGCAGTCGAAGAAATTCGCGAACGTTCCAGGAGGGACTACTGGTGCGGCGGGTTGAGTAGTGCTGGTGGATGGTTCTCTCGCCCCGGCTGTTCGTGCCGCCCTGGCAGTGTCCTTGCGGAACTTGGTTTCTGACCGCTGCATTGCTGCTTTTCTGCGCTGCACCTTGACGAAATTCAAAAGTGCGTCCAGGCCATCGCAAACATGATGCTTGCTCGGTTTGTCTGCCAGCCTATGGAGACAAGTGTAAGCCACCATGACACTGTAAGAGACCACCTCTGTGGGTACACCATACGCATACTTACCTGCCGACCATCTCTTCGACAACATCGTTGGCTCGCAAGAATGGCATCATCTCGATGAGTGCCTTGTATACCTTGAGCTGCACCATTGCAGCACCCTTGACACTGATGGCGACATCAGACCAACCCTCGAATCGCTGCTTGAGCTTCGGGCGGAACTCGTCTCTGAGTTCGTCCAAGTCAGGATCGTGAGGGTCGAAATCGAGATAGCCAGCAGGGTCGCCCTCCTCAGCTGCCTCCATTCCAGGCACGATCGGCAGGCCCATCATCATCGCTGCAAATGCCATAGGATTAGGCGCGGCAGTCCCTGGAGTCGCAATCGCGTCAACCCATGCCTCCACTCGATCCTGTCTACCTGGAGCCCCGGCGCGGAGCTTAACGATTTCCATGATCTCGTCGATATTTGCACGACTTTCCACCTGCGAGAACGACGAGAGTAAAGCTGAGCGCACGGCACGTGCGGTATCCAATAGCTCCTTCTCGATGATCTGGAGTGCCTGCGCCTGGTAGAAAGGGCTTGCAGAAATGCAGGCGACCGCTGTCTGTAGTGAAGGCGCATCTCGAGGTCGGAGAAGATGTGAGTGCGAGTCAAGTAGTGATACGATCGTGTCTGCGTCATCCTCGAGAGCGTGGATATCTAGCGCTGCAGAGAACGTCTCGGAGGAGCTCGCCGCAATTGAGGAGAGGTGCTTCATCAACTGGGATTCAATGGATTCAGGGTCAGTAGAGATAGCCAGAAGTGAGGAATAAAGCCGTAGTGAAGGAGTCAGCTTGAAAACACCCATCATGGCATCTTGGATATGTTTCCGCAGCTGCCACATCTGACTGCTCACGCGGTACGACCAGTGACTCGAGAAGTATGGCTTTGAGTCTGTCTCGTCGTCGATGTATTCTTCATCATCTCCGTCTTCATCCTCATCCTCAGACTCATACTCCTCCTCCTCGTCATCATCGTCGTCGTCATCGTCATCGTCACCATAATCATGAGGACCTGGAGAGATGAATTAGACTGATATGCACATGCAAATAGGGAGTATACGGACACTTCTTGCCACCATACAGGACCCTTTCGAGAGCCGTCCAGCCCAGCATATCCTCAATCTCTCCAAGTATCTCCGGTATAATACTGACCTGGCGTTCACTACCGGTCGCGAGCAAGCTCAAGAGTAGGTCGCGCCAAATGAAGTAGAGAACCTCTTCCACGTTATGGGCACCGTTAATTGCAAATGATTTGACACGCCTTCCCGTATTCCTCTTGAGAACCACAGAGACGTACATGTTGGTGAATGCACATTTGCAACTGCATAGACGAACATGAACATCTCGGGCATTGATGCAAGAAAACATACACACCCAGATCGTCCATTCCCGATATGATCCAATGAACTAGCCACGAAAAGGAGACACTTATGCGCATGCATGAAATCGACATTGTGCTCATACACGACGCTCCAGATGTCATTTAACCAGTCCGTGAGACTGTCCACCGTTTCGCTAAGGATTTCCGACTTGTGCGATCGTTCCCTGACGAAGGAGCGCTTCGCATCTCTGTGGAGCTCATCCATTAACGCAGTAATCTCGGCCTTCTTCGCATTCAGATCCAGCAATGGGATTCCTGCGTGTCGCTCCTGCAAACGGGTAACGACTCCGAGTACTTTTTTCGATCTGCTCCTCTCGACAAGATTGAGAAGCGGTATGAGGTGCTTCTCGACCAGCGCCTGCTGGGCGTCCGCAGGTAAGGTGTCGTATATTGCAGCGAACCTACGCGATATGTTAGATTCTGTATCATGACCCATACTTGCAAGCACGCACCTGGAACTGGGTAACTTGCCTATCATAGCGTGTGATGGGATGTCAGATTTGTGGACTCAAGAGCTGACCGAAACCCCTTGCGAAGCGGCTTTTGAGGGTCAGATGGTCAACAGCAAGAGGTCTGTCAGAGCAGTGTTCAGTACTGTCAGAGTCTCTGAGAAGACGTTGCAATGTGCGGGGTCTCTTTCGGAGTATCAAATTCTGCTTTCGGATGTGCAATATTAACCGGTGACAACGCGTCAGAGATAAAGTCACGGGCTGTGACGATGCGCGTCTGCGTGTTGTCACGCGCTTCCGTGGTGTAGTCACGGTTGATCGTTTGATATTACACCCATCTTTCAGCGATACCTCCTCGTCTGACATCGGCATGGCTCCAAGCAAAGCGAAGACACCAGCGAAGGTTTACGGACGGGATATCAGGGGCTTTTTCGGTGGCGCCGGGAGCAGTCAAACCACACCGTCAACACAACACACCACTGGCACGGTTTCGGTCCGCTCGATTCTCGCATTTTCCTGTGGATTTCGCTGAATTGACTGCATTATCTTTTTAGAAGCACTTCGGTGGTCCCAGCCAAACACAGTCTATAGAAATCAGTAAGTCTCCTCTCTACCCTTCTTGTGATAGAGATACTGAGGTTGAGTAACAGGCGATGGGGAGGATGCTCGGTGTGTAACGAGGCAATGTTACAATCTTTTTTAACCTGACCTCTAATCAACAGAACAAGCAAGAAGCCACCTGCATCGTACGTACCTGTCGTTTCGACCACGTCACGGACTGCTCACACAGATGCAGCGCGAAACCCGAGAAAGTTGAGACTGTACGTGAATACGCTCCCATGATATCAACTCTTATCCTCATGTCATCGCAGAAACTAAAGAGCGAACGCGTTATGGATGATGAGGAAGATCAGAAGCCACAACCGAGCCTCAAGCGGAAGAAGGCCGTCCTTGCATTCTCCAGTGAAGACGAAGATGAAGATCTCAAGAAGGTGTCACCACCCAGGAAGAAACACGCCATCGAGACGTCTTCATCGAAGGCGTCAAGCAGTGGCTTCGCTGCGAAGCCCAAACCCAGAGGGCAAGAAGCGCCACACAGTGGAAAGCAGCCCCCACGCAAAGCGAAGAAGAACAAGGACGAGGACTTTGAAATGTTGTCTTCGGAGGATGTCGCGAACGATGATGACTACATAGAGGACGAGGACGACGAGGCGCCGGCGAAGAAGGGGAAGAGTAAAGTCAAGACAACACCCAAGAAAGCCCTTGTGAAAGCTCAAACGGCGAAGAGTACAGGCAAGGCGAAAGCCAGCGCGAACGGAGAGGAACAGGAAAAGCCAAAGCCCAAATTCAAGTGAGATGTTTGCTCTGTGTCGGTTGGCATTAGCTTACTCAGTCTCTCAGTTGGGCCGCAGCGAAGGCTGCCAAATTGGCTGGCCCTATCGCGCCGGGCTCCAAGTCAGTGCCGGAGCCTGCGGTTGCTGATCCTCTTGGTGGCCTCTCATTCGTCTTCACCGGCGAATTGAGTAGCTTCTCCCGAGAGGAAGCGATTAGTCTCGCCAAGCGCTTTGGTGGGTACGTATGTTGGTTGTTCTTTACTCTCGCAGACAATGAAAGATAGCGAACAGCCGCGTCACCTTGCAGCCGTCATCGAAGACATCCTTCGTGGTCTTGGGCTCCGACGCTGGACCTAGCAAACTCGCAGCGATTAAGAAAAACAACCTCAAGACCCTCGATGAGGATGGATTCCTGGATCTGATTGCAACGCGCGTGCCCGACACAAGCAATTTGGATGACAAGACGAAGAAGAAGCTCGAGAAGGAAAAGGAGGCGATTCGCCAGGGCGCTGCGGAGATGGAGAAACGCGAGAAGAAGGCGATGAAGGAGAGTGTCGCCAATGGAGGAAGGTCGGTCGCAGGTAAATGCACGATGTGCGCGGCGCTGACGCTCCCTGACAGCGCTAGCGCTCAGCGAGCCCCGTCATCGCAGCTGTGGGCAGCGCGCTATGCCCCCCAGTCTCTGAAAGAGATATGTGGTAACAAGGGACAGGTCGAGAAGCTGCAGATGTGGTTGAATGACTGGTTAGTGTTTGTGTCTCAATTGATATTTCGTTTTCCATGAACTTTTTGCCATAGGTCGTCTAGTCTGCATTCGGGCTTTAAGAAACCTGGCAAGAATGGCATGAATATCTATCGTGCAGTCCTTATCACCGGTCCTCCAGGAATTGGCAAGACGACGAGCGCGCACTTGTGTGCCAAGCTCGCAGGATTTACACCTATCGAGCTGAATGCAAGCGATGCGAGAAGTAAGAAGCTCGTCGAGGTGGGCCGAACCGCACATTGACATGGTTTTCCCTTTAGTTTGCTGACATAAACACCTCCAGAACAGTACCAACATCACGAACGCATCCTTAGATGGTTGGATGACGGGTGGACATGTGCGTTGCCGCATTGCTAAGTCCGTCGACCTGAATTTACTGATTTTTACCAGATGGCAAACACTGTCGGCGTCAATATCACTGACAAAAGCTGTCTGATCATGGACGAGGTCGATGGAATGTCTGCTGGTGACAGAGGTGGCGTGGGTGCGCTTGCGGCTCTTATCAAAAAGACCAAAGTAAGCTGCATGCTAGTGATGCAAGTACTGGGAGTTCATGTCTGGGTAGATCCCGATCATTTGTATTGCCAACGACCGGACAGCTCAAAAACTGAAACCCTTGATCAATGCGACGTTCAACTTGACTTTCCGAAAGTAAGAGTCTGTAATTGTTTTGCTGTGCAAGTCTAATTAGCCTGAACTGTAGGCCAGAGGTCACTGCTATTCGCTCGAGGCTGCTCACTATCGCATTCAAGTACGTCTACTCTTCCTTGCGCTGAAACAATGTGTTTATCTCTCCTTTAGGGAGAAAATGAAGGTTCCCGCGAACGTGATCGATCAGCTCATCGAGGGGGCTCAGTCAGACATTCGTCAAGTTCTCAACATGCTCTCCACGTGGAAATTGTCAAATGACACGATGAACTTTGATGAAGGCAAGACACTGTACGTTCTCTGCTGCGTGAATTAGATCCTGTGGATGGCTGATCTACTCCTTGAATTCAGAGCTAAGATGAATGAGAAATATTCGGTTATGACACCTTTCAATGTCATCAACAAGATGTTGGGTCCTTACATGTTCTCACCGACATCGCGCGAGAGACTCAATGATAAGATTGAGCTATACTTCCACGACCCTTCGTTCATCCCCTTGTTCATAGAAGTGTGTGGTCTATTGTACATGCCAGAGGTCTCTTGTGATAACATTGCCGCAGGAGAATTACTTGAAGACACAACCCAGCAAGGTCAAGAACATGGACGGACCAGAGAAGGTGCTGAAACAGCTCGAGCTAATGGACAATGCTGCTTCTTCGATATCAGATGGCGACCTTGTTGACACACTCATTCACGGGTACGTATGTATGGTAACCTGGATTTCTTCCGCTTATACTTTGCAGACCCGAACAGCACTGGTCACTGATGCCGCTTCACGCGGTATGCTCTAGTGTGCGTCCTGCATCTCTGCTCTACGGGCCAGGGGTAGGCTACGGAGGCCAGAATGCTATGAGCTTTCCCCAGTGAGTGGATACAACATAGATGATTGACGATGTTTGAATACGTGACTGCTAGGTGGCTTGGTCAGAACTCCAAGCAGGGCAAACTCAGTCGTCAATTGACAGACATCCAAGCCCGAATGCGTCTGAAGGTATCCGGAGACAAACCGGAGATCAGACAGTCCTATCTCCCCGCGCTGTTCCCACATATCGTCAAACCATTAATGGACGAAGGTGCTGTGAGTGGCTTGATTTGTATTTAGGTCATCTATGGTATTGAACTTTACCGTCTCTCTCTCAGAGTGCAGTAGACGATGTAATCGAGCGTATGGATGAATACTTCCTCACCCGCGAGGACTGGGACACAGTAGTCGAGTTGGGTCTGGACGAACACAAAGACGACCTTGTCCTCAAGAAAATATCCACTGCTACCAAGACCTCCCTAACGAGAAAGTGAGCTGTACATTATCCTTGTGTCTAGCCTATCCTCAGTCGGCTGTCTTCGTAGATACAACTCTAGAGATCACCCCATTCCCTTCCATAAGGCGCAAGACTTGGGCAAGGTTCCGAAGAAGCTTGCTGCTTTGGGTCCTGCCCCCGACCTTGAGGAAGCGTTCGATGTAAGGCTCTGTCACTAGGTTGTGATAATGCACATTCATTATATTCCCTTGACAGGTTGAAGAAGATATTGTTGAAGAGTCAGAGGACAAGCCTTCTTCGAACGATGATGATGTCACACACGACAGTCTAATCAAAGCTCCCAAGAAAGGCAAGGGGACAGTATCGAGCAAGGGTAAAGCTATCGCACAACCGAAGATAAAGGCGAGGGCCAAGAAAACTTAGGCGGCACATATTTGCATTGGTTTATCGGTTCTTGTCATACTGTTGTTCGATGTGGTTCGTTTTGAATATAGCCACTTGACTGCGCGGATTCATGACCACCCTGGTACTGGGCGTATCCTGGGCGTTCGCTGCTGAGGTCCTAAGCAGCTATGTGGTACGTTTACTGTCCTTGTATTACAGGCGCCGTCGCTTATGTCACTCAATTCCTCCATGATGATCGAGCAGTCGGTCGTACTTATGATGCTGGTTGAGGCCAAGTCATGTCCGGCCAGGTATTGTGTGATCAACCGCTGATCGCCAAATATTCCGATTTTGTTTGCAACTGAATATTCCAGTGTGGATAGATGCAGTCCTAATCAACACGGTTGAATGACCTGAACGAACGTACCTCGAGACTTCTCCTACACCACACCTTCACCCTTCTACTAGAACTTTGTTGTCTCATTCCTTCGTATACTGTGCTGCTTGATCTTCGCTCACTTTGTTTGCTGATCGTTCATTCAACATGCATCCGACCGTCGCTTTTGTTTCTCTTTCGGCTTTCTCCATCTTCCCTGATGTCTCCGCCGTGGCTCTTCCTGGGGAAATGAGGATCGCTCTCAGCAAGCATACCACCCTCGCAGGTTCGAGTAGTGTGGCAAATATAGAAGCCCTGCAAGGCCATCTCGCCTTTGCCACCGCGTATGCCTGTCTTATGTGCAGTGATTTGTGTCTGATGCGGTTGTGTCCACAGGAAAATCTACCGCGGATTCGTTGCGTACCATCGTAACACTGGCAGAGCTCACCCGTTGGACGGCGGTGCTGCAGGAGGTGTGACTGATCCACTGCTTGACGACCAGAACGGTCAGCTATGGCAAGGCTCTATCTCCGTGGGCACACCTCCGCAGAACTTCACGGTCGATTTCGATACGGGCAGCAGCGACCTCTTCCTTCCTGGCCCAGCTTGCGTCTTAAATTGCGAAGGACATCAGGCATACAATCCCTCTGCTAGCTCAACTTCTCGGCAGGTCCCGAAAACGTTCAGTCTCGCCTACGGCGACGGTTCGACCGTCGCCGGCCAGGAGTACACAGATGACGTTCACGTCGCTGGCCTCACGGTAAGATGCCTGAAATCGGTCCTTTGCACGTTCAATATTTTCTTGTTACTAGGCGACAGACGCTACCTTCGGCGCTGCAGAGATTTACTCTCCTGGCTTCGCCGTCGAGAACTTCCCTCCTGATGGGTTGATGGGCATGGCGTTCAAGTCTATCTCTGAATACAACACTGAGCCGATCTTCCAATCGCTGGTAAATGACAGTCAAGTATCTCAAGCGATTTTCTCCTTCAAGCTTGCTCAGAACGACTCAGAGCTCTTCTTGGGTGGCTACGATCCGGAGATGTTTCAGGGCGCCATCACATACACACCGCTCACCGAGGAGGTTTGTAGACTCCGGACGCCAGTGAAACTTGGGTGCTAACGTTAGCGCCAACAGGCGTACTGGCAGATCAACATGGATGCTGTCTCCTTCAATGGCCAGGCAATCCTCACCAATATCCCTGCCATCATCGACACCGGTACCACCCTCGTCATCGGCGACACGGCGAGCGTCGGGCTTCTTTACGCCGCCATTCCGGGCTCCAAGGAAGCGTCAGCGAGCGCCGGATCAGGGTTCTACACCGTCCCTTGCAACGCTACTCCCAGCATCAGCCTGACGTTCACCGGGACCCCATTCAACATCTCACAGGAACTCTTCAATCTCGGGCCTGTTACCGAGGGATCTCCCGACTGTGTCGGGGGAATCGTTTCGTCCGATAACCAGCCGTTCTGGGTAGTCGGAGATCTCTTTCTGCAGAATGTGTATTCCGTCTTCGACGTTCAAAAAAGTCGTGTAGGCTTTGCGACTCTCGCTTAACTCTTAACTATTTTTAATGCTACCATTGCCCTAGTCATACACATTTTATTACCAGGTCGTTCAGAAACACATCGAGTATTCACTACCGAATTTGTATATTATATCGTCCGAGGTGGGTATCGTATAGGTAATGTACGTGTACAAGCTACAGTCGCGATTCGTCATTGTAGGGTATATAACGTACCATGATGCTGGTTGTCGTAATGCGCGTGATAACAATGCAAAACAATAGCGGAAAAAACAATACCGACAGGGACCCATTAAAGAGGCAACGATCCTGAGAGCAAGCGTCAGGTCGTATTGTGTGGAGAATCATATATGCGTGCACCCACCAGGAGTGAAGTCTGAGATTTTCCCTGTACCAACACCTCATCGTCACAGCCTCGGCGATATCTTGTTCCTTTGCTTAAGTGTGGTCAAGAACTCGCGCTTCTCCAAGTCGACCTCCTCCCGCACGATACCTGCAACGCTGCCCGAACCAATCTCATGCTCCCCCAAACCTGTCAAACCTAAACCGACCATCGAGCCTGGCGTCCCGCCCTTCACATCCCGCATGCGGCCCCGCTCTCTACTCTCGTCCATCCCGTCTCGGCGTTCACGTCCTCTGTCACCTCTCTTCTCTTCCCGCCCTCGGCGGCGGTCGCGGCGGACTTCGCCATATGAGACGAACGTGCTGACGATCATGACGAAATTGACGACGCCGAAGATGAAGACAATCGTGATCGCGGTGCGCACGCCGATGGCCTGTTGGGCATTGAGCGGCGGGGGTGGGTTCTCATCTGCCTGAGAGCCGGTCCGCCAGACGAAGGAGAGAATGGCAATGCAGAACGTGATCATCGACCACGCGAGCCATATCGCGGGTGTGGCGAGGAGAACCCAGATGTTCCACCAGATCGCAGTCTTGGACCTTTGCGCTTCCTACAAAGTCATATGGCTAACATTAGCGATATGGCCGGAAGCCACGGTCTAACTACTAACCTCCGCCCATCGAGATGCCCTGTCCATGCTTCTCATGGTGCCAAACTGGACAATGTACATGCAACCATATGACACACTCATGAGGGAAAAGATGAGCGAGAATAGGGCTGCAGACCGCGTCAAAGGATCATTTGCCGCGGCATTGACTTGGAACAACGTGAGGATTGCCCTGGGAGGAGCAGATGAAGACCCATTAGGTGGTCTTACGGCTATATGAAGCTAGGAGGTGACAATACTCACGTGCAAAGTAGAGCAGAAACAAGATTCAATGTCTTCCATTCTCGCAACAAAGAGTCCACAAAGAACTCCCACGAATGCTTGAAACGCACCAAAGAGGGCGAAACCATGGGCGGATTCCACTCGTCTGGGAAAGGCAGGGGCAACGACGGATTGCGATAGCGACCAGTCCTGGTCCGCATAGCCACGCGCTCGGTTGAGGTCATCCCGCCGCTCTCGTCTGCAGCGCACGCGTCGATCATCCGCTGAACATCCGGCTTACTCACTTCGGCATCCTCGAAGACGCGCGCGACGCGCGAAAAGTAGAGCGCAGGAAGCCGGAGAAGTAGTATGAGGTATACCTGGCGCGGAAGCACGTCTGCGAAGAATGTGCTCGCCGCGCTTGCGAACGCGTTCCAACGCCCGCCTTCCGACTGGGCCTGAATCTCGACATCGCCTCCCCCACCTCTTTTCGTAACGCGAGTCGAACACAGTGCTGGAAGAGGCAAACACATCGTGAGGGTATCGTTGCATGCGACGTCTGCATCTTGATCGAGGGGCTCTGTAGGAGGGCTGGAAGAGGACCACCCAAACCAGCATATACGCACTGTGAAAGGATCGACAGGGACGAATGGCTCCTCCCAACCATGGGTGCGACGGCCAAACCCAAAGAGACGTAGAGGCGACGCGTTGCGTGAATGCGAAGGTGAGCGAGAGGTGGGGGACGGGCTCTGCAGACCATCCTTCGCCAGTCTAGGAGACAAAGTGCCTGTCTGGTTTTGGCGCGTGCCTAACAATGGGATTTGATACGGTGTGCCGCCGTGCAGGGATACTTCGCCGGAGTGAGGTGTTGAAGAGGGTACGGCAGAGTCGCTCCGTTGATTGATCCTATTTGCAGCTGCAAGTAAATATACGTCAATGCTTTATCTGGGCAATACACGGAGTACAGTGGATGCTGGATATAAAAGCTGTCATAAATCAAGATAGCACGAGAGGGCAGACTCAAGCGAGGACGTCGCCTTCTCAAACAGAAGACAATCACCACGGACGACAGCAATGTCGGAAGTATATATGCGGGTCGTGTGCGGCTGGATTCGCGTGAAAATATACATTTCATTAAAACCACACGAATAATGTCGCACAGAAACAAAGGGACGTCTTTTCAATCGCTGACCTTGCGTGAAACCTTGCAGATTTGCTGGGAGCGAGGTTCGATCACTTTCAAACGAGGCTATCTGCTTTGGAGTCTCTCTTCCAATGGAGCCTTCAGACCCTGTCATCCGACCAGCACCTGGCAATTGATGTAAGGCCTGAGTACTAGCCGAGGGTGATTCATTGGAGGACAAAGAGACGGAACCGTCAAAGCTACGACGCACTACGCGACTTGGAGCGCGCAGCCGGTCCAACATGGGGGAAGCTTGCACGGGAAGAGCGGAAAGCTTGTCTGAACTGGTGAGATTAGAGATCGACGACTCGGAGTCTTCCTCAGACATCAGCAGTTTCTCTAGTGAACGATAGGAAAGTTGCGTACCTGGAATTGCAGGTTGCTGCTGATCGCGCGACATAGGAAACGGCACTGTGTTAGAGCCAGAAGACGAAGAACCGGCCCCAGGAACTATGGGCTTATTCATAGTGGGTGGGTAGCCGGCGACCAGGCTCAGCTCAAGTGCTATGAAGCGGTGCCAGCTACTTCGACGACAGTTGCTCTTTATGAATATCACGTGATCGACGCGTCCATTCTCTACGCGTGTGTGGCGCCGCCACAACGATATAACCGTCTCCTGAACGCGACAAAATGATGATGGATTGCAATACAAAAAAGTTTGAAATGGAACTAAATACAAGGGTGCGTATAACCGCAACATAAATGATCAGTACAGATGGACTTGGGCTGGATTGCAGCTTCACATGCCAAAGCGTACTCGCCGGCCATCGTTCGCCAACTTCAACCACTAAAGGTTCTCCACCAGCTCACGCTGAAAAGCCTCAGTGTAACCAACACATTTCATGCACCAAACACCCATAACCTGGAGAGTAGAAGGTGCCTTGGATCAAAAAAGAGAGAAAGATATGACGGAGCTAGACTCGCCTCTTCCGCTGAATCGTATGCAGCCAGTATCTGCATAGGCGTTACATCTTTGAATGCATTCTTTTCCTTCAACGCATCCTCAATATCTTCGCCGTCTGGCTCACGTCCTAGACGACGCCTCAGATGTATCCTCACACGAACAGACCTCCCCCAGCCCTTATCGTGGATCTCTTGGGCCCATTTCCTTCGTACCTGGGTAGGAGGGCATTCTGTCAGCAACAGGTGAAGAATTTCCCGCATCCATTGATGCCACTTACGGAGCCGTCTTGCTCAAGCCATTGCGCTTCAGTGAGTGATGGCGCTGCCGTCATCTTGTAGTTACCGACATAAAACCACATCTTCGATTGGAGACGGACGAATACCATCTGAACCCTGGCGTGTTCGGAGGTCCACGGTTCGATAGCTGGTGAAGTTTCGAAGTACAGACCCGGATATCCTGGTAGCTGTGGAGCATGCGGGTTGTACAGGAGGTTCAGACACATGAAGTGATTGTAGCCATGACGCTCGACATTCTTCTGGGATATGTGGGGGAAGGTGTCCTGGTTATTCCCGCCGAACAATCTTGATATGTGGTCTCGAGATACCGTGATGTCCCGCAGGGCTGCATCGAGAGTCACAGGGTAAGGCTCACGCCCTACCAGATCGAGCCGGCTCAGAACCTGCTCATCACTGAGTAACATCTCGCTCTTGATCTCAGCTTTAGGCTGAAGATAAAGAGGGAAGATCAGTACCGGTCGGGCATAATAAGTGTTGGACGAACGTTAAAGTAGCTCTTTAATGCTGCTCGACCTTCAGCCTCAGTCAATTTGACATAGCCTTTTTCCTCTTTCTCCTCGTCCTTGTGATCATGCTCTGTCGGGGGTGTGTCTACTCCAGGTGCGGGTTTGCGTACTTTCTTGATTCTCCGAGTTGTGGCTGGTGGGGTGGAGGTATCGTCGCTGGGCTCACCAAAAGTCAAATCGAGATCTGCGCTTGGAGAACGTCGGCGCTTCAAGTTCACTCGGACTGGTTGTGTTTTTTGACGAAATTGTGAGTGTTCTACCTCCGTCTCTGAATCCGAATCTAGGATGATAACAGGTGCATCTTTGCTGCTTCCAGCTGGTGCCTTAATAGACGGGGGTGATGTGATCCTGCTCTCGAGCGGAGGCGAAGTCTCTTGTTTCGCTGGTATCTACATCGAATTCATAGTGTGGGCGCTCAGCGATCCTACGCGTTATCGTAGAGCAATCTTACCGAAATTCGGTTATTGCGTGGACTCAATCCAGGTTCAATCTTGACCTGTTCCTCGACACTGGTGCTGGCAGAGGCGCCCTCCAGCTCTAAGATGCGGCGCTTTAGGACGACAATCTCGATCTTCAGCCGTGCGATCTCTTCGTCCTTCTCCAGATCGGCCAGCCTTAACTTACGAATCGTGGCGGCGGGGTCCATTGTCGATGATTATATGCGCGATGGGAGGTTGTGGCAGAGGTCGATGTGTCTCAGGTGGTTCAACGTTCAACGTCCGATCTACGTCCGATCGGGTTGAAGAGGCGGAAGTCAATCGTCCTGGTCGGTCTCTGCTTGATCGAGAACCAGGGTAGACTATAGCTAGGGCGCGCTCTTGCGAGAAGGAGGAGGAGGTATATTCCGGGCCAGGTCCCGATAAGGAACGCCGGTGAACAAGATCGAGTTGAAAAGGGACCACAATTATGTGGCTGCAACCACGAAGTCGGCTCGCGCGTAGTACTAGTAGATCACTCGAGGACCCCCGACAATTGGCAGAAATGCCTGATCCTGAGGAACCAAAAATGTCCGTTGGTAGAAGCCTGTTTTTGGCCTGAAATGTCCGCAAAAAACAGGCCTCCGGCCCTTGGAGGTCAAATTTGTCCGGGTTTTGGACCAGGCATCCGTTCGTTGCAGAAATGTCCGGGCTCCCGGGATCAGGCCTTGACCCCCTGATTTGTCCGTGAAAAATCAGGGATGGCGCTCCCAAATATCCAGAAATTGTCCGAAATCGGCTCAGGGATCCTCCCCAATTCTCGGGGGTCCTATCACTCGTGACATCACTCATGAAAGCAGTAAAGCGCTTGTCATCGCGAATACGTACAACTCATACCTACCTACAAACGTTTCAATCCAAACGTACACGGTAGTCATACATACATACAGGCCGTTTCCCACAAAGCCTGACGACGCTCATCGATGCCACGACCGATACAGATACTTATGATCATCACGCTGCCAGCATTGCCCGCTTACCGAACCTGCTGAGTGGAAGGCTTGCCAGTGGGAATGGGAGCATGGGGAACGGGAGCATGAGGAGTCCTGAGCTTGAGACCTGCATGGGACATCTAAATTAGCCCACGTGGTAAAATAAGAGGGCATTGTATTTACCAAGCTCCTCAACGATCAAGTCCGCAGCCTTCTCGCCGACGAGAAGAGCAGAGGAGTAGGTGTTGGTACCCAAGTTATCCTGCACACATAGAGACAGTCAGTATAGAGATACGGCTAGAAAAGACTGGTACTAACCGGGCAGATACTGAGGTCGGCACACTTCAGGTTTTCAGTGCCATAGACGCTCAGGCGCTTGTCGACAACACCGCCCTGCTCGCGCGGCTTCATGGCACAAGTACCTCAAGACGCGAGATGAGCCGATATTCTGCGCATTAGAATAACGGGCCAACATACCCATGGAGTGCCAGGTAGTCTCGACGTGGTCCGCAACCCAGTTGTCGATGGCCTCATCGTCCTCCTTGGTGTAGACGATATCCTCGTGCACCTTGGAAGCGTCGTACGTCTCGCCGGGCTTGTGCCAGGTTCCTGCAGAATTCGTTCAGCGTCATCGGCGTAAATCAACTTGGCTCTGGATACTAACCCATGTGAATGCCAACAGTGAGACCGTCAGGGTAAATCTCCTTGGCAGTCCTGATGTCGATGTCCTTCGCCGCAGCGGGAGAAGCGGGGTGGAAGTGCGGGTGGTGAGACGTCAACTCTCCGCGGAATGCTACGACGTTCATATCAGAAAATGAATCGATGAAGGGAGCGCACAGACTCCAACACACGTACCGTCCATGCGGCGGGCAAGCTCACGCGTCTTCTTGTAGCTCCACCGGATAGGAGCGAAGTCGGCCTTGTTGTTCATAAACCCGCTGTCGAAGAACGGCTCGACGTAAGGATTCTGCGACTTGACGTGGATCTATACAAAAGGATATGTGAGTCGCGCTGCAAGGTGATGAAACCTCCCTGGGACTCTTACCTTGCCACGACTAGCAGGGTACTCGAGGTATTGGAACCTGCGGTCCCGGAGAATGTTCAATTCCTGTTCGTACCAGAACAAAGTGATACGTACATCGTGATGTACTTGCCAGGGGGTAAGAGCGTATGGTCGGCGTATCCACCAGATACGATGGACCCAAACCTGCGAACCGCATCCATTCAATGACCTATAACATTAGCCACAACACGACACTTACATGACGGGCTTATCGGGCTTGTTCTTGAAGTACCTGTCCCAAAGTTCGTTGAACTCGGGACCCATCTCCTTGAGCTCCGCCTCCGTAGGGCGGATCTGGAATTTTACAAGACGATCAGCTCATACTCAGTTGGAAATGGAAAATGACGAACCTTGAACCCAGCGTCGATGCTATTCGACGAGAGGCGTGCCTTCTCAGGACTAGTCTCCCACTCAGCGAAAAGCTGACTATTTTGTTAGGGGGTAGATACGTAGGAGTAGAAGGTATAAATACTAACCTCCTTCTGGACCTCCTTCACACCACGGAGGAACTCATCGGTGGTGACCGTCTCGTTGGAGACGCGATAAACTGAATTACGGAAATTCAGAACCAAGAAATATCACAGCGAATCAGTAACAACTCACGAGTCAAAGTCGTGTAGTGGTCCTGATATTCCTCGCTGTAAAGTGATTTGAGTTAAAGCTGGATACAGTACGACGCGTAAGACATACCCAACGCCCGGCAGGTCGCTGACAACTTTGATATCAAGCTGGCGTAGCAACTCGGCGTTACCGACACCGGAGCGCTCGAGGATCTTTAGAGCCGTGCTTAGCTACACCTGCCATTCTTGAAGCATGTACTCGTACCTGAGGGGTACCCAGCGTTCCGGAGCTGAGCACAACCATCTTGCGCGCCTTAACGATGGTCTCTTGAACCTGCGCACCATGCGTACGGTTGCGCGACGGAACATAGGCAACGCCGATGGCCTTGTTGTTAGCGTCGAAAAGGACACGCGACACACGGGCATTGCAGCGCAGATACAGATTATCCTGGACGTCCATCACGCTGTGGACGTATGCTGAACGCCATTGCATGCAATCAATGAATCATCTCGCACGATTGACTGGCTATACTAACCAGTAGCAGCGTCACTGCGCCTGCCAGTGTGACGGTTGACGTATTTAGCCCAGATTTCAGCGCCATGAGCAGTGTTGAGGTCTGTGCGGCGTAGTCTCTTAGCATCAAATCAATCGCTAAGTTACAATACGAAGTCCTTCGTACCCTGAATATCATCTTGGAATAAGGATGGTCACGTCAGCCACAACTAGCATTCGTTAACAGTACCACATACCGCTGAAAGGAATACCAATAGCATGCGCTGCACGCAGGAAGTCCTGTGCCACAGGGGTGATTTGGCCACCGTTGCTGATAGCGACAGGACCGTCATAGCCATGCGTGTCATTGTTCGCGGGCTTCTGGTAGTTCTCAAGACGCTTCATGAGCGGGATAAGGTCTAGAAGAAATGTTCAGCAATTAACGGCAAAATGGACATCGACGTAATTAGAAGCACACCTTTGGCAGTCCATCCTTCGGTCTTGAAGTCATCTGGCCAGTGTAACAGAGGTTGAGTAGGACACAGCATCTTACGTGCGAAACTTAATACGTACCCCAGTCCGATGCGGAAGCGCGCGTGTACATCTAGCGAGGGCCCAAGTCATTTCAGGTTTTAGAAAGAATTTGACAGGACAAACCTGGAAGTTAATGCTACTTCCGCCACCTAAAGAAAAAAGCACCGGGATTAGGTAATTGTATCTTTACTAGAATCGATTTCATACCGAGAATGTTGGCGCAACTGAACGTCCTACCTCAGTTGATGCCTTTAAAATTTCAGTGAACAGTGACTTACGGAACAATGCTGTGCCTGCCACGCATGTGCGGAGAGGCTAACGAATCAGTGTAGAAGGTTGCCTTGTCGTTGCTGTAAACGCGACAGTGTCAACGATTGGAACGGCCTTTGTCTAGACACAAACGCTCACATGCCGTCCCTCTGCATGTTACGAACATAGATACCGGGCCTGACCGAAAAAGCACATCATGAGCGCCGAATACCTGTACGACAAGCGAAAAGCTCACCTGTATACCCAGGGATCATCTCTGTTGTTGGCGCCACCTGATAACTCCTATGAATAATGTCGACTTTATCTACGGTGTACAAAACATACCCTCGATGAGCATAACCTTCAGGGTGGGGTCGGCATAGGCCAGACGGCCAGCAACGACACAGCCCGCAGGCCCTCCTCTGCATGTAGAATGAAAGACATAAACGACGAGCGACTATGTAAATGCGTCATAGAACAACGCACCCAGCAACAATGACGTCGACTTCCTCAGGGTGACCCATGACGATGACGAGTGGTTTTCAAGTGGTGAGATGAGAATTGAATGGATTGCGATGAAGAGAACAAGTTCCCTGCTTCCTCGAATAGACCAGGAGGGGTTTATATGCTCGGGCTGCTGCTAGTTATGCCGTCCCGACACAACGGCATTCCCAGCAGACTGTTGGCGAAGTCATGAGCCGCCTCAATAAGCGACATCTGCTCGGTGTCAGCTGGACTTCAAGACATGGGTATGACACCCCTGCCCCGCATTACCCCACATCGCAGATTTGCTGCCGAAAATGCTAACCACGCCTGGCATGATCGAAACTATCGGCCCTGCTGCCGCGCAGCAACTACAACGTTCTCTCCGGTCAGACACTCAGAAGGGACCATGTAAGAGGTTGAATAGCTGGCTTCCTGTGTAAATGATAAATCTGTCTGCAAGCCTTCGCTACACCGACGGTTGTCTTCCCGATGAGGCTGACTGTGTTAATGAACCCATATTCACCATCTAGATGCGGTATTGGTGCTGCTGGATGTGATAGACAGACAATACATGAAAGGCCTGCCGGAGTCACTTTCCTGCTGACGCATTGGAGAGATCATGAGGTCCAGGCAGATGACTGACGATAGAGGGTTCTCTGTTCAAACGAACGACCGAAACGCGGGAAGCGGGATCAGAAACCTGGTAGCCAGTACGAAAGCCGTAGATAGCGGGTTGATTCTGGAAGGTATAGAAGGATAAGCTGCGTGCAAGCAGAGTAAGAGTAAAACTACTGATACTGATTGGCAGTAGTACTCACAGAAGATTCCGACCCACGACAAGTACATGCGTGCGGGTATGTTCATTGTTATCCATGAAGACATGCCTATGTCCTCTGACCAATTTTCGGGCCGCAACAATGCCTTCAGCGTGAAGCGTGCGTAACTGTGGTGTATACGCCAAGTGATCAAGGGATCACAGAGCGGTCAGGAGGATGTCGTGGGCGCAAGGCCTAAGATTAGAGGCTCACCAAGTGGTCGCTCTCAGGCGCCTTACGTAGATGACCAACACGTCACGGACTGCATTCCAAGCAGCCCACAGGAAGGGAGAGCCTCAGCTGCGTAACTCAATTGGCACCTGCTACAGACCAAACAGTCCACGCAAGATAAGCGTTGGAAATCAATTGGCCAATTGCTGCATTCCCATGAGTTCGGACTCACGGCGGGAAATGAGCGTTTATAACCAGTAGTGAACTGAATGAAAGAGAGAGGTTTGTCTCGTCCAGTCCGACTTTCAGAAGCTCTAGCACATCTTGTGAACAGAGTTTCCGGGGTCGTCTGGGGTTTCGGGTCCTTCCACTGTAATTCCCGTGCGACCTTCACAGTTGCCAGTGGACTGCGTTCGCAAGTACTGTACGTACGTCCACATCCGAGTCCCAGCTGACACCATCCCAACCACTCTGAGTCGTGTATGCTTATGTCTTTTTCCCCATATGACTATCGCCGTTAGTTGGAATCAACCCGGTCTGACGGTCTCTTAGTTATGTACTGCCGACTCGTGATGCTTCCGATGTAAATACATGACCTCTCAGAAGACTAGTATCAAACGTCACAATACTCGGTGGCTAAAGTGGCGACTCAAAGATCAGCTGCTCCCGGAACATGTTGGAAACATGCGCACATTTGTCAACGATCTCGTGAGATTGATGGTGCTGAAAGTGTGGATTGCCAACATACTGTACGTGCATGCTCTGAGATCTATTCTCAGCGGCTTGGGCTTGAAGCTTGAACGAGCTCAAGCGCTCAAGCTTCAACTTGCTTCAAGCCTCTTCCTACTGGAAGCTCCAAGACGGGAAGTTGCTCGAAACTCATGGTGTAAGGGCGGAGAATTGAGCACGCTTGTATACCTCAGATATTCCGGGATCGCCGTCTGCCTAAATTCTTCCTTCTGGAAGTGGTGGATAGGAAGTTGTCGATATCTCGGATGTCGATGAGGTCGTTCCCAGAATGTTCGGACTTCCTATCGACTTCTGGGGCTTTTACGCAGTGGCGACCCGCTGTCAGACATGGATATCCTGAGGTACGAAGGTCGAGGCAGAGGTGACGGTCAGTCTGCCTTTGGGAGACTAGACCCGCTTCCCGTTGACGTGGACGCATCGGCGATTGAGCACTGTACTTGAAGCTTGATTTCCAACAACACGGAGAGGTGTATACATCTAAATTTACGAGACCCGCTCAAAATCATCCCACATGAGTACAGCACTGAGGCCAAGAAAGCGGACCGTAAGTCAGACAGCAAACAATAGCTATCTGTATGGCACCCAGGCCGGTAGACCACCGGTTTCTGGGCTCCAGTGGCGTTCTTTGCAAACCACGGAGCAACGATTGCATGTGTAATGCCTACTGGTTGCATTTCCCCAAAGCTTCCAACGGTGCTCGCCAGATGTACAACAGGGTATATTAGGTGTTGCCACAGGGCACTTGGGCTTGGGATTATCGCGCACAAGGACCTGGTCTAATTGGGAAGACGACCGCGCGCACACACGGATCGCTCTAGATGTGCGTGCAGAAAGATTCCCTGGTGGGTGAGACTGAGGGGGACGGCTGCTGCGACCAGTTGAGTCGCTGCACGGTGAAGCAGTCAATGAGCTCGAACCCGCGAGTCCCGTGGACGCGAACCGTGGCGCAGGAGCGCAGCCATTGAAGACGGGAGCGCGTTCTCCATCAGATGATACCGACATTGCTTCGTCACTATCGTCCACTAACGTGACTCCGGACCAAACGCGCATGAGTTCCTGCGCTGTGCCAGGACGCGCTGTACCTGGAGGTGAGTTTGACACCATGTGGTCCTGCATTACTGCGGGGCCATCTGGTTCGCAGTTGCAGGGCAAAGTAATCGGCGAATTACAGACGGTCATCACCCCATGACTTGGTGCGTCAGGATGCTTGACCGACTCTGACACCCAGGATTTACCCATCTTCCGCTCCGTGACTTCAACTTCGCAGGTATCGCACATGTAGCATCGTCTCGCCTGATCAGCTCTAACGATGCTCCAGCTATGGTCTTGGAAGCTGCCACATGCAGGGACCGTGGAAGCTACAGGTAGCTTAGGTCTTGGATTTGCATCGACTGATACTAGCGCTTGGTTGACTAGTTCCCGGTTGATGCAGTCCGAACACGCAGAGCACGTCTGCAACGCATCATGAGGCCTTGCTGGCGGCATGCCGTGACAGTTCGGCAAGGTCGAGCTTGAATGAGCGCAAGAGCATGACGTGTCCAATTGTGAAGAGCTTGCTTGGGCACTCCCTGACAATGCCGAAGTACCAATGTACAAGATAGGTTTTCCGCCATTTGTCCAATCTGACAACAAAGACACAGGCTGTGAACAGATGATATTTGCATTGATAGAAGTAGCTTACGGGCTCGAATATCGTTCAGATACCGCTCACCCAACCACGCAAAAGCAACTTTCTTCCGGCTGTATCCATAACAATACCTGCGGATCACTCAGTCTAATCGCCGTTAAGATGTTGCATAAGCATTCACCATGCAGATGCCCTGAGCTTTTGCAGATATAGATCATAATGCGAGCCTCCTACGTAAAGTGATGAGTCAAGTGTGCTGATGCCGCACCTGTAACCTGTAACCGACCTCCAAAGTAGCGTCCCTGGTAATCCAACTTGCACTGTTCGCTGTGTCTGATGGGCCTGTCTTGGTATCGAGGAGACTCGGATGTATCATCGTCACCTACACAGGAGCTACGTAGCAAAATCTGCGACAACACGAGACACCAGTTTGCTTACTAGCATCTTCATCCAACCTGATGGCATCCCTGAGAGCTCTATTAAATTGAGGAAGAAGAATTCGAGCTTCTTCAGAGAACCATCGCCATTTCTCTTCGTCCTCCCCGCGCAGAATCAAGGCAGGGTCACAGATAAAATTGGTTATACTCTGCGAATTTGCCTCCGGAATGAGCCCACGCAGAACATCAATGGGACTCGTGAAAGTGGTCTCCTTCTGCCAAGTCTTTTTCTTCAAGGCATAGAATTGCTTCCGGATCATCTCTGGATCACTGCCAGACTTCAACATGTCCTGAAGAGCCTCTCATCAATCATGTGGGCCCACGTGAGAATGGTGGCTTACATGTGCAGATTCAATGATTGGTACTAGAGCCCGGGGATACGGTGCATCAGCGAGTAGCGAGGTAGCCTGAGCCTCCCTCTTCCACTCGTTCACCATCGTACCGACAACAGCGTTGAACTTGTACCGAAGAAACGTTTCGACTGCTGCTTGTGCCATACCGTGTGCAAGTCGATCACTACGTCTTCGGTGCTGTGAAGGATCGACAGCTGCATGGGCAACGTTTCGTCTTTCCTGTGGAGGCGCCATCTTTTGTGGAAGAAGGGTGGGGTCCCAGGTCACGAAGTACGTGTCTCCGTCGAGATCTCTGATAGCCGACGGTTCGTTAGCACAATTTCATGGGGATCGGTAGACTAACCCAGAAGACATTGTGTCCGGGATGGAACGAGCAGCCTTTCTTGAGAAGACTACACGAAGTATCAGTAAGACAACGTTAAAATCGTTCACTAGATGAGATACCTATGCAATACTTGTGATGCTTAAGTGTCTCATAGTTGACGGCGCGGAACTTTCGCAGGTCTACAACACGTGAATACATGAATTCTCGCAGCTAAATTGAAAAAAATAAGGCAGTTACCTCCCGCAGCATACGCAGGGTTCCTTGACGAGATGTATTAGCTGGCCTGACGCTTGGTGCGAAAATGCAAGGTATACCGGCAGACCAACACCTCTCTGACAATCACTCCAGTTCGAGCAGGCAGGCTGATGAAGACTTCATCTTCCGCAAGTATACCGTCTTCGTCCACAACACCATACACGTAGCACGAGTCCTGCGTTACGTCATGACTAAGATGAAGCCAAGGACGATCGGACGCGTACCTCAACACGCAGGTTCATCTTCTTCCGAAGTTGTTCATACTGCGTCCGCTGGTATTGTTGCAGTTTCCACCGTACGTAAGGCTCCTTCAAGTCATGCTTGGCAAGCAGTAACGCGTACACTCCGAATGAACCATATATGAGTTGAAATCACCCTTCAAAAGTGTGAATACCCTCACAATCTTGGCCAAACCCGTTGTCTACAGCATCCAGTTCACCCTTAACGTATCTTTCGGCCACGTCGCGATCGTGCAGAATACACCCGATTAGATCAAGTTGATCCTTGAGGAAGCGCTTGAACACCTGGCATCAACGATTAGAGGATACAAACGTGTCGATGGTATGCCTTGCCTCAAGCTTGATACCGAGTGTGAGAAGAAGTAGAATAAAACTGAAATTGAGCCGTGCTGAACCCAGACAGTGGGAATAGCCAATTAACTCCAGAATTGTTGGTCCACCTTCGTACTTCGACATTGACTGCCGATACGCGACGAGAGCTTGGCTCCTGCAATTAGCAGCACAGCACAAGGTGTCGAACTTGTGGTCAGGATAGCGGACGAGGAGACCTTTGATCCCGCCACGACGAATTTGGAATACTGTCATTAGTCGCGGTGAGTGCAATCTATTGTCACAGGATACAAAATGTATACCAGTTGTGTCTATAGGAAGATCATGGTGCTTGCAGACTTGAGCAGCGAACGAATCACGTATCATACCGCAACCGTCGCTATGATCAGACCCGTCGACAGCTTTCCAAGGAGGTAATAATACAGTTTGGTCTTCTGGGACCTACGGACCACAGAGTGTAACATAAAATTTTGACTGCACTGATGCCATGATTGTGCCTACATTGAGCGATTCCCAGGTCGAAGAGAACGACAATCCAAGACGCGCGGCATATTTGCCGTAACCTGAGCTCATGAAGACGTCTCGCAACCCATCTCCAAGGTAAGAAAGAAGGCGATCGACTGTCCAGTTCTCATCTTCTCGAAAGAAGATGATGCGGCCTTTTCTCACATGGTTTTCTGTGAATCCAAGGAAAGAATACCTTCGGAAAGGAAAATCTGTTTTAGTAACTCCTGCAGCAATTTGCTTGCTTACCGATGATCTTCAATGACTACACCGCCGTTCACCCATTCGGTGAGATTCTGCCGAACTATTTCGTCCGACGTCTTCATGTCCATCGAGATCAGTAGGTACCGAGTTGGGTCGTCAACAACCCGCGACGCTCTAGAGGACTGTTGTAGGTGACGGAGAGGATGATCAAGAGTACCACAAGCACGACAACGTGCAGTCAACCAGACAGTCTTGGGCTTCGTGAGCATCCTATGGAGATTACCAAGAACCTGAGAAATCTATATGTGTAAAATGCTAGGGAAGCTTCACTGATTGCAAGAATCGTAGCCCATCGTAAAATCTCAGTGTGTCGAAGAGTACAAACTACATCCAGAGACGGTGCGAGTTGAGTAACGCTTCAATGCCATACAACGTCAAACAGTACCTGAGAATTTGCCAAGGGAAGTTTGGACACGCAAACGTTGCACCTGGACAGCAGAATGATGGGAAAATTCAGAGCATAAAGGCTGTGAAAATGTAGAGAATGGTGAATGTTTGCATTTGAATCCCGCACACGATTGGCAAACTCGAAGCTGTAGCGCGTCTCAGGGCGATTTTGCAGCCGAAACGCCCTGAAGAGTGCAGATCACCAATGATTCAGTTATTCTCTCTTGAGAAGGCAAATTGCGTTCAGTAACTAGGAGTATACAGGGAACTGAGCGAGAGCGTGGCAGAAAGTGGCGATCGTGAAGTAACTCGACAAGTTTAAGTCCGAGTCAGTGACTCGTGGCGCTTGAGGAAGCGTAAACTAAGATGTACACTTTATCTGTTAGCCTTCTCCTCATTCACTTGGTGATATATTAAGGGATCTCAAGAGGCTGCTCTAGGGCGTTGTGTTTTTTGGGAGAGCTTGAGAGCAAATTGTTCCTACTTAGGGAATGGACGGAGGGTTTTGCACTTATCTATTCGTGAGAAGCTTAGTCGGATACCTTATTTAACGTACAACTATCAACGGCTGAGTCATACATGATCGCTGAATTATAGACTTTTGTCGCAGGCTCAGACGATGTTACACTTCTTCGTTCCTCTAAATTTTAGTCTCATCTTGTTCAGTAGCTTCACATGTACGTTCGAAATCTTTCCCATTAATTATATCTGAATTGTCTCTGATGTTGCAGGAGCTTCTTTGCGGGATGTAACCCAGACTTAGGGTTTCAGCCCTAAATCATGCAGTTATACACCCTTGGTCTCACTGGGGGCAAAAGTGGATGTTCTGCCTTGGAACAGTGTCTGAACATCCAAGGAACAGATTACGTTTTTGGACATGTCACATGTTCTGAACATGGTAAGGAACATCTAATATGTCTCGCACAATGTTCCATTGGAGAGCATGCTGGAGACATGTTGCATGTACCATTCTGGAACATATAATATGTCTCACACAATGTCTCATTGGAGAATGTTCTGCAGACTTGCTGCATGTTTTATTCTGGAACATTTATCATTTTGCTACTATATTCTGGGCTTGTCTCTTGGTGCAATATGCTCTGTATAATAAGGATTTCCCATGGCCAAACACATTACATTTCTGGCCGCCGTTAATCTTCAGAACATTGTGAGAAGATGTTAAGTGCTCCTACTCCAAACATACAAGATGTCCTGGGCACCAAAAACATCTGCAGTACATGTATGATACATACTAAAATCATACTAAAATTTTACATGTACTGCAAATGTTCTTGGTGCCCAGGACATCTTGTATATTTGGAATAGGAGCACTTAACATCTTCTTACAATGTTCTGAAGATTAACGGTGGCCAGAAATGTAATGTGTTTGGCCATGGGAAATCCTTATTATACAGAGCATATTGCACCAAAAGACAAGCCCAGAATATAGTAGCAAAATGATAAATGTTCCAGAATGAAACATGCAGCAAGTCTGCAGAACATTCTCCAATGAGACATTGTGTGAGACATATTATATGTTCCAGAATGGTACATGCAACATGTCTCCAGCATGCTCTCCAATGGAACATTGTGCGAGACATATTAGATGTTCCTTACCATGTTCAGAACATGTGACATGTCCAAAAATGTAATCTGTTCCTTGGATGTTCAGACACTGTTCCAAGGCAGAACATCCACTTTTGCCTCCAGTGTCTGAGGATAGTCCCTTCAATTCTTTATAAATCTCCTTGAAACTGAAAAGAGAATAGCTGATACACTGTATCACTTCTGTCTACTCAGAATTTTTGTTATGGGCTGTAGCCACAGACAACATTAAAATTCTAGTTTTGGTGTATAACTCAGCAGTTGATAACTGCATTTGATTAATATCGTCACGACAATCCAAACTTGACCGCGAACTCATATGTCATGAAATGTCTGAACCACCACCCGTCGTTCCAAAGGCTGACAACGCCGAAGACACTTCCATATATGCAGAAGATGACAAAACGCAGCCAACCGAAGAGATACTGAACGCACTCCGACAGCTCGACTCATCTCTTGCGACACCGTCTGTGCAGAACAGTGGCGGAGACGTGGGGCAAGAGCCCAAGGAGGAACCGAAGCAGGAACCGACCCCGCCGCCTCAGTCAGAGTGGGATGCATTGCGTGCACACCTGCGCGAGAAGCGCTACGATGCTGATGGGTGGCAGAACCTTGTCAACATTGCCGAAGATTCGGGCGACATCGAGAAAATAAAAGACACTTACGAAGGACTCCTGGAGGCGTATCCCAATACCGTTCGCATCTCTTCCATATGCCAGTGTGATTGTGAGTCTGACGTACTGCCACCCACCAGTCCTCTGCGCAGATCGCGTACTTGGACCATTTCCTGGATAATCCGAACCAGGACCCAGACACGGCTGCCTCCTCCGTAGCACTGTTCAAGAGATTTCTGAGAACGTCCCCGTCTGTGGAGTTGTGGAAGTTTTATCTTTCGTACATCAGGTCAGTATGTTACGGTGCAGACGACATTGCTGACTTCTTTCGCGTGCAGGAGACACAATGTTGGCCCCGATGCGTATGATACCATTCGCAACTCATACGAGTTTGCGCTCAACCGCGTCGGCCAAGACAAGGATAGTACGGAAATTTGGCAAGACTACATTCATTTTCTAAAGTCTGGCCAGGTGTGTCGCGCCCGCGATACGCTATCATGATGCTGACGTGTCTCGCTAGACTACCACAACATGGGAGGAACAGCAAAAAATGGATGCAGTCCGCAAGGCGTACCACCGTGCAGTTCAAATCCCCATGGAGAACGTGAAGAAGCTGTGGGAAGACTACCAAGATTTCGAAAACGGACTGAACAAAATCACGGTAGGATACCGAAGGTCTTATCGACGCGTTTCCGCTGACAGTGCCACTTTTCTAGGCGAAGAAGTTTCTGTCTGATCTACAGGAGGGCCATATGCAAGCTCGGACAGTCTTGAATCAGCTACAAGAGCATCTTACAGTGCTGTTTCCCCCGCCACCACCTTCGAGGACTGCTCGTCCACCAATTTGGCTGCCTCGTCAACCGACGTTCAATGCTGGAGACAAAGCTCTGGTCGGTCGGTGGAGAGCGTATTTGAAGTGGGAAGAAAGCAATCCACTTGAGATTGAGGAAAGGGAAAGAGCGACCCTCCTCACACGTCTCCAAGGTGTGTATCGGAAGGCTGTCATCCGCATGCGGTTCTTTTCCGAGATATGGTATGTGAAGTGATCAATTTCTCTTGTGTGTCGTGTGATATGACAAGTCGCGCAGGTACATGGCGTACGCATGGACGAATAGCATTGGTAAGACTGACGAGGCCTTAGCACTGCTCAAGGCCGGCATTGAAGCCAATCCTTCAAGGTAATCTCGCAGTAACACAATGAAGAACCCGGCTGACATCGACATGTAGTTTCGTGCTCAATTTTGCCTATGCTGAAGCCCTAGAGACCCACGAAAAGTTTGCAGAAGTCCATGCGACATTTGACAAGTTCTTGGAAGTTCTACGTGGCGACCTGGAAGTCATCGAGAGCAGAGTGTCGTCAGCGAATTCGTCCTTCTCTTCGAACATCTCTTGTTCGGCGACGCAGACCGATTTTGGTCAAACGCAGACCGCCCTGTTACCGAGTGGTATCCAGTCACAGAATTCTTCCTTCAACACTCAGGTCTCGGATGAGAAGCCGCCCAAGTCAAAGGAGCTCGCAGACCGTCGAACTGAGTACGGAATTGCATGGATCGTGTACATGCGTTTTGCTCGACGAGCGGAAGGCTTAAAGTCTTCTCGGGCTGTCTTCTTGAAGGCCCGTAGGGATCGCTGGACGCCATGGGAGGTCTACGAGGCCGCAGGTACGTGCATGGTCTTGCAGATAGAATGTGTTCCGAACCACCCTGCTGTTGTAGCCTTGATGGAATATCATTGTACGAAAGCATTGGATGTTGCAAGCCGCATCTTTGAGATAGGCCTGAAGATTTTCTGTGATGAGGTCGAGTTTGTGCTGCGCTATCTTGGTTTCCTCATTTCCGTGAACGACGAGAACAGTTGAGAGTCTTTCCTTTGCGTGTGTGTGACCAGCTTTCTGAATTTTCATGGTGACAGATGCACGGGCACTATTTGAGCGCGTTATCACGACGTTCCCTCCCGAACGTGCACGTCCTCTATGGGATCGCTGGGCGCGCTACGAGTATCAATTCGGCGATTTATCGGCAGCACAGAAACTTGAGAAGAGGATATCGGAGGCATATCCTACTGGTACGTTATTCTCCTCGAAATTGGGACGACTGTTAAACGTCGTCACTAGATCCGCCCATCAAACGTTTTGCTGAGCGTCATAAGTACCTGGGTACTGATGCCATCGCTGTCCGTGACCTTGGTTTTGTCATTACTCGCCCGGCCAGTCAGGCAGCAAGTCGAAACGGAGGGAGCTCCTTAGGCCGCACTGACACGCAGCTCTCCATTTTGTCTTCTCAGTCTATTAGTCAAACGCAGCCGCCCGCGGCCAGCGGTTCAAAAAGGGCATCATCTCCCGAACATAAGAGACGAGAAGCCGATTATGGTCCCCCGCCGAAACGCGCGAGACCGAGTTCTCCTTCTCGGGAGAGGGAGCGCGATAGATGGGAGGGGCCGCCTCGCCGACGCCATGGAAGCCCTCCTTGGGAACGGGATCGTGACAGGGATGGTCCGCCTGGGCGGCGTGTTAAGGAAGAGAAGGAGGAGGACAAACCCGTCGTTCTTCCCCCTGTGTTGTCGTGGTTTGTGGGTGTGCTACCTGCTCCTTCTGCATTCGATGGTGAGGCATGTATTCCGTACTGGTGTCTCTTATTAAACGTGTGATGTTCTGCAGGTCCTGTTTTCCGCACGGATGACCTAATGCAGGTGTTCAGGAATGCTGTGATTCCGTCGAGCACCTCAAGGGCACGTTCTTCGCCTCCTCCCCCTCGTGCAGGTATGTCAGATTCCATCAGTAGCTTTGGGTTCCCTGATCATTTTGTTCCAGGTGGGCGACCGCCTCCAGACTATGGACCGTACCAAGGTCCTGGAGGGCGTCGTGGACGATACTAGTAGTTCCATGTAGTTATTATACCATCTGACGGCAATTAATGAGAACGGTGCGCATTCCTTGTCACAAATGTCGAAAACGCTCGGAACGTTAAGATCTCGATCTTTCTGAATGTTGACGTCTGAATGGCGAAGCTGTGACTCGGTACCGCCGCTGCACATGACGAGTGTTTTACTCACATCAATACAATCCAAGCAATACTTGAGCCCATGTATTATGTAATAGTTTATAAGGCTGTAGTGCCGTGCAAGCACGGCAGGACCCGCTACCTGTAGGGTGAAGGAGAGGCGCGAGGAGATGAAGACATATATTCGGCGTATTAGAACGTGAGGAGATATAAGTACATTAACGTCGTACGTACGAGTATAATACAATGAATCTGGTAGGCAAAGCTTACATTTGGACCGGCAAAAGGTACGAGCGATACAGTAAAGCTGGCAGAAAATTTAAGTACAATGGATAGTGGGATGGTTACGTTGTGAATCAATCAGTCTGCGTTGGCTTTCTTGGGCGGAGAGGCGTCGAACTCGGTGAATGCCACAGGAGGGTTGGAGGAGGTGGTGGTGGTGGTGTATTACCGGCATGGGTCCCAGTTAGGAACGCCGGGTTGTCACTGTAATAAGTACAAGCAAAGCCAGTAGTACTAATATGCTACGCAATGCTTAGTTCGCTATTACAGCAACGCATCGATAACCGGAGGAGTGGGCAGATGCGCAATTGATAGAACTGAGTGTGGGATGGGGAATGATGCAGAATTGGTCGGATTCGGACTCGGAGACATTGATGACAGTGCCGATTTTTCCACCAAAGAATCAAACAGAATTAAGGCGGGAATTCCAAGATAATTGCCCAGAAGTGAGAAGGAAGGCATTTCAGTGCAACGAATATTATCAGCAAGCAGAGGGTTGGCGATAAATGCGGACAATTAATGCGAGCGATACGCAGAGTCGACGTGGAGGATGCGCGGCGAAAGATTCGGACGCTTAGTAAGGCTTACGAAGCATCCCACACTTAGTAAAGCTTAGGAAGCATTTTGTAGACCTTTCAATCTTTTGTATAGTTTAGGGCAGGACCTCCAAAACTGACAGTTTTTGGCGGGGCCCCTGCGTGACGAAAGATGCAGCAAGACCCACTACGAAAGGTAGCGGGAATAATGATAATTCAGATAAAGCCGTTCTCATTCGGGTGCTGGCGTCAGTTCAGCTGGAAACACGGCGTTTACGCCCATTACTTCTAAACTATCTTCCCTCATTACTCCTGGATAACCATTCATAGCCTAGGCTCATAGATACAGCCTCTAGTTAGTGGAAGACAGTCGTATTCGCAGCCATGCCCTTAAGAGGCACCGACCACTGCAATGCGTCCCGCGACGACGCGCCATACTTCGACTCTCTAGTTGATTTGGACGCATGGGCAAAGACGTCGCCCGCGAAATTGAACGGCGTGCTGGATTATCACCCACGACAGTTCGTCGAAGGATTGCCTGCAGAGAGCAGGGGCAATTTACTGGTGAACACGATGCCCTGGCAGGTCAACAGTTGAAGCTGACTTCTTCGCAAGGTGTGCCATGATTACAAGGTTCGTACTACATCGACAAGTTCTACGCCATTTCCTCGCTCATAACCCGCATTTCACTACAGGGTGGTTACACAGAATCTCCGTCAAGTCTTTCCTACACCTTCAATTTGTGGTCGTACTGCAATACCTTCATCTAGTGAGTATAGCCGTTGTCTGATCCAAAATCGTTAACCAGGCATGATAGCTTTTCTCACCACAGGGTTACAATACCCCCATCCGGATGGACTACCGCTGCCCACCGACATGGTGTCAAGATGTTAGGCACATTGTGAGTTGAATGGGCACACATTGAATCCCCCACTGCACACCCATATTAAACTGGACCCCCGTCGGCAGTCCAACTGAATAACATACTCACAATATCGTCTGCAGAATTTTCGAAGACTCTGGCGAAGAAGATTGTCTCCGCCTCCTGATAGGTCATCTACCGCACTCGGCATCCGGTCCCGCTCAACCAACAGCGACTACCAGCATCCCGCTCTCTCCGCACTATGCGTATCTTCTCGCATATTTGGCATATCAGCGAGGGTTTGACGGATATTTACTCAACTTCGAATGCCCATTACGCGGACAACAAGAGCAGACGAGGACATTGGCAGCTTGGATTGCTCTGTTGCGGGATGGACTTCAACGGAAAGTTGGTCCACATTCTGAAGTGGTATGGTATGTTCGTCTCATGCTGTTCAGTAGTCTGATCTTTCTTAAATTCCGTTGAAGGTACGACAGTGTTATATACAATGGTCAGCTGAGGTGGCAAGATAGGCTGAACAATTATAACCTTCCTTTCTTCATCCCTTCGTCTGCATTTTTCACGAACTATACTGTAAGTGTTTCCTACTCCCAGGCATGTCAAAGTTCCCTGAACTTCTTTCACGACTGGGGTCTTCTAGTGGCCTCCAGATTACCCCTCTCGTACAGCACAGTACTTCCTCAGCTTAGACACCGCTCTGGTCACGCAATCCAAGTTTCTCCGGGACATCTTTGTGGGCGTTGACGTTTGGGGCCGAGGCTCACACGGTGGGGGCGGCTTCGGGAGCTACAAAGCCATATCGCACATTGATCCAGAATTCCTCGGCCTAAGTGTCGCACTCTTTGGACAGGCGTGGACGTGGGAGAGCGAGCAGGATAGGCCAGGATGGACGTGGGAGTCATGGTGGGAATATGAGCGCAAGCTATGGCTGGGACCTCAGGACAGTAGCGACGCTGTCACAGTACCAGAGTCCCCTCTTCGCAGGGGCGAGCTGAAGTGTGAGCACGGGCCATTCGTGCCCTTAGCCTCCTTCTTCCCCAGACATCCGCCGCCAAACCCAGCGGAACTACCGTTCTTCACTTCATTCTCGCCCGGTGTGGGACGCGCATGGTTCATCAACGGTGCCAAGGTTCTGGAGACCACTGAGGGATGGACGGATCTCGACAAGAATTGTTCCCTCGGAGACATGACGTGGCCGCGACCCGTCCCCCAATGGGAGCATGGCGGAGAGACTGAAGAGCTGCCCAAGGCATCGTCAGCGTTGTGCATGGATGACGCATGGCTCGGCGGCAGCTCTTTGCGTATAGCTTTGGAAATTCCTGGCTCGGATACAGAGGATGCGTTCTTCCGATGTATCTGGCTACCCGTACAATCCCTAGCGATCACTCCTCGCAACTCTTACGAAATGTCGGTTGTCTTCAAGGTCAATTCCGACAGGCCCCTTGACTTCGACCTAGGCTTGTCACTGAAGGTGCTTGCTGAAGATGTTACAGATATGGTTGATGTGACATCTGTATCTATAACGAATGCGGACGAGTTGCCTGGCGGATGGATCAAGATGACGATCCACTGTGTCCTTTCCTCTGATCATCCCTCCGACGTGCTCGCTGCTGCAGGTCTCGTGGTGGGGTTCGCTGTCGAAGACCCAACTGAACCTATCCTCGTGTCTATTTCCCTGGGAGCGTTGTGTGTACGCTCCGGCACGGCGTCTCAGGATCTCACTATTCCCCAACCGAAACTACTCTGGGCGGATTTCCACCAGATGCCACCAGCGGAAGGATCAGCTGTATTCGCTGGTACTCTGACTTGGGATGTAGGCTCGTCTTTCACTTCGCTACCTAGCGTCCGCAATCCTGTTCCAGATTCCGAAGATCCTCGTCCTGTTTGGCAGCTCGATTCGTCGTTCCCAGTGTTTTCATACTTTAACATTTTTGCGCAAGTGCATTCGCCGGAGGGGACTGTTGCTGGGCCGGATTGTGCAACGTTCATTGGGACTACCGGGCTGGATGGTAGGGAGAATAGATTCTACGTCGACTCGGCCTGCCTGCCTCTGTCGGCGACCGGGGCATGTGGTATACGCTTTTATGTTCAAGGTGTTACCGATTGGGGCCTTGTTCTTGACTGGGAGTCTTCTACATTCGTCGACGTTAAGATTCCACAGTAACTGATGAGCATCGGGGTATTTCTGTAAACGTGCTATGTAGCGTAGCTAGCAATCGATACATAGATTTGCAGAATAATATAACTAGGGCGTACAATACAAAAGCGACCTACAGGAAACATTATATGCAGCTGGTGTACAGTGATGAGTGGGTTATGAGTGCACTGGGGAAGAAGGAATATCCGTATCATCTAGCGATACCTCTTCCACAAAGGTCTTAACAGCGCCAAGGAGCTCATGCATGAGCATTGTCCGATCCCAATCCGAACGATGTCTCCAGACACAGCCAAGGCATGTGGCACGCAGCTGCTCGAGTTGCTCCACATTCAGTGAAGCTGTGCTGTTACGCAGAGTTTCCTTCAATGCAGACAATAGATCTTCATCGATGTGAAAATCCGGCAAGGGAGTCGGCGGACGGTCGATTTCCATCGGCTGTTCGACAGGCGTACGTTCAGCCTGCGGGTCTTCAGTCACAGCATACAATGCTACATCTGGCTCAGGTGTATGCAACGAGAGCCCGTTAGGCTGCTGCTCCGAATCAGAGCGAAGGAACTGGGTATGATCGTCCGCGAGTGCGGGAGTTAGGAATGGATTATCGTCAGCACTGAGTTGCGGAACGATTGGAGGAAGTGCGTTGGAAGGTGGAGGAAGGGGATTAAGAAGCGACGGATCGAATCCATTCCTGCGGGACGGTTCGTGGTCCATGCTTTCGAAGCCGTTGACCGCTGGAGATGGGGATGGCGGAGTTCGCATACGCTCTGGAACCTCGGCGAAACGCACCCCAACAGGCCGCGGTGGCGTGGATGGTTGTCCGACAAGATCCAAGGGATCACGATCGTCGTCGTCATCGTCAATTTTCGAGCGTTTCTGTAGATGCCTACCTGCCTCATCCTCGGAAGGCGTCGCAGTAGCTTCGTTCGATCGTTGTCTCTTCAGCCGACGTTCGAGCTTTAACGGATCCGTGATAGAGATCTCCGGTTGTTGCCCGTTATGACGTGCACTGCGCCGAGTGCCAGGAGCATAGGCTTGCGATGCCGCATTGTCCTCGACAGCCTTGCCCTTGCCCTTGCTCTTCCTTCGCTCCTCCCTTCGTTTCCGCTCTCGACCCGCCATCCGCTCGCACTCGAGCCTGAACTGTGGATCAAAGTCGTTGATGCTGACTTCAGCCGCGGTCAGCATCGCCTGCGCTCTGTACAACCGCTCGGGATCTTCCTGAACACGAACGCTCGCATTATGGACGATCTTGCGGATGTCGTCCAGGAAATCGTCTGGCGTCAGATACCTGTTCTTATACAATTCATAGTGCATCTGTTCCAAATCCATGTCAAAGAGCTGGGGCTGAGCTGGAGGGACCAGTTGCGCCAATTCTTGGATTTGATGGATTCCGTTGACAGGCTGGTCAATAACTTGATCTGTCCGTTCCGCCTCTACTAGCTTGATCACACCATCTACGTCAGCGTGCGCTTCAACACTGGCCGCCGTGACCACCTCGACCTCTGGTATAGCGTTGAAATCGAAGTTGTATTCCTCCTGGAAACGATACTTATCAGTAAAAACAAAAAGCTGGCAGCAGAAGGTGCACACCATAGCCTTCTTGGTGAAACGCTTGAACTTGCGCTTCAGTTCCGTCAAGATCGGGCCGAGACGGTATCTGAGCAGGGTTGCCACCCGCTGATCATTCTCTTCTTGCATAGCGAGTTCCGCAGCAGTAGGCTGGCGAGGTTCCAAGGGAGGGGCTATGGGAAGGTCCTCAAGCACGCGTTTCTTGCGCTTGATACCGTCTGGGAAGTGGTTCGGAGGCCGACGAACGTCTTGCAACAACGGATCAAAGAACTGTTCCCGCTGAAAAGAGCTAGGGCTGAAGAGCTCAACACGATTTTCACGTATTGGTCCGAACCAAGCACGAGCATCTCTGGGTAATGAGCTGAAGGGCCCATCTACCACTGCAAGTAGGAGGACTGGATCGGTTGGCGCCAACGTGTCCAGCATAGAGCGAACGGTCGTTCGTGACGCCTCTGATAGCGCCGCACACCATCTAACTAACGAAGGTATGTACACGACGGAAGGCTGATGGCGCTTCGCCTCAACAAAGAGTTGGACGATGGCAGCCTCTGGTGTCTGTATCACTTCTCAGTAACCGAAATAGCACTGAATATTTGAGGCTTACTCTAGTGGAATCGCTCATCAAGCTGCCCAGATCAAGGCTCTGAATGTGGTAGCCTTCGAGATGATGCAGGACAGCAGCCGCAACGTAGCCATGGCCCATGCCCGCAGTCCCATGTAATACCACCCGGGGACGGTAAATACGAAGAGATTCCATCGCTGTTATTGCATCAAACAGTGCAAGCAGAAAAGAACAGCAAAAAATCTCACACTGCATCATGAGCTCGCGTTCCAGAGCACCCTCCTCGCCTTCGTCTTCATATTCAGCTTCCTCCAATGCACTTCGCTTCTTACTAACAGGCAGAACCTTTCCGATGACATCCTTAATCTTGTCCAGCGAATCTTGTAGTAATGGTACCAACTGCGAGGGAAGAGGTGATGCCGCGGATGATGCAGATCGCGCGGAGGAAGGAATAAGCTCTGAGTTTACGGAGATGAGCGTTAGCATTCTCGGCAAGTACGGTCCCCAATGTTCACGTGGGAGAAGACCGGTGAGTGCATGAAAAAGACATACGAACTTTTGATCGCGATCATGAAATCTCGCAGCTCAACGTCGATGCTTTCTGGCTGCAAGAGTAGACGATCGTTGGACTTGTAGATCTGTGGATACCGCCGCTGAACAGCATTGAGAGCAGCTTCTGTACATAGCGCCTACAAATCGCAGCGGCGCATTCCTCATTTAGAATATATTTCAGAATGGAATCTCTGCAAGACAGGCGCACCCGGAGATCGGCACCACCGTATCCCTTCGTCATTTTCGCCAAACCCTTGACATTTGCTCCGCCCTTTTCGCCGTTCCAGCCGGCCCATTTCCTTGTCATGATAGTCAGTATGCGCTCTCTAGCCTCCAACCCAGGTAAAGGGAAGTAGAATTCTCTATCGAATCTACCCGGCCGACGGAGAGCGGGATCAATGGCGTCCGGCCGATTCGTCGCACCAATCACGATGACCTGACCTCGACCATCCATACCGTCCATTAAGGCAAGCAGAGTCGACACGATCGATGCGTGGATCTGGTCTTGTTTTGACGAGCGCACAGGAGCCAGACCATCAATTTCGTCAAAAAAGATAATGCTCGGCTGCGAATTACGAGCTTCTTCAAACAAGAGTCGAAGCTGACGTTCGGCTTCGCCGACCCACTTGGAAAGACAATCAGCGCCTTTGCGCATGAAGAATGCTGGAAACAAGTGATCAGCACAGAAAACGAAAGAAACGACGACGTGAATATACAGTCACTCACAGATGCCCCTTCCGTTTGAACGACAGCTAGCAGCCAGGGCCCGCGCAAGCAATGTCTTGCCGGTACCAGGTGGACCGTGAAAGAGGACCCCTCGAGGAGGTGTCACATCGAACCGTTGAAACACCTCAGGGTACAAGAGGGGTAGCAGGGTCATCTCCTTTAACGAATTGATGTCTACAGGATAACTTGACAAACGGGACGTGACAACAAGACGGATCGCACTTACGTTCATCCAAGCCACCAACCTCATCAAAAGTAACATTCTGGTTAACACCAAGAGGGTCTGCATCCGCCAAAGCTGTGAGGAGATATCATTTAAATGTTCTGGCATACGCTGAGCCAACAACTTACCAGCATCACCAATTTTTCCCAGGTTCGACGGAGTGCCGGCGGTGGCGGCTAAATCACCTGGAAATAGCCCTCCAGCATTTCCAGCAAAGACGCCCCCAACAGACCCAACGCCAAAAGGTTTGCGAGGCGTGCGAGTCGCATAATCGGAATCCTGGAGCATCTTCAATGACTTGACATTGTAGGCACATAAGAGGATAACATACAGAATCGTCTCCCGGCGGCGCTCCCATCCATCGGCTCAATTCCGCTCCAGTTGCACTCCAACCAGGTGCTTTGCTTTTCCCGCCGCCACCATTTCGCCCAATACTACGATTTCCGCCTGCACGGCTCTTGGTTGGAGGTCTCATGTCTTCCAACGGTGGCGGGATGGCGTAATTTATCTTTACCCTTTGTCTGAGCGCGTACGGCCGACCGTCCTGCTCCTGCTCAATATCACCATCGGCATCCACATCACCCTCTGCGTCCGCATCTTCGTCCGCCTCCGGTTCAGGCGTCGTTCTGATAGCCTCGTCCAATGACCCCTCCGCGTCGAGGGATGCAGAAGACGGGTCGTCTACATAAGCTTCTTCTTCGTCTTGATCTCGTACGCCTTGACGCGTCCGTCGCGTACGGGAACGCGTGGAACGCGATGTTGATGCCTGTGGGTGCTGACGTAGACCACTGCGGCGTGTAATACGACCACCGTTGTTGCCGTTGTGCTCATGACCAGGAACTAGATTTTTGCTTTGACTTCGTGTCGTCCGACCTACTTTCACATCCCCCTCTTCGTCGCTGACAATGAAACCGTTTAAGCGAGGCGCCTTAGATTTCGAAGAACGATTTCGCAGAGAATACCGTCCGGCATGGTCTTGGTCGTCCTCGTCGTCGGCTGCATTTTGGTCTATTCCATCTGCCCCTCCGTGCAATAAATTCAGTTCATCGTCGAGGACAGCATCATCTTCGCTTGCTGACTCCTTGTACGACTTCTTGAGAATCCTGCGGCCTCGCGACGTAGTCTCATACACCACCGGCGACTGGTGGTGCTCGTCGTTATCCGCAGGAAACTTCTCTTCCTCCACGTCCATAGATCCATTACTCTCGTGATATTCGGAACTCGAAGCGGCGGAGCGGTGGCGTCCTGAAGCGCGGGTATTCGGTGCCATAGGGGGGAGCTTGATGACAAGGTGTTCCTGCGATGGATAGGTGGAAGGACTCGGTAAGAAAGGTTCGAAGGAGTTCAAAGGGGGAGCAAGGGCGTAAAATCCGGTCGGCGTGTATCGGAAGTTATTGTTCTCGAGATCGCCGTTGGGCTGCATGGAAAATCGCCAGATGAAGAGGTTGCTTGCCTACAACTCCTCGACGCTCTGTGGCGGCTTCTAGAGTGCGTCTTGCAAGCAGAAAGGAGCGACGAGGATAATATCGAGCAGACCGAAGCGCACAACGAGTACAGAGTAGAACTTGGTCAGTCGCGAGTGCAAGATGACAGTCTATTTGTCCATATTTGTTCGCAGTGGCGGTGCCTTTGGTGATGTTTGGCGTTATCGCCGCCTCGTTCCTGCCTGTCTCTCCTCCTCCCCTTTCCCCACCATCCTTTCGAGATCCAAAACGCATGAAACATACGTTGTAGCCGCATACCCCAGAGTCTGACATGCCCGAGCATCCGCAGGACGTGGCGGGTAAGTCGAAGTTCGGCCTTGGTTGTCATTTTACCTGTAAATATGGTATCTCCGGCCTCCAACACGTCGAATGACCTTCAACAGAGCCGTCAACATGAGTGTTTGGAACGAAGAGTCGCGGAAAATGTTCGACGATGTTGCATGGCCTCCACTGAGTTGGAGCGCAATCATACAGACTCTTAGCCAGTCACGTTTTACCTTCTTAGGAAACTCTAATGCCGCGGAGCTCTAACCAACATGGCACAATGTTAGTGTGCCATGTTGGTAAACAATTCTACATAAAATGTGGGCAATCGGTGTGTACATCTTTTGATTGAGTCTTACATATGTCTTCTTGTTGCATGAGCTAGTAGTCCTGGATGACTGACGCATATGTTCCGTAGTTAGGAGCTTTAATTGGTCAGTCATGTGGCACGGGTGCTACGCTGCCAGTGGTAGTGAACTAAATCCATCCTAAGTACTTAGCGAGTACGTTAACAGAGTCTTTCCCCCGCCCCTGGCCGTCTGACAACTTGCGTACGCTCCCTACAAGTAGCTGGTAACCCGTGTGGCGTGTTTCAATATCCAACTTTGAGTACGGCGTGGTTGGCGTAGTGAGGGAGCAGTTACAGTTGTACGTCCAACTTCACAATATTTTCTGCCTGCAACTGAGTGCATAGTAGACTACACTATCGGAATAGTACATGCAGAAGAATATGACAATTATGGCATAACATACTGTCTACTATGTTCACAGCTATGGGAGTTCGGAAGTGGTTTTACAAAACAATAGATCACTAAAACGACAAGTTCAACATTCCTGCGTTTCACCGGGCATAAGGATGGTAATTGTGCTGGCCTCTCTGCCCTGCGCGTTGAGGGCCGACGCCAGATTGACCAGCGCCCGCCCCTGCGGACGCGCCTCTGGGACCGCGAGGGACATTCGGGCCCATGCCTCCCTGCATCACCCCACCACTAGGTCCACCCGCACCGGCCCCTCCACGACCCATGCCCCCTCCGTTCATGCCGCCTCCCATGCCCATGCCGGCCATGGGCGAGCCACCCATACCGGGCATCCTCATGCCTCCGCCCATACCACCCGCCATGCCGGCCATCATGGGGTTCATCCCGCCAGCCATCATGGGATTCATCCCGCCCATCTGTTGTATCATCCTGGTATACAGAGAGGCCAGAGCTTGAGGGTCGAAGTGCGTGTTGGTTGCGCCAGCCCCTGTTGGGCCAGATGCACCTCCGTACCCTTCTTGAGTGCTGTACCCACCACCGTTATAGCCTCTGCCTGCATTACCGACAGGACCGCCCTCGGCGTAGCTCTCTCGCTGAGAGCGAGGTTGAGCAAGTTTCACATCAATCTAATGTTTATGAGCCACCGAGCAAGTGTTGAAAGACTATTGCGAACACTCACCAGCTTACCGTCAATCTCGAGATTACCGAAACCGAGAAATGACTCCACGTTTACGTTCTCGAACGATACGAACCCGAAGCCTTTGCTGCGCCCGGTCTCCCGGTCCAACATGACGGTGGCATCGACCACCTTACCGAACTGCGAGAAGAATTCGCGCATCGATTCCGAGGTTACACTACCAGCAAGGCCTCCGATAAAGAGTTTCGTAGCACGTTGATGTTCCTGTCGAGGAATTGCGCGCTTGGGATCAATCTTGTAGAACGAGCACCTATCAGCATTGAAAACAAAAGAATTTATGGTTACACGACGTACAATCTTGCCGTCGAGGAAGTGCTCGCGCACCATCACTGCGTTGACCGATGCGGGATCTTCAAATGTCAGGAAAGCGAAGCAACGCGAACGACCAGCCGCATCTCTCATGATGGTACATGCTTCAACCTTTCCGAATTGCGAGAAGTATTCTCGGAGACCCTCTGCCGCAATGACCTATTTAGCACTACAGGACGCACAGGAGAAGCCATAACGATGTATGTACCATCTGTGGTATCCCAATTCAGACCGCCAATGAACATCTTGCTATATTATTACACCAGAGTGTCATTGCAGCAGGGGGGGCAGGTGGCATCCGGCACGCAGTTATGGAAAAGAGCACTGGCATTAGTACGCAGTAACCTAGAACAAAAGCAGTCGTGACAGAGGGGAGGAGAGATGGACGACTCTACTGAGTGCAAAGCGGTGCTAGCCTAGCTTAGACCTAGGAAAGCCGATACGCTAGAGCTAGTCGTAGGCGACAGGTAGGCGACAGTGGCTCACTACCCTGGGGAGCCACGTTACACGAGCGACTCAGCTTCGTAACTAAAGCCTAGTGTCGACACCCAACCCAGTCATGCTCACAGTGAGCGCCCGCAAAGCAAAGGAAAGACTGAAGTAACGTCAGTTGTGGCTCGAGGAAACAGTACTCACCCTTCCTCTTTCATCTCCGACGGTCGTACAGGACGGTCGATTGGAGGCTGATAACCGACATCCTGTCGGGCAGGTGGTGGCTCCCTGTATTCTGGAGTTAGCCGGTCTTGATACGTCGGGATTTGTTGTGTAGGTGGTGACGTGTATGGTGGAATAGCAGTAGGAGTGATACTGGCATGCGACGGTTGCGAGCTACTCTCTGTGGAGGTCGTGGTCTGTGCGACTTTAGTTGGGGGGGCTTCTGCCTTCGCGGGTGCCGGGGCCTCCTTTCGGGGTGACTCCGCAGTATCGCTTTTGCCATTCTCCTCAGGCTGTTCCATCGGTACAGTGAATTCACTTTCATCGTTCCCGTAGAGGTCTGGCAAAACACTTCATAAGCCACGTCACCTGCAAGTACCAAAGACTATACCTCCGTACAAGTCTGCATCGAGGTCGGACATAGTGAAGACGGGGATGAAAGTGGTGAGAGTGCAAGAAAACGGCCGAGTGGTTCCGCAAACTTTTCCCGTTCCCACACTTAATAAACTTCTTACCAAGTTGTAGCAAGTCGAATTTACTTCAAACTCCGATAAGTCCAGCGAAGGGACTGAATTTTAGTGGCCTGACTACTAACACTCCTCAAGTTAAATAACGATGTCGGTCAGCTCGGCTGCATTGTGTCTCCCTAGGGCGTCGACCAATGTAGTCCGCAAAATGGGTGTCCAAATGGTCGCTAGGCCACTGGTTTGTCCGTCAAAATTTGCACCGACAAACCTTCTGATGGTCGTCCAAATATTTTGTCTAGGCGGCATCATCTGGTGTCGTTGTCCGTGCTTGCCAGGTCCCCTCGTCCACCTATGTGGGTTCTCCGAGTATGATCCTTGCAGATAGTACAGATGTAGCAAGTTGACGTAGAGTTGACTGCGACTCGCAGATATTGGTTGTGTTGCATCATACTTCAGCACGAATTCCGCCCTTCGTGCTCCGTCACGGAAGAAGCCAGATCTCGAAGGCGTGCCCATCATCGAAAACCCTCCTCCAGATGTTGTTCTCCTCCTGTTGGAAGGTCGTGCAGCTACTTGCGCCGGCGAACTTTCACAACGAGTAATATTCGGTCGTAACCCGACACCGGAATTGTACTACCGCGGCATAGTGACGAACATCCGCTTGATGAGCCACTACATGAATACTGTGGACCGGGATGTGAGTCATCCCCGGGCATGCTACACAGCCAGCCATTGATGGTACACCGTAGGAGTTTAGGTCGTCCACCGTCGAAGACGGCTCTCCTATCGCTCGTGGTAGGAAGGCGTACATCACTTTTGCTCGCGTAGCAGACCGTTGGATGAACGAAGCCTTCTCCATTCTTCCGCCTGGTCCTGTGGATCCCGAGCTTGCGGATACGTTGTATTACTTCCGCATGAATTCGCAGCTGATCGACTTGTATGAGCAAGGTGACAAAATACCACCTCCCAGGCCGGCATGGACGGACATATGCGATGCAATCGTCCTAGCATCCCATGTCGCGCATGACCCTCTGGATGGAGCTGCAGGAGGTGTACCTTGGAACGAAGCTCTCTATGACGTCACGGTTACCCCCCGCGAGCCTGACGAACGGAAGTGAGGTGGCTTTTTGTCGTTAGACAACGGGCATGGTCTTTTCAGATGAAAGCGACGGAGATTGCGGACATACGCACGTAAAGTACGAAAGACCTGTGTATTATCGAGTTGCACTATGATGTCCTTGTACTTGTAATATATATTCCTCATCCTCCGCTGTGGCGCCATGTGCACCCCATTTTACAGTATGTGTAGCCTATGGCTCCATGTTGCGGAAGAAAAAATTGTGCGGCAGCCACATACGAGTCAACACCCATAGGAGGAAGTCAACATCGAATCAACATGAACCATCGTCAAAGTCTACAGTTGACAGTCATCACCTGGGATGCAGCAGATGGGTGCCCGAGAGGATGTCACCGTTGGGATTCTCGGTGAGTGCGGTTGCTTCGTGCCTCAGGCATGCGAGACTGATACTGTACACGACACAGCTTTACAGGGTGCTTTTGCAGAGCATCAGGTGATGCTACAGAAGCTCTCAGTGAAGAGGCGGATCGTCATCGTTCTTGTCCGCACTGAGGAGGATTTGCACAAATGCGATGCTCTAATCATACCTGGTGGAGGTGTGTTCTGTCTCAATCTTCGTTGACGAATCCTAATGGAATCGTCGTGTGCCGTTCAGAGTCGACAACCATCGCGTTATTGGCTCGTCTGGCTGGGTTGCTCGGCCCCCTCCGTGAATTCTTGAAGACGAAACCTGTTTGGGGGACATGCGCCGGTGCTATTCTACTTGCACAGTCCATAGAGGGTGCCAAGAAGGGCGGGCAGGAGCTCCTTGGCGGAATCTCTGTCAGCGTGGGTAGGAATGGTTGGGGTTCGCAGGCAAGTCGCATTCGCAACGTCGTCAAGACTTCCGTAGTGCTCAAAATTTGACGACGTCTTCAGGTGGAGTCTTTCGAGGCGCCGCTGGAGGTGGAAGGTCTTCGTGACTCAGCTCGACCTTTCCATGGAGTCTTCATTCGTGCTCCTGTAAGTGGGATGCCTCAAATTGAGTTTCACGCGACTTATTGTTTGTCCTCAAGGTCATCCTTGCGCTCTCACCGTCGCCGACAGACCCTCCAATTCAGATCTTATCCCGCATATCTACATCGTTGCTGCCACAGTCGCAAACGCTCGTACCCCACGACGAAGACGATACGGACCCGCGAGACGCAGGGACAGTTGTTGCGTTGCGGCAGGGCCGTCATCTGCTCACCACCTTCCACCCGGAACTGACCAAGGATGACCGCTTCCACGAGTACTTCGTGCGGGAGTGTGTCCTCCCTTCACTCGTGTGATCACAAGGGGGATCAATGTGCGTTGCCTTAATCTATTCTCTAAGCTTTTATGTAAAGGCAGCTTGTCTGCCTGTAATTTGTGTAGTTCTGCCCTCGGGCCTCACAGCTGCAGATACCATCGAGCGATATACACGGCTGCGTTGCAGTTGCCTGTATTTGCCTAGTGTTACCCTTAATATTCGTCCACGCCTAGACCTGCTGCTTTTTGTTGCATTGCCTCAGATTTGCCCCAATGGCGTTAGTAGCCCGCCTTGTGGCACTCAGACTCAAACGTCACAACGCCAGTTTTGCCGCCTCGCTATCGATTGTTTATTACTCTAAATATTTGACATTTATAGGGCCTTGTGAGTCAGTGTTGCTCCGGGTGAGATTAGGGGAGCTCAAGAATCGATCAATTTCCACCCAAATACGATTCGCATATGCTGCAGAAGACCCGATGGTGGAAGTGAGACACAAACACCATATGTATCGCTTATCGGCGAACGTCACTGCTGACAGACAGGACTATGACATGAGCGAGAAGCTGGCGAGCACACGCTGACCTCGCTTCGTCCTAAATGCGCCTTGCATGCACATGGGTTACCCGCCTCCGAGAAGTGCGTGGTCACGTTTCCTCGGATATCAGACACTGATATCCCGAGGCACGAAGGTTGAAGCAGACTGACAGAGGTCTACTCTACCCGGGAAAACTCCTCGGGCGTGTCTTTTGGAGAGGATGGTAAGCTTGGGGCGCCTGCCGTTACCTAAAAATAGGACACTTCTTCAGCAGTCATTCGAACTGAACTCGTCTGGAGACCGTCATGTTCTCTGCTCTCAGGCTTTCAAGTGCGTTTTTCGCGCTCCTCGCGCTCCTACCTGTCGGGAATGTCTGCGTCGGTGCACGCGACATGGCTTACATGAAGCACAAACTTCGAGTTAGCCAATTGGAGGCAGCGAAGAGGTGGGCTCCGAATACCCGCGCAGACGCAGAGGGCGGTCCGGGGACAGTGAAGAACATCACCTTCACTAACCCTCGCGCTACAGGTAGACAATCGGACTGGTGGTACACGACTCCCTATCTCATTGGCTTCCTTTACGACGTAATTAGAATTTTACGTCGACGGGGCTGCTATCCCCTTGGTCGATTGGGATATTGGACCCAGCTGGGCGGGGCTGCTGCCCATCAGTAATGCCACCGATGAAACAAGACAGGTGATATACTCGCCTTGGTTTCTATTCAACTTCCTAGTCTAAGGCACTGTCCTGTTCAGCTGTTCTTCTGGTTCTATCCCCCTGGTCCGGGAGGCAGTCTCGATGACCTGATTTTCTGGTGAGTGTGGGCGTTGCGTAATTGTTAATGAAGTCTTGAGTTTGAATACTGCGTGAAGGACAAATGGTGGGCCGGGCTGCTCCTCCCTCGAAGGTCTGCTGCAGGAGAACGGAGTGAGTAGGAATAAGCGTTATACATCAGGACTCGTCGTTACATCCGTGATAATCAGCCAATCAGCTGGATGTATGGCCAGGCAAAGCCCACACCGAATCAGTACAGCTGGACCAACCTCTCCAGCATACTGTATGTTGAGCAGCCTGTCGGCACCGGCTTCTCTCAGGGTGAGCCCAACATTAAGGCGAGCGATCTTGATTGTCTCATCAGACGTACGTCGTGAGCTTGATGTAACAAGGATGAAGATGATCTCGCTGTGCAGCTCGTGGGATTCATGCAGCAATTCCTGAATGTGTTCTCCGAACTGGAGGGAAAGAACCTCTACCTGACTGGGGAAAGCGTGGGTTCTGGTACCACCATCTTCAAGGAGTATTCGCTCACTTTTGTACTCCCTTGCGATTATGATGGCAGTATGCTGGGATGTACGTTCCTTGTGGGTTTTGATATGATGTTGTCTGCTTGCTTTCCGGTCCTCTAACAACTGCGTATCAAGACATCGCAAACTACATCTACGAAAATCCCAGTCTGCTCGATCTCTCCCTCAAAGGATTTTGGATCTCGGATCGTGGGTACAGCACCAGTGATGCGTCTTTCAAAACTTGTTGACAGAGATCCAACAGCTTCCATATCATGGGACGTCGTTCAGGAGGAGATTCCCGCCGTTGCCTTCGTGAACAAGTATTTGAATGTCTTCTCCTTCAAGTGAGTTTCTCGCCTGCGTGTGCCATGTAGTAGTAGTACTCAGCTGACAGGTCATTTATGCTTTTGCTTCACCAGTCAGACATTCATGGACCAGCTGAACGCGCAGGCTGCTCAGTGTGGATATACTGATTATTACGAGAAGTATGTCACGTACCCACCGACTAGCTTACTCCCTCTTCCTGGAGACTCCGTGGAGTTTGATCCAGGTTGCGATGTTTGGGACGAGATCTTTAATGCTGCCGTGATAGTCAATCCTGCATTCAATATCTACAGGATCTTTGACACTGTGAGTGACACCTATCACCAGCTGAGCTACACCCGAACTCATTGGCTACACTTGCAGTATCCAATCTTGTGGGATGTCCTCGGCTTCCCGTACGTCGAGCTGATTTATAAGGGCCTACGTCGAATGACTGGTGTCTAAAAAGCGGTTCTTTCCCACAAACTCAAGTCTCCCCGCTGTACTTCAACCGTGATGATGTCAAGAGGGCAATCCATGCCCCGATGGAGGTCGACTGGGTCGAATGTTCTAACATCAATGTCTTCCCTTGGGGCGACGCCAGTCCGCCGTCGGCATTCAGCGTGCTGCCGAACGTAATCGAGAAGAGCGAGCGCGCCGTTGTCGTGCACGGGCTCGCGGACTTCATCTTGCTCTCGGATGGGTGAGTTCCTTCAACTATCCATGACGAGTCTGATCCGTGTTTGATTTTGGTTTAGGACGAGGATTGCTATCCAGAAGTGAGTGTCTTCATTATTGCCGTCTAGCAAGTAATTGACACTGGCACTGGGGCCGCCAGCATGACATGTTAGTGCGAATTGCATCCCTTTCGAAAAAACCTGAGTGATAGGGCTTCTCTAGGGAACGGCTTGCAAGGCTTTCAGACACCCATCGCGAATGATAGCTTTATCGTTGATGGCGTCGGCGCACTCGGAACGTCGCACACCGAGCGGGGGCTGACGTACTACGAGGTTGAACTTAGCGGACATATGTCAGTATCATCTTGCAAGTCACGTCTTTGGCTGACGGGTTTGCAATGCAGGGTGCCACAATTTTCTCCTGTGGTGAGTCTGCTTCGATATCCGTTTCAGCCTGACGTTCACACTCTTGCAGGCTGCATTGCAGATCATGGAGTACTTGATGGGTTTCAGACAGGATCCTTGAACAGTGCTAGGTAGTCCGTAGCATCACGGGGAATATTGATTGCATCCAAGCCATATAATGCGCAATGCACGTCACATACAAGTGTAGATACAGCGAGGGCGATGTAAGCTTCGATTTAGTACTCGGATGTCCACAGGAATCGGACAGTCAAGCGTGGACCGAGCCTGAAATTCTTTTTCCACATCACCAGTAAAGGAGACGAAGGCATCCGGAGCCGTGTCCCCAGGCTAGAGCGAGTGGTTGAAGAGAAAGAAATGTAGATTGTTCAATTGTGCTGAAGAGCGAACAGGTGGATACGATTCCAAGTACTGAAAAAGGGACTCGGCATCAAGTATAATGCGATTTTTTTTACTGAATTTGGTGGAAGGCCTGTAACATGATGGACGAAATACCGAGGTTCAAGCTCAAGTTCAGAAGACGAAAGCTTTTATTAGGGACGCGTGGAGACCGGCCCTGAACGTGCACGTGACCAGGCGCGAGGTTCGTGCCAGGCCACCGCTTCAAGTTGTCTCACTGGCAATTGACATCCTCCTCCAAGCATTCTCCTTCGTGCGCTTATAATTAATCCACCATGTTACTCACTCCGTCTATCTCACCGCCACCTTCTTTCTCCACGAACATACCATCTGCTGACCTAAGATTGCGGCAGCCTCTCAGCCCTCGAGCGGGTTCCCTCAAGGTCCTGCCCACCTCGAGTACGCTTGTTAGCCCAACACCTAGCACAAATACATTGGAAACCCACAGCAATAATCCGCTTGAAACCATCAGATGTCCAAAGGTGTTCCTGGATACACCTCACATCAGCCACACGATGGCTGGGACGCTTGCCCTCTCGCTCCTGGGACAAATTCTCTATCGTAAGAGTCAGATCCCGTTGTAAGTAACTCCATTCAACAATGAATATTAACTGACCGTTGATTTTTCCTTCTTTGATGGTCAGCCCCGTCGTTCTGCTCTCCCGCATGCCAGATGGCCAATCTGATTCGCGCACAGCTAGGCGCCGGACGGAACTGCTTACGGCGTATGACACACTTTGTTCTCATCTGAACACCACATTCTCTGCTCTTTCCACGGCGTTTGCGCTTAGCAAGACGGGTGAAAAGAAGAAAACTCATGATGCCCACCTTGTGTTTGTACTTGGTCCTAGTATCGGCGCAGCCAAACAGCGGGTCGTGTTTGTTGTCGATGGTCTTGAAGTCAAGCTACAGGGAGGACGAGACAACACACGCCAGGTGCTTAGAGGGATCGAGAATCTGCAACCGAGGTTTCCGGAAGACGCACCGAAATATGAGAGTTCCCGGGAGGAAGGTGGCGGAGAGGAAGAAGAACCCGATGCTGAGAATGAGGCGCACGATGATGTGAGTGATGACGAAGCTGGGGAGGACGAGGACGAAGATGAGGGCGAAGATGCGTTTGACGGCGACAGCTTTGATGGATCTGATTCTGAGACGTCGGAACCTCCTGTCTCTCGCTCCCCTTCTCCGTCGTCGTCAACCCCGCCTGCTGAACCCACAGCTCGTCCTTCTTCCTCACCAGCAGCACAATTCCGCGTCTATCAGCCATTAGCTAAAAATGTATCCTCCACTTCTGCTACTCGGTCTTCTTCTCCATCGCTTCCACCACCACTCTCTGAGTCTGTAATATGGCCTGCTGCCTTTCCACAGAATACACCTCATATTCGTCGGCCATTGGCTGAACACCTCCCCTCCCCAGCGGCCGCTACTCAGCCGAAACTGCAGCGAGCAATTGGCCAGACATACGCGGAAGAGCAGCGCACTCTGCGTGCAGCCGAACGTTCGCTGTCCCAATCAATCTTCAAGGCGTGTTCTGAAGACGGTGGGGGACTGACGTGCGAACTTGGTATGTTCATTGTCTGTCATATATTGTCGGTTGGCTGAACCGAGATTTCCAGACCCAATGCAAACACACATCCTATTGCGTGCTCCGCGACGTTTCTTCCACCCAGAATGGACGCCGCGCCAGACGATGACGCGTATGATGGATGGCGTCTTGCAGACCTTTGTGGATGAGGTGTCGGCTCCTGAGACTTCGCCTACCAAGGGGAAGGCGAAGATGCGGAGAGGTGTGAGGACCGAAGGCGTGTGGATCGGCTGTCGGGGATCGACTGCTGGCTCAGGTATGGAGTGGAACGGAGATGAGACTGATAAAGATGAGGAGGACGAGATGATCTGGTGGGAGTGGAAAGGGAAGATCATGGGATTCGCCGACAAATGAGTACCTCTAATCCAGTGTAGCGGTCAGTAGTATGTTTGAGATGTGTTACTAGCAATCTAATCCATTTTCACGCGGAATTTGTGTGCGACTAGCGTCGACAAGGACGCGTCGGTCGTCACGTGGTCGTGGTTAGCTCTCTCGGCACTAATAAATCACTGATTCATCTTCTCGTTGAAACGTTGAATGCGAATACTTGTTCCCGAATCCTACCTTGATATTGGACAGCACCATTACGTATGGGCTTTTTTCTCTCCAAGGGGTTTGACCCGAAAGACCTCCCGGATCTTGCACGCAAGGTCATCTTGGTCACTGGGGGAAAGTAAGTGCATCGGGCAACTCAGCTGGATATGCTCATGTGCTTTGATACTGGCATGCGCATGGCACCCGCTCCGCCAGAATCGTGGGATGCTCACCGTGTGTTTTTCTATTTTTCTGCGCGTAGCTCTGGTATAGGCTATGCTACCGTACAGCACCTCGCACGGCGCGGTGCAAAGGTCTATATGGGCGCACGGAACCCAGATCGCGCGAAGGCGGCGATTGAGAGGATGCAGGCTGAGGGTTTAGGACCTGGCAATGGCCAAGTCTTGTACGTGAACGTGGACTTCACCGAGCTGACCGTCGCGAAGCAGTCTGCGGAAAACTTCATGCAGCTGGAGACGAGGTTGGATGTTGTAGGCGTGTCCTCTGTTTCCTGAACCTGGTATTTTTCAGGACTGAGCAGCTGCATACAGTGAACAGCGCGGCACAGTGAGTGCTGATGGTTTTACACTCTGATTGACCATGTATGCTGAGGCGGAAACAACTAAGGTTGCTCGTTCCTTATGCCAAATCGCACAATGGTCTGTATCTTTTTTGTGGCTGTAACTTCTCCTATCCAATATTATGCAGACATCCAGGACATTGTGATGGTCAAGTGAGTGGAAGTCTGTCACGGACCAATGGCACCCTCAAATATACCAACAGCTACCTCAGCCCCACAATATTCATCCGTACGCTCATGCCGCTGCTCAAGCAGACCGCTATAGAGCCGAACGGCGACGTGCGGATTGTTGAGGTATTGTTCTGAGCCTGCGTGCTTCTGCGACGTCTCCATGAATATATCACTCGTGCTACGTCCAGGTTTCCTCAGATGGCCACGAGACAGTTGCTAAGACCGTCCGCTTCCGCAACATTGACGATTTCAACGTCAGCCTGGGGGCCTCTGACTCGATGCTTGCCCGACATCTCAGATACTGTGCGTTGCGAATCTGTGGCCGAGCAATGCCTCAAGTTGACTGCTGTTGTGTCTTTGTAGGCCTCAGCAAGTTGATGGGCATACTCCATATGAAGGAGCTGCAAAGACGGTTGGATAGTGAAGGTGTCCCGATTATTGTGCTGTCTGTTCACCCCGGGATCGTCAACACAGGTGCGCATGTTCCAACTTCGAGAGAATTTGATACCGATGTTGGGCCCTTTTCGTTTCAGAGGGTGTGCAGGCATTCGCACACTCGGTCGGGCCTATCCTGTCTCCAATATTCAGCCTCATCGCGCGAGCGTGCTTTTCATCTCCCACGGAGGGCGGTTACAGCCCCTCGTTCGCTGCAGCGGCACCCGTCGTACGCGCAGAGGCGGAGAAGTACAGAGGAGCGCATATCGTGCCGCCGGGGAAGCTTGGGCGGGCGAGCGCTCTGGCGGAGGATCACGAGCTGGCGAAGGAGCTGTGGGACACGACGGAGAAGATCCTGCAAGACAATGGCATGCAGTATAGCTATCATTCGAGCGTCCACGATGCGTTATAACTTAATCTCCGTGTGTTATGCATCTGGCAGACTGGTAATCTATTTTACGTGCCACGCACCGGGGAATCCTCGGTGAACGTCGAGGAAACGACCGATGTGATCATGTGTGCGTGTATGGCAGGCATGTCGACGAATCCTTAATAGAGTCTGGAGTCCAACATTTCTTGAGGCTTCTGCTTCTTTATTCTTGGTTCTACTCCTGCAACTCCCAGTATTCATGGCCTTGCGGTATCCTGCACCCCTTGGAAGCGTGCGGAAACGAAAGGGATGATTTACTGCGATCCAGCTAGCGCGATGCCTTTGACCATATATGTCGAAATTTCCGGTCCGTCATGACTCACCGAGTGCGCCTTATGTCGATTTCCCAGCGTTCGTTCGCTTTTTTAGAGCGTGTATCAGCCAGTGGCTAAGCCCAAGCTCTGAGCTCTAACATCCAACACTAGCGCGATACATTGCGATGTGCTAACCTCGGGTCCTCTTCACCCCGCGTCTTTTTTGTTGATTTTCATCTACTCCGGCTCTTCCCCCTCCATTTTCGTCTTTCTGGTCTTTGACTTGGTCCCTCTGTAGCCCATCAGACGTCGCAGTGTATGTTCTCAAAAAGGTAGACTCCCGCGCCAATACTTCGATTGCGATTCTGTTACTGGCACCCCCCCAAGCGCAACTCGAACTATTGGAGGTGTTGCAAGGAGGATGTCTACGGCTGCGGACTTATCGTGCGATTGCTGTGGTGTAGATCTGAGCGCATATCTGCGCGTTGCTGCTCTGGCCATCTCCGTCTATGAGTGAGTTCATTTTAACGTGCGCGTTGAGTCGATCTCACGTCTATGCATTTTGCAGTTGGCTATGGACCATCCCGGTAGAGGTCGAAATCTATAGCGCAGAGACATCGCTCTTTAATCTGAGGTGAGCCACTTTGTATGGGATTGTGTTCAGCGGGTCACTGAATTCTCACAATGATAGTCGTCCTTGTGTTCTTTTTATCATGATCCGGTTGGTAATCCCCCTGTTTGTAGAGAGAGAGTTGACTGGACGTCGGCACACCACGCAGATACGTCAGTATAATAACCGTGATTTCTAACTGTGTGGGGTATTTTTCGCACAATTTCTCGTACGAAATGTGTGCACGCTACATGTGGCTTTCACCCGTGATGAAACGTACGACTCCCTTACGTGACCTTCGACTGAGTGTTGACCGGTTCTCCTCGACGTAGCCATTCAGAGCCTAATTGCACATATAATACTATTTGTGCGAACTTGGGCGATTAGCGGACGGGCACAGTGGGTATTCTGGGCGCTCTCGATGATGCTGGCAGCCACTGTTACTGTGAGTATCTGGCATGTTCACGGCTCACGTTCCTACTGAATGTTTGTTTTGCATAGCTCGAATTTTATTCAACGCTTTACAGGCGCGCCCGTGTGTAGCCAGCCACGTCTCTTGCTATCCACTCATGGCTGACATGTGCCTATCTAACAGCCTTGCAAAATGAGCCCGGCAACTGCTCATCCGTGGATGCCAGTGGCTTGAAGATCGCATGGGTTTTCTATCTTGTCTGCATGGTTTACGAAGGGTTGTGCATTGCTATCGCAACGGGATACCTTTGGATGCAGTCTGTCAGCATAAGCGGTATCCATGGCCTTGCTCGTGTTCTCCTCAAGGAAGGGCTTGTCTACTTTACCTTCCTTACAGGTACGTCGTGGTGCCCTGATATTCTCTGTCCTCGCTTTTATCAAACTGGCTGCTGCAGCCGTAAATATTCTCAATCTAATCATATACATTGTTGCTCCCTTGAATTCGCAAACTGCCGCGTAAGTGGTCGCAGCTATTCCCTGGACACCGTACTGACGGATCGTTTTAGTGCCGCGCTCGGGTTCGCACTTACATGGATAATGGCGCAACGGATCCTCATTCAGCTGCATAAATTACGCGGCGGCGTGCGGGCACGCTCCTTTTCGTTCTCCCTCGACGCCGCGTCGGGTATCGGAGGGCTTGCGGAGCAAGATCAGACGAAGGAGAGCTCCGTGCACGCACTGACGTTCCACACACAGTCGCCACCGGTCGTCTCGTGGAAATCGCGCTCGACGCCGATGGTGGGCGACGAAGCTGTTGTCGCACAAGGGAGCGCGATTGAGCTCAGTGCGCAAATGGGTACTGCCACGAGATCGCGTCGGGCGTCGGTTGACCTCGGTGAGTTACCGAGTAGAGATGAATGTGCCTGTGAGGTGGACGTCGAGAGCTTGCAGACGAGGCGACGCAGTTTGCGGCTCCAGCGATGAGGTCATGCTCTGGTTCACGATCGGTCTATCGTTCTACATTAAGTTCATTCTAACTATTATATCCGCCAGTCATGCTGTGTACAGTGCTCTCAGTTTGTTTAGTATCGATGATTAGTGGATGAGCTGGTTGGAGCGTAGATTACCCAGCGGAAGGAGGGCGTTCTGTAAGATCGGCCGGGGAACTCGAACCTTATTAATGCGAATGGGCGGAAACTAAGAGCGGCAGTCAGCTAGCTATAGTGAGTGGTAGCTTCATCAGGAATTAAAGACGATGGCCACGTGATGTGAAAGTCCGTGCGCGGCATACGGGTGCTAAAAATATCTTATCTCTCCGTACTGCAGGCGGTATGTTGCAAGCCGCAATATTTCTCCAGCGTTTTCCCAACCCCTCCTTGCTCCTTCCCTGCATGATCTTGTGCGCATTCTACGTGCCGTAGTTCTCGTCGACGACGGCCACGATCACGACATAGCCCCTCTTCCCGGTAAGGTTCGACTCGGCAGGGCTTCTCTACCTCCCTTGGAATATCTGTCGACTATGCACGCACACGCATCTGCGCCTGCTCTCTTTAGCGTGGTTAGGATCGCGAGCTTCTTGACTTGCGTGCTGGTTGCATTGGGATCTGGAACTAACTATGTGCGTCTGCGTCTGAGGCGTGTTGCTTTATCCTGCATTGACCGTCGTGCTCCAGGTGTTCTCGGGTGAGTCGCGATTCTCATACTGGACGAAAGGCCTTCCTCCGAATGGGAGGTACACCGGCGTTCGCAACACTACCCGACCATCGTTTCGTATCGTCGGATATCTGGATGATAAGCGTTGTCATGTGTCCTATCTTTACCGCTCCAGACATACCTATTTCGCTGTGTCACAATGAGTGGTCTGTGCAACTATATGCACACTCAATCCGTCATTTCGAAGGTCTTCTTGTAGACGAAGTTTCCCGCTTCTTCTAAATCTGGATCTATACACAAATCGTGCTCTATCGTTTTGCCGTCATATCGTCCAGCACTGAATCTACCTGCATTCTCTAGCCTATGCTCCCCAACTCAGTGCTCGGCTCCACCTTTCACATACAAAATTAAACGTGATAGGCCTTTCTGGAAACGGTTCGTACACATGGTACCTCTCGGGTCGAATAGAATGGCAATGAATCGCTGGTCTTTCCAGTGGGCGTGTATGGTACAGCGCCGCTCTGGGGAAGAATAGTCGATACTCGCGGACCGCGCATCCTGCTGGTGATTGCCTTCGTCACTCTCATTATAGGCTATTCCGGAATCCGCCATTTCTATGACGCCGGTCTCCCTGAAGGTGCCACCGACCTTAGCATGGTGAGCTTCTGCTTGCTGGTGCTCTTCGGGTTTCTCTCTGGGCTCGGCGGCAACGGCGGTCTCGCGAGTGCCATGAACTCTACAGCGAAGAGTTTCCCTGACAGGGCGGTATGTTTCCCAAGCAGTCTGCCAGTCTCCTAGCTGATTGTCCACACCTAGAGGGCTACGACGAATGGGGTAGTGCTCTCTGGCTTTGGCCTGTCTGCCTTCCTTTTTTCAACGATTGCGCACGTTGTTTTCCCAGGCGACACATCCTCGTTTCTGCTCGTCCTCGCCATAGGTACCTCGCTCCCGATGGTGCTCGGATTTTTCCTCGTCAGACCCATTCCTCTGCCCTTCTCCGAACTCACGCATAACGTCGAACACGCAGTCACCGACGAGGACGACGAGGACGTCGTCACAGCGCGCGTGGGTTCGCCCACCATTTTCCAGCGCGAGAACAACAGTCACACTCACCTCCTATCGCCGCACCTCCATCACCACCACCACACGGATGAGGAAGACGACGTGCAGGAGCTGCTGCTCGAGGAGCAGTCCCTCGTGTCGCATTTGCACCAGTCGTCCGTCAGCTCGGATTATGTCGTGCCGGTGCTAGCGGACTCTGTGGCGCTGAGCCCGACGCGGAGTGAGAGTCGGCAGCGGTCTCGCAGCGAGTTCTCCGCTTCCCACAGGAGGAGGCGGCTGAGTTCTGATGCTGATGTGAGAGCGCTTGACGGGCTGCCCAATATCCATGGCAAGGGCTTGTTCGCGTCGAGTGATTTCTGGCTGTTGTTTACGGTCACTGCGCTGCGTGAGTCCTGTAGCCTGTCATGGATTGCCACAGATGCTTATGTGTTTTATGACAGTGAGCGGAACGGGTCTGATGTGTATGTGCATTTTATCCGTTCGGGTGAGGATTCGAAGCTCAACTTGCTGCAGACATCAACAACGTTGGCTCGATATCACAAGCTTTGTTTGCCAAAGGCAATCCGGACTATGATGGTGTTAAGGCGTCACAATGGCAAGCTACCCAGGTCTCTGTGATAAGTGTCATGAACTGCCTTGGTCGCATAGGAATCGGTAGATACACCCGACAGTTGTGATCTCTCGACTTGACTGAAGCGACTTCATAGGCATACTCGCAGACTTCACCAAGACATACTTGCATCACCCGCGCTCATGTTGCATAACCCTCATTGCCGCGCTCTTCATACTTTCTCAGGTGATGTTGTACAATGTCGAAAACGTCGGTGAATTGTGGAAGACAAGTGCCGTATTGGGCAGCGCATACGGCTGCTTATTCGGACTTTTCCCTACCCTCACGATCGAGTGGTTCGGCTTGTGTACGTCTGTCCCTACAGTCTGCCACCATTTTGGTCTCTTATCTGGGTGTTGTATGTAGCGCACTTCTCGGAGAACTGGGGCTTTGTGTCGCTCTCCCCCATGATCGGTAGCAACGTCCTCTCCATCGCCTTCGGGCGGAACCTGGACGCGCATGTCCCCGAATCCGAGACTCGCTTGAACAACACTATAACTTCTGTCGCCTCAGTCCCGGTCTCTCCATTTTCTACCGCGTCAGTCGCCTTGCCCGGCTTTGGACCGCCGTCAGCACACCAGTGTCTGGACGGCCGTTCGTGCTACGTGGACACCCTGAAGCTGACGCTTGCGGCGTGCTGCCTCGGCCTTGCGTTGGCTGTGTACGCAGGCTGGCGCGACAGGCGCCGGCAGCATAGGCTCGGACTGGGTGGAGCAGAGGTTTCGCCGGAGATCGTATGGACGGAACAGGAAGGCTAATTGTGGGTGTACGTGCGATGCTGATGTGTATGACATAGACTGCTGTAGTACCGTGGATTGGTGCTGGAAGAACTGGTGGCAGGGGATTAAGGTCGGTTAGACTGTGGTGCATGGTGCTACTAATTGGCGTACTTAAGACTTAGACTAAAGTATCGCACGCGTATTCGCCTGGTTAGTGCGCGTCCTGAGAAGCTCCGTCGTACACTAGGTATCGAAGTACGTTGCTGAGATACTCGTCATGATGCAGGTATATGAGGGGTCTTTATGTCACATACAGCAATATGTGGTGGGTCACATATTCCGTGGGCCGCCTTCTACAGCGAATTGACTTGTCCAAGAGTTGTGTCAAGTAGCATCAATTCTTCTTTTATACTCGTACCCTTCAAAGGGCGTACAGTGGCGTATCGGATCTCTACGAGTACTTTGGAGTCCCCGTATTTTCTCTGAATGCCAAGACAATTATTTCCGTTCCCGGAACAGCTGAATGCTCGGCTTGAGTCTGAACAAAGAAGATTTGTACCAGGGTACCAGATCACTTTCTTCGACAAGATTGTCAAGCTGGACACTATCACAAACCAGACTGAGTATCTCGTGCACCGTCTTCCCCTTGGTTCGCTGGAAGTTTCGGCCCTGCCAGTGAGCCGGCAGCGGCACTGGTGACCGGTCATAGAAAGGTGAGATTTTCTCGAGCTCCCGTATGAACTTTTTAGACATTGATTTCGAAGTCATAGATGGCCACCTCTATGAGCAGAAGGACTTGAAGGGGTCCGACATGTGTGGGCTTCTTGCAGAGATCGAAAACATGTGTTCAAGTAGAGATAGTGTGCGCACTTGAACGAGCGGCGGCACATATTGTGGCCGCGATCAACGATCGTTCAACGTTTCGACCCGCGGCCGATACTGTAGAGACATCGTGAGTAAACTTCCGAGGCGCATACAAATGCTTCATCACGGTGCATTGACGATGGGTAGCGATGTACTCTCTGCTTTACTTTACTTGTCTGGTCCGCATCCAGCCCTGTTATGCGTCCGAGTCCGTCCCCGAATGTCGCGATATCGATGTCTTTTGACACTCTTACTAGTGACTCAGTCTCCGGATATTATGCGGAAACGCTTCCTAACACTTGTACCAGCTGAGCTTGTATGCGCCCTCTAGCGTGCAAGTTGGCACAGGGAGACAGCGGCTTCTTAATCAACTCAAGGCTTGCCTCGTGCCCATTGACGTGATACTTCTTGGCGAATGCGGAGACTATCGTGGCTTCCGCACGGCCGGTGGCATTTTCGGCGCTCTGCACTGTATATAGCCTCGCGTTATCTCTTGGATCCCAAGACCCGCGGCGTACCCTGGACGAAGTCCTCGTGCACAGGTGTCTTGGTTCTGAAGTTGCATCGACGTACAGCTCCAGGACGAGGTCACTTGCCTACAGGCCATCCTCCACATCGAGCTTTGCGTGTCATTTCCTTTGAGATTGAATTTTTATTATTCTACGATTTTCGCCATGCGACCCCAAACTGTAGAGGTATCCCACGACATTGCCCAGGATATCATTAATCTCCAGGGCACTGAAATTGCCAGCTTACGTCGTGAACTGGATGCTGCAAGGGTGAGTGGACGTGTGGTGTCGTAGAACAGTCTCAATGACAATCCTTCAGAGTCGCATAGCCAGTTTAGAGAAGACAGTAGTCGAAGGTGATGAATCGAAGGTGCTCTGTCAAGAACTTCGTATCCTCGTCACGGAGGTATGTTCTGCTTGACTGATGGGCTCGATCTGCTCAATGTTCATGAAATATGCAGGTAACGAATGTCAGAAATTTACAAGAGAAGGTTCAGAAAACCACGGTAGGATTCACTAGCTTTTCCGCTCACTGGTGCCAAAGCCATAATGTGTTTAGTATACCAATGAGAGTCTCCGCGATGAACGCAAGAATTTGCAAGAGCAGTTGAAGGAGACAAAGGTAAATGCGGCCCCTCTCACCGTGCAAGGTTTACTCAGTTTTTCTCACGCAGAACCAGATTGATGCACTGAAGTTACAGCTCTCAGAGGAGTTGAAAGACCAGAAATCTTTAATGATGAGAATCGCACAGCTTGAGGTACAACTGCGTTGTCGTTTCTGTCCTTGTCACAGCCTAGTATCTGATGTTCTCGTGATAGACCCACAAACGTGACCTTTCTGTAGACCTCTTGACGGCCGATAAAGACCGCGCAAGGCTACAGCAAGAACTTGATCAATGCAAGGCCAGTATATCTGATACGATGGCGCTTCATTGTCCCGCTAACCAACCTTCAGAGTGTGAATGAGGACTTAAAGGCCAAAGTTGAGCAGAGTAATAAAGTGGAGCAACTTGTTCGAGAGCTACAAAGCCTTGTTGAGCTCGTGGTATGGTGAACAGATTAACAAATTGTTCATATCTCACCTTAAAACCTCATCAGATTGCTCAAAACAGGGCCCCCAAGTCACATACTTCCGAAGTGAGTACATGTTCTCCCTGTTAGTCTAAGCTGCGGTGGATTGACACATCTGCTACAGCGGGAAGATTTGCACGTTAGTCTGAAATGCACACAGATCGCATTTGCAGAAGCTTCGGTATTTAGGAGTTGTCATTGTGTGCAGAAACTAATATGGATCCTGACATTGATATCATAGTTACGGAATGATACAATCTCAAGAGAGCTCTCGGAGGTATGTGCATCTCGAGATGCTCTACAGAAACAAATTGAGTGCTGTGAGGTATGCCCGCCACAACTCAGGTGTGTGCAAAAAGTGTCCTACTAACACATCATTGGCATGCCAGGTACGGAATGATGTGATCCAGAGCGAGCTCTCGGAAGCATGCATGTCTCGAGACGCTCTACAGGAACAGCTTAGTCTTTCCGAGGTATGGTCGCATCGACTCATTAAGCATGATCTGTCAACACACTCACCGCATTGCCAGTCGCAAAATCTCACCCTGACAAAGGAATCGGTGTTGCTGCGTGAATCTTATGATTCACTACAGGATGAGGTAGACCGCTGTAAAGTGGGTTTGCAACTCTTGCGATATAAATTAGACATTTTGAGTCAAGTATGCACTCAGGCTTCTTGTGCATCCTTGAGGATGCAAGTGTTCTCCGATCTCGGGATGACTCCTCAGTCCATGCCTGAGTCACTTCCGTCGTGTATGGCTGAGATTGAGTGCATTAGCAGGCAAGCTAAGGTATTCTTTCAGTGTCATATGAGTTCTGCAGGTGAACAGGGCTGATGATCTGTCTGATGCAGGAAATGCAAGATCAGATACTCAAAGAAGAGCGCGAGAATCGCCGGGAAACCCAAGACCTGATGCAAGAACAGATATCGCGTCTCCTGGATGCCGTCACTGAGCAGGAGGTGAGCGTGTGTGCTCGTAGTGTGAAGGGACATGTATCTACCATTTCTACAGATTTCTTTACGGACTGCTCGTGAGGAACGTGACAAATCACAGGTGAGGAGTAACTGGATTGTTATATGTAGGAGGCTTATCATGGACAATATCACCCTCAGGAAAGTGCGGCCACCCTCCTCACCGATATGACTGTGCTTCTTGCAGAGATTGCCGAGTGTCGGTCGGCGCTCGATACTGCCAAAGTGAGTAATACTCAAGGTGTAGCTGCAAGTATGGTTTCAAAGCAGAAATTCTAATTTATCTAGGCTCAAGAACAGTTGATCGAGGCAGCAGTTGCATCGCCAAGACCAGAGGCTATCTCCGATGATTTGGGACCTGGTGCACCTGCTAAAGACTTTCCTGGTGAACCATCTGATCATAACATAGTCACTCAATATGCTGGGGTAGACTGTGCAAGAGTAGCAGAATGGGCGGTACTCCCTCCTCGCGGTTTGGGAAATACATTCGACTCAGTAGAGACAATGTTTGTCCCTTTTGCAACGCACGCGGTTAGCTTGGCCATCATTCAGAAGGTTTGTATTATTTTTGTCGAACTTCTTATGCATGTTGACCACTACTTCATTATCTAGACTTTGTGAGTGTATTCATCCGGTTGACCCCATTCATTGCGGTCTTAAAAGGTTGCCCTTACTAGAAGTGCTGCGGATGTTTGTATCACCTGTGCACAAGACTTGGTTTGGGTGAATTGCCCCGATGATGCTTTCTTTGTCAAGGCTGCTCAGCGCCTTGCGAAAGAGAACGAATTGAAAGCATGCAAGAATAAGGCAATGAAACGTTTGCAGCAGCAGGCCAAATGCGAGCTGATACTCCATGTTTCCGGGGCATTTTACTACGTCGGGACCTACAACGTTGGACAGCAGGAGAAACTCAGTCGGGAGGGGTTTGATGCACTGCCACAGCCAGTGCGTAGCCTTGTCTCTGCAATTTTCCACTATGGACTGGATCTTTGTTCTATAATACAGGTACAAAACACTCTCATATCTTCATCATGCCACAGTGCATCCCTGCAGCCTGAGTTGCGGGCGATGTACTCTACTGGATGGGTCGCAGGTCTCAAATATCCTCTACGTCGCGTTGGATACAATCATGCGTTACATGCTCGACTGCTGCGCCTTTGGCCTTCGTCTACTGATACAGGGTGGGAGTCTCATTAGGATGAGAATTCGAGGAAGCAGGGGCGTAGTGGCATCTTACACGTTTTGCAATCTTGTTTTTTTCTGTGTACTGATATCCCCGACCTGACCATCGATGAGTTTTGACTGTTCTGCACCATAGTAATCTGTTGACAAGCTTGAAATTTTGGACCAAAATTGTGACACTTGAAAGCTTGAACTATCAGGTGGGTAGGTAATGTCGTACTTACCGACACTTGCAAGCTACAATTTCGCTACAGTTTCTCGCGAAGTGGCTACATGCTAACATGACCATACAAAGAGATCTTGTTATCTAACGTCACACCGACGGCGACGAAGTATAAAGACCGGTGCAAACTCTAATCCATACCAATCTCCCAAAATGCGCATCAATGTCACGGATAAGGAAGTCTGTTGGTACTCTAGCGGAGCGGCCTCCCATGAGCTTCGGCCACATTGACCAAGTACAAGGCTCCATGCGCTGCGCCGTGTGTGCTGTATCCACTGGTGACTGGCCTATTAAGCTGTGTGGTCGGCATTGAGACCGGACACCAACTTCGCTTCTAACTCGTTCCCATCTCTGGAATTTCCACTAGCTTCTTTCTGCCTTATGAACCCCGTTCGCTCGCAGCTCGCTCCAAGTTTCTTCACCATCTCTCTCCAAGATGAATATTCTGTTCCGCAGCTTCTTCATTACCGCTACCATTGCATTTGCCTTTACAGCAAGGCTTGGTACATACCTTGGTACGTGTCTATTCTATTATCGTTGTCCCCTGCCCGCCTGACACTCTTCAGTCGGTGCTACACCGATGTTCGACGATATGAGGTACATGCTTTGGGAGGAAGAGTTGGCCTCGCTCGTGCCTTACTCTATCTATGCGGAGAGCACTCCGAGTACTGTGTCCTCTATTCCTGCTACCACCGTGTTTTCCGCGGTCCCCGATCCTACTCCCGGGCCGCCCGCCGTCTCCTCAGGCATAACCTCTGTTATCTCCCCAGAGATCCATAGCACAGATGTCCTCTCTTTCAAGCCCGTTCCGTCTCCTAGTGCCGTGGGCCCATTTTACTTCACGAAATGTGCATAATAAATTTTGACTCTCGCTTTAATAGGGCTGTCACGTCGATACCGCGCAGAGCAATGATATTGGAAGGCTGTATGCAGTCGGAGGCACCGGGCTCGTGGTCGTGACCAGCATCGCGGCCCTATATCTGGCGCTTTGAGGACTCGCAGTGCTTCTGAATCCGTCTCCTCCTTGCTCCTCCTTGCTGTACATGCTGTGCATGTGCGTGATCTCGTTATCTGCAGGTATCCATGGTCTTGCAGGACTTGTTCGATGTGGTCCACGATGTAGCATATGTAGTACGCTAATCCACATACTAGTAGAATACCCTGAGTTGTAGCAGGCAGACTGAATTGTAGCATGTAATTTCTATTAGAACGGCCCGCGATATTGTGGAGTAATCACCGAGCGCCTTAGATCTGTCTGTCAAAACGCTTGTACACTTCAGCTAAGATGGAAGAGTCAACGTGATGGGGAATGACTCGACAATGAGTAACATAAGTACAAGAGGTCGGATTGTCCCATTTACATCCGCTCTCAACACACCTGAAAATGTCTGAAAGCGCAGAATCCACGACCATGCGAATCCAAGGAACCGCGTTGTACCACATATTGATCATCGCAGGGTACCCGTCTCCAGCAGAGATCGCCAAGTACCGGACGCTCCGTCTCCTTGCCCTCAGCACGGACCCGTCATGCTTCAGTTCCACGTACTCGCGCGAAACGGCGTTCACCGAAGAGGAGTGGAGTGAGAGACTTTACTCTGGGTCGGGAAAGAAGGCGACCTTTGTAGCAGTGAGGACAGACAGCGGAGAATGGGTGGGCATGGTGACGATGGTTACACCGGGCGGTATTCCTGAGATCATATATGTTCCGACGGTGCGAGAGAAGACATATCTCGTTGTCGGGATGTGGGTGTGCCCCGAGCACAGGCGGAAAGGTCTCGGGTAAATGTTAGTGGACGCAGGAATGCAGTGGACTGAACAGAGAGCGAGACATAACAGGACAAGAGGTGCAGTGTTAGTGTTGGAATTCAAGACATGGAATGAAGCGGGGAAGGGGCTGTATATAAGAAGGGCAGGGCTGGAGGAGTTGCCGGTCGAAGGAGAGACGGAATCAGTGTGGATGAGAAAACGGTTGGTAGTAGATTAGATTAGATTAGATTTGGTTTTAGATCAGATGGATTGGCAGACGCCGCGGACGGATCCGAGTCCTCTGGCAGTGCTCACCGCCGTTGCCGTTCAACTTGTCCCCGGCGAGTTCATCGTCGCCGTCCCTCAAGGTCTCCGAGCTTCCTGCAGTCAGTGAGTGCTAAGTCCATCTCAACATTATTAGCTCACATCTTTGACTTTGTGTGATCAACCTCACCCTTCATGACAGGCGGTCGCGACCTATGGACAATAGAGCTCAGCCGACGGTCGTGACGGGTCCGACTGATTTCAATCTCCCTCTCACATCACCTTCCATTCGTTTACATTCACAGTATCAGCAGAAGCGTCCCCTTTCATCTCGTGTCTCTCCTGTCTCCAGTAGTGGATCCTCCCAAGATGCCACGGACCGGCAAACGCAGCTGGAGGAGTCTCTCAGGCGCACCGTCACGCTTGTCTTTTGGTATCAGGTCAGCTCGTGAACCTTCTATGTCATCTTCCACCAGTCGTTTTGTTTTGTCTCAGCTCAGCGTGGTCAGATTTATCTCATCTGTGAGATCGATGTTCTCGCCCACTGCATTGGAGGAATTGACTCACATTAGCAGTGCAAGGCGAGACTACTTTGTTTCCTACCATTTTCACCGTCTCCTCCTTATGCGAGCTGGGCAAGGGTTAGCGCTGCGGATCTCCTCGATGGAGCGTTAGACCCTGTGATACGCGTTCGAACGGCCTTCTAATCTGCATCTCCTGGTTAATATATACGTCGAGTGGTCACAAATATTGACCCGCGTTATTCCCGGGGCGTCCTAGTGTACTCGTCACGAAGTGTATCATCCCACCTTCCCGTCCCTTCGTCCAAGATATTAACCAAGTCTACTACCCAGGCGAACTCTGAACCAATCCGCCTGCACCAAGAGATTTCCATCTTTCCTTTTTTCCAGCTCTCCCAATTCACGCAGCTCATCGCAGACCTGCAGCTTCCCTCCACGGCCTACGTCGACACCTACAACCCGGACACTCGTACCTGGGAACAGCAGGCGCTCTCTGCAGTGCGTGTCGTGGACAGCAACCAGCGCCTGCTGTACCGTACTCGCCGCAGCCTCCTCGAGGGTTTGATGGATAACGAATGCCCCGGCTTAGCAGACGAGGTGGCTATGCAGCCATCAGCACTCACAACACGTTTGCCACCGAGAGTGTCCATAGGGAAGAGGTCTGCAGCCGAGATAGGGCCTACTCTGACCCCGTCACCGCCGGCCAAGTGCCCTAGGTCGGAATCCTGTCAGGGCTATTTCACTGGCGTATCCCAGCACTCCTCGCCAGGCAACCAGGCGTGCTCGGCTTCCTCTTCGCTCACTTCTTCGCCTACTGGATCACCCACAACAACCCTAGGGCAGCAGTCACCATCCGATGTTCCTCCCGCACAGCAACAAGCACTTCTGACTCAGCACTCAGCGTACGTCCCTACCTCAGGGCGACATTTACTTGCCTCCCGCTCTCCTTCTACAGCGCAATCACCGACGAGTTCGGACGGCGCTGGCGCCAGCAGATTCAGTGGAAAGCGCCACTGGCCGACCGACTTCACCGTCGCGGAGGTCCACGCGGGCTTGCGCCAGATGGACGCGGAAGTGGCCGCACAGCCGGCGCTCACGCAGAGCGTCGCGTTTGCACGCGTGTTCAACTGCAAATACGTCAAGTCCACCGTGTGCCGGCACAAGGCGGTGTGGCGCAGCGCGGGCAGAGACGTCCTGGAGGCGGTCGGCGAGCGCACGTTGTGGAGTGAATTTGTGAAGCGCGTCGAGGGCCGCGCTGGACGCCGGCGGGCCGGTGGTGGTGCGGAGCACCATGAGGGCCACGAGGCGGCGACTGTGCCGGTGACGATAGGGATACCAATGCTGGTGCATGTGCCGCCAGTGGAACCTGGTGTGAAACCACGTGTATCAGTGGAGGATCCTGCTGTAGGCCCCCTCGGACCACCTCTTCCTCCAAACGACATTCCAGGAGGTAGCTGGGCTCGTTACTCATATGCGTCCTACACAGCTGATGGCCGGCAATCGTCAGATACTGTCACGTTTACTCGCCGTAACACAGGCGATTCCCCCATATTCGAGTCCTTCCCTAGCCGTACCGACGGTGCGTCTCGTGCGCTCTATCCTGTTGTTGTAGGATGACGATTTCCGTGCGCGCTTGGCCCTCCCAGATACGAGCGAAACCCCCGGTGCCCTTTCCGCTCCCCTCCCGGCGAACACGAGCGCAGCGACTCATCCGCTGGCACCACGGTGATTGTATAAATGTTTTCCGATTCCGTCGCTCTCTCCGCTCTCGCATAGTTGTCTTTCTTTGCATCTATACAGACATTGAGGTTATTCTTGTCCCATCCATCGAGGTTATCTGTATCATAGTCGACCCTGTAGCATATGAAGATATGAGGTTCGGGGAGGATTGGTTATCCGGATACGAGGTTATCGTGCATATATCTGGCTCTCACGGGCGCATACATACGATCGCCTAGTTACACATACATGCAATGACATTATCTTAATCATTATACGCACTGTAGTGGTGTCTTGCGACAATGAGGACGTTCTAGTACGTGACGCGTGCCAGTGACACCAACCGGTAAAACGCGTGACAACACGCGTACTGACTCGGACGCGTCGCGGTTGCCACAGCGGCGGACCACGGTTACGTCGTATACCGATGCTTGCTGTTGATATTCCTGCAAAACGGTATATTCCGCACTGCGTCACCAAATTGCTTCACAATATGCTCTGGGAAGTGGCGCTGACTTGGAGATGCACTAAGTCGAACCGCGCCAGCGAAGAACTCGAATCATCGCAAAGGTCTTGAGGTTGTCTCCATCGCGCCAAAAATTGTGTGTATACTCTACTTGTATGAGATCAAAAGGCTTAATCCCGTATAGTTCATGACCGGCGATCGTATTTCTGTGGGTCATGTTCTCTGAAGTGACACCTCATTGCGAGCCGGTCTTTGAGTTGTTTTTCGCTCCGAAAGTTACGCCAAAAAGGTATTCAAACATTCAAACCTGGCTACGACTACACAAGACAGGACACGCGTAAAAGACTCTGCGCAAGGTCAAGACACTGAATACACTACACTAGATCCAAATCCTACAGCTTTCTGCGGTGCACAAAAGGTTCTCAGTTTATAATTTATTCGCAAACTGGACGAGCCGATCATGGAATGCGGTATTGTATCCAACACGCTGGAAGGGGAACTTGATCGCCGAAATTTGTCCACTGTAGTACATTTGCCGTACTGTCTCCTGGTAATTGCCATCCTTCCGCATCTGTTTACCGGAAATTGACTTCCTGATCAGAGAGTCTTGTGGCTGGGGAAAATGAAAGTGAGCAGTCATCCTGCGCAAATATGTTCAAAGTGTATGAAGGACTGGACTCACCGTCGATGGCATGGCCTTAAAATCCTCCATGTCGAGGATCTCACCTCGGCCGAGTGTGTAGGTGCCAAGGTAATACTGTACCCCCGCGATGTCGGTGACAAGCTCAATCTTGCCCCGTTCCTGCAACTGACTGATCTGGACGTCCGTATGGGGTTTCCAAGTCTTATCCTGTGTTAGACGTTGAGATGTTCTGACGTAGAATGGATGACCCGGAAAATCATCCCATAACAAGCCTCTAGGCTTCAGACTTGAGATGGCACAGGCTTTGAAACCCAGCCTGAATGGAGGCCACCATTAGGCTGAATATAGCAATGTATCTTGGTACTTACAATGCCTATACAAACATGGCCGGTGAGCTAAATGCAAATAGACCGCAAATGATGTAATACCAACTCGATCCATCTGTTTTTTCTTCCAAATATGCTTTGCGAAAGGTTCGAAATTCGCCTGTATAGTGCTGATGTCCAAGCACATGCTTTGTGCAATATTCTTTTCCATCGTCGCTGCGGAACTTGACATATGCTGATTGAGCTCTTCACCGTACACGCCGGTGGAGGGATTAGCTTACGCTTCATGACGACTTGCGTCAGTTGTAATAGAAGTGGGGTTCAACATGTTGGAGACAACGTCGCGTGCTTGTGCCGTGAGTGCAATCTGAAGGTCTGATATGTATTGCTAGCTAGCATGACGCGGTTGCACTCACTTTGGTTGCCTCAAGCTCTGACCGACATTGGGCCAGGTCGACGCAAGTGGCGGTTAGATCTCTTGTCAAATCTGCGACGTTTGTCTAGTAACGGAATAAGATGGAATAGCCGACGATAAGTCTCTAGAGCGCAGCGACTAAAACTTCACTGTTCACACCTGCAATCTGTCACGTTCTTCGCAGATAGCTTCGAGTGAAGCCTGTTCAAGTCGTGTAAATACAAGGGGCGATCAACAAGCAGCCTGGGCCATACTTGCCTCCTGCTCAGTGGTCTTATCCAGCAGACTTGACATTTTCTTTTGTCCCGATAGAGGCAGGACATGGAGAACATCTTCATCTTCATTGATGCACGTCTCCTGTCATTGCAAAAGATCAACAAGGTTTGCTCAACCTTCATACCAAATATCCGCCGGACCTCACGTACTCTCGACCCCCATCTTGTTCGGTCGATGCAACCGCAAACGTCTCCCCCACACATTTTCCCAAGATCACATCTTGCTTCCTTGAAGACACTGCGAATGTCTCGCCCTCCCCATGGTCAGAAGACTGAGAATAAGGTTGCTCAGCGCGTGTCTTTTCGGCAATCGAAGGGTGAGTTAATATACGTACATCTGTACAATGCAACTCATCTAGAGTTGCACCCTGGGATTCTCCGAGCGAATTGCTAGACAATGCCTGGAATTGTGACTAGTGTCATGATGCCTTGGGTTAGAATAGCGGCAAATAAGTCAAAAATACCTCCAAGCGCTTTAGCTGTTCCTGCATCGCATCTCGAGCAGTGCACGCCTCACAAAGCTCTCTAGAAAGTGCATCGTTCCGCGCCTGCATCAGATACACTAAGTCAATATCCGTAGTCGGTTCAGCCCCAAAATGAAAACGGAGAACACACCGAAGCTTCTGCAAATGCAACCTGTGCACACTTGAGGGCGATGCGTAGATCTTCGTCCTGAAGGAAATGTCAATATGAACCTATCATATGGAGACAAGCGACCTAGCATTAGAGGTACGAGCTTGAATATCGTTCGCTTGAGTAGTCTGGTGAAGTGTTGGCGTAAGACACCAACTGGTTATCCACAATTCGCCACACCACAAGTCCGATGAGTTTTTGCAACTTCCGTTCGAGCAAGTCTATATTGGTACCATCCCTGAGATTTGCGTTCAAAGCTTCGTTCGCACTCTTAAAGCACTGCTGTAGACAGATTGCTAGAAAGAAGCGCATGAGCTGGTACGTACCTTGAGTTCACTTAATTCGAGGCGAAGACGGGCGATTTCCCCCGCTTGCAGTTCAATCAGACTCTCTACCACATCGTCCGACAGATTCAGCCGACTAAGTCGCATGGTATCGTTTATGAGCTCAGATCGTTCAGATCAGGTCAAGACTGGTGCATATCAGTCGATCAAGAGACCTCGACTGCGGCGAGGACCAGAGTGTCGATGAAGCGGTATGCGAGCACTTAACCTCGTCTCGAGTTCAAGGTGAATGAGTGCGGGACGTTCGAAGTTACCTGCGCGCGCAGCCTCAGCCGGAGAACGATGCGGGTCAACTCGTGGACAAGGATGACAAGGCCGCACCGTGGCGCACGCCTTTCTATAGGACAGTGTAGCGCCAGTGGATAAGGTTTTCCACTTTGGGCTTTCTATACAATGTCGTGCACACGAAGAATATACACGCGTTCTCCGCGTGCAGTGGGGACGTCTGAACGAGACGGGAACGCGTGGCAGGATTCAGATGTCGCCGGTGTCTCGGATCGCAAGTGAGATTCGTTCGCCGGTGTTCCTTTCGGCAAACGCGATCGAGGTGTGCGTCGGTCAAAGTGTATTGAGGCCGACTATGATCTGTGATATGAAGAGTGTACTTACAAACATCTAACTGTATTAGAAATACGCCTGATCAGCGAGCCTCGCGGAAGCCTGACTCTCGCCACTCCTGCGTATTGCGCGCAGGCTATGATACTTTGCGAGAAAAAGCGATCTAACTTGCATTGATGAAGCAACGTGGTAGAATGTACTGTATGTATAGAAATGATTAAGTAAGTGCGATACAAAAGAACGGTGATATTCGCGGGGCGTGCAATCCCTGGCTTCGCCGAGCCCCGATCCTATGCGCTCGCGTCGGCGGACGCCACGAACCGGGGTGCGCACCGTGTCCGGGGAAGGGCAGAGGGTCGAAAGCAGTGAGCCCTCGGAGGCCCTCGGCTGTCCCCCATGGCTCGAGCCGAGGCGCGACAGCACCGGCCGTCCAGAGTGTCTATAGTGATGCGTTGTGCTGTCTATACGAATGTTCGTGGCGTGCGTAAAAAACGTTGCAGATGGGATCTTCCATTAAGGTGTCCATGCGGGAAAGATTATCCGGGATGGGAATAGGCGGCTTACACCTTCTTCTCGGGCTCCTCGTCGTCTGCTGCTGCGCCGATCGCTTCGGCCTCGAGCAGCTCTGCGATGCGCAGGTCCTGACGAAGCGGTGTTAGTGGACGGTTGGGACGGGTGGGCGATGCGATGTAGGGGGAACACGATACTCACGGGCGACGGCGAGAAGCGACTCCTCTTCCGGATCGCAGCGCCGTATTTGTAGAACAGGAACGGGCTTGGTAGGAGGACGACCAGGATGAGGCCTAGTAACGTGCACGCCCAATTGATGCCCAACTGGAGGCGGGTGAGCGGGGGAAGACAAGGGGTGAGGAAGGGAGAAGTACGCACGTTGTCGTACATCTGGACTGTGAAGAGCGGAAAGCCGGCTGCGATAGCGGAGCGAACGAGCGTATTCGCCGAGAGTGCGGAGGCAGCGTATAAGAGGTACGTGTCGACAAGGTACGACTGTGGGCCCTCCGTCAGCAACCCGTCGCGAGCACACAACGGAAGGAGGTATATAAAAAACGACGCACGATGAACGAGACGAAAACGAGGCTAACGCCGTACCCGATGAAGATCGTCGCGAACGCGGGCGCGACCCAGCTCACACTCGCGTACGCGCCGGTCCAGCCGAGCCAGAAGCAGCCAATGATGAGCGTGGGCGCGCCGATCATCGCGCCGGTGAGGCGCCCCTCTGGCGGCGGGAAACCATGCCACTTGGGGATCAGCGCGTCGTGGTGGCGCGACAAAAACCAGAAAGTGGCGGCGCCGAAGGTCGTCCCAATCCCAACACCGATGAAGATCAGCCCGCACTCGCCAATTGTGAAGCCGTGTTTCCCCATGAAGATCACAGGCATCGCTTCGAACACTGGGGTATGGTAGGGTCAGCGGAGTGCACACAATGTGGGGGAAAAACGACGCGCACGGGAGTAGAGGATGCCGTAGATGAACGCGGTGTAGAGCGTGACGAGTACGAGGATCGGCTCCATCACGAGCATGATGATGGGCCGGTATAGCGTGCGATGCAGGACGCCCCGGACGGACCAGTCTGACTTCTCGTGCTCGGCGAACTTGTCCTTATTTGCAACAGGGTCTGCCTTCCGCAACCTGCGGGCCTGCAGAAAATTCTTTTGAGCATACATCGGGGTAATCTAGCAATAAATACCTTCCCACCTTCCGCTGCAGGATGACGGGTGCATACGTCTCGGGCAGGAAGAAGATCATGATCACTGTGCAGGTCCCTGCAAAAATCATCATGATCCAGAATACCCACCTCCACCCGAGGTAGCTCGAGGTCAAACTGGCAACCAACAAGGTCAGAAAATAATCCGACTCTATGACGCAGCGGGCACCGCTCACAATCCACCCACGATGGGGCCGAGCACGGGACCGGTGAACACGCCCGCGACGAACATACTGGTGGCGTGCCCGCGGTTGACGGGGTCCCAAATATCCACTATGACGCCCCCGCAGTTAGTGAGGGGAGCGACGGCGAAGAAGCCGCCGAGGAAACGGGTCACGAGCAACGTCTCAATGTTGTGCGCGAGAGCCTGGCCGAGGTGCAGGAGAGTGTAGGCGCTGAGTGCGACGATGAACATGGGTTTGCGCCCGAGCAGCTCGGAGCCGGGTCCCCAGATGAAGGGCCCGAATATGTAGCCGCAGAGGAAGACGGAGGTGACGAGGTAGGCGGTCTCCTTCGGCTTATGGAAGTGCGCGGCGATGTTGGTGCCGGCGAAGGACGGCGCAGAGGAGGCGAATGTTCTGCAGGAGGATAGATATGAGCGGGTTTGATACTGGACATAATATAACGGAGGACGTACACGTTGACGGTCATGAGGAGGCATATAACGGTGATGCCCCACTTGCGTGCGAGCGACCAGCTCTGCGGGTTTTCGGGGTCATCGGGGCCGTCCCAGGTTACCTTGTCATAGTCAAGCACCTCCTCTTTCTGAGGGGGCAGGTAGGGGCCCGGCTGCCTCGAAGGCGGGTCTCGTGGGTCGTCGCCGCCGTATTGCTCTGTGCGAAACTCGTCTATCTCCCACTCAGGACGGGGGTCCACCTCTGTGGCGCTGCTAGACTTGGACGGTACTGGGCGTAAATCCATTCTAAAGAAACTGTGAAGGACAGAAAAGCCAGAGGTCAGGGAAGCAGGAGGGCAGGGAGGGACGGAGAGGGCAGCCGGGACTGTCTAGAGGCGGGGTGCGGCTTATGTATGGAGGGGGGCCCTGACATATGGCTGGTTTGTTTCTGGCAAGATCTGCATCTGGCGCGCTGCGGGAGCGGGACCGGAAAGAGAGTTACCGTGGGCCGAGGACCAGACTTGCGCCGAAAACGGCAGGTCTCTTAACAAATAAGGAAGGAGACGGGTGAAGGATCCCGCTGGCGACGTCGCGGCATGGGCGGCCGACAGCAGCAGTAACCACCTGTAACCACTTATGAGATATTACGGCGGTTATCAAGGCGCGCAGTAAGGACGAACTGGACCTCTGCGAAAACATATGCGACATCAGCGCGATATGTCAATTCGACATTACACAGAAGGTCCGACTGGGGCGCAATGGTGAGTCAAACAACAAGTCAAAGTTAAGGACACCCGAGGCGCGCCCGACAATCGCGGAGATCCTCCTCGGCGTCCTCGGGACCGTTCTTGCTTCCGGCTCCCGGGCAGACCCTACTCAACGCCATCGCCTCGGATCTCCGATGACGACATCGACCCTAAGCATGCCAACTCCATCTGACAAATCGACCTGAAGAATATGTCTCTCCCACGTTCGGCGGGTGCAGCAGCTGCATTGACCTGGACTTACTGCAGCGTTAGGCAGACTACAATATAATCCTTATTAAGTGGGGGGAGGACGGGTTATAAAGCCGCGGCGTAGATGTTCGACGTTCAACAATATAGTTTGACCGACGTACGTCGTATGCACGAAGCATATCGATGGTGAGTTCCCAACTTTGCACTGGCGGATCTTGTGGTTCTAGCTTGCGGCCTGTGGATGCGTATCATCTTCTCGACGTGTTTCCAAATTGCGACTTCTGCCCCCTCCCTTGCGACAGAATCGTCAATCGTCGTGCCAAATGCCTCGAGTTTTCAGACAAGCTACCTCTTCTCCGTGACTATATGATAAATTGCAGTACAAACATTACAGAGCTTCATAGCGATTACAATTACCGTGCAGAAACGCAGGACACAGCGACGAACACTAACATAGAAACATGATATCTCTCCCGAGAGCGAAAGCAAAGTCCCTTCCTAACCTGATTGCAGCAGCGAACGACGCCTACGCCCGCCGCGTGCTCTTCCGTGTCGGCACCGGCGGCGACCCATCGCGCTCCTTACGCTTCGACGAGCGGCGCGCGGCGATCTGCGCCCGCTCGGCGCTCGGCGACTGCGGCAACTTGTAATTCGTCGGCACCGACGTGAATGCGTTGTTCGACCACGTCTTCCCGCTCGTGCCCGTCCCGGGCTCTTCGCCGCCAAACAATCGCGCTCCGCTGGCGACGCGCGACATCGAGCGTTGGGCTGGCCGTGGCGTGGACGGCGCCTCTGTGATCGGCGGCGAGAGCGAGAGCGGGAGCACGTCGGCGTCCTCCCGTGCCTCCTCGAACTCTTCGTTAGAGTGTGCGAGCAGCTCCCGGTAGCCTGCTTGGATCAGGCCGTAAAAACTGGAGCAGGTACGTTAGAACAACTGCAGACATATATGGTTGAGGTTGCACTTACCGTGGGTCGCGGGTATATACGCGTAGGAGAACCTCCCCAAATGTCTGGGGCATCAGCAACGAGATGTCGCCCAGCTCCGCCTTGCGGGATCCTGCATCCTATCGTGAGCGTGCGGACGTTCACCCGAACGGGGAAATTGGCTTACTGTTAGGGTGCTGCTTCGAATAGAACTTGACGCTGTCGAGCGGGTTCTTGTCCTTCATCCCGTAGTGCATCCGCGAGAGGTCGACGATGACGTGTCGTGGCTCGAGCGCCGCGATGTCCCCATCAATCGGCTCGCCCACGCCCTCGCTCTTGCCTTCTCCCTCGCCCTCTTCCGTGTCGAGGTCCTCCACCTCCCGCGACGCAAGCAACGTGGCAGGCAGCCGCTTCACGGCATCTACGATCCGCTCCGGCGTGAAGTACCGCCGGCAGTGGTCAATATAGCTCCACTCGAACACCTTGTAATCCACCATGCGATAGAGGTTGCGCGTCGTGATCCGGAAGAAAATTGCGCGCGCCTCGGCGAGTTCCTGTGCGTATCTACGGGTCAATAATGCGGAGAAGGCTGAAATAATCACGCACAGGTTCTTCAGAGCTTTCAATCTGAGTGCGCAGGTGGTCGGTTAGGTATAGGAACTTGGCAGGATCGTAGATGTGCCTGGAAAAGTTCAAGTGCCTGTCTGCTAACAAAAGGGCGTCCACTAGCATGTACTCGATCGCCTTCGCTACGAGTCGGGGAAGGGCATCAGCATCGGGAACAACGCACTCGATCACGATCGCGCGCATACATACCAGTCTTGTGATTATAAATGCGCTTGTGGAGGCTAAAGCGGGTCCAGCAGAGTTCATAGACCTGGTTCGCGTCCTTGATGTCGTAGCAGATCTCGTCATTGATCACCCGGGAGGAGTGAATGAGTCTGAAAATTCGATGAGTCGCATGCAACAAAGGACATCTCAGTAATTCACCGCGTCAGAGACAGGTTTCCTTTCACGTCGACGGCGTGATTGTCCCGGGCGATGTAGTCGAACCTGCGACACGGAAAGGCTGTAAAAGTCATATATGAGCCAGTCAGCGTGGTACTCACTTGTCGACGTCCAGGCCGTTTCGTTTGTTCGCGACAATGTCAAACAAAAATTGTTTCTCGAGTCTAAAAGGGCAGTACCATGTGAGAGCGAGCGCATACAACGACCATAGTCGACACTTACGGGCACATGCTCTTGTCACCGCCAATGAGCGCCTTGATGAACGTGACGTCCTTCTTGTCCGCCTCCATCTGGCAGCCCTGGATGAGCGCATCGAACATCATATCGGACGCGTGCTCGTGCTGCCACGTTGCGCCAGGTCTGTACGAGATCAGCCGCGGGGCGCATAAAGGGGGCGGCACTCACAAGGCGCGACGGATGAACTGCCCGTCCCAGACGTGGCTCCAGGGCCCATGCCCGAGGTCGTGGCAAAGCCCAGCGATGGTGACGCAGTCGATGTCGCGCTGCGTGATGCGCAGCTCCGGCTGGGACTGCTGCAGGTGTTGGGCCAGGATCATGGAGAGGTACGCGACTCCTGCGGGCGTTTAGGCGGTATTGGTGAGAAAGTGGAATTTTCTTACCTAGAGAATGCTCAAACCGGTTGTGGGAGGCGGTGGGCCAGACGTGGTAAGAGGTCCCAAGCTGCTTGATGTTGCGCAGGCGTTGGAATTGCGGGCTGCAGATATGAGGTTAGCATGTATGTAGAACAAAGGGATAGTAGGACGTACGTGTCGATGATGTGACATATCTTCCTATTGAACGGCACTGCGGGCGGATACAAGTGAGGCGGGGCTGTAGAAGAGACAAAGAGGAGCGCGCACTATAATCATGAATGCAGTCTTTGAAACGACGCGTAAATTTTGGGCTGGAGGGCGCCGTAATGGGTGGGAGACTATAATCTTCGGGCTCCATAAGCCTCATGGTGGGCATGCTGGTACTGATATAGGACAGACAACGAGGCGCTGCGGAGAATGGGAAGATGTGGGAAGATAACAAAGAGCGGGCGGTGGGCTGCAGGCCTCAGGGTGGGTACTTATACGGGAGTGCGCAGAGCACTAGAAGCAAAGTGAATTGCAGCGCGTTTCATTTCCCGCGACGCCGACTGACCCTTACATAAGCCATTTTACATGGCGGCACCGCCAGATGGGCGTGTCGACGCGTCGCGTTAGCACTCCGCGATCGGCGCGTCGCAGTCCGCGGACGCAAATCAGTCTCCGTCAACGTTCTACCGCTGACAGTAGATCTCGGAAGTCTATCACTCATTGACAGTACACGTCGTGCGTCAACGCCTCAAGCCTCAGGCCTCATGCCTTGTACAGCAGTCATTTTGATCATGAGGTGAATCTCATAAATGTTCCAGTAGCTTCTACAATAGTGTATAACAAACAGCACACTCCTGCATACCCAGGCCTCAACACCACACACGATGGCTGCTGTGCAACCTTCTCTTCCCCACCCCCGAATCTTCAGAGGCGTGCCTTGGTAGAATATCGTCGACCTCCGCACCCCTGTGATCCCTAGGCACCGAAAGAGAAAACATGTCCCGCGATCGATGTATTATAAACGGCGTGGTGAGGCTTTCAGGGCATGGCAGGCCATCCGACGCAAATTCCATCAGACCGCAGAATTTGAGTCTCACAGTATCAGATGGCTGCAGAAAGCGCGACAGCTTCGTGGATCCCGACTTGCCCTATCGATCCCTCTGAAACGACCCTCAAACGTGATGTGACAGACGAGAGAGAGATCCGCACGAAAACACAGAAGACGCGAGATGTACTCATTCATCCGGGTTTACGTCGCTCACGCCGTTTCGTCCATTCGTTAGGTAGCATCGCAGCCTTCGCATCCGCAATCGCGCCCGAAACGATGCGCGCCGGCGTCGTTGTCATTGTGTACCGCGTTTGAGCAAGGATTGCACGGCGCAAAATCCGCTCGAGAGGGGTGGCGTCCCATATCGCCTGTGGAGGGGCTGTCTCTCCGACAATGTCCAGCACAGAGGGCACAACATGCTGTTGGTCGGGGGTACCCGAAGAAGATGTGATCGACTGAGGCCGAGCGGGTAACGCCGAAGAAGACGTCAGCTTCCTATCCGCCGCCTGGGTGGAGTCTTGCGAGGAAGGGGAGATGCTCCGAATCAGCTTCTCTTCTCGTGCCTGGGTGGAGTCTTCCGAGGCAGGGGGAATGAATTTCAGGCTAAGCCGGGGCACTGCGCCGACTTGAAGTACAGTCTCCGTGACCGGAAGGCCCTGGATCACGCCCACAGGAGGATAGCCGAGAAAGCGGAAAGCCCACAGCTCCTCGGGATACTCCATGCGCGCAGCCGCCGGGAGCTCGCTACGCACACGGTGCACCAGGTGTGCGAGGACGATGCGAAACGTGCGGAGTGTCGGTAACAGTTTGCACATGCGGAAGGTGCGCAGGACGACGAACACGGCAGCGTAGTCCTGGGCGAGCAGGAACGTGCGCAGCGCGCGGTGCAGGACGTCGGATGTGATCACCGGCGACCGCCGCGGGACCACGCTCTGCGCCTGCCGCGCGTGACACTGCAACATCTCGCGGTAGAGCGCACGGGGGGTGCGCACGGCTACCGAGGGGGGCGACCGCCGTGTCCGCACACTGCGCCGCTGCTTCTTGATGCACATTGCGCGGAAGAGGCTGCTGAAGGTGTAGGCGTCCGGGAGGAACTCGCCGGTGTCGTCGTCCAGCAGGACCTGGTAGATCTGGAACGCCTGGTCGACGTAATGCTGCGACACCTCAGTCGCAATGATCGCGTTGCAGAATGCCAGATCTGGCTCGACTGCATCATCTGCCATGTGAGCGACGGTCCATTTGGAGGTGGCGCCAGTGACTTCCGCCGGTGCTAGATGCCTGATTAGGCTGGTGTACGGGGCCGGGCTGTCTTTTTTTGGTCTGCCAATATCGCTTTCGGCCTGTAGAGAGTCTGCGACTTTTTCAGGTTGACCTACGAAGTCTCCGCTAGCCCAACGGCGCGCCGATGCGGCGGAGCCCGCACGAGCATGTATGTGCACGAGAAATGATCTCGTCTCCTTCGCCAGGATGTACCCAAGATCTGTCCGAGTGCGGACGAACGTCGCTACGACGCTATCGATGAACTCAGGGGTGCAATTCATCGTCCCTACCAGTAGATGGAGCACGTGGCGCAGGGTACGCTCGTTGAACGATTTGTGGGAGAAGAGCTTACCCAGCGCGTCGAGCAGCTCGTCCTCGCTCGGGGACTCCTGGGCGGCGGCGATGATGAACATCTGCGTGCGGAGCGACACGGAGGGGATGAAGCCGTCCGTGATCATGCGGGAGTACATCATGGCGGCAGGGATGACATGGCCGTGGCGGAGGAAGAGCGACACGGCACCCTCGTAAGCGAGGAAGCGGGAAGGGTTGTCGAACGCGCCTTTGGAGACAGTGAGCTGGAACTGCTGCAGGGCTATGCCGTGCTGGCCGGACTCGACGTAAGGATAGAGCTTGAGCAGGAGTTTTCGTATGCGGAGCGGGTAGCTGGCAAATTCGAGGGCTAACCACCTTTTTAACCTCTTTGGAGCATTGGAAGCCCAGCGTACTGAGCTTGGATTTCTGACCAGAGAGTGGACGGTGGGGAGACGCGCAGAGGAGAGGAGGCTCAACATGCGCCTTGGGGCGCCATAAGTATTTACTTTGCGACAAACGACGGAGAGATTGGCCTATATGATACGCTAAAAGTGAGCACAAGAAAGCAGAGAGGAGAGAGACCGACCAGGACTACGTATACGTACTATACTGCTATCAGACGTCGTCGCGGACGCTAACTAGGATGATCAGTGACGTGACCGTAACCCCGGTCACAGCGGTCACCGGAGGTTGTTAGCCCATCTCAGACCGGGTACCGCGACGACGACGACGAGCAGCAGCAGCTTCACGGCTCTGTGGACACACTTAACGGATATTCTTTCGTCTTGAACTCTTGCACTGTATTATTTGCTGGATAGACGACGGCGACACTAGCGCGTTCGCCGGTCGAACCACGCCATGTCTTTCAATGCCTCTCCTGACATCGAGTCTACACCCCCGCCCGCTGTCAGCAGCCTCCGTTCCAGGTTCGAGAAGCTTGCAGCAGACACCTCGACCGCTACCCTCCAGCGGCCACCCAGCACTCATGTCTTTCTCGTCCCAGAGCCCTCCAGTCCTCGTCCCCGAGCCATGTCCAACTCAGATGACATCAGGCCATTCGCTGAGTCTCCTTCGCTGCGCCCCGCTTCTTCTTCTCTAGACCTAAAGGCAGCCAAGAGGCCTCCCCCACTGCCCCCCGTGCGTGGTTTGAAGGCCCCTTCTCCCGCACCGCCGAGTCCACGTCTTCTGCGTCCACCATCCGACCAGTCACCTCTGATACCCGAGATCAGTCTCACTTCCGAACATACCTCTGGGTCCCTGAAGCCCTCCGTTTTGGCCAGAAAGCCTCCCCCGCCCCCTCTGCCTCCCCACCACCCTGAAACAAAAACCGAATCTGCCACATTGCACAAAACGTCCGACGTTTCTCCACTCATCGACTTGTTTGGGTGAGCACTTCTGTCCTGGAATGTTTATGTCAGACGGGTGCACCGAGTGTTTGGTACCAGTAGCAACGTTCCTTCGGGAGCACGGCGTATTTCAGCCACCGCTTGAGTTGCTGCTTGTCTCGCTCCCGGCATCTCGTTTATCTCAGCCGTATATCTGCATGTTGATCGTAGGTTTGACCGCTTGCTTCGCGCCTTCGCCTGCGTGCTTGTTCTATGACATGAGTTACGGAGATAGATATCTGGCATTTTCCTTCTTGTCGTAAGTCTCAATCAGACTGACGCAACGTTCGACCAGGTCCCCGCCACCTATTCCGGCGGCTTCCAAGCCGGTGAACGTTCCGACTCGCGTCGTGTCGCATACCGCGACGTTAGTATCAACCCTCGTAGCATCTGATATCCGTCCAGATTCCCTAGAATCGTCACGCAGGCCTCGCCATTCCTTCCCTTTCGCAGGAACATCAACTGCTCCTTCCAGTTCTTCTTCCATCTCCTTGGTCTCCACCGCGTCTACATTCAAGCCGCAAGATCCCTTCGGTGATGATCCATCTGATTCGGAAACCACCGTTTTTGCGGACCCGCCTCCGCTACCGTCTCGAAAGAACGGCACCGCAAATGATCTCTCGAATGGCTCCGGTGCCCATCCCGAACTCCAGCAGTCGCCGCAAAATATATATTCATCAGAGAGTTCCAGCGGGACTGATACCAACACGGTGAACATACCCAGTCCAACACCTTCCGCACTCCTCACTCGGCCTCCTCGTCCTCCACCTCGTCCCAAGTCTTCGTTACCTGCCAGTTTAGTTGCATCTTCAGCATCGTCCAGTACATCCTCGCTGCCACCTCCTCTTCCTACGCGTAAAGGAATATGCATAGAGGAACCAGTACCTCGGCGCCCGCCTCCACCTCCGCGACCTTCAGTGCAGGATATGGACTCGCAGTCTCATGCGAGATCCTGTAGTGCGTCAATTTCTCCGTCTGAGCGCAAAGCATTTGGTGCGCATCCGCCTCCACCGACGCGCACGATCGGCCTTGGCGACAAGCTTCCCCCAGCTCGTCGCGCACAGTCCGGCTCCTCCAGCGAGTCCGAGGACGATGAGCCGAAGAAGGTGGAGCTTCTACCGGACACCAGTCGCGCGTCCCGTCGCCCGCCCACCATTGATTGCCATAATTATCACGAGTTCAACATCCACATACCTGCATACACTGGCGTCGTGGCTGTGTCCGGACATACTATCGTTATTGCCACGCATCATCATCTGAAGATATATGATCTTTCCGTGTCTGACTCGCCCGTGTGGAATCTCGACTCGAAAGAACTGGGGCTGGACAAGCTGAATGGCTTCAAGGTCACTAGCATGGAGTTCCGACCGGCGGCGAAGTTGGCGGACAGGGGGTGTTTTCTTTGGATAGGAACGAAAGACGGACACCTTGTAGAGCTGGATACAAGATCAGGGACTGTCGTTGGTGCGAAGCCCTTTGCGCATGCGCATACGGTGACGCATATGTTCCGCCACGCGCATTCAATGGTGACCATGGATGACATGGGTAAGGTCCTCGTGTTCACCCCTGATCCAGATAGCGGAGAGGACGTGCGCTTGACGTATACCCAACCCCGTGTGGTCCGGATTGCCGACCGACAGGAATTTGCGAAGCTGGTCGGGGCCCAGCTCTGGACGTCGACGAGGGACCCGAGCAATGGCGGCGGCACGGCGAGCAGCTCCAGAGGGCCGATCGTGCGCGTGTACGATATCTTTACGCCTGGGAGCACGGGCAAGTCCTTGTTGCCTACGGAGCACCTCGGCGCTGTCACTTCTGGCACGATTCTCCCTTCGCAGCCGGAGCACATCTACCTCGGCCACGAGGGTGGACATGTTAGTATTTGGTTGCGGACATCAGACGATGGTGCTCCTCAGTGTCAGGAAGTCATAAAGGTGGCCACATCGGATGTGATGAGCCTGGAGGGTGTCAACAATAGGTTGTGGTTTGGAGGTCGGAATGGCATGATCGTTGCGTTCGACGTTGTGCCGAGGCCGTGGGTAGTGACAAACCGCTGGGCAGCGCATACGAAACTTCCTGTTCTGAGACTCGCCGTGGATACGTGGAGCATCGAGAAGTTGAACCGGCTCATGGTGTACAGTATTGGCAGAGACGAGAAGCTCCGATTCTGGGACGGGTTACTCGGGATAGACTGGGTCGGTGAGTATCGGTGTTTCCGGCCCATTTTCCAGTTGACTAACTTGCGACAGATCAAGAGCTACTGAAACGAGAAACGGAGTTCAGTTCCTTCCGAGATATGAACGTGCTGATTGTCTCCTGGAATGTAGATTCTGCGAAACCAGATACCCTTACTGGATGTCCCGAGAACGTCAACGTCCTTCATGATATACTCACCAGTGTTGATACTCCCGACATCATCGTGTTCGGGCTACAGGAGCTCATTGACCTCGAGAGCCGGAAGATGGCAGCCAAAACTGTTCTTCTCGGTGGAAAGAACAAAACACCAGACGGCACGATTTCTCAGAAGGTGACTACTTCGTACAAAAAGTGGTACGATCGACTGGTGTTGGCGGTACGCCAGGCAATGCCGACTGATATACCATACACGGTTATCCATACGGAGAACTTGGTCGGGTTGTTCAGCTGCATATTCGTGAAGAACACGGAACGGATATCTTTGAACCATGTTGCCATTACCACCATCAAGCGTGGGATGGGGGGTAGATATGGCAATAAGGTCTGTCGTTCTGTGGTCTCTGCGTGTTGGGTTGCTGAGAGGAACTATCGCAGGGTGGCATAGTCGCCCGCTGTGTCATTGACGACACGTCAATCTGCTTCATCAACTGCCATCTTGCCGCTGGCCAACATCACGTTCGTCAGAGGAATGCTGACGTTGCGGCCATCGTAGAAGATAAATCTGTGTTCCCCGAATCGGATGCGCTCCAGGGCCCGTTGGCGTACGTGAATGGTGGTGACGGGTCGATGGTTCTTGATCATGAAATCGTTTTTGTACGTGTACATGGTACTCATGTTTTCGTTGACGTTGATTGTGCTCCAGATGAACGGAGACATGAACTATCGCATCGACCAACGCCGCGACGTGGTTGTCGCCGCGATCAAGGCTGGTGACCTCGACGGTCTCCAGACTCATGACCAGCTGCTTAAGGAGATGAAGTTCAATCGCGGCTTCCGTCTGCGGTCGTTCTTGGAAGGTCATCTCACGTTTGCGCCCACCTACAAGTACGACAGACGGTCGCCGGAGTACGATTCCTCCGAGAAGAGTCGTGTCCCCGCCTGGTGCGACCGCGTTCTCTGGCGCTCGCGTGACCCTTTGCGCGTTGAGCAGTTGCACTACAGACGCTACGAGGCGAACATCTCCGACCATCGGCCGATTTCCGCTGCTTTCAGGATGACGGTGAAGTCCGTGCACCACGATGCGAGGGAGAAAATCAAGGCTGAGATTCATGGGTTGTGGGTACATCGCGAGCAAGGGTTGCTGCAGGCAGCCCATCAATTCTTTGTTGACCAGGCCATGATATGAACGGTCCAACATGCTTTGGCGGCTGGAGTGTGGGCAGGGGATGGCGTGCGCAGTGTGTGGTTGCATCTGATACTCTATGGCATTCGGTAAATAATCGCATGGAATTCTTCATTAGGACATCACATTAGCATCTCGTTTTGTATCCTTCAACCTGTAGCGTATTAGTAGACCTGTTCAGTATTGTAATAGAGAGAGAAAGCACAGGACGTACTGCCTGTATTATCGATGACCCGGATGTGCCATAATATGGCACTTCTGGTCCCGCAGCACGACGTCTTGCTCGATTGTCTGCGGCATCTCAGATAATGTTTCTGTAGCATACAGAGTACTATACACCATTTTTTTAGGATTTTTTTGAGCTGTATTGGACACCTTGGAGAGATGCCGAGGTGTGGCACCAGCCAAATACAGTCTTGCAATCCCGAATTTCTTGGGATCCAAGCGAGCCATCTTTGCTTCCCAAACTTTTACAGCATTAAATTAGGGTATGTATGACTCTCTGTCTATAATTTCGAGGGAATCGGACAAGAGGATCAAACCACAGAAAAAAATATGGCACTTCTGGGTCGTATGGCGTATCCGGGTCACTGATAGTATATGTTTTCCGGACTGTGGCGAATTTCCATACTTGGCAACGCTGTCCGATCTCATCTCGCTGACCCGGAGCACCACTATGGTCCAAGTTACAACTCGCCCTCTACCACCGCTCGTACGGATGGCTCCTCGACTCAACAAACGACAGCTGCGAGAACAAGAGGAACTGCTTGCGCTTGACCATGATGCACTGAAGGAGGAAACTGACACTAGCGAGAACGAGTACGACCGCGTACACAGTGTCGGAGGCTCGGGGCTCGGATTCGCGGCAGTGAGTGTCTCTATTGCATTTGCACGATCCGATGACTGACTTTTCGTGTTTAGTTAATGAGTACTGCTGACGCGTCCGACGAGGACAGTGGTGAGAATGCCGTTGCTCCTCCGTCAAAACCAAAGAAGGCTCGTGAGCGGTTTCCGTTTCGCTTTTCCCGAGGAGTGGTCTAAAGATGATGTTGAGTAGAAGAAAAAGAAAAAGAAACCTACTGCCGCAACACCGCTGTCTCCGTCTACTCCTGTGCAGCAGCCTGGGGCCAAACCGCAAGATGAGCACCTGTCCAACGCTGGACAATCGAAGAAAGAGAGAAAAGTTCTGAAGAAACAGAAGGCAAAAGACAAGGGGGGCACTATGGATGAAGTAGACAAGGCCCTTGCGGAGCTCTCTGTCAAGTACCCCGATCTACGACATGCTGTCGCATCTGGAAGTGCTTCTCCAGCAGCCCGTGAGGCCTCCAGCGTTCTTTCATCTCTGCTGTCCGTCTCCTTGCAGTATCTTGACAGCGAAGCCGAGATGCGAAAATTTTTTGGATCGAAGGTGGTTTCTGCTGCCAAATCTTCTGGAAGCGGATCCTCTTCATCTTCACGACGCACAGTCACACAGCGTTCCAACCTTACACGTCCACGGTCAACATGGTGGCCCGCACAGATGCGAGAGGGCTTATCTATCCGCTTGTTGACGGAGGACGAAGTCCAAGACATGTGTCGTACGCATGATTGGGACCAGTTACCCGGAGAGCGAGTGTGGACGGTAGAGTACAGCAAGAAGTATCGTGGCGTGACTCTCGCATTCATGCAAACTGTGATGTCAGGAGGCGAGTAGGTCTTCAATTCATTCATACTGCAAGTCTCACGAATATCATAGACCCAGAGGGATTCAACCAGATATTGAGACTACTACCGTACCATGCAGATACACTTCTACAATTGTCGGAGGTGTACAATCACCGCGAAGGTAATTCTCATGTTTGTTCCGAGTGCACTGACCTAACATACTATATACCTCCAGAGTATAGTACAGGATCAGATTTCATTGATCGAGCACTGTTCGCCTACGAGCGGGCTTTTGTCGGATCGTTCAATTTCACTAGCGGAGTAAATCGTCTTGATTTTGACCGCGTGGAAAATCGTCCTTTTTTCTTGGCTATACATCGGCAAGTCAGGTACGTGTGCAGCCGATGCTGAACGTAGAAAAAGGAGTAATTTTAGCTTGAAGTGATCTCCAACGCCGAGGATGCGTGAGGACTGCTTTCGAGTTCGCTCGCCTGCTCTATTCTCTGGACCCGTGGACCGATCCTCATGGGGCTTTGCTGCACCTCGATTATCTTTCCATTAAAGCGGGCATGGGGGTTTGGCTGCTTCAGCTATGGGACTTTTTTGCTATGCACGCGAAGGAGCCGGAAGACTTTCATTCTCGCTTACGGGTCACTGTGCTGCCTGGTTGGTCATATACACGAGCCCTGGCATTATATATCGAAGAAGAGAGTAACAAGGAGAAGGTTTGCACTGTCAATTTGGTACATCGACGTAGTCCTCATGTGCCTGTCTACTCAGACACACGAAAGGAGTACAGCTGCTCTTCGAGAAGCCATAGTTGCATTTCCTTCGGTGGTTCCCTTACTTGCGGATAAAGCAGACATCACTCTGTCGGCTGCAGTACGAGGGCACAAGGCTTTCCGTGTGTATACCGATGCCAAGTAAGTAATGAATACTGAATCGGGCGTGATGTAGATTTCACGTCTCTTACCTAGTGCCGTCTCAACCAACGAGGAAGCTATTCTTCAGACTCTTTGCCACCTATATGCTCAGCGCTCCTTCTCACTATGGAAGAGTGCTTCTCGTCCGTCTTGGTTCGCCCAGACTGTCACCTCCACTCTCCCTTCTCTACCCTCCTCCTTCAACGACAATTCGGCGTTGATTGCCCATTTTACCTCATTGTACAGCAGGCCTGCACTCGCATATTCGATATATCGCCACGTCATTGTGCTTGAGACATCATGTCGCAGTCTGTTCTCCTTTCTTCCCCGCTCAGTCACCAGTTCGCGGCATCTCGCATGTGATCCTCTTCCGCCGCCGAGCCGCAAAAATGAATACGATGCGGAGTTTTTCAAAGGTGCGGAGGACGCCCTCGCAATACGACCCAGGAGCCGACGGGCGAGCGAGAGAACGCTGGAGAGACTGATACCGGATCCTGTATTCCGCAGACAGTTACAGGTTTGCCCGCCACTGCTTCCCGGGATTATTTTATGCTCAGTCTAATCTTTGTTTCCCGCCGACAGGCATTCTTTGAAGCGAATCCTCATTTCGCGCGACGCTTCCCAGGCGGGATCATCCAGTTTGCTCAGCTGGCGGGAGAGTTGCCTGAAGAAGTACTGGAAGGTCTGATGATTGCAGAGGCTGCGGGAGGCAACCAAGCCGAGGGAGGGATGCCAGGGCAGATGCCCGGCGAGGGCATATTCGTTGCGGACTTCATCGACGAGGAAGATGGAGCTGAAGACCAAAACAATGCTCAACCTGTTGCTGCTGTCCCTCCTCCAGCACCAGCGGTTCCACCACAGGTGCAGGAAGAAGACGAGAGTGGTGAGGATGACGAGGAGGAGGAGGATATATTGGTAAGTCAATCTTCTGTCATGTCCTGTCTCGGAGCTGACGCGTATGTGCCAGCCACTTCCTGTGCGCTTTTTGAGAACAATGATGAACCGCTTCTGGCCCGCCGGCGCTGCTTCTCCTGGCACTTCGTCTTCTGAAGAAAATGAAGAAGTAGGAGAACCTCTGCACCGTGACGATGACGGGGTGGATTGAGCGACGAAACAGGGAGCGAGAAGTAATGGAATGTAATGACATGTCTACAGTAACGATGAGTATAGTTGCACTTAACTCGTGTTCCTGAGACTGAAGTTGAATCAACGTCCAGGGTGACTCGAACCCAATTTATGTCGATGTAGGGTCCCGTCGCCTATCCTCGTCAGACAATTGTCTTTTCATGTGCATCTCAGTCAAATGATTCAAATCTGATTTCACGATCGTTTGTGCACCCCCGACAGCCGTAACCCTCCGCACTAGAGTGTTTTCCAACGGCTTTTGCGACTAAAAAGTTTGGACGTAGCGTCGCCCCACTTTGGCGGCCAAACTTTGCCGATAGCAAGCGGGGCATCACTCCACTTTCACTCATCTGGCAAGTATGATCAACCATCGCAATCAGTCTAATTCTCGTTGGTATGGAAGGGTCTACACTGGAAATCTCGCTTAAAAGCAATGTTGGAGGTCAGATTTTCAAGTTCTGCTCGATGACACCAGGGCAGGAGTACCACCTGTTCATATGATGCTCCGGAATCTCAAACTGACCCGAGATACCGAGCTGAGTACGTGAAAGATCTTCATAAGTAGAGGTCGGGCTTACCTCGGGCTCATCTATAATACGGGAGGACCGATGACGTGGCGTCTGTGGCAACTGTATCTGCGCGACTGGTCCAATGCAAATGTGTCACTGCACAACATGCGACATAGCACACAATGTCTTGACAAATATGCTTCGGCCTTCGAGTTGCTCTAGCTCTTGGGTGAGTAACCACTAGGTTCCCTCCCGTCGTGGTTGAATTGTAACTTTTGTGACTCATGATCTTCAAGATTACCAGAAAACATGATGTATTGCCAGGTGCTAGTGCAGCCCCACCTGCTGGTCCAACCATCTGGAGATACATACCTCCCTGATTCGTCGTACTGCAACAAATCCTCGGCCTCGGGCTTGCAATTACGTGTGTTCTTTCCGGTATTTTATCTCGGACGCTGAAGATGCGCATCTGAATGGGACGTCAGTGCCCACAGTGATATATACGAGCGTTCCTGCTGATTGCCCGCTCTTTGCCCCCCGGCTATTTCTCTTCCTACAGATTCTTCGGGATGTCTTCGCTCGCCGTTACTGCATCGGGTTCTTTAAGCCGCACTAGGAGGACCCCTCTCGCCACTTGGGCGGAGGACGAACTTCGCACAGAGCGGTATGGCGGTGATGACCCCCGGGACCCGCCTCCTAAAGACAGTGGGGACACACGGCTACCACAGAAGGAAGAAAATTTCGATTACAACAAGGTAACATGGGATGGCCCCGACGACCCAGAGAACCCGCAGAATTGGTCGCACCCGCGCAAGTGGACGATCACGGCGATATGTCTCCTCATGACCATCAATGTGTAAGTTCCCTCGCTCAGCAACCTTTGATTGGTCGCTTAACTTCGTGTACAGGACTTTCGCTTCATCAGCACCGTCACCGGCGAGCACGGTTATAGCAGCGCATTTTCACAAACCCGAGGAGTGCGGGTACCTTGTCACCGCTATGTTCCTCTTCGGCTACGTCTTTGGACCCTTCGTCTGGGGACCAGGCTCTGAGCTCCTGGGGCGTTGGCGAATGTTCGTCGTCGCTCTCTCTGCCTACACAATTCTGCACCTCGGCCAGGCTCTTGCACAGAACATCGAGACGTTGCTTGTTACGCGGTTTCTTGGCGGCTTTTTCGCTGTCAATCCGCTCACGAACTGCGGGGGAGTTATTGTTGACATTTGGGACCCTGTAAACCGGGGTATTGCTACTAGCATGTTCATTGCAGGCGTTTTCCTCGGGCCCGTGCTCGGTCCCATTGCCGGAGGCTTGTAAGTCTTGTCAGCTATGCTTCTATAGATACTCTCTGATCAAGTATTATCCTTGCAGCCTGACCACGAGCTACCTTGGCTGGAGATGGATCTTCTGGATTATGATGATATTCGCAGGGTCCTGTACATTGGTTGCACTGATATTCCTGCCCGAGACATACGCGCCCGTGCTTCTGCAGAGAAAGGTAGTGTGCTCGAAATATTTTAGATTTTGAATGCTAACAATGGTTCGAACACCAGGCGCGCAGGTTGCGAAAAGCTGACCCAATTGCCAATAAGGACAAGTACGCGGAGCATGAACGGGCAGATTGGTCTGTCAAAGGCCTTCTGCACCGCACACTGTATAGACCCATACTCATGCTCATAATGGAGCCGATTCTTCTGCTAATTACAATATATATCTCGATGGTCTACGGCGTGTTATACTCCTGTGGGTCCATTATATCCTTGCATGGATTTCATTCTCATTCTAATGCAGTTTCGCAGTGTTCGAAGCGTTGCCCGTCATTTTCGTAGGGAAGCATGGCTTTACCATCGGACAATCGGGTCTAACTCTCATCGGTGTCGGGATTGGCACTACCTTGGGCGCAATTGCGTTCTGGAGGCAATGCAGTCACTATCCTGAACTCTTGGATAAGTGGCGTGGATTTCCTCCCCCAGAGGAGCGTCTGTGGGGCGCTATGAACGCTGGACTAGTCCTTGTCATCGGGGCTTTCTGGCTAGGCTGGACAGGCAACTACCACAGTGTGCCTTGGATCGTACCCGCACTCGCAACAATACCAGTGGGATACGGCGTCAGCTTGGTGTTCATTTCATTCGTAGTGAGCGCTCGCCTCTTGGATGTATGTCCGCACGCCGTGCTGACACAGGATGGGCCAGTCGTATATTGTCGACACGTACCTCATGTATGCAGCTTCCGCACTTGCCGCAAATACCCTGGTGCGGTCCGCCGTCGCTGGGGGCTTCCAGCTTTTCACCGTCCAGATGTACAAGAATGTGCGCACTCCTTTTTTTCGCCGTTAATCATATGCTCACTTTTCGGTGTAATCGGTAGCTGGGCATCAACTGGGCGTGCACGCTAATAGCACTCGTCTTGTTACTCCTGGCGCCGAGCCCGTTCCTTTTCTACAGGTATGGCCGCTTAATTCGGAAGAAGAGTCGATTTTCGCCATCTCCGGTGAGTAAGGCGACCCTACGCATGTGTAGCGGATGCTGACTTCTGAAACGTCAGGACCTGCGTATTGCAGAATTGCTCGAGGCGGAGGCCGCGGAAGTAGCGACTCAGGCCAGCTCTGATGAGCCCGAGAAGAAGGTCTGAGACGATGTCGCCCAAGGACATTTTGTATTTTATTGGCATCACGTCCACATTATGACCGCCACGAACGCCCATCATACAAGACACGCACTAAGATACCGCCGCATATCCTACAGTACATTTATCCTCCTGCTATCGGTTTTAGCTTATGCCCACACTAAGTACAGTATTGGCATCAGTAGTGTCGCATTAACGAAGTTGTCACCATTACTGCTACCACATTCTAGGGGAGCGGCCTCCGGAGCGGTCGTTGCAATCATTGCGATATAGCGATTAAAATATACATTTTAAATTTAATCCGACGAATAGATGTGCAGCCAACAGCACGCATATCTACAGTCCTTCGGCGAGTTTCAGAATGACAATTGCCCGCGAGAAAGGGGGTAGACTGTAGACATCTCTATAACATCGCTGACGAAGATATCACAAATCGTAAGCGACCCGGGCGCCCATCCAAGCATAAGGATAATTATGCTGGTAGAAATTGCGGACCGTACGGCGATTTGCCAGGCAGGGAATGGTGGCATATGATGCGCCGAGCTGTGAAACAAGAGTTCAGAATAAATGCCCGTTAATTCTCGGAGAATGAGCGTAGAGACGTAGCGCGATTTAATGTTTCGTATCGAAGAAATCGGACAAGTAACTGAAGGGGTTGGCATCAAGGCCGAGTCAGGCAGTGTACGAGTTCAGGTAGCAATGCATGCATCCGGGAAAGGTAGTCATTCCGGTGAAACCGTCATGCCGGTCGAACAGAGTCGAAGTCTACGCGCAGACATCACCGTTAGAGCCTCTTCCGCGATCATGCTCTCCACCTGCCACCGCACTGCAGCCAGACGAGGAGACTACGAAGACGACGTGAATGCTCACGGTAGCGGGTGCCAATCCCTGAAGCCTGTATTGGCTACTTCTTCGCAATTAACCTAGTATGTGTCAAGGAAGCGACAGCTCAGGCACCGTCCGGATGTGGCCGCCCTTGGAAGCTGCATGTACGAGGTGAGCACCGGCCAGTGCTTCGCCACCCCCATCGCGATCGGTCCATACAGCGTGCGCACCTCAATCTCGCCCGCGTCCGCAATCCAGCTTGCGGGCAGCGCGACGGAAGCACGCGCTGGCCCGCGCCAGGACCTCGCCGACCGTGATGGGCCGCCATTCGACTTTAAAACGCCCGCTCGATGGCGCGCTCTGTTGTCCTGGGCGAAAGTATAGCCGTGCACACTCTCCTGCAGCCAGGAAAACAGGTCGTTCGGCTCGCGTCGTAGTGCCCTATGGAGAGTATGCACGGCCCGAGCGTCGCGTAAGATGTGGACGGGGCAGGGATCGTGTGTCACTGCTCAGCGAGATATGCCTGCGCACTGGATACAAAAGCGTCTCTGAAGAAATTTATTGACCAGCAGGAGATGGGCGAGGTCAGGTCAGACGAACCTCGATATGCAATGCAGATACACCAGCCATCGCAAAACTCGCTGAGGGAGGGCATGTTGTAGAGGTGCCCGAGGTGGGACGCAGACGAGAGAGGCTGTTCGAGGATATGGACGGTGTGGGAGCCATGCGGGCCGGTGGTGAGAACTGGACGAGTAGACGCTTGGGAAGCCATGCAGGCGGGAGTTCTCGGCAGAGTCCGACACGGCCGAGGGGAGGACTTTGGACGGATGAGAACGCGCTCTCGAGTGTGCCAAGGGAGGACTACAGCTAGCAATGGCCCCGGGGTATACACTGGTATACAGCATCGCTCATGCATCGCCCATGACTGACAATTTAATGCAGAGATCGAGGGGCGAGGCGCTGGCCGTGGGCCAGGGCGCACGACGATACGCCTCAGCCCGATGACCTCGAATCACCCGGTGAGCTTTCCCCGTCTCTCCTCCTCTTCCTCCTCTCATTCATGGCTCACCGTCCTACAGACCCTGGCTTTTCGCCGTCCCAGGATCCCTTTGACGAGGCGTATACTTCACCCCCCACCCTCCCCCAGGACGTCCGCTACAGCACCCTCTCTGCCGACACCAGCGCCAATACCTCTCTTGGCGCGTTCACTCCTTCAGCCGATTCCAACCGTCCCTTCATCAATTCTCAGCCCCAATTCGACTCCCTTCTCAAGTCCGAGTACACAGCCGTCGACATCCCCTCATCTACTGACATTAACCCTCGTCGCCGCCGTCTCCCTCTCATCCTCCTCGCTTCCGCCGTCGCCATCATAGTCATAGTCCTTGCCGTCATCCTCCCTGTCTACTTCGAGGTCATCAAAAAACATCACTCATCGTCTGCAATCGCTCCTGCTGGTTCCAGTTCTGGTTCCACCGCTCCTGGTGCCGCGCCAACTTCAACTCCCAAGTCCTCGAACGGTGCTACTTGGGGCGGCAATGGCTCTCTTATCACTGCCACAGGCGGTACCACCTTCACCTACATAAATAATTTTGGTGGTTACTGTACGTTCCTCCTCACTTCACCACCTACTGTCCGTTTATCCGCCATCCCAGGGGTATATGATCCGCGCAATCCATACAACAACAGTGCACGTGCTCAGTCTTACACTCCCCCTCTGGACGAACCTTGGGACTATGCCAACGATCATATCCAAGGTGTAAATCTCGGTGGTTGGCTCGTCCTCGAGCCTTTCATCGTACCCGCTCTCTTTCAGAAGTATCAAGGTGTCGTTGACGAATGGACATTGAGTATCGCCATGTCCAACGACACGAGCCCGGGCGGTGGTTTGCAGCAGATTGAGGATCACTATGCTACTTTCATCGTGAGACTGCTTCGTCTCGTCGTCGCCCATTTCGCTCAATAATCGTTACAGACCGAACTCGATTTTGCGCAGATCGCGGGTGCAGGTCTTAATTGGATTCGGCTTCCGTTACCCTTTTGGGCGATAGAGGTGTGAGCCATACCAAGCTCTCCAGAATTGACGCTTACCCGGTGGATCAGACCTGGCCAGGTGAACCCTTCCTTGCGAAGGCCTGCTGGAAGTACGCGCTCCTCGCTTTCCAATGGGCTCGCAAGTACGGGCTGCGCATTTACCTCGACCTTCACACCGTGCCGGGCTCGCAGAACGGCTATAATCACAGCGGTCGCACTGGCGTTATTAATTTCCTGAACGGTCCAATGGGCATCGCAAACGCCCAACGCACATTGGATTACATTCGCATCATCACCGAGTTCGTCACGCAAAACGATTATACTGATGTCGTCCAGATGTGGGGCGTTGTCAATGAGCCGTTGATATCCGTGATCGGCAGAGACCCCGTATCCAGATTGTATGCACTCTTTTCTCAACATTACTGTGTTGCCTGCTCATCATATGCCTACCAGTTACCTGCAAGCCCACGATATGATCAGAGGAATTGTATGTGGGCACCTCAATCTGTTCTGGGTTATATTCTCATCCCTGCTTCAGACTGGTATTGGTCAAGGCGCGTACATAGTCATCCATGACGGCTTCATGGGTACCGGGTCGTGGGCGGGATTCTTACCAGGTTCCGATGTGCGAACCTAGCTTCTCATCAGGTTTGTTGTTAGCTAATGTTACCCTATAGCGCGTCGCGCTTGACACGCATCCCTATGTCGTATGTTATACTATCTCTGACGTATCCCGCGCATTCGCCTCACACTTCTCACAGGTGTTCGGTGTTAATATGGACGAGCCCATTGACTATTGGCCGCCATTTGCGTGTAATGCATATGACACCAACACATCTCAGTCGGCTTTCGGTGTCACTGTCTCTGGAGAGTTCAGCTCGGCGATAAATGACGTGCGTGCTCATAACCAATCGAAGTCCGTGTGCTCATATATCAGTGTGCGTTCTGTACCGCGGTCAAACGCCTCAGTGTGGATTATGGATCAACGGTATTGGTGGAGAGCCAAGGTATAACAACTGTACACCGTGGAATGACTATCGCACATGGACAGATGAAATGAAGGCAGGTGTGAAGCAGTTTACAATGGCCCAGATGGACGCTATGCATGTCGCCGGCTATTTCTTCTGGACGTGGAAGGTACGTCTCTGGACAATTGTCATCAGAAGAATACACGACTGAGTGTTGCCAAGATTGGCAACTCGTCAACGTCAGGAATTCCTGAGGCTCCCATGTGGTCGTACCAGCTGGGTTTGGAGAATGGTGCGTAGCCTGTGTTCTATGTTAGTGAGGGCTGCCTAAGTAGCCTTTCTAGGATGGATTCCGGCTGATCCTCGAGACGCCATTGGCATGTGTGAATCGCTCAACATCGCTCAGAACCAACCGTTTACAGGTTACCAATCCTGGCAGACAGGTGGGGCGGGTGCTGGAACGATTGCCCCAACTGCAGTTGCATCCTTGTCTCAGTATCCCCCGCCTGCGATCTCCAATGTCAATGGTGCAAATCCCTTGTTACTTCCCTTCTACACTGCGACCAGCGCAGTGCCGACGCTACCAGTGCCGACATATTCAGGGGCGACCGCGAGCGCTAGCGATGGATGGGCAGACCCTGCAGATACATCGCTGGCAATGGTACAGATCTCAGGGTGTAGCTATCCAGATGCGTGGAGTGTCACGGCGTCGCAGACTGCCTTCGCCTGCAACATTGCCCTTCAGGCTACACAGACCGGCATACCACCGGCCGTCACGAGCAACTCGCGCCTTTCATCTCTATCGTCATCAGCTTCGGCCTTGGCTGCAGCCGTCTCGTCGTCGACACCCGCTGCCTCCGCATCAGCGTCGAGCCCGCTGGTTCGTTGACAGACACATTGGACATATATGGGTTTACGTCTGTTTCATGGACATTTTATACTTGCCATGATACGGACGATCTACGTAGAAGGGCTTTTTTGTTGTAGCTGCGATACCAATACCAAGGATGCTTTTCCAGACAGTTTTTCCTTACTATATAGTATCCATCGGTATTCGCAATATTCCGTACTGCTACTACATTGGTACAATTAGGCTTGATGCTTTTCTTCCGCCTCCCTAATGGGCTGATTGCGTACTTTTCCCGGCCCCCTTCTTATATTCTAACCCACCTTGGTGAGCATTTCGCTCTCCATGTTTTTCATGTACGCGCTCATCGCATCTGACAGATAGGGCATTCCAGATGCGATAATGCGAGCTACTTGTAGCCCAGCGTTCGTACTATTATTGATGGCAACCGTCGCGACTGGAATACCTTTCTGTTTGTGATCTAGGTCAAACGACAGAACGAGCGGTGTGCAGTATGTACCTCACGGACATTTGCACTATGCTATGCAGTGAGTCCCCGCCGTCTGAGGAGCTTCCCTTAACCGGGACTCCAATCATAGGAAGAGCAGTCATGGCAGTGGATATGCCCTGTAAATGAGCAGCACCTCCACTGTCCGGCACCAGCGATGATTGTCCCAAGTCCTCTCGATGTAGCTGAGGGCGCATACTCGACCATGTGATCCGGCGTGCGGTAAGCAGAAACGGTTGGGAGCTCATACGCGACGAGCAATCAAGGACCCTCACGGCAGGAAGCATCATGGGCAGACCTCAGTCCGAACCCATGATAACGCCTACCAGTGGTTGCTGGTGTGCGTGCCCAGATACGGGAAGGGGTGGTAACAGCGCCTGGCGGTCAACTTCGTCCACGTCGCCGCCGGAGGGAAGCCGCTCCAAAAGGGTACGCGCAGTTCCCAGTCCGAGTTTGTTACAAGGGCGATCTGTGGCCCATCTTGCGGTCCTTGCAACTCAGACTTACGGTATAGGTGAACGCGCACACCAGGGATGGTCAGCGCATGGTGTGCCAATGTGGTAATCTCCAACATAATTGATGAGACACCCATGATGTTGAGCATTGCAGCTGATGCGACTTGAGGGCGGCGATGGGCACAAGAGGGAGGGGGCGGATGGCGCGAAGGTGATTGTGGTACTGGGAAGTCTCGCAGGCTTCGATGATGTACCAGAGTTGTGGGGCCGGGATGTTTGCTCAGGCATTAGCGTAGAAAATCTTCGGACGATTGGATATTGTACCGTCTTCCAGGAGAAACAAACATCTCCACTCCAAACACTTCCAGAGTCTTCACCACTGCCTCCACCACTGCCGTGGTTCGAGAGAATACAGTAGGAACTCGGCTGCGAATACGAGATGACATATTCTGCTTGTGGATTGTCTCAACAACTGGGTAGGAACGTACATCGCCGGTGGTGGATCGGACAATTACCCCATGGTCCAGCGTGATCTAGCGCATCCGTACCGACCTCTGCACAACAGGCACGGAGTAAATCTGCAGCAATTTCCTTCACAAACGGCACCCGCTTCTCCGCATAGCGGTCTAGACTCCAGAGCAGATGTAGCTGCCTCAATTTGAGAAGGCTCCCGGATGACGAAATTTCCTCTGCGGTCGTACGCCAGGTGCGGGTCTTCAGTATCAGTGGTAAACCCAGTAGGCTGGCGGCATGTTGAATTGCTTCAACCCGGAAGCCGGACAACCATGCGAGAACAGATTATGCTTCTGAAAAGATTTATCTGGACTATACCAATGGTTGATGGTCTAGGATGCACGCCTTAGGTACTGTCGACTCCACTTGTTCGTGCACAGCGACATCAGCGTGTTCTTTTTCAATGGTGAGTACATCCACGTTGGGAGCGACTCCGCGGATTTTTTGAGTATCAGCGAAAGGTTCATCGGTCCATCACAGCCGAGGAGTCCTTGGTGCAACCACCTGGTTTGCGGGAGTCACGGTATAGTCTCCGAATCACAACATCGATGTTCAGCAGAGATGCTGAGGCAGCCAACATACGGCCGAGCTGGCCACCACCTGTGAGACAAGGAGATGGATTGAAGGCGAAGGCTCAGCCTAGAGTACATGCAAGAGGCGCAGGAAGGACATCTGGGACGAATCTTAATCAGACCAAGCCGACGATATATGCATGAGCAAATGACCCACTCCCAAACCTGAAATTCCAACAACTTTGTCCATTCTACCTTGTGGTGTGTCGATGCAGTGAAGAACAGGCTGAAGTACAGACGAATTCAAGCAGCAAACGCAGGCTACGGGCAGCCTCCTCCTCATTGTCTTCCGATTCCAATTCTGACGACTGAGCCATCCTCTACGAAGCCTGTGCCTCAGGCTAGAGCACAAATACCAGTCGTAGAGCCGTTGACTTCAGAAGGCTCCGAATCCGAATCTGACCTGTCGTTGGATGCTGGACATTCGCAGACCAACACTTGGGCCTATAAAAGTACACATGGTGTAACCACCACCGAGAACGCCGGCCCCACCACGACGACCGCCTAAGCCTTCATTCTCCTGCACCCTCCAAAATGCCTCGGTTTTCAAGCAGAAAAACAACTGCATAGAATTATGCAGTTCTGGTCTATTCCGCTGGACAAGAGGGAAAAAAGTAAGAACACCTCGTCCAAGCTGAGCCTGGCAGAGTGAAGAAGTTTCAGATGCAGTCATCCCCAAGAATCCACTGAATAAAAATAGTGTTAGTAGCTGTCCATGCTCACAGGCAAAGCAATGACACGAACATCATTGATAGCATCCCGGTGTGTTCCGTGCAGTTATGATAGATACATCTTGAAAGCGAGCTTCGACTGAAGCAAGTCCCCCAAATGCATACCATCATCCAGCGGCTTGCGCTCGCTCGAGCATCTTATTCACAGCGACGGGTCTGCCACTGGCCGGATGCGCCATGTCTGCTAAACGTGCCTCACGCATCCGGATAAGCGAGCGGATTAGGAACATGGGTGTAACGAACGACTGGACAGTATCCTGTTTGCCGTCTGCGGTACCGCCGCGGAGCGCACCGGAGACGTCACGTTTCCGCCCGGTGGTAGCAAACGCGCCGCGCGCGGACTCGGCGTTCGGGTCTTCCTTGTACCGGTCCCAGAGGGTGTAGAGCGAGACCATTTCCTGCGCAATGGTCGCGATCAGCGGCATGCTCACATGAAGGCCTGCCATAAATCCGACGATATCCTGTGGCTGCTTCTTGTGGCTGCTAGAGGTAGAGCGCGCGGAGCGCCGAGGAACCGAAGACGTGGACAGTAGGGGTTGGCTAGCAGAGTGGGAAAACTGCGCAGGCTGCGTATGGGACTGCACCTGCAGCTGGATGGTCGTACGCGTGGACGAGTGTAAAACAAGGCTCAGGTAGATGGCCGTGATGGCTATGAGATGGGGCGGATAGAGCAGACAGAGATCAGAGCGGTAGGTGTCATTAATAATGAACCTAGAGAGCGCTCAGTATGTGGCATGAGTAGAAACAGAACGAACGTAAGTACCATGCCATCTGCAGGGCTCCTTCCTGCAGCTCGAGTCTGCCCTCACCGGTACCCCAGTAGCGCGACCCATCGACGGCGCCTGCACCAAGCTCTCCAGCTTCGGTTTCTAGGGCAGTCGAGGCACCCTCCTTGACGCACATTGTCATAAGCGTGCGGTATGGATGGAACACAGTCAAATCGCATTCAAGGTCGTCGACCAGATAGAACTCCATTTCTGCGAGCTTGGAATTGTCCGAGGGAAAGGACTTGACGCCGTACTCTTCGCCTAGTGACGAGATTAAATGCGAGCGACGCGTGGGAGGAGTGGGTACGTACTGCCAAAAAGCATGCGGGCTTCGGAAACGACATTCTTTATGTGGACCGGAGACTCTTCTGCCTTGGAGGCAACATAGCAGCAGGCGGCGACAACAATGAAAGGGTCAGTCTCGCAGTAGGAATTCTTTACGTAAAAGCGGCGGAAGAAAACGGTTGCCGTCGCAATGACGCGCTGTCTCAGCTGGAGTTTCTTGCCGAGCTTGGAGATGACTAGGAACAAAATGAGAAAAGGACGTGAGCATGAGTTGGGGAGCGTACTCACGGTTGGCAAAGAAAATGGCGAGAAATTCGAGATGATCTGGGCTGTCAACATATTGCAGATCATCTGCACGGGCCTGTGTGAGAGTAGCCCTGTCGAGAATCCAGCGTTTGCTGTAGCAGAGATATGGATGAGGGATGCCAGCGGTGGGAGAGAGAGTAGGGAGACTTACTAGTGAGAGCTCGCCCAAAAATTCGTGGCCATACGCGGTTAGGTGGTGGTCATTGGGGAAGTCGCGGGCGACGACGGGGAGGAGGAGGACGGCGACAGCGATGCGGGGCAGGTCGTCGTCGCTGTCCGGGGCAACTATGGGAAAATCCTCCGAGGTGGTCCGACGGGCCGACATCAAAAGCTCTCGTCACGAGGAGATCGTGCTTTCGTCTCTACCACCTCGACTTCTGGCTCGAGCTCATCGTCCTTCACGACGTCCACGATGTTCGCTCGCCCAGCCGTCCGCGCTCTCTCTCACTCCCGCCAGTTCTCCTCGTCTGCTGCTCGTCAGACCAAGGTCGCTGTCCTCGGTGCTGGCGGAGGAATCGGTCAACCGCTCTCCCTCCTTCTCAAGACCAACCATCTCGTCACCTCCTTGAGCCTCTACGATATACGCGGTGCTCCTGGTGTTGCTGCCGACATTAGCCACATTGATACTGCCAGTGAGGTGTGTCCCTCTCTTGTTCTAGCACAGCAGGTGTTCATCTACTCTTGCCGTAGGTGCACGGTTATCCCGCAGACAAGCTCGACCATGCCCTCGAGGGTGCCCAGATCGTCGTCATCCCCGCTGGTGTTCCCCGCAAGGTACGTTCAGCTCTCTGACCTCATATTTCCGCCAACAACTCACTGTTAGCTCGAATAGCCCGGCGTAAGTCATCATAATGGTTACCGCTAATTGCCGTTCTAACTCCGTGTCCAGATGACCCGTGACGATCTCTTCAACGTAAGTGGTTTTCCATCGCGTCGTACGGCACTCTGAACCGTGCACGCAGACCAACGCTTCCATTGTCCGTGACCTCGCAGCGGCGGTCGCGCGCGTCTCACCCGAGGCGTGCGTTCTCGTCATCTCCAATCCCGTTAATTCCACTGTCCCCATCGTGTCTGCCGTCCTGGAGAAGGCCGGTGTTTACGACCCCAAGAAGGTATTCGGCGTGACGACGCTCGACGTCGTCCGTGCTGCTCGCTTCCTTGGTGGCGTCACCGGCACCTCACCGAACGACACCCGAGTGACCGTCATCGGTGGGCACTCTGGTGCGACGATTGTTCCTCTACTCTCGCAGACTCCGTACGGCAAGGGCGTCACCGGCGAAGCCTACGTCTCACTGGTGCACCGCATTCAATTTGGTGGTGACGAGGTCGTCCAGGCTAAGGGGGGCGCGGGCAGTGCAACTCTCTCTATGGCGTACGCAGGTGCCAGGTTCACTGACGCTGTCCTCCGCGGTCTGAATGGCGAGAAGGGCGTGGTTACTCCTACGTTCGTCAAGAGCCCTCTGTTCGCGGACCAGGGCGTCGATTTCTTCTCGACCAATGTTGAGCTCGGTGTACGTGCCGCTTCATTTGATCTCACTACATCCACTGACTTGAGGTGGTATGCAGCGCAACGGTGTCGAGAAGATTCACCCAATTGGCCCCATCTCGGCAGAGGAAGAGAAGCTGTTAGCAGCGTGCTTGCCCGACCTGAAGAAGAACATTGAGAAGGGCAAGAAGTTCATGTCGCAGTAGCACTAGCAGTCATCGTGGGGGTCGTCGTGGCAGCCGCCGTATAAAAGCATTCGTATAGATGCGTTCGACATACATGAATCTAATCCATCATACCACCACATTCCGAGGTTCTGTGACTCGAGCAAGTTGGTGTACAGTAATTGTATGCTTCTGCGTGAGGCCAACAAGGCTCACTTGAGGTCATCTGTGACTCTGTCCATGGCCTTTCACTATCGTGAATCCGTCCTGGTCCACTTCGAGCACCTCCTTGCGCGGTCTCTGCTGAACATCCAGGAGCGTCGGTGCATCGTCCTCCCCGTTTTCGCCTTCGTCGTCATCGTCATCCTCCCGATCGCTATCATCTGCCGCCCCCTCTTCGGCCTGCACCTGTTTGCCCTTCACCTTCTCCGCCTGCTCCTCAAAGGCGAGTACCATCACGGTGCGACCCACAGCAGCCTCGTCCCAGAGCTGCACAACGTCTCGCGCGACCTCTTCCGCACTGCCATCCTCGAGGACGGCATCGAATTCATCCTCCATGATCTGCAGCAGCATGAGTTCGACGTACGCCACGTCTGGCACGGGGTCCTCCTGCTCGAACGCGTCGACGAGTGTGGATGCTAGCCAGTTGCTCTTCGCGATGGACGACGGCCCGCCCCATGCCTGGGCGATGGCGATGCGAAGGGCAGGCCAGATGGCGAGGCGAGCAATGACTCCGCGGGCGAAGAGGACAGAGGATGACATCGTTTCAATTCCCAGGTCGACTCGCGAGCTTCAGCGAAATTTCAGTCGTCTGTCACGTGCGTGCCTCTGTCTTTTTCTTCTTCACATTTCATCGCCCTTCGGCTAGCCTAACTAGAAGGACTAGAATTCGCAAGCTGAAGCCGATCAAGCTTTCTTGAAAGACTGCATGCTCAGCGCGGTCGCAGCCCGCAAGGCGCGTCTGCAGGGACCCGCGACAACCCAGCCTGTGGCTGTCATCCCCACACCTACATCACCCCCCGCACCCTCGCTAACGCCTGTCTCAGAGCCCAGAATAGTACCCAAGCTGCAGTCAAAGCGGAAGGCCGCGGTGCAGGTAGAAAAGCCACCGAGCAAGAAGAAAAAGCACGCGCACACTGCAGAAAGCGACAGGCGCACGCGCTACTTCGAACAGCCGGACGTGTTCAAGCAGCAGGGCGACGCGAATCTCGTCGACGATGACCATGCAGACGAAGACACTGATACGTCTGGGGACGACATGCCAGTCGATGGCGCTCAGCTGAATCCGCAGATCATTGGAACAGATCAACGGAAAGGAGCAACGCGACGAAGGGCTTGGTCCCCCAGTGCACCGGATTCATCGGATGACGAAGAGGACGGCGTCGTAGAGGGGAATGCACTGCCTTCGCTTGTGCCAATTCTTGCAGAGCATCTACGCGCCGTGTCCCACGACGCTCCCTCGGTGCTCTCGACATTCAAGCCTGCTTGGGAAGAGAACATCTTCCGTCTTTCGCAATCAGAAGTGCACGACCTCAGCCTGCCATCATACTCCGAACAGACGGGAACTCTACTTCTTTTGACCGCAGAGGAGACAGTCACGCTTCTCGGAACATACTCGCTGACTGTCCTGCGAGGCTGCATCTCCTTCGCTGGGGTCGTGCTCACACCATCACGCGTCTCCCATCGCGTATTCGCCCCGCGTTCATCTCCTCTGCCTGTGATCAAATGTTTGGCATTGAAGGTACCTCTCAGAGATTTATCACTCCCTGCACGTCTCCGCACTACTGCGACTAGCATGGACGCGGCTGTTTTGTTGCAAGAATTGCATACAGGCGTCCAAGGTTTGGGTGCTGTATGCCGGACGTTCGACGGCGTGTTCTCTCCGTCACGTTCGCAGAGCAACGTCTCTGCGTTCGATCTTAACCTCCGAGGTGTCCATCTCGTATGCATATATCAATTCGCTCTTGAGAAATACTTACCTCGTTCATCTCTAGGTGAGGCACTGCACGCATGACATATCTGTGCTCGTCATTCCTCCATCATGGGAAACGGCGATGTCGCCGATCCTCCAGCCAGCTGCACAGACGGACTATTCACGGCGAGTATATCTTGTGAAGGGACCCCAGAATTCTGGCAAGAGTGTGTTCGCAAGAACGCTGCTCAATCGACTCCTGACGCTGTAGGTTTTTCGTTCTAGTGGAGGCAGTCACGTCTTGATATTCACTTCGTTGCCAGGTATCGCAGGGTGGCATTTCTTGAGTGTGATCTCGGTCAATCAGAGTTCGTTCCAGGAGGAATGGTTGCTGTGAACGTCGTAGACAAACCTGTCTTTGGTATGCCTTCACACTTGAGCGAGATAGCTTTTCACAAGTTCGATCATCACAGGCCCACCGTTCACACATCCAAGTATCCCCCACTCGGCACACTACATCGGTGCTGCCACCCCTCGCAACTCCCCCTCACACTACCTCGACTCTGTCCAGGCTCTTATACAAACATATAATGTCCACCTGCAGCACGCCGGACTTGTGGATGACACTTCTCAAGGTGTGAGTTCCGACGAGGACCGCATCGTAGACCTGATACCTCTCGTTGTCAACACGATGGGCTGGACGAAGGGGCTCGGCGCTGACTTATCGAGGAGAGTCGAGGAGATTACAGATCCTTCTGACATCTTCGAACTCGGGTGCCGAGTCCCTCAAAGGGTCTGGTCCTATTCACCCAGTGAGATCAGGACTTACCTCCTGGAACCTGTACCATCGACTGTTCTCTCACATCGTTATACACCTGCCGATAACCGAACGTTGTCCATGCTTTCCTATTTTTACGCCGTATTTCCGGTGAAATCGGATGCCTCAGCTTTGCAAAATTGCACTGCAATGTCCTGGAGAACATCGCTCCCTCTATGCGCCCAGCCGCCGTACGAGGTTGACTGGAAGAGCGCGTTTGACAGGACTTTCCTCACCGGTGCAGGCACGGAGGATGTGGTTCCGACGGAGATACACCGTGTGCTCAATGGCGCCATTGTCGCTATGGTGAGCTGCGAGCCAGACACCCTCGATACCGAGACAGACGATATGACAGCGGCCTGGTCGACCTCCCCACCATACAAACAAGACGCGGCCCCACCGACTCCTTTCGGATCCTCCTGCGCCGGTCTCGCACTCGTGCGGTCACTATCGCCTGTCCCTGCGTCTGTGTTACATCTCCTGACGCCCTTGCCTCCGCACGCATTGTCCCGCGTGCGTGTGTTGGTGAAGGGGGAGTTGGAGTTGCCGGTATGGGGCATGCTGGACTTCCGCGCAGGTGACGGCGGGGAGATTGCCGGGGTCGAGAGCGGGAAGGTGCCGTATCTGCGGTGGGGCAAAGGCGAGGGCACGGGTGGTGACAGGCGGCGGGTGCGTAGGAATTTGATGCGCCGTGGGCAGATGTAGTAATCGAGATCTGTAGTATTACTCCACGAAACCCTAGCAGGCTATAGTATACCATTGAGACTCTAAGAAGAAGCAAGGCACAAGTGCAACCTTAGAGTAGAGTCTGTGTGCAAGACAGTGGGCACTTAGCAGTTTGAAAGTCGATTATGCGAGCTAAGCCAAAATTCTAAAAAACTTCTATGAGATAGTTATCTTGGCATAGGTACATGACATAGTAGGCTGTTAAGGTGATCCTTGTAGAATGAATATTAATGACTTTTAGTCATGTTTTTATATAGACTTTATAAAATGACATAGTAATATCATTTTGAAGCCCTTTTTCAGCTGAATCTTTTAGAATGCATACTAGTCACTTTTTAGTAATGTTTTTATATACTTTTTTGCAAAATAACATAGTAATATCATTTTGAAGCTAGTGCAGAGCAGGGGTATGGATAACACTCAAGGGTCAGGAGTAAGGGTATCCGAGGGTAAGGGTAGGGGTATGAACTTTCAGACCCTTGTACCCCTGGAGGGTATCACTGCATATAGTATATATAATGTAAGCAGTAGCTGTATGGTGAATAAAGCCTAAGTACAGTCTAGAGACAGCCTTAAACTATGTTTACAGAAGCTCCAAAGGGAAAAGAAGACTGTTACAAGCCTTAAACTGAATGTTTATATTGTTATTCCCTCAAATAAGGCAGATATTGAGGGGTATACCCTCAGGGTTTGGTACCCTTACCCATACCCTTACCCCTGATGAAGGGTATGTACCCTTGGAGGGTAGGGGTAGGGGTACAGCTCAAAGTACCCAGGGGTATACCCCTGCTCTGCACTATTTGAAGCCATTTTGCAGCCGAGTCTTTTAGAATGCATACTAATCACTTTTTAGTAATAATTGTATATCAATTTTATAAAACTACATAGTAGCATCATTTTGAAGCCATTTGTCAACTGAGTCTTTTAGAACACATACTAGCTACATCTTAGTAACATTCTTATATAGTTTTAATAAAAGAACAGAATAATATCATTTTAAAGCTACATTTTAGATAATTCTACTCTGAGATACTTAGCAATATGTTAGACTATTATCAGGCAGCTACAAATAGATTATTATGTACATTATACTACATTATCAACTGATATTAAATGGCAGGCGACATAGCAGACTCATGTGATAACATAACATATTATTATTGTAAATGGTAGGCGACATAGCAGACATATAAGACTCATGTGATAACATAATATATTATTGTTGTAAAGTGTGTCACATAGTCTAATGCATTATTATAAGATTTTTATAAACTACGATCAGATGACATGTTATAAGTAAGTCAAGAGTATAATATTATTAGAAGCTTACTATATTAGACTAATCAATATACCAGTTATTGAATAACATTACAGACTAATATAATTTAAAAAGCACTAGCATTTTCTTGTAACTTTTTGTATAGACATATAGATGGCATGCTGAACTATGGCAGTACTGTTATCAAATATAAAATATTAGATGAGTAGAATACTAAAATATTGTAATGCAGATATTAATAATACTTAGAGTATCTAAATAGTATTATAAGTCATTCTAATACTTTATTTCTTTTGGTTATCTGTATAAAATGAATTTTTACATAAATTTAGTTGAAATAAAAATAAAGTTTCAGAGCTTCAAAAAATTATACACTAACAAGAAAGACTTGAGTTCTTTATACTCATTAGTATAATATCAAATTTTAGTAGATTTTCATCTAAAGTGGCTGTTTTGAGTGAACAAAATGGTGAAACCTTTAAATAGATACTGAATGAAAATACAATATGCTATGCAATGCAATGGACCACTCTTTACAAGTAATCAACTACTAAGGAGTAATACAGAATAATTAAAGCATGTGAGAATAATTAGATGATGAGAGAAAGGCAGGAACGCTGGACCTCAGGAATTGTTCCTGCCATGCAAAGCAGTGGCCTACTCCCCACAAATAGAGTATCAAGAGCCATTTTACCTTGAGTCAGTGGTCGTGACTTCCAGCCAACTACAATACCTTCAGCACCGTTGGTGACACCACATTCAGTTGCTTCATTGTTCTTAATCATAACTGGCAGCCCAATACATAAGGATAATTTACCTGGATGATGATTGGTACAACAGTGTGGCAAGTTCCAGAGTTTTTCCTGCAAGTGTGGACTGATCTTATTTGATGATCACTTAGGATCTACTGTAGCAGACTTCTTCTTTGATTTTCTCTTCTTGTTACTAGTATCTTCTGACTTCCAGCTGTCTACAGAATAAAATGTCTGAAGTGTCTGACCAGTCTCTCTGGCAAACTGTGCAGAGCCAAGTTCATTGATTCGATCATGACATGCATTGAAGCTTATTATGATAGACACATATCTGAACCTTGCCTGACAGAGTTTAGGTTTGTCAGGACCCCTTCCAGCTATTCTAGACTGGAGTAGCTTAATGTCTGCCTTAGTACAAGACTAAATTCTCTAGTGCTGTTCGCAACTTCTTGTCTTCTTCACTTTGTGACCGTTGACGCATGTTCTCTCGCAAAATAACTACAGTAGTGACCTGATGCCATAGTGCCTTGCCAATAGAGGCCTCCTGCTGTGAAGGACTATATGTTGTATGAATAACTGGTTCAATAACATAATGGACAGTTGTCAGCTGCAGGCGGTAGCTGTGCAAAGTCTCCAGCAAAAATCATATTAATTCCACCAAATGGTTCTTCATTGGCCATTGCCTTGCACATACGAGCACAGATTTTATAAAGACTCTTGCAATCAATCATAGAAACTTCATCCACAAGAATATAGTCAACATTCTTTAGTTGTGCATGAACTTGACTAAGCTTTGCGACAGACTCTGAGCCATACTGACTCAATCCAAGTACAGAGTGGTAAGTTGAACCAGGTATTAATGCTGCAGCTGTACTAGGGGCAATACACATAAATCTATAGCCTTCCTCTTGTGTAGTAAAAAAATCAATCAATGCTTTAATCACTTGTGACTTGCCAGTGTCAGCCATGCCACCTAAGTACATTTTCAACTGCTCCCCACTAGGCTGGACTGCATGATTAGCAACTATGCAAAATGCACGCTCTTGTTCTTTATTCAGACTGAATTTCTGCACTGCCTGATCAATCAATTGTTGACTATCCTTATTTGATGCTTTAAATGACTTGTTAAGACTGGTCAATAATCTTTACTTGGTCAATGGAATTGACTGGTTCAGTAGTAGACTGACTAGACTTCTTAATTGCTGCTTGTGTCTCTCGAGCCTGCAGAATTGCATCACACTTCTAGAAGTAATGTTTTCCGAGCATTTCCAGTGCAACCTTGACCGGTTTGTATTGCAATGTCAGAATTAACAAAGCCTGGTTTTTGATCTAGTGGAAGTGTATCCATTGCACCAGAAGTTTGTAGCATACACTCTGCTTCTTGCATTTGAGCTGTACGGAACAATGCAGACCGATTTGGTTCATCATACTGGTCCAGGTTAAGCATACTTGCTTTATCAACAAGGTCTGCTCAAGCTTCATCACCTTAGTACTCGCTGTCAAAGTGATCTAACAGGTCATTATTTGCATCAAAGGGAAGAATGTTTGGGCCCTTTCCTGCCTTTCTTGCAGCAGAATAATCATCTCGTGCATAATTGCATTCATATCTAAGATTGAAAAACTTTAGAAGCTCATGCTGTCTCTCAGTAAATTCATATTGGTTAAAGGAATCATCCCAAGTTACATCACTGTTTACTTTTAGCTCAAGTCCAGTTTGCCATGGTTTAAATAAAGTAAGCATAGTCATACAATAATCTTCACAGTTTCCTCCGCCTACAAAGTTAGGTACCTGTGCATATTGTTCTGCTACTAGTCGCACATAGTGTGTCTCATACTGTGGGTGATCTTTGGAAAATTGATACCATGTGTAAGAGCCCTTGTCTGAATCATTATCTAAGGTTTCACAGTCTTCTGGTGCTTTACCATCATATTCTTCATCTTCAAAGTCATTTTCTGTTAGTGCAATCTTTGGTAGTGCATGCCAATCTCTTACTTCAAGTTTCTCAAGATAAACATCCAACTCTGCAAGGTCCTTGTAGGATGTATATGGCTCCCAAGTTGCATCACCTAGAGTCCATTGTACATGGAATTCAACTCTTTGACCAATCCAGCGATGATTAGTGATAGTGTCCACTTGAAAATTATCTTCCTTGCCTTCACTATATTGCTTAGACATTTTCTTCTTGTCTGCATGTCGAATCCAGTCATACAAACTAATTGACTCAAGTTCTGGAGGCCGATGCATATAGTCAACAACTGGTGAGATTCCAATATACTTTCCATTGCTTTGACCTAGTATAACCTTGTCTGGTACTCGCTGTTCATTTCCTTCAGGTTCAGATGTCTGCCAGGCCTTTTCAACCTCTTTGACATAACTGCGCCAGTAGCAGACTTTAAAGTCATGACTTGTATAGTGGTCTGGATGCTGCAGTAAATATAAACATGCCATTGGTCCACTTCAGGGTACCCTTTATCCCTAGCTCTTAGCAACAAGATCTTCTATAGTATGTCATAGCTAAGAGCTTCTTAAGTGTCAGACTGACCATGGTACCTATTATGTCCCAGGGCATTCTGTGGCATTGCCCAGGGCATAGATAGGGGCATATGGAATGATTATTATGCGGGATATCCTACTAGGCTAGGACATTAATTGTTTATCCCAGTATTACTGGTTGTCCCATAGTGTCAGGGGTACATAAGGATGTCCCACTGTTAGCAGAAGATGTATTTTAGGCTGTTGTATATTTGTTGTTTCATCTTTTCATCTACTGCCATACTATATAAACCTTGATTACATAGTGCAGTAAACCAGTGCTTTACTGATACTTCAAATGAGATAGGAGATCTACAAATAGTGGGATATCCCATACTAAGTTTTATATTCACTGGCAGTGTTATAATACTAATTACTATTAGTGGTATGTATAACATGTTCATTAGATCAAATA